TTCGCCTCCTGCTTCATCATCCCCGTCCTCCTCTCCCGACCGTGTTTCCACGGATGAACGGAGCTCTCCTGCATCAATCCCGAGCTCTTCTGGATCAAACTCTGGCCACGATGCCGGCCATCCAGTCCGGACGCGTTCTCTCAAGCAGTTCGCGTCGGCATCTAGAAGGGGAACATCGTCCGACTCGTCACGGTCTGCCTCACCACATTCTGGACACTCATCCACCGCTGCGGACTCCGACATACCTCGCGGTCGATCTCTCGCGCGACCAGCCCCTTCGACAGCACTCTCCTCACCATCGCTCGGTCGCATCATCCAGCTTCGTCCCGAGGACGTGAGGCGATCGCGCCGGAACTTCGGGGGGCGGCGGCTCTTTACCCCCTCATCGAGTGGTGTGGTATTGGCATTGCCAGGTGGGAGGACATACACACAAACCGCTCTATCGGGAAGACGCGCTTCTCGTAGCTCCAGTGGCGCTCAATCGCGCACGTCCTCCGCGCATTCCTCGACAACCGAGGTCCACCGGCCCTCTGAACGGCCCTCTGAACCTGACCACCTGCCATCCCCACCGTCATACGACCCTATGTCCGATATCCTGGTCTCAATGGCTGATACCAACGAGGAGTCAGCAGAACTACGACGGCAGCAAGAACGCGCGAAGAAAGCACGCCAGGTGCAGCGATGGGCACACGAAGTCTTGCCTTCGCTCCTTCGCCCCTATCTACACCTTCTCCGCGAGTCTGAGTCTCTCAAGAACAGACTGCGTCCTACGGAGCCGGTATGCACCTGTGGGGGTCTAGCGGCTCGCTCATTGAGCATCAGCTGTGTTTTCTTCGATCGTGAGTCTATGTACTATGTCGCAGTGTCACTGTACTGAGCAGTGGCAGGCTTAGAGGTCCTTGACCTGAAGATATGCAGCTGCTTGCCTGCCCCAATCCAGCTCCTGTCTCGTGGCCTGTTCCCTTGTGCCCCTCAAGTGCCCACACTCGCCGTCGACATCCCACTCCTCCAATTTACTCGTGCACTGTTTGTGCGAGTACCACCTAATACGACGTCGTTCTGCGACACGCTTGAAGCCTTTCTGGAATCTCATCACTACAAATTGCGCACTAGGGTACGTCCAAGTGATTGAATACCTATCTCAGAGTGCTAAGTATTATTTGCCAGGAATCATTACGGCGGCGATTTGGGAATGCGCTGCTGTGGTACTCGAATTTAGTCAACAACGTGCATCAATTCGTCCAACGTCGCATCAATCAATCTGCCGACACGTTTGTTTGCGCCGAGACCGAGGAGAATGTGGAGAGAAGCAGTGGTGATCGCAGTGCTGGTAGTGCAGGTAATGCCCAATGTCACCAATGATATGTCACTGCGTCAATCGCTAACGCGAGTATATCGAACGTCTTAGATGATGACGTGCGTGAACGGGCGTCTGCGTCCACGAACAGTGACGAGCGATCGGCTGAGGAACATCAGAGCCGCGCACGCGGCGCAAGCCGCTACCTACGGCAACGCTGCCCGCTGTGCTTCGGGGGCGAGTATACCCATCGCACTCCCAACATGTAAGTGATTGTTCATCTGTTCTCATCCCCTCTGTTCGTGCTGTACTCATGTCGTAAACAGTCCAGACGTGATCGTCTGCCTCGATGCATGCTTCACGCAAAAGCGTCGCAAAGGAATGTCTGGCTTGCGCGATCCGCCCCGCACTCATCCCGACTCCGTCTTCGTATCGGCGGAGAAGGTCAACGCGATGGAGGAAGAGGTCGATCGCATGCGGCATCGAGGTAGCGGCAGAGATCACCAGCAGCCGCCGCATGATGGCGAGACCATGGAGGGAACGTTGTTGCACCTTCCTGAATCCGTGCTCGACGGCTGTAACGACTCGTTCGTCGCCGCTGACGAGCGCCGCCAGAAGGCTAGCACACAGTTCTTTGCTGACACTGGGCTGATGGCGATGCTGTGCCGCCATGACCGTGTCCTTTGGCTTGTCAACATGACTTCAGCCGGCGAGAAGCAGCACTATGCCCTCAGCCTTGTACAGCAACTCTTCGACCATCTCCCGCAAGACGTCACGGTGGGCTTGCTCTACGACATCGCTTGCCAACTCCATCGAAGCATTGTCAAGTGGGGATTCCTAGGCCCTCTTGCCAGTCGCCTCGTGTTCGCCCTCTCCGTGTTCCATGCGTTTGGACATCAGTGGCCTTGCCAGGTCGTCTACCATCCTCGGAAATGTGTCGGCTTTGGGCTGTCAGATGGCGAGGGGTGTGAAAGATTCTGGAGTTCAATCCAGAGGCTGATTCCGTCTCTACGAGTCTCGGGGGTAAGCTTTGGAGTGCTCTTACTTGTATTACACTAACAAGTCATCATTGTAGTATCACCAGCGCTTGTTCGTCATCGACACGCAAGTTAAGCACATCGAAGAGCAGTCGCTTCGGCGGCTTGGTCGTTGGCTTCGGCGCAAGTGGTACCAGTGTCAGGACAAGCTAGCCACTGCACGGCGAGAGGTTGAGCAGTCTGGGGTGTCATCGGAACAGCTTCGAGCAGAGTGGGAGTTGCAGGTGCAGGCACAGACAAAGCCTCCTCCGAGTAAGTCCCCGAGAGTCCTTCATTGCCCAGATACTGATTCTACTGAGCAGAGCAGTCACGCAACCGCGCGTCGAAGACAGTGGAAGCTATTCTAGCTTTGCAGAAGACGCAGACATCGTACAACAAGTCGATCCGTGAACTGGAGGAGCGGTTGCTCGTAGGTTCAGGCGATCCTCATGAGATTGACTTGCAGTTGTCCGAGCTGCGCCCCAAGCAATTGCGGGTTTCTGCTGCTATCATGAACAAGCGTTCCGCACTTGGTGTTGGCGAAACCTCACAGCTGTCGCGCCTCACCAAGAGCAAGTTTCTGCAGCTGCGTATGAACGCGCGTGCTCTCAAACAGCGCATCCGAGACCGCCTTCGCCAGCGCAAGTTTGAGCTTGATCGACTTGAACGAGCTCATCGTCAGACAATGAACAGTAGGCTCTCATGGCTATCAATCAAATCCGATCTGACAGAAGATATTTGCAGAGCATAAGCTTAGCACTCACGTGGAGTCTGCTGTTAAGCGACGCGAGCCTGGCATACTCAATCTCGCCAAGTCCTACAATGCACTCTGCAAGGAGATGTCAACCCTCATTGCCAAGCGCCGCGCTCCACGATCAGCTATTGCCCCAGAGCCTATCAAGAGTGATGGCTTGTTCAAGCTCGATGTGGACGACGACATCTGGCAAGATGTAGGTCTAGAAGACGATGACTTTGTGGCCAATGGCACAGATGAGTCGCCTGACCCTTCAGCTGTCCCCCGTTGGCTAGGTGATGAATCTGTGCGGACTGGGATCAAGGCCCAGCTTGTGCTTGATCGTTGCATCGAGGAACAAGACCGCTTGTCTCAGGAGCGCTGTACCATGCAGATGTGGATGCAGGATGAGTGGAGATCAGTTGAGCATGCCATTGCCAATGCTGGTAAGTGCAGACCTCACATGATCCATGGGCTTACAGCTGAATATGACAAGGTGAAGACCTAGATTTACTGTATCAGCTCCAGTTGCACCAACAGGAGTTATGTCGTCTGTGTGCAACATGGCAGTCACAGGTGCTAGTGATTCCATGTGCTTATCCAATGCCTGCATCTTGGGGTCCATCTGAGCTGGAGCTGAATGAAGCTGCACTTTATGAGATCTCTGAGTCTGCAGACATGGGTGAGCACATGGAGCAGCAAGCACCTCATCAGGATGCTGGTGATGATGATGGTGGTGACTTTGACTATGGGTACCATGATGCTGATGAGGCTGATGGTGACCTATTGGATGCAGCAGAGGCAGCTGCATTGACAGATGCCTATCATCCTTCAGAGGATGATGTGGTATTTGATTTCAGTGGTCTTGCTGGCATGGACCATGAAATTCTCTGGTTACCTTCAGATAGTCCCTCCCTAAAGAAGAGAAAGCATAGATAGTGATGTAGCCAGAAAATTGATGTCATGTAGACTTGATTTGGATTCAAACAGGAGACTGCCTTGTTATATTCAAGTTCTGTGTTATGTTCTGTAGGTTGTCTATGAGGGCCATGGGAATTCATAATGGGATACCCATATGGCTAAGGGAGTACCTTTGTATGATCTGTGGGATGCCCATGTAACAGTGGGAATACCTCAACGGGATGTATGGGATGTATGGATTAGCACTGAGGGAGTACCTCCACATGATGTATGGGATGTCCATATGACCGTGGGAGTACCTTTGTATGACATGTAGGATGTCCATTTGAACCTTGGGAAGACCTGTACATGCTATGGGATGTCCACATGGCCTTGGGAGTACCTGCGGATAATGCATGGGATTCCCAAATGACTACGGGAGTACCTTCATATGATGTGTGGGATGCCCATGTAGCCATGGGAATACCTCCAGTGCTGTATGGGATATCCCAAGGGAGTACCTCTGCATATCCTATGGGTTGTCCAGAGTACCCATAGCTGTTGTGTGGGCTGTTCATAGGACCATGGGACAAGCTTGGTACAAAGCATTGGGATGTCCATAGAGCTACGGGACAGCCCTCATGACCCTAGCATGGGATGTCCAAAGCTGTATTAGACATCCCTTGGTAGCATCCTTGGGATGTACATTCTGCTGTGGTACTACCCCATTGATGAGCTGTGGGATGCCCATAAAACATAAATATATCACCCATTAATCCCATGAAGGACTTGTGGGATGTCCGCAGACAGTCATAACAAGCCCATAATCAACTTGGGGTTGCTTTATATAGGCTATGTGTATCTATACAGTGATTGCTCATCATATCATGGGTATGTTACTGGTAACAGGAATCAGATACCATACAATGAGACAGCTCACCATTGGCCATCATAAGTAGACATGTAAGATAGGGCTTGTCCACAACTGTTAAGGCTTGCGTGACAATCACTGCTAAGTCAATGGAGGCTTAAATCAGTAATATGAGCAAAATGTATCTGCAAGGCATAAGGATTACATTAGTGGGACTTCTGCTCCAAGCTTGCTTCATATGGTCCCTCCCAAGCCTGTTCATGCCCACCACACTCAATGACTGATGAGCCCTATGTTACAGGCACAGGCATACCACTAGTACACAACGAGAGATCTGGCACATAGCACGGTAGTCTCATGTTACACCACAGGCTTGTAAAGATCAATGGTGCAGATTGGTCTACCAAAGCCATCAACCTTACTGCGAGAACACAACATCAAAAGGCTCAAGCAAACATGACTGCTCAGTGCATGCTAGAACCTCCCAAGAAAAAAACAATGGTGCTAGCTACAGCCAATCCTGGGAAAGGGATGTCCCAAATGCCCCCTGGCACCCTGTGACCTGTGACAAAATGGTGGGAAATACCATGAAGCCCACTGGGCATTGTGGTAGTATGCCCTAGAACGGGCTGCCCACAATGGGACATCACAGCAACTTGGGACGGGAATTGGGCAGAAATGGGCCAAGCCCATAGTACATCCCAGCACCATGTCCCATATACCTGGACATACCTTCCCAAATGAGGCAATTAGCCCCAACCTAATGGACAAAAGGATAGGGCTAATAGCCCCAGTACAGGGGGGGCCTGAAGTGATCGCCGCCCATGGCGTATAGCAGATATACAGCCCGTGGCTTGGGCTGTGCGTACAGCGCTGCAGCCATCGCGGCGTAGCCTCCGCCAGAAGAACCCATTACAGCGAGACGGGTTGGGTCGAGGGATATGCCGTCTGGGAGGTATGCCGTCGAGAAGGATGGATCGCTGAGAAACGCGAAGAGTGCTCGCATATCCTCGATGATGTCGAAGCCAGTCGACGGGTAGATGAGGCGATGGTCCGCGGAGAGGAATATCATGCCCTTCTGGTGGGTCGATTCTAGTAACACTCAAAGGTCAGCCGAGAATGCGTTCGCGACTAGCTATCGGACCGACCTATCATCCAATCGAGATACTCCCGGCGGTAACCAGCTACCATTCCTCCACCATGAAGGAATATGACGCCTGGGAGGATGCCATGTTTCGGTGAAGGAGGAGCCTGGAAACCTACCTTGATCTCCAGGCCATCAATTTGCGAGTAGACTGCAGTCTGCATTCGCGTCTTCGGTTCGAGAGGATGATGGTACTAGGCAGCTTGATAACGAGTGCTCCGTCCGCGTCGCCTTTTATGACCCGCGAAAAATGCGCATCGTGCATACCAGCATGGTTGGCGTCAGTTAGGAAGCACGGGTCCGTACCTGGAGTCAGATTCGGGTGCGACATTGCCCTCTTGAGTCGACAGCAGCGAGACCTGACTCGTTATCTCAGCGAAACCGCTGGGAAGAGAATCTGTGTATCCGTTGTCGGTGAGCCACTTTCGGCCATCATGGTGAATGGCACTTGACGGCAATATGCAGCCTCAGGAACGACGCCGCTACTAGGACCCCGCACTCACTCGAGACGGGACGGAATACGTTACGGAGTAGCCTATCTCGTTGCTGCATGCCTCCCAACACTCCACGAGATCCAGTCATCCATCAGTTGTCACGAAGAGACCTTGACGAGACCATATATAGATAAACCTTCGTCGTAATGAGAGCGCTGAAGGCTGAAGCGCCTCACAGGCTTGACATTGTCTCGTTCAGACTCTGAGCAATGTTGAATCTTGTCCTTGCCGAGTCAAATTCAAAGCCATCATGCATGATCCCGCATGTGGTACATGAGTTGTAAAAAGCGGCGACGTTTCCTCTTCGCAGATACTGACCGCTGAATTATACCTTCATCGCTGTCAATGCCCTTGGATCGCACGGTTTCTAAACTGCACCGAATACCATCGTATTCTGTCAAGCGTACACAACGAGCGACATGCGTAAACATACACGCAAATCTAAGTACGACTTCAGACATTCAACCTCATAAATGCTCAATCCAACTCGTCGATCTCCATCGACCTCGCAAACAGCTCATCCTCGAACTCGCGAGCCAACAGCTCCTCCAACTCGTCCAAGCTGCGTGGCGGCTTGGGGAGCGGGCGGGGAGGAAGAGGTCGTGGCTTCGGCTTCGGCTGCGGCGTTGGTGGCAGCGGGCGGGGAGGACCCCTGGGCATCACATCGCGGGTCCAGAAGATGTCCTCGTCGTCGAACGAGCGTTCAAAGAGGGAGTCCTCGTCAAAGTCACGTTCCTCGAACTCGGAGTCGCTCAGACTCCGAGGCGGCTTGGGGAGAGGGCGCGGGGGAAGTGGGCGCGGCTTCGGCTTCGGCTGCGGCGTTGGCGGCAGCGGGCGGGGAGGGCCCCTGGGCATCACATCGCGAGCCCAGAAGTCGTCCGCCAGACTGCGCTCGTACAGCGACTCATCATCTGCTGCGCGGGACCAACTGTGTAAATCCGAGTCAGTAAGATAGAACGAAGATAGAACGAAGGCTCTCACAGGCTGATGGGCAGTGCCAAAGCCGGTGCCGCGGTCGCAGCGGCGACAAGGACAGAGAAAACGGTTGAGTAGCGCATGGTGAATGTGGTTCGTTAAGACGTGCGTGACAAAAAGAACGACGGTCGTGCAAAAAGCGGGGCTAGTATGCACGGTCAACTTCTGCGGCCGCGATACCAGAGCACTGCTGTACTCACCAACCAGTACCCTCACTTGAGTTGAGCTCGAATGGAAAGAATGAGCTGAGGATCGCTGGGAGAGAGCATACCTCTTTTATACGCCGGACGTCCCAGCGCTCGCAACGTCTGCGGGATGTGTTATATTGATTTCTGATCTGCATCCCGCACAAGCGTTAATCACGAACTCAGGCTTGCGGGCGGCCTGAGACAGACCGACGAGCCCGCGTCATCGCAGGCCGCATGCATTGTCGTGCAGCGGGTATTTGCTGTGACGAGATGGACGTCCTCTTCGTGAGTTGCTTGGGTGTATTGCTGTCCGACCTGCATAGTCTGTTCCAAGTCATTACATGGCATACGGCGACGCTACACACTACTGACCGTATGACGCTTCACGTACGACTCCCGGCACTCGCCAGCCTCCGTTGGTCGTTGCAGAAGCTTCGGGAGATTGTCTCAGATTGGCGCAACGCGCGCGAGTTGCAGCTTCGATGAAACCTGGAAGGAGGAACCGCACGGTCACACAAGGGAAGGTAAAATGGCCGCCTATTAGAGAGCACCCGACATTACCTATGTGTTCCGAAGTTTTCGTTTTCTGCATGCTGACGTGAACATCTCGCCGGCTCGTCTGCCTGCATGAGACTGTCATTGCGCGAACTCATCCGTACTACTGCCAGAACTCGCCAAACTTTGGCAGGACGACCAAGGGCTCGGACATCCATCGACGTCACGCCGACCGAACAGCAGAGTTCAAACAGAGATGCGGATGCTCTGGCGCTTCGTGTAACACCAGTGCGTGCGGTTCGTCGATCTGGATGACGGCTTTGACGCGCGTTCGGGAGAATGCAGCAGTAGTACGCTGTGCTTACGATTGACGACGCTGACGAGAACGCCCATGCTGTGTGTTACATGGGTGTTCATCGATCATCTTCTGGCAGGCAGATCTCTTGACATTACATCGACTCGGACACTGGCAGCTCCGATGGGCTGTCGTCCACGCGCGGAGGTGCCAATCGGTATGTGCTCCCATAGCATCGAGAGCGCATACTTTTCCATAAGTTCTAATTAAATAGAAAGAGCATCAACGTCGGACTCGGGTGGAAGCAAACCTGAAACCTACGATGTCGGTGTTTGGGATCCGAAGTCGGGAAACGCGAGTTGCATCAGCTCGGGATTGCCAACCGTACAGCGTCACGGACCGCAAGGTACCCTGTCCTAACCGATCAGTGTGCACGATATCGCCGCCCGCATCCGCATCGCAAACGCACGACGAGACCATCCGCACGCATCTTAGGATGCGATACCATCTTCCCGCGCGCAGATCTATGCATAGGTTCGCTCGCGGCGCAACATTCTGCGCGACGCTCCCACAACCGCCCGCCACGCCCCAATCACGCCGGCGCACTTGCAACCTCGGTGCAAGCGTTATACAGCAAGTCAGCCACGCATCACAGGAACCCGTCGCAAGTTTTTTGATGCCAATCGATGCATCGAACGACCTGCTATGCGTCGTCTTGTGCGGCACTACCAAGACCACCCACCCTCGCTTCGTACGCAACCCGCTCGTCTCTTCCTGCCTTCTTGCAACTCACTCCGATGTACAGCACGCATTGTATACGCGTCATGAATACGCCCGCCAGCTGTCTCGGCTGCGCCGTCCCGACACGCACATTCATCAACATTGAACGATACATCGTCGAAGGCTTCTACGGCCGCGCCACCGGCTAAGCCCTCCAACCCCGTGAAGGCCAAAGCACCTACGAAGCCCGTGACAAGAAAGGAAGAGGAGAGCGATGGAGAGATACTGGAGGCGGTCGAAGCTGCGTCAGAACAAACAGAGGGAAAGGCGCGTTCACACCGCGTCACTACCCCTAGCCGCACACATTCCCCTTCGCAGTGAACAGCTTCGCCGCGCATCGCTGTACGCGTCAGGCGACCAAGGATGCGGGCACTATCTCCGGTCTCAACGTTCTCCGCATCATCAACGAGCCGACAGCGGCTGCCATTGCTTACGGTCTCGACAAGAAGACCGAGGGTGAGCGGAACGTCCGCATCTTCGACCTCGGTAGAGGCACTTCCGAAGACGTTCCCAAGCACGACGCACACATGCACCCGGCCATCTCCGTCGCCCTCAGCGCTGCTTGCGTGTACGACAACATTCCGCCGCCAAACATTCATCCTGGGCGCACGTGCCTCTGCGCACAACGTCCTTCGTAGGTTACACGCCGCCAGCCTATCTGTGCGGCCGTCGTGCGCACTCGACGAATCGCTGCCCCAAAGGCGTGCTACGTGTTATCGTACACTGCGGCGCGACGTATCCCTCCCCGCCGATCGACGCGCGGGCGTCGACGTCCTGCGCCGGGTCATCCGCCGTCAGCAACCTCCAGGAACACGACAAGGAAGACACGACAACCTACCTCTGCAAGTCGACGCACGGCGTGCGCATCAACGACGCCGTTCACTCGACCCCGCTGTTGACGACGGCCCGCTCGCTCGACGAGCGAGTCTGTAAGATACGGTTAGTACTCTCGCACACCGTTCAACTAGGAGCAGATGACTTACCGATGGACTTGCCCCGTCCCCAGCACCTGCTCTCCGGCGCCGGGCGCGCTCGGATCGCAAGCCCGTACATCACGTGATAGGTGGCGCACTACTTACAAAATCAATTGCACGCATTGTGAATGCTCCTCCAAACGACCGCAGTACTGTCGACAGCCGTATTACCTACCAGTATGTACAATCGCCACTCAGCAAGAAAGATACTGATTTGGGTGTTCACATCTGCTCGTCTATAGAATGAAACTCGACCACTATCATACCACTGCCAGTGGACAGTACTAGCCTGAGTAAGTACTGAGACTACTTGACTAGGTTGCAGTAATAACAGCCGAATTCGAACCAGACTGTCGTTAGCAATAGCCGGACGATGTTTCCGCCAGCAATGTATAAGTAATGAGGAGCTTCTATGCATGTCCGAATGAACGGATTGATGCAGGCACAATTGTCGCAGCCGCCGCAGGATGAAGGATAGCGCAGTATCTTGGTAAGTTACCCCTCTCGATTTCATGTCATGTCATCGAACGCTCAAATCAATGCATATGGCCTCCGCTGGTCGCTGCATCGAGCGACAGACTCAGCTGAGACGTGTATTTTGAACATATCGTGGCTTATGATTGTGGTTCAATTTCCGATTGTAGCCCCGGCGAACATCCATCACCTGGTGCATCCACCTCGTTGCCTGAGCCTCCTAATCATCGGAAAGCCGTTCCTATTGGCGGCTGCCTGTCCCGCCGTATCTCGCCCGTACTTATCTACGAAGGGCGGAGGCGTCACGGGTCCCGTTGGCGCCCATACACGGCGTCCGAGGACTACAGCCGGGGTGTTCCCTTCGCTCAGGTGTGGGGTAATGCGGGGTAGAACGTGCACAAGAAGATTCAAATCTGACATGTAGATCCGGAGAAGAGTTCAAGACACGCTTGTCTGCCCAATGGTCTGGCGACGCCACCGTCCCCCGTTGTCTGACTTATATACTGAGGCTGCACGGAGATATTAGGGCCCCGGGACCCCCCCCTCCTCTCATCCTAACCCTCACGAACTTGCGAGCGTCATGTCCACAGTCACCACACCAGCTAGAAGCTACAGCGCGGAGAAGGTCGAGGTCGAGGCAGTCGAGTACGCTGCGTCTCCGGATTCGACCCATGTTCCTCCTCCGCCTCTCACACCTGAGCAAGAGAAACGCCTGTGGCGGAAAGTAGACAAGAGAATATTGCCTATCCTCACGATCATGTATCTGTGCTCTTTCTTGGATAGAGGTACATCCGTTTCTGTTCACCGTACCGTGCCTTTTTACATCTCTTCGCAGGAAACATCGGTAAGGCGGGTGAATCCTACTACTGTTCAGGAGGCTCATCGGCGGTCCGAAGGCAATGCAAAGATACAAGGGTTGACGACGCAACTAGACCTCACCGGAAATAAGTACAATATTGCTCTGGTGAGTAGCACACTCGCCTAACGTCAAGAGCCTGAGTGCGACTAATTTGCGAACAGACAATGTATTTCATTGTAAGTATCAACCACTGGTCGCTTCAAGCCTGTATTGAGAATACTTCAGCCATACTGTCTCTGCGAATGCCCAGCAAAGTGCGTACAACGCTGTTGATCCTATATGCTGATATGAACGTAGATGCTAGTCTGGTGTTGAAGAAGTTCAAACCGTCTAGGTAAGAGCACCGTCAGAACATCTGGAAGGAAAAAACTGATGACGTCGACACCAGATGGTTGCCGGGTATCACAGTGAGTGCCCCGTCGGGCGAAATGGCGTATTATTGACAGGTTCTCAGCTTCTGTGGGGTGTCATCATGTAAGCCTCACCCGTCGCCAACGATGTTCTCTGCTAATCCTGAACCCCAGGACCCTCATGGGTCTAGTCAAGACGTGAGTCGTCTTTCATCTGGCGTAACGCGCTCAAGACAGTTTAACACCACTCCAGCTATCCGCAACTCGTCGGGACCCGTATCTGTCTAGGTATCACGGAAGCTGGCCTGTTCCCCGGTGTCGTTTACTAGTACGGCTTCGACCTTGGTCTCATTCCATGCCGTCTGACCAACAATTCTAGCTTGACGCTGTGGTACCCCCGCCACATGCTCCAATACAGGGTGGGTGTGTTCTACGGCGGAGCTACGATTGCAGGCGCATTTTCCGGAATTCTGGCGTACGGAATTTCTTTCATGTCTGGGACAGCTGGCTTGCTCGGGTGGTCCTGGATCTTTGTACGTATACTTGTCTTACCGCGATGCTGCCGTCTTGAACATACACTCCCCAGATACTCGAGGGTATCGCTACCGTTGTGGTCGGAGCCATCGCCTTCTTCGGTGAGCAACGATGTGTCCAGTCTTTGGCATGTACTCGCCGATACTGAATGCACGTTCTACAGTCCTAGTGGATTTCCCTGACACGGCGAAGTTCCTGACGCCTGAGGAGCGCGAGTACATCATATGGAGGAAGAGTAAGTTCCTTTACGTTGTGTGTCGCTCCCCCTTATAACGACGACGACCGACAGAGTATGACAATTCCTCCGTTGGAGAGGAAGAGCACTTCCAACTCCGGCATATCAAAGCGGCTTTCATGGATTGGCAAGTTTGGCTGCAGATCATGGTGTACTTTGCCGTTATCACTCCGCGTACGTACTTCGGCAAGATCTTGCGTACATCTGGTAGCCTGGCTGACGGCCTTGGTTCAGTATACGGGATCTCACTCTTCCTTCCGTGAGCATTGGTGTTGATCACATTCTGACGCACGATTCGCTTACTGTTGCTGCGCGAAGGTCGATCATCAACGGGTATGTCATGTCCCTTCCCTTGCTTCGATGCTATACCACACAGTTTGACCCTCCTTCGCTAGATTTGGATATAACACCGCTGTCAGCGAATTGCTGACCGTCCCTCCCTATGTATGCGCAAGTAAGCCGTATTACCACCATCCCACCTGCCGTAGAGGTGCTCATCTCGGTGAAAGCGATTGTCCTCCTCATCTTCGCAGTATGGTCCGACCGGGTCCAGCTACGCTCGCCCTTCGTCTTCGCAGGCCTAGTGATGTGCATGATAGGCTTCGCTATCAACATATCCGACGTCCCCGTAGGCGTCAAGTACTTCGGCACTTTCTTCTGTGTGTCGGGTTCATACGCTGCGTTCCCGGGTATCATTGCCTGGTACGCTGCAGTCTGTCCTCTTCCGCGTAGCCGTAGCGCTGAACGTTACCAACACAGGTTGGGGAACAACCTTGCTGGTCAATATAAACGCGGCGTCGGAATGGCGCTGCACATCGGTATCGGGAACTTTGGCGGAGCTATTGCGAGCAACATTTACCTCTCAGAAGATGCACCGCGATATGTTCTTGGCCGTGAGTGTCCTTCTCGAGGAACCTGTGGCCTGCTGTGAACTTTTTGCTGCAGATGCGCTGGAGCTGATGTTCGTCGGCATCGGCTTCATCTTCCTGCCAATTACCGTACTTGCATACAAACGCGCTAACGCGATCCGGGAACGGCAGCAACGAGAAATGGAAGAGAAGGGCATCAAGTTCAGTCCGGAAGAGCTCCGGAGGCTGGGAGACCGCGCGCCCGACTTCCGCTACACGCTGTAGTCAAGACTTCCGGATCTTGTACGCCAATGTCTCGAACAGGTCCTGTTCGCCCAGTAGGCATGTACTATTAGATGGGTTGAGATTAATCGATTGTATCATGCGTCTATCGATCCGAGGCAGTATAATGTACAGTAGAATATGACTTGCACGAATCACTGTATACCAATGCGAACCAATAAATGAAGAGTCGCCACTATAAATATCCGGACCTCTGCAGGATGAATCACCGCAATCATCTATGGGTCAATCTGAGTCTGGCGTAGCGAATTTGATGCTCTCGAGGCTGCTTGGACTGGATGCAGAAGTATTCGGTTCTGGGATCGTGAGGATAAGTGAAGGTGGTGCCGCTCCCGCGGACGTCGCTTTGTTCTTGCCCTGAGGTGCGGAGGGGTGCTGGCTGGCCGACGTCGACTCGTTCGTCGACCCTCCTTTCCGCAAGAGGTTCGTTAGCCGGGGACTGGCAGTTTCCGGAGGAGACGTTCCACCTTCCACCTGGGTGCCTCGTACACTGGTGATTCGCATCCTGATCGGGATCGGCATGCGGACTGGGAGATGAGAGCGAGTAGGAGGACTGGTGCCTGATTCCGGAGACGTGGACAATTCACTGCTCGCACGGACCTGCGATGAGAGCGGAGAGCGCGCACGCTCGCTCGGAAAGTCCACGCCTGTTTTAGAGGCGCCGAATATCCTCGGCCGCGAGCGAGACGGTCTAATGGATTTGCGTATCAGGGAGTCTGCCGACGAATACGAAGTGATCTTGCGCGATGGAGGGAAGGGCTCCCGTGTAGCCGATTTGTCTGCAGCGAGAGCATGGTCGCTCTCTGCCATGCCATCATCGCTCGCGGGTACGCCAGTACCGTCGTCGCTCAGAGCTTCGTCTTGGATCCACGGGATATCCTCATCATCTTCCTCTATGTCCGGCGTGAGATGGCGCAGATGGCGTTCCTCCGTATCAGCCTGTATACGGTGCTGACGAGGCAGATCCGTCATCCAGTCTTCCCATTCTTGCTCGCTCTGCTCGGATTCTCCATCAGAGCCACTGTCGCTATCGTCGTTGAGGTAGTCCCTCCAGAGAGTTGGCGATAAGTCCACATGCGAATTGTCCGATGGTCTCTTTGCAAGGGAAGGCCGTTTTGGGGTCTCCTGCGCACGCGCCTCCTCATCGGGCATCTCGAGGTACGACAGTAGGTCGTCCTCATCATTGGCGAGACCCTCAGGTTCGTCGTCACCAAAGATGACGAACTCCATGGCACGGCCAATAGAGCCTATACCCGCACGACGGGCCCGATGCACAATCGTATGGCGCCATTCCGGATACGGTAAACCCATGCGGCCAGATTGTGGAGAAGGCTTTGCGGATGTCACCGTAGCTGCCGCATGACGGGGCGAGCCCGTCAACGTCGTCGTGTAGGTGTGCGGTATGGCGTCTGGCAGCCCTGGCGAGACGTTGAATGGCGATCCACCCGGAGAAGGGAATACATAACTGGCGTCAGGCGCAGCACCTTCCAGGGAGGATCGTGCGGCGAAAGACGAAGAGCACGATACTGGGGCATGGCGATGCAAGACGCGCAGAAAATCATCAAAAGCTAAGAGGCAGTATCAGGTAGGCTCGATATGTGTATGGATGAAGCAAACTCGGAATGTGAAACATAGGAAGGGCAGGATACGTTAGGTAGTACAACTCACCGGCTTCGTTCAATAAATCCATGATGATCCACACGGAACCCTCGTCTTCATCACTCAGCCCCAGTCTATCCCGGCTTGCGCTACCTTCAGAGTTTGCACCGAAGGCTGATCTGCCCTCCCTTCTGCCGAAAGTCTCCGCTGGAGCTGTGTCTCGCGACCCACGGCGCCACCACCCGCCAGCATCCCCCCTATCCTCACTTGTGCCTGCGCCCGAGGCTACTGCATGAGTGACTGCTGGGGAATGTGGAGGCGGGTGAGGACCCGCGCGGAATTTAGCACAGACGATTCGGCGGCCAGAGTTAGGTATGGCTGAATTCCTCGGTGATGCGTCGAGCTTCGACTTCATCGGGTCGTGCAGAGACTGTAAATGACTCTGCGCTGGACTTGGTGATGACAGAGGCGTCGAGGTGGAGGATGACGGCAAGGACGAGTCATACGTCTGTGGGAGAGCCGAGGTCGTGCGAGGATGCAGGTGCTCGCCGCCTCGCATGGCCAGTAGGGCGGTCACAGGGGCGGTGTACGCAGGACGCGTGTCCTTGAAAGACATTGGAAAGAATGAAACTCTTCAAATGAAGCGTACTCACGTTGCGGTTCTTACAGAGCTTGAACAAGCCTTGGTGCACGATCACCCACCTCTCGCACCACTCCATCTTTTTCCTCCGCCTCCTTTCCAGCTTGCGCCTCGTTTCATCCGCGTCTCCTCCCCACGTCTCCTCGCCGCCATCTCCAGTGTTCGGTCCGCTGCCGCTCCCAGTTCGCCGCTCGCGCTCTTTGCCTTTGGCCTTGCCTTTGCTCTTTGGCCGCTCCAGCTCTGTGTGGTGCTCGGCTGACAGATCATCACCAACAAACCGCAGTGCCCATACTCGCGCCTCGAAGTAAGGACGAACGTATGCCTCTAGATTATGGCGGGGCAAGGCAATGAAGACCTCGCCACGTGGATAAAACTCAAGCAACTCGTATGGCTGAAGAGCGTACCAGGACAGGTGGAAGCGATCCTCGAACAGCTGTCCGGTGGAGAACGCGATGAGGGCGAACTGCGCTGGAGAGGGTAGAGAAATCTCTGGTGGGACGACGAGCGTGGTCGACGAGGTGCCGGCTGGACGGGACGCGGGTGCATATTTATATCGATAGTAGTCTCCGTCTACGATGTCGTCTGCCTCGTCGAGAACGGACCCATTCTCCTCCGCGGACTGATAGTCACTGTCACCCTCGTTGTCGCTGTGCCCATGTGACGAGAATGTGATAGGTGAAAGGGGGCGTTCACGCTTCGCTCGAGTTGGTTTCCGCGGGGAAGGTACGACTGTAGGTAAGAACTTGGTCAACAAGTGCTGCTTGACTTGCGAGATCGTCCAGGATGAATCGAGGTGTGTGAGGAGCCATCGGTCCGTATGCACTACGCGAGGTAGAGCTTGGTGAGTCGGCCGACAAGACTTCCAACTCCAGAACGCACCATATCGACAATAAACCGGGACAATCGACGATAGTTCTGGCACCATGGGTGAAGGTTAGACGATCGCTCAGAGACCATGGGGGCATATAGCGTGTATCGCGCCGAGGACGTGGGATCCAGATGTGATGGTGAAGAGAGAAACGCGCGCCGTGAATGCGGTCCAGAGTCGACCTTAATTGTCTAAATTTAATGATGAGCCGTATCAACGACGATTAGAATCAATTAGTGAAGGTGGTAACAAAGATAAGATTAGGGTCACGGTACGTACTTACCGAAATTTTAAACCACCCTTACTACCGTCAGTGTACAGTCCCGGCTCGGACTCGACGTCTATTTGACGTCTGCTAACTCGGCATAGTCAGACGCATTTGACTGATCGAAGGTGGGGACAAAGGAAGAGATACATATGTCGGGATGATGGAGTTCGAGGTCAAGAGAGATCCGACGGGTGAGTGCTTCATTAAGTACCTAAACCAGAGGCCTCTGACAGGTCATGAAGCAGAATGGAAGCATCGTTGAGGACTCGGATGACGCAATCACCACGTACTTACGAACCTGGCAATGACAGCATCCTTCCTTCTTTTGGACACCCATGCTGGCAACACTGCGTGAGCACGTTCTTCTTCCCCCCGGGAGGGCCGTCGTCGAAACTCGAGACGACGTCCTGCGCAGACCTTCTCGTGGTCCGGGGGGTAAGTAGTCCTTAGGACGAAACGAACTTGCGCTATAAATGAGTCTAGGGAAGCATCGCTGCTACCAACGACCGGGACACGTCATCCACGCGAATCCCCCTCCATCCACCCCAACATGAAGCCTAGCTGGCTCGCCTTCACAGGCACATCGAGAGTGACCTAAACACCACCTAATCTCGAAGTCTCGCAACCACAAAACGACTTAGAGGGCCTACAGGGCCGCCGACTCCCCCTCATACCTCACCCGCCCCAGTAGCCAATTGACGCCCTGACCAGCGCCAATCACGCCCGCCCTCCCCAAAAAAGGGAAACGTGCGCCCAGACCTTAAGTAAGCCGCACCAAGCCTCACGCAACGACTGTATAGAACCAAAGAACGCTGAGCGCACACTGAATTGAACTCAACCCTCTTCATGTACACAAGAACCACGTAATAACCACCACACCCGACCAGAAAAACCACATACAAAATGCTGCCTGCCTCGTACCTCTCCTGATCACAGTCCCTAGCCTCATAATGCTCCAAAACCGCTTAATGCAGCGCCCACTGTTAAGCGATGGAGCAATGATGACGGCAAACCCCCTCCTTTACCGACTGCTAGCCGAATGGCATAAGAATGTGCCCACGAGCAACACGATAACGCACGACAATCATGTTCCGCACCTTCCAACTACCCCAACCCCCCCCACCGCAGCTTGCGGAAGAAGACACCGGCCCTGCCTGCCACGTCTTGAACTTCAGCACGAACACCTGCACAGAAGTCCATAAGCTGCAATCCCTCCCAAGCCTCCGACTCACCGATAACACAGCCATGGCCGTAATGGTCAATGTCGCAGATCACCCCACCCACGACAGCAGGCAAAACCGCACATGGATTGTAGCCGAACGTCCCCCACGCCCGCTAGGTGTGGGTACTCTTATACAACTACAAACCAGCGAGGAATCGAGTGGACTTGGACGAATTGCCGCAGTCAACGGCATATGCCGGTACTGGATCTCGTTTGCCATATCAGGCAGTAACGAGCGCTGCAGCCTCCGTGTCCCGACCCCATGGACCGCTCTCGGCCCAACGGAACGCCGAGTCCTCACGTACCTCTACCACGTCCTCCAACCCCTTCCCGCACCCCATCCATGCTTCACCGACAACGACACCCTGATGCTGAGCACAAGGACCCCCTACGAATTTGTCGCGTTAACACACGCTGACGGGATGGACGAGAACCTCCTGCAAGTCAATATCCGCAGAAGCTAAGCGGAAGGAGTGCCGAACAGAAGCACCCCCAATGCAAAGTCTTAACGAAAGCGTACGTGAACTAGACACCCAAACCAAACATATGACCTGACTTGCCTTAGCAAGCACTCCCTCACACACTCTGTCGTTACATGTCCAATAACCTACAACATGCCCCTGTCCTTGGACGGTCAGAATAGTAGCGTTTTAAGCCAATTACATAAGACGCAAACTGATCCCGCCCGAAAATCGGAAGAGAACCTAAGAGAACACGCTCGATCACCTCACGGTCACGTTCCGTTAGAAGACCTAAGCGCATGAGTACAACACGGCCAAACAAGCCCATTCAGGTAGGAGGTCTTGATTTGCCGCAACGGCATCAAATAGCGCCACCATGCGAAGCTCCTTAGACATCCTCGCAAAACCCTCGCTCCACAGGCTAGCAGAAACCCCACAAGGCTGCTGCGACAATCAATGCCTCCGCCTCAGCGCTCTGAAACCCCAAGCGAACGAAGTCCGCGCACATACAGCCCAGACGTTAAATAAAAACCTGAAGGAGCGTCGTAAAGCTATACAAGCAAAGATAGGTGCCCAGTCGAGCACTATCCAGGACCTAATCGACCACCCTCTAGAATAAAACTAGTTAACGCCTACCATAAGCGAAGGTGACGACCCAAGCCTACCCAGGCCGCACCACCGAAACAAGCAACCGCCGCGACGGCCAATAACCCGTTGCACCGAACATCAACCCGCCGCACCAAACATCATCCCGCCCCACCACCCTCGAACATGGCGGCTGTGATAAATGAAGACTCGCATAAACAAGGTCTTGCTTCTCGAGATCGCCTGCGAAGATCACAACATCACACAAGTTAAAAGGCCCCCGCAGCGTACGTATCCCCCACCCAACTACGCTTGAGTACTCATATATCATGGCCTGCATCTCCTCGACCAAGCCCAACGCGACTACCCAGGCCCCAGCGCGCCCTGCAGACGAGACTACGGCACCGTCCAATGAGCCCCGCCCCACACCGACCAACAACGAAGGGCCGACATCGCGCAGAATGAGCCCCATGCGCCCCGGCAGCCCATGTAAGTAAAGCGCGCCGCTCCTCCCCTACGCTCCATACTGAGCCTAAGCAGCTTTCGCCGATGTCACGGCAGGCCGCCAGTCGCCCCGCATCCAACCAGAGAGCTTGGACCACCTGGCCTCCGGTGCAGCAAGCGATACCACGGTCATCAACGACCGCGAAGTCGCTCCTCCTGCGCCCCAAGCCATCGCCTCCCAGGCGAGCACGGCTCCTCCGGCACCCGCCGCAACTCTGTCCACAACCCAACCCGACCCCCCCAGGTCACCAGCCGCGACCAGTGCCCAACCAGCACCACGCGCAGACAAGGGGAAAACCCGCGCGGACAAGGGGAAGAAACGCGCGGACAAGGGGAAACGCCGCGCGGACAAGGAGAAAGACTGCACAGTCGACCCCCCATCGACGAGCCATAGCCTTGGACTAGGCCCTCCCCCGCTGACAGACAGTATACATGAACACCCCCACGCCCCGGTGTCCTCTCGCCCCTCGAGCGACACACGGAAGCGTCGCCGCGTCACGGACAACCAGCCACCGGACGTAGAACCCTCCACGGATAGAGTTCAGAACTCTCCGGGAGCCTCCTTCGCACGCACAGCCTCCCCAATCCCCGACCTGGACGAGTACGTGGAACGTGGATCGGACTACGAACCGACAGACCTCGACTACCACGCCTTCCATGGGCTCGACCCTCGCGTTATGGCGAACGCGCCCCCTCCCCCGCCTGCCGTACACCCAACCGCAAACTGGCAGCAGCGGTACCCGCCGTGGATTGATCAGATGGAGAACGTCGACAGCCTCTGGAACGCGGAACCCACCGCCAACCAGAACACGCCACTCGGCCACTTAGAGTCGACCCCACTCGCCGGTGCACGGTGGCCCCCCTCGTCGGAGCAGGACACTTATCACTACATGCCAAACCAAACCACGGCCTCTACCTCTCTCGAGCGGAACTACGACACGTCTCTGCTCCGTCAGGAAGAGGCATCAGCTCAATACTCATCCCCGCGACAACCGGCCGCACCCTCCCCTTTACTGCGCCGCGCGCCAACGGTCTACCACGCCCCTCTGAATGCTCGATCCTCACACGATCCCTATCCACGCCCGCGCCTCCAAACGACGGGTCGCTTCGACCTCCCCACCCGACCCGCTCAACCTTCGCGCCTCATGAGCCAACCCATGCCCGGCCCATCGAGGATCCCAGCCGACCAGGTGGAACGCACACCGCGTCAGCCTGAACGTCCGCAAAGCGCTGTTTCAATAACCGGCGACATTCGCATGAGAGACGCGAGCCCAGGCCGAGACCGCTCTCCGTATATGACATATGTCCACCAAGGTGATCCCATAGCACCAGTCCTATACACGAATACTCACCTATCCATGCCCACACACCCCGCAGACCGCCGTCCGCCCCCTCCAGTAGCCTCTGGCTCGCGTAACCAGCAACGCCCCCCACGTACCTTCTTCGAGAACCCTCCGTCACAAGAGGACTACCTACGTCAACCGTCACATATACCTATACCCGTCCCCCCCCACCATGTGGCCCCTCCTCCGAACCTTGCCCCTCCTAACGCAGCCCAAGGACCGGTAGCCCCGATGAACCAGGCGACCCTACCTTTCGGACAAGCCATGGCCACCCCCACTCCACTAGGGGGCTTCGAGGAAATCGTAGCCGACGACGCATACCATAAAATCGAGGGACAAAACGCCGACCAGGCGACTGCTTGGTTCGCAAACCAAGCGAACGCAGTCCTAGCCGCCATACCGGGACAATCTGCAAACGACCCCGGACGGTGGGAACGCATGGACGCCCTACGTGATCTTCTGCGAGTCCACTTCGGAGTCCAGTCCGCTGTCATCACGGCCCCCATCCCCGAGAGGCCGACGAACGAACTGAACACCCCACCGAACTACTTTCTGATCCAAGGTCTCACGCCGGCCCAGCGGCAAGCAATCTTGGACCAGCGATGGCTATCAACCTCTGCGCTCACGGCATACTTCACGCACCTGGGCATCGAGCCATCAACCCTCGTTGGTTTCTGGACCAACTTGCAATGCTTCGGCGACGCCTCCCCGGAAGGCATCCGTGCCGCCTTCGTCCGGGTCTGGCAAGGCACCAGTGTAGCGCCTGGGATCCGCCGCCTGATCGAACGGGACATCCAAACGGGAGGGCGCTGGCGCAACATGTCGACTGATCAAGCCTTTCAAGCTATACTTGCGTCGATACGGGTCCGAATCCTACCCTACCACACGCGCGGAGGAATCCTCGAACCGCTGGCCGTCATATACTGCGAACCACCAACGGCGAGCGTCGCCGACTGGTCGTTCTTCCGAAGCCAAGTCGGTCTACAACAATACGGAAGCGCGTTCACTGGCCACCCCATCCGGTACCACCGTCAGATGCGATGCCGTATCTGTCGAGGAGCAGACCACACAATGGGCCTTTGCCCGCTCCCGAACCTTCCCGAGTGGCACGGCCCGACGACCGAGTCCGACGTCATCCGCAGACAGCTCCGACGCAATAACGACAACGCCAACAACCAACAAGTGAACACCCCGAACGGAAATGGGCGGGGCGGTCGTGGTGGACGCGGAGGACGCGGAACGAACCGTGGCAGAGGTCGCGGCCGTGGAGGCCGTGGAGGGAGTTCCGGACGTGGAGGAACGAACTGATTACCTAGCCCCTACCTCATGTACCTCGTCGCGTAACCCGACCATGAATTGCAGTTCTCATATCTCTCAGCGAACATGTTTCTCAGCGAACGATAACACTGAACCACCTAAGATAAAACAAGTAAAACCGAAAATGATAATCTCTTCTCTTCGACCCCCTCGACGGTTCTGCCATGACACGCCCAAATATACTGACCGTACGCGGGACAGGAAAGCCGTCACAACCATCGAGTAACAACTCATATAACCGGGTACTAATAGACTTTCCCGGCCTTCGGGCGAAGCAACCACGCTCAGACGTGCAAGCAGGTCCCCTGAGACGCCCAGGAGCGGCGCCCGCACCTCGTGGATCGCTGTAGCGAGAATGCGTACACCAGCGGTGAACAACAACAGAGATATAAACCATACGGATGTTTCAACGGCAAACGGTACACCTCTCCCTCGCCAAAGAGAGTCACCTCCGCCCCCTGCCCTCAGGATACTCGATGACGAGGCGAGGGAACTCGGTGGCAGGGCGACTACTGTCATTGACAATAGCCGGTCACCTCAGAATACTCAAGCCGCGAACCCGCCCCTACCTGAGGCACATAGTCAGCAGAACAACAACAGTGAGCGCCGTAGAGGCCGCAACACAAAAGCCGCCCTCCATGCGGGCTCACTAAATATGAATGGACGCGGCTCACTTCGCGACACAGAAAATAACAAATGGAACGCGGTTAATCAAATCGTCAGAGAACGGAAGATAGGACTACTAGCACTACAAGAAACACACCTTGATGGAGAAGCGGTCTCTCGGATTCACGACCTCTACGGTCGAAGACTACGTATACTAAACTCCGAATCAACGAGTCCGACACAATCACAAGGAGTAGCTTTCGTCTTGAACAGAGAGTTGGTAGACATATCTAACACTAAAACCACATCAATCATACCCGGCCGAGCCCTCCTCCTAAACATGCACTGGCATGGAGAAAGGTCTATAACAATCCTCAACGTCTATGCCCCAAACAACACGTCTGAAAATGCTAGCTTCTGGAACACGCTTAGCACAACCTTCCAAGAACGACGCCTGCACAAACCCGACATGATCCTTGGAGACTTCAACGTAGTCGTGGACGCCATAGATAGACTGCCAATGAGACTAGACCCGCCCACTCAGGTACAAAGTCTCCTATCATTCCTCGAGAGCATGCATGTAAGAGATGGCTGGAGATTATCAGACCCGACAGCCAGAGACTACACCTTCCCGCAACGCGGCTCTCAAACCTGCTCAAGAATTGATAGAATATACTTGAAGAACGATCTCATCCAACGTGCACACTCATGGTCAATCCATACAACCGGAGTCCCAACCGACCACCGGCTAATTTCAGTTCACCTTAGCGCAGCGCAGGCACCATACATCGGGAAGGGTAGATGGACGATACCCCACACGTTGTTAACGGACCATATATTCCTATCAGAAGCGACCAAAGCGGGTCAGAAAGCAGAGAGCCTCGCAATGACGAGCAGTAATACAGAACAACGCACGGACCTGAACAACCCGCAGCTGATATTCTCCGAATTCAAGAAAGAGATTGCCAAGATTGCCAGACAACGCCTGCGCGGCAAGACTCCTAAGATACTTGCGGAAATGGAGCGACTACAGGCCGTGATATCATCCCTACAGAATGAACCTGACTTCACAGAATCAACACCCAAGCAACTCGAAGTCGCAATGGTACAGGATAGATTACACGCACTAGAGAAGAAACGACATGGAGACATTAAGATGTCAACCACGACACGGTACATCCTAAACGCCGAAATCCCAAGCAAGTACTGGTCAGCTGTGAACAAAGAGAAGAAGCCCAGAGACATATTCTATGCTCTCCAGAAACCTGACTCTAACCCGAACGAATACGAGACACGTTCAGATAGAATGGCGAAGCTAGCAAGAGACTATCATGAAAACCTACAACATGATGGTCTCCAAACAACGCCCAACCGTAATGAGAAAGTAGAACGCGTCTTGAACCATGTCCAAACACAAGTAACCAGATCACAATCCAGACTACTTACTGACCCAATAACAGAAGACGACATACGCACCGCACTAAGGAAGGCTGGCTCTGGGAAAGCGGCCGGACTAGATGGCCTCACATACGAGTTCTGGGCAGCAATGGAAGAGCGATGGACGCATACAACAGCAAACTCACCCATACGATTCAACTGCATCAACCTTCTACAACGAGTGTACGCAGATATCGATAGGTATGGGATACATCCCAAAGCCGGCTTTACCGACGGCTGGATGTGTCCACTCTACAAGAAGAAAGATCGAAGAGACATAGCAAACTATCGCCCAATAACTCTACTCAACGCCGACTACAAACTATACACGAAGATCCTAGCATCGAGACTCGGCGAGATTGCACCTTCAATAATCCATCCCAACCAAGCCGGATTCATCCGAGACAGGAAGATTACCGACCAGACACAGCTATGCCGGACAGTAGTAGACTATGCGGAAGCTGCAGAGGAAGACGGTGTCATCATAGCGCTGGATCAAGAAAAGGCTTATGATAAGATAGCACACGATTACCTATGGCTCGTACTCGCCCGCTTCGCCCTGCCTGAGAAGTTCATCAAACGAGTACAAGAACTATACCGCCATGCAACGACACTCGTCATCCTTAATGGTGAATCAAGTAAACCATTTCAAGTATTCAGAGGTGTAAGACAAGGTGACCCACTATCTTGTCTCTTATTCGACCTCGCCATAGAACCCCTGGCCTGCATGCTACGTGCATCCCCCCTAAAAGGCATAAGCGTGCCCGGAACTATTGAACGATTGATCACGTCCCTGTTCGCGGATGACACATCGACGTTCCTGTCAAAGCAAGACAAATGGTCAGAATTGTGGAACATCCTACACCAATGGTGTGAAGCATCTCGAGCCCGCTTCAATGACGGTAAGACGGAAGTAATCCCGGTAGGTACACCGGAATATCGATCCTCTGTAGTGAATACACGTTGCATTGACCCAACGGACCGGAACGACGTCATACCTAACGCGATACATATCGCTCGCGACGGTGAAGCGGTGCGAATACTCGGTGCATGGATCGGGAACAAAATAGATAATATAGCTGTATGGACCCCTGTACTTGAGAAGATAGATGCTTTCCTCGAGCGATGGGGTAGATGCCACCCATCACTCCGTGGTAAAAGCCACATCGTACAGATGGGCCCAGGCGGAATGACCCAGTACCTGACCACGGTACAAGGGATGCCCCCCGCAATAGAAGCCGCCATAATCAAGAAGATAAAGACCTTCATCTGGGGCGACACCAAGGTCCCACCAATCGCACTCGAAACACTCTATCTCCCGATAGAAGAGGGCGGCATCAACCTCCTAGACATAGGAGCGAGGAACGAAGCCGTCCAACTCATGTGGACGAAAAGGTACCTCGACTTGACAGCAGACCGCCCGCTATGGGCGTACCTGGTAGACGACCTGATAAACAGAAACGTCTCACCGCAAGCTGGGGCGATAAGGAACAACGCCAAGTTCAATACATTCCTTCAATCCTGGTCCCCCTCGACCAGCAAAGCGTCACACCTACCCGAGTACATCAAACGCATGCTCAAAACAGCAAAGAAATATAACGTAAGCTTCGCGGCAGTTAAGCTTGACGAACGTACCAAATCTCAACTACCTATTTGGTACCACATTGGCGGAACGAACTCTCTGAGGCGCCTCAACAATACTGGACACAGCGATTGCCTGCGCAACTGTCATCGCATCTTCACAATAGCAGACGTTCAACGAGCGATAGACCGTCACTGCTTCACCACCCTCATAGCATCGCGAAATGATTACTCACCAGAATCATGCTCATGCCAAGCATGCCGAGAAGACAGAGAGCGAGGATGTCGACATCCACACGCATGTTGCAAATCAGCGGCAAACCTTCTACGGCAAATCCTACCCAAGTGGCATCCGGACCCGCTCCAAGTTAACGATGGGCTGACCCTGACACGACGCCGGAAGGATAAGAACGCGCACGCCTTAGTAGAAGATGGAGAAACCACCTTTAATCCATCCTTAACGACACGTGGCCCCCTGTCGGAAGCCATACGCGTTTTCGTAGACCCCTCCGTACACAGCGCACCACCGGCCATAAGACAGAGACGCGGCCGCATAGTTGAAGAAGAGTCCTGTACTGTCTTCATAACCAGTCCACCCAAGAAGCGCAATATACCTGGGAACGTACCAGCCAATATTAACAGCTGCGCCTTCATATGCCACGGAAACGGATCACGTCCTCCGATACTCGTAAGACCATATGACATCGGAGCTACAACAACACGTCAGAACGACGTTATTGCCGCACTCCATACAGCACAGACGATCCCCCTCGACGTTCCGCTACACTTTATAATGGAATCAAACATACTAGCTAAAATCCTCATAGATCGCCTCCCCGAATGGGAAGATAGAGGCTGGATCGGTATTAGTGGAGCCACGTACCTACGCGCCCTAGTAAACAGACTACGCCAACGGTGCGCAGTAACCACCTTCCGAACCCCAGCATCGCAAGAAGAACAAAGCCTGCGAAATGACATAAGCGACCGCCTACAGACGAGATGGGCCAGAGCCCAACAGATACCGGTACCTCCGACGGAAGTCTCCGCCTTCAAATTATCAGGAGCAAGAGTTGCGGTACTCACCCAACAGATAGCCTACAAAGGAATACGCGCACACGCACGCACGCCGAAGCGTCCGTCAACTATGAGAACGATATCCTCAGTCTTAACACATGTCCAGAACAAGGAAGAAGCAGCCCTCGAGGCGCTGATATGGAGAAGTGGTCGACACAAAGACCTCGCACGCCCCATAGCAGACTTCCTATGGAAGAACTTGCACAAAGCCTATAAGGTTGGAACGTACTGGTCACACATCCCGAACTATGAAGACCGCGCCGAATGTAAACCATGCGGTGTCACTGAAAACATGGATCACATACTCCTCAAATGTAACGCAGATCACCAAGACACCTTATGGCGACTGACACTACGCCTTCTCCACAAGAAGGGCTTCACGAGGACCTCTCTGTCATACGAAGACATATTGTCCATAGGCCTCTCACCGAAGTCAAACAAGAACTCACCTATTCGCGAGCCTCATCTCCGTCTTAGGAGAATCGCTGTGTCTGAAACAGCCTATCTCATTTGGAAGCTCCGCTGCGAGCGAGTCATTAGGCATGAGGACGATCCAGAGTGGAGACACAACATACAATCTGTTATTGCGAAGTGGTTTTATACGATCAACAGACGACTAAGACTGGACATATGGAGCACCAAACGACGCTTTGGTCGCCTACAGAGAAACAAGAATTTAGTCCTGGCGACATGGACGAAAGTACTGGAAGACGAGCTTGCCCTTCCAGAAGATTGGACGACAGTCCACAGGTTTTTAGTGGGTATTGATCCGGAGCTCTGCAGCGATATAGACCCCGGATAGTCGAGTCCCACACTGACGGAATAGTCGTGCGTAAATGCATTTTTATCCTGGAAGCACGTGCGGTATCACCGCCTGCAGGCCGAGTAACTGGGCTTGACCAATTGTCAAGTGCCACTACTCGTTAAGGCCATCCAAAAAAAAAGAGCACGTTCTTCTTCGATCATTGTCAATGTTTCAATTGCTTCAAATCTATTGTTACTCAGGGCGGTACTCTCATTACGCCTACGAGCCGTCAGTGAATACGATTGATCGCCGTGGCCCTGCGGGCGATGCAGTAGCACGGTAGCCCAACGGACATTTTCCCAAACATTCACTCAGGCTCGAGCTTCCTTGTCTCGCTCAATTAGTAGTATTCAATCACCTAGCCTTGCTTGAGGTGAGTGCTTACTACAATCACGGTTATGTTATTCGCCAAGTGATGTCAACCGAATAGTACCGTTACGAGCTTGAATAGCCTTGAATGTAGCGGCCCCTACTACCACTCTCGCCACCGGGTCGGGCGGCGGCGCCAACGATGTTGTCGAGTTGAACTTCTTCTCGCATTTTTACCATTTCCCTTGGTCGTGAGTGCATTGTTATACGTGAGTTATTGAGGATCTAGTCATGACCGATGAATGGCTTGCAGCCTGTCTACAGGATGGAGACCTCGGTTATGGACGACGCTGTCCAGTTACTCACCAACTGCATGAAGGACCCAGCACGTCCGACGCGCTGCGCGAGAGTTCTCTGCGGGTGCCTCCACCTGCTGGACGGGAGAGACGAAGACGATTCGTGCTCGCTGGACGTTCATTTCCATGTACCTCGGCACGGAGAGTATGAGGACATCCGCAAGAAATACCCCCAGCATCTGGATGCGTGTGTGGCCTTCCTTAGCTTGCCGCGCTCGGACGAGGAGATGAAGGACTTTGACTCCTCCTTGCGCACATGCACATGCTCCATCCAATTGAGTGGCCCGGGGAAAGAGGTGGCTACTGAAGTGGTTGCACGACTCGTATGAGGCCTACCGTCTGTTCACCTTCGAAGACGTCGTCCAAATGCTTATCCGTCACCTGGCTGGCGTTCTCAACAATGCGGTCGAGTCGAAGACGGTTGGCGGCGTTACAGCCTTGCCAGGTCTCAGGAAGAACCGTAGAAAGCACACCGGTCTATGGCCTACGGACGCTAGCCAGCTTATGCCTTATGGGCTTGAGAGGTCTATCCAAGGGTACGCGGTGTCATTCCGGCTGTGCCGCCAGGACGGGTTCCCGGATATCCTCCTACTCTTCAACAAAATCCTCGCTATATGCGGTCGATCAGTTATCCCTCATCTCCTTCAGTTCGACTCTGCATGGCCCATGAGGATCACGGATCTCACCATCGCCTTCCTCCAGGAGCGGCGAAATACGCTTGGGAAGTTTGTCGACATAGACACCGAGTTGCGCTGGATGGAAGCACTCGCGCTGGTATTGGAGTTCTGCGCGAACGTGACGGACCTTAGCCAAGTGAACTCGACAGACCTCATGCTGTTCAAGTTCGTCCGCATGCTCACGTGGGTCAACACCATCCAGGAGGTCCGCAGCTGCGGCCTCCTCTTCGTATGCGACTGCATCATCAACGATCTCCCGCTGTTCCTCATCGAGACGAAGGTGTGGACGCAAGACCATATCAATCAGTTCACCGAGCTCTTCGCCCGCTTCGGCTCTATGTTCTACGCTGACAAGCCGGAGGAGGACCAGACGGTATACAGCCCGGAGATAGTCGCCAGGTACGCAGCAGCGAACGTCCGGCTTGACGATCCCCTGCATCTCGCCTTCGAAGGATTTGCCTAGGCCTCCAAGTTGCGTCACTGCTGCGCACCTCAGTGTCGCGAGACGTTCACCAGCGCGCGCCGGACGTTCGCTCGGTGTGGAGGCTGCGGTGTCTTGCGCTACTGCTCGCGCGAGTGCCAAACACGCGCGTGGAGGCACGCGGCGCTGCCGCACAAAGTTATCTGCCCAAAGCTACAGGTTCTGAAGGAGAGGTTGGGACTCCCGCAGGATCAGGGTATAGTCCCGCACTGCGATCGCCAGTCGTTTGTTGACTCGTGCAGAGCCGACGTAAAGCTCGGCGCTCTGACTCGCGATTGTGCAACGCATATGCAAGGCTTGGTGGCTGCACGGTCTTAAATTGGCGACCACACGATTCCAGAGGCATATCGGGCGTCACAGCAGAGGCCAATCACTGGCATCGTCGGGCGCGGTCAAGCCGGTGCGACGTTGCGTAACTCAGCTCTGCTGCGCGATGTCTCTTGATGTATGCTCCATTTATAGCTTTTCTATGCGTATCTACTGGAATACTTCTTTGCCAGTTGCATGGTGCCCGACTCATTTTCGCTCGCTCACCAGATCGACACTTCTACATCGATGCGATGGTGTTACGACCATGTACAGTAGTTAGTCTTTTTCATTTAGCTGGATGATGGGTGAATGACGCCGGTTCCCATAAGTCACATTGAGTCATGTACATACAGCCTGATGGCAGATGCTCACCGCGACGCGTCGGGGGCGTGTCCTATTCTGTCACATGGGCGCGATGGGGTTATGATAACACAAGCCAGTAAATGTTCAGTGATTTACATAAGTAATAAGTACTTAGCTTAGGTCAGTGGGATGTAAACTCCGATATTTGTGGCGTACGTTACAACATACTTACAAGTCAGCGTAACACCTAATTATGTCTTTGTCGGGCTGTCCTTGTCTCAACTTCTCCTCATCATCTGTTTACTTCGACTGAGACGACATGCTCTCCACTGGTGCAATTCTGCGAGTTTGCATGCGCAGAGACAGTTCAAAACACGTTTTGTACTGTGCGCGGCGGTTTCTTCAGACAGAGTCGCGGGAAGCATACCTCGAACCCGTGCAGACACACCCCGGAGTGTCATTTCTGTCGCTAAACCGACAACAGGCAAAGAACGCCATTTCTTTGCGATTGCTGAAGGTCTGTTGGTGTTCCAATGTCGCCGAAGACGCGCAGGATAACAGGGCCTCGTCGGGTTGCTAGGAGTTTCGTGAATGTCTGGACACGGTGCAGTTCGACAACAGGTACGTCTCGCAGTTGAGCGTCGTTCGTATGTTCTGTAATATGCCTACAGCGTTCGTGTCCTCATCGTGCGGTCCTCCACGCCTGGTTCGTTCTGTGCAGGGGCCGATCTCATCGAGCGACGCACGATGAGCAAACCCCAGGTGGACAAATTCCTTCTCGACCTGCGCGCCGCGCTAGGTGTCCTCGAGACCTTGCCCATGCCTACTATCGCAGCTATTGATGGGCCTGCACTGGGCGGAGGCCTTGAACTTGGCCTCGCCTGTGATCTGCGCGTCGCAGGTGAGCTGCATGGCCCTCTGTACGGCTGTGAGTGTCGAACGCCAATACAGGCCACTCTGTGACGAAGATCGGACTTCCTGAGACTCGACTGGGGATCATTCCCGGCGCGGGCGGCACACAGCGGCTCACTCGCCTCCTTGGATTGTCGAAGGCTAAGAGCCTAATTTTCACGGCCAAAATGTTGACAGCTACGGAGGCCCTGGAGTTGGGTATGTCGGTCCATTCAAGTAGGTGCTATGCATACTGAGTTAGCCAGGCGCTGTGGACTACGTATCTGCTCCCGAGCAGAGTGCAGTCGACCGTGCGCTGGCGTTGGCGAAGGAAATGAGCTCGAATGGTGTGTGTTCTATGTTTCATTGTTCGAAACCCCATCTGACCATCTTCGAGCGCCACTCGCCCTTCGTGCGGCAAAGCAAGCGATCTCGCGAGCACCTGAGTTGAGTCTGGAAAGCGGTAAGGCTGTCCTACCCTTTACTCCCGCACCGGTCCTCATGACGATCCAGGGCTTGATTTCGAGCGCGCAGCGTATGAACCGCTGTTGAAGACGAATGACCGCGTCGAGGCGCTCAACGCATTCAAAGAGAAGCGCCTACCTGTGTTCAAGGGCGAGTGAAGCAAGTCGGGCTTCAGGCGTTCATATATCAACTACCGTGAGCTACCGCGTGCGAGACATCGCTCATGCGATGCAAGTGTGTTGCCATATTCACTGTATCCTCCCACACAGTATTTCGTGCTGAACATTCGGGGGACACCGTGGCGGTTCGTGGATGCTTCGTTCTGCGGCGTGGGGCACCAACCCCAATGGTCGTGGTACATGGAGCTGCTTTACACATAACAATGCTGTACTGTTAGGCAGCCGGGCACCTTTGGACTGTGTATAATACTTACTTATGTCAGCTATGTACAGTATGTACTCACTGGGCGGCAATGTATGTAATCTGGATCAAACACTTCTCGAGGTTAGAAGTAATGAGACAACACTCCGCGACGCTACATCGTACCACATTCATCTCATGTATCTCGGGTTGCGGTTCCTGGAATCTTATCAAGCAACATGCCATTCAGTGCAGAATGCCAAAAGCAGAGTAGAAGCAGTCGTTTACAGAGCGAGCCAAGAGCGAGCCGTTTCAAATCCGCCGCTCTCATCACCGTCCACCACGTAACAGACGACAATGTGGCCGTTCGACTCGTATCCAGAGATCAAGCTCGATGACCTTCTCGAGCAGTACGACTTCATCGTTGCCGGTATGTGACAATGACTTCGAGCGACCGGCCAACTCCTGACTCGGATGAGCCTCAGGTGGAGGCACCGCTGGTTGTGTGCTGGCCAACCGACTCAGCGCGGACCCCTCTCATACTGTCCTGCTCATCGAGAGGGGGCCACGAGCGGACTCCTGGGCAGCCCGTGTACCCCTCTTCTCGTCGGACTTCGCGTCGGATGGCTCGCGAACGTTGAAGCGACACTCCGAGATGCAGACCGAGCTCGGAAGACCACTCCTCCTGTTCTCGGGCGGAGCCCTCGGGGGGACCTCACGCGTCAACCAGATGCTCTACGCGCGTGGACTCCCTGCGGAATACGATAGCTGGGCGGACGCAGGGCGGAAGGGGTGGGGGTGGAAGGACGTCGAGCCGTACTTCATCAAGTCGGAGCGAGCGCTGGATTTGAAGGACGAGGGCGTGCATGGGATGGACGGGGAGTGGAGGAACAGGAGCTTGGGCGACTTCCAGTTCAAGGGTTTTAATCAGTACGTTCGTCCTTCAATGTCACTCAAACCCCGGCTGAGCGAGGTGCTGCAGCGCGGTCGCAGCGTCAGAAGCCATCGGCCTACCCTACATCCCCGACATTAACTCGCCCACTCATCCGCCATTTGGGTGCGGTCGCCTGTACTTCACCATCGACGAGAAGTCGAAGCGCAACTCGTCTTACCATGCCTTTCTTCCTGCGCCCCTCGCCCGCGCTCGGCAAGGCAACCTACACATATGTACGAATGTCCTCGTCGAGAAGGTAGATGTGGAGCGTCTTCCGGACGGCCGCTGTGTCGCACGGGGTATAACGCTCCTCTCGCAAGCTGGTCCGAACCCGGAGAAGAGGAAGCATGTCCGTGCTGCGAGAGAGATTGTACTCTCGGCGGGTCCATTTGGGAGCCCTCACATCCTTATGTTGAGGTAGGTTGCTGTTGCACTTACTAGACAGTGTACTGAATCGCGTAATCAGTGGCATTGGTCCCTCGGAACACCTCAAGGAGCACGACATCCCTATCGTCAAAGACCTCCCAGCCGTGGGCTCCAACCTTGTGCGTGATATCTTCATCTCTGCTGTTGTGATCAATGACTCACAATGTGAGCAGGAAGACCACTTCGGAGTGTCTGTGGGATTCTTTATCCCCGTGCAAGATTCGCTTGTTTCGCTACGGACACAGCCGTTGAGGTTCCTCATCGAGCTGATCAAGTACCTCGTCTGGGGCACGGGCTGGTTGCTGGGGCCTGTGCTACAGCTTGCCATCTTCGCAAACTCAAGAATGCTCGACAGCACGGGAAAGCCCACTAAGCTTGAGAAGGCTTCGGGAGAGAAGCTGCCCGACATCGAGATTATGCCGGTAAGCATGCATTTCCCTCTTCGGACCCGGTTCTCACCATCGTTCAGATGGCGTACGCAAGCCATGACGAGCCCACAACGCTCGACCGAGGCATGTTCAGTTTCCTGAACGTCCTCCTGCACCCAAAGAGCAAGGGCAGCGTGCGGTTATCCTCCGCCGACCCTCGTGCACAGCTCATTATCGACCCACGCTATCTGTCCCACCCCGACGACTACGCGCCGCTGCGGGCGTCACTCAAGCTCAGCCTACGCCTACGCGACGAGATGCGTGCTCGCGGGTATGGCCTCGAGGACTGGCTGCAGCCGTCGAGCGAGAGCGACGCGGACCTGGACGACTACATCCGGCGGTATAACCGGACGACGTACCACTACTCGTCGACGTGCCGGATGGCGCCCGAGGACGACGGGGAGGGCGGAGGGGTCGTGGACGATGAGCTGCGGGTGTATGGCGTGGAGAACCTGCGTGTGGCGGACACGTCGATCTTACCGCGCGTGCTGGGGACGCATCTGCAGGCTCCCGCTGTGGCGATTGGTGAGAAGTGCGCGGATATGATGCTCAAAAGCAAGCAGCAGTGAATGGTGTGATGCACTTACTAGTTCTTGTATATCGCTCCCATCTATCATATTGCTTAAGCTATGTCGACCCGTCTCGAAGCCCGTCAAATAGAAAAGTCTCCGTAGCATATTATACATTTATCGATGGAAATGCCTCTATCCTGACACTTGTGTGACCACGCCTAAGGAAGGCGTCACTGTGTATCTACGTGCAGTCACCTCTGTACTTGACTCCCATCGGTCGACGTATCTGAGTACCGTGCGTAAGGCGGCGGGGGTGTACGATTGCTACGGACGGAGGAGCTAATGGTCATGGTCTCATATACGGGCGCATCGTGGGAGACAAATTCGACGCCGGGAGGTCCACCTGCAAGGCGAACACCTCCATCCTCTGTTGGCCGGCGGGTACGTGGATCCGGTAGCGTCCCTGGACTGATCCTAGCCCACATAGACAACGTCCTCGATGCCCGTTCCTGTGCACGTCCCTGCGCTTGGTCTCTGGGCGGACCCCCTTCGCGCCCCTGTTCGATGACCATGAGTGACCGACGAGGCGCAGGGGCCCATCCTTGAGCTAGCCTTGTAGATGACACTACAGGCCAATTCGCGTCCAGCAGAGACGTCAGACTCGCGGGGCTCAAGGGCGATGGAAGGGGTTGCTCGGGAATCGACGCGGAAGACATCCTAGACATTCGGGTCGCCCATGATTCCTGTGTAGGCGTCGGCAGAAGTAAATCGGGATATGGAGGTACGATCAGGACCTGCTGGGGCATTCGGGGTATGTCGCAGGAGAGCGGGCCGAGAAAGTGGGGTAGCGATACTCTGCTTGTATCCACGTGCGTGCTCAAGCCGCCACCGTGATATGACGCGCTATTTCTGAGCGATTCGTACTTGTCGGTACCACTGATGTAGTAAGCGGACGCCAGGTGAGCATAATCTAGCCATCGTGGATGTATCAGTCAGACACCTGCGTTGGAAGTATCACGTATCTCACCGAGTCGGTCAGATTTGGGTCCTGACGCAGTTCTCCGGTGACGGATTCTTTTACGTGCCCACCACATCGCTGCAGTGACGAGGAGTACACCCACAAAAATGCCGATGATGATTGGCAGTATGTTCCTCTTCGTATGACTGCTTGTAATAGCACCGGTGGCAGGTGTCTGACCTGGCCTCAACGAGGTGACCGAAGTGCTCGATGGAGATATGACACTGATCGACGATTCGAGAGTCGATTGCTGAGAGATCCCGGAATCTGAGGACGTGAAGGATGTGGAGGATTGGATAGCTGACGATGAAGTGGACGATGATGTAAGAGTCGTCGTGGTTTGCGACGTGACAGACGGATTTGGCAGGACCACCCTTTGGGTCGATGTCGAGGTAGAGTTGAAAGTCGAGGAAGTCAAAGATGGACTGGGCATCTGGGTAGGTTGGATTATATTGCCTGTTGACATCGGGAGAGATTCTGCTATGGATGAGATCTGACTAGTCGACCGCGTACTGGTCAAGCTCGACAGACTCGAAATCTTCGGCATTGACGACGATACCGCTCCAGGATTGGTGCTTTCACTTGATTGTATCGGCGCGATCGATGTCACCGTACTGGAAGTAGATGACCAGGTAACTGTGTAGAAGGTTGTGGTATAACTTGTAACAGTCACTACCTGCCTCTCCGCAAGAGTGACTTCGACTGCTGGGTGGATTGTTGCCGACTGGTGTCCACATAGTTGTTTGTCTAATCGCTGCGGGGAAGAGGTAGCGGAATGCTGCGCGTCTAACCGAGCAAGCGAGAGACAATTGCAGTGCTCAGGCCAGCGAATGCGACTATCATGACCTCCGGCCATAGTCTTGCCACGGACATCAACAATCGAACATCGTGATATCCCTTGGTCAAGTGGATGCCGCCGTGTCTCGCTTTTCTGTGGAGCGGAGGATGAATCGATATCCCCCAAGGGTACGAGGGCAAGAGTGTCGGAGTGTGACACGAAGTCTAGTCCGTGTGGCATCAGCAAGCAATACTCGGCAAGGGAAACTAGTGAGGTAAAGACTCGCACCTTCAGGAGCTTGTCGACCCTTCCTGTACGTCGCTGAGGTTCTTCTTTGGAGACTGCCACTGTCCCGATGGCCAGCAACAGCCATATCGTCTTGCCAGGGCGCTCTGTTGCTAACCAGAGCAGGGGACTCTGCGAGACGACTCCTACAGCCGCCGAGGAAGGGTAGCGGGAGGATAAGTAGAAGAAGCACGATCATGGCGCCCCGGAAGTCAATAAATAATCGAGCCAGCCCTGGAAAACATGCGAATGAACGTCAAATGAAGGAGGGGTGAGAGGGTGGGGTCTGCGATGAATGAATGACGACTGACATGCCTATAGAGCTAGCTGTCATAGATACAAGGTACATGATATTGTTATCAACAGATTCTGGACGTACATCGAAGATGAAATCACACCGTGGAGTTGTGACAGTTGGAGTGACGACTGTGAGGGCTCGACAAGGCTGATAAGTGAACGGCACTGCACCTCGCGTTAAAGTACGCTGGTGTGGGACTGTCCACCGGTCGTGATGCAAATGTATCACATCTACCCAGACAGTCAATTGGACTGTCTCGGCGGCGAGCGATATCCTGCGTTGTTGCACTAAGGCACCCAAGATGAGGACATCAACTGTGAGGACAGCATCGGGAATTCATCGTAGATGGGCCCGCATCACACAGTGAACATGCCACCAAACGCATCTAGGTGGCAAGATATCAATCACGGAGCCGGTCGACGATATACCAAGAGATACGTATGCTCTGTTTACAGCAAGAACCACTGTTTCAATCTTCTCTGAGCACATTCGCAAACAGACAACGTACTGCACCTGAGCCGTGATACGAACCGAGACTTCCTCGAAGAGATGGACAAGGAGCGGCAACCCAGCTCACGCCCGACAAAGGAACACTTGCATCCCGTTCATCTATCACCCGCGTTTCGTCGCGGTCGTTCTGCGAAGACGCATAGGTTGGATTCGCGCGAATGAATAGTCCGAGGCTGATCTTCATGCCAAAAGAATTCTGACGGATTATGGTCGAATTCGATCCTTTGACACCGGATGCGATATGGCAACGATATGGTCACTGATCCCAGAGCGCGAGGTTCATCACGCTTCCATAGTGGGTGCCGGACCGGCCAACGAGCACGAATTCTCGACGGGGGGCTCTTCGGGTGGTTCTTAAGCAATGAGCAGTGGCAGGGCCAGCTGGAGGCTGTACAAAGGCCCGTTCTCTGTGCGCCTGAATGTATCTGAGAATCGATTCAGCCGGAACTCGTCATACATTAGTGTATAAATTACCACAAGGATATAGCCACGTCGCACTGTGTGCCCGACTGGTATCCATAAATCCTGCAGCAGACGGCAATGCAGTCGCAGATGCATCCACTGACTGTATCCACAACGAGGCTTCGATACTTCGGCTCTGAAAACCTTCGGAATAGGTGTCGGATGTCGTCTTGAGGATGCTCAAAGAAATTGAGGAAATAACCAAGAACGGAGAAAGTGAGTGAGATCGGCTGGCTGTGCAGCCACATTAGAGCTACCCGCAGATACCGACGTTTGTAGTATAGGAGGATGAGTCTGTAGTCAGTGATGTCGATGTACGGCAACGAGGAAGCCACCGGCAGACTCTGACGTGTCAGTTTGTCCCCACGTCGACGTGCACGAAGAAGTAGATGGGGCCCTCGGTGAGGAAGATGAATGGATCTGGGCAGATGCCGAAGAGAGCTGATGTGAAGGAGCTTCAATCGTAGCAGTTGCTGTGGATTACCGCGTAGTCAGCCTTAGAACTGTGAAACACCAACGACTGTTCCGAAGTAGATGCTCACCGCGAAGTTCAAGATGCAATCCTCCTCTTACTCTTCTTCCTCTTGTCAGTGCGTTGGTCTGCAAAACGCGAATTGTCTGGAACAAGTGAGATGTTGTAGCGAAACCGCGTCTGATTAGCCTGTTAGTGATACTAGCCTCGAGCTTACTATCGGCTAGACTTGCAAGACTCGAGACAGAGTCCTCTTAGGCACTTCAGTCCACGGCAACTGAGACCCACGAGGCTCCCAACGCAGCACAAAGTACAACCTTCTCTCTTGTAGCTCGTCCAGAACCACTGCCATAGAAGAGGATATTGGATGCCAACTCGAACATACACTGCATGATGATTTCACCATGATTCCTGTCATGGAACCACATAGCGAAGCAAATATAGCTACCGTCACGGTAGTAGTGATCAATAGAGATGCAGTCAGAGAGATGGACGGTCATTGGACGACGCAGATGAAGATGAATGCAGGTGTCCTCCGGTGCGATGCGGGGGCGGTGTCACGTCGGCAGATGCCGACTGATGCCGTACGTGTACTACTACTACCTTGCGGGTGGCTAACTGAAATGAATACCTCCTCCTCCAAATCTAAGTACTTTAGCTATGGTCATGAGAAGGACACATAACGCTGGGGCTTGTGGATTGGAAAGGATCGTGGCACTGTACTTGAGGAGACCAGGACGATAATTTACATTTTTGATATGAAACACCCGACGAAGCGTTCGGACGTCCTACTCCGAGTCATTTAACATATCGACAGACACCGTGGCCAGAGAAGTGTGCAGCACAGAATACAAGGCACGGCCACTTCACCGCAGTCCCGCCGTATGTACACCTCCGCCTGTATTCGACGAAGGGGCTAGATGGCATGGCAAAAGACAGCTCCAGGTCCGGGTTCAACCGATCCGACCGGCGTATGCTGCATGGCACCTTCTCGACTTTTCGACGTCGGAGACATGACCGGCCACCACATGTCAGCCTGCGTAGGTGACTCCGAGTCTGAGACCCATGGTACATGAGATTGCTGCACATCGGCCGACAGCCCTGTCGTATATCCCGGATTGACTGGAATCGAAGTAGGCTGCCAGGGCCGCACGGGCTCCAGCAAATCGTGTGACACATACGGAGGCGTCATGTTCAGCTGAGCGGCGGGTACCGGGGGAGGAGATACTGTGTGGGCAATCCACGGCCTGTTCGCGGTGCGGAATGGATTCGTGGACGCTCGCCGCGGGACCGCCGATCTCGCAGCGGACGCGTCCTGGATCCCATCATACGCATATTCCAACACGCCACCCGTACTCTTCCTGTCGGGCTGACGGAACGGGTTGTTGGACACTCCCCGAGCCTGCACGACCGGAACCGCAGCTGACGCATACTGGTTCGGACTCGCATACTCCACCTGTGCGCTCTGCGCAGGCCAATGGAGCGTAGTCGGGCTCGGCGCCAGACGCGCTGGTGGCACAGGTGAAATTGCCGCGAATCGGTTTCCTGTCAGGACCGCCGCCGTTGCGCTGCCGTTGACGTCCCATGTGGCTCCGTCGCTGTTGCTGCTGAGGCGGGACAGGCGGGCAGGCATGCAGTCCTGCCCGGTAGCTGGTCCTCCGTGGCCGGTTGGCGCGATTTGCGCAGAGTCGGTGACATCTGGATCTGCGGGGTATGATGCGTCTGCGAGGGCCTTCGCGAGTGCAGGATACGATGCACGATCACCAGCGCACATAATCGTAGGCGAGTGCGCAAGCTCGTGGTTCGACACCACTGACCCTCTGAACGTGTGACCATCGTCTGTTGAAGTTCCATTAGCAGTATTTCACCTGCACACAGAGCGCATCCTTACCGGAAGAACTTGCGTGTTCCAGTCCCACGGACCCGAGGCGTCGCCTCCGGAGCCACCAGATCCCAATGACGAACATAACCAGAGCCAGCACAGAGGCTAGGACAGCGATTGCGATGATCCACTTCTTGCTTGTGGTGTGGGTCGCACTGCTAGCGGATCCATCTGTTACCGAGCGCGAGGGTACTGGACTGACGAGAATGGGGGACATAGCCGCCTTGCTCGTGAGTGCCGTGGAAGACGCAACGAAGCTGCTGTATATTGAGAAGGAAGACGAAGATGAAGGACTCTCTGTTTCGGTGAATGAGGTGGAAGGCAGAGGTCCTTCGAATGTATCACTCGTACTGTCGCTGGTCGATACTGATGCAGTCGACGAGGCAGAACGTGTTGCTGGCGGATTACCGCCAGAGGTGGGAGGAGATGCATCTCCTGAAGTGAACGTGGTCGGATTTACGGATTCGGAAGATTGTGCTCCTGAGGTTTGCGTGACGATTGTGCTAGGATCTGACGAGACTGAATCGGTGGCTGTCGTCGTCGGGAAATTGGTGTTTGAAGTCGTCGTAACTGAGAGCCCCGATGACGCGGTATTTGTCCCCGACGGCGTGGTAGACTGGGTACCTGGAGGATTGGGACCAGCGGGGGCCGTTTCCGGCGATAGTGGTGAGGTCTCAGCTAAGAACACCGCTAAAAACACGAATGTCAACATCTACTTCAATGCTACACTTGCAAAATAGGCTACGTACAACTGCCATCATCCTCGACGACACCTGGTGGAGTCTGTGTACCACTCGAAGTTGGCGTGGACACACTTGTTGGTGTCGTGCCCGCAGTGACATACGAACTGCCTGAATACGTACTACTCGAAAGACTTGAAGTATTTAGTGGCGCTGAAAAGCTAGACTTCGAGATGGAGTCGGCTCGCGCAAACGGGTGAGTGGCGCACAGAGGATGGAAGGACGTGTACAAGACAAAGAACGCGAAAGGGATAAGGAGCATGTTATCAAACGTTGAAGCGTCCTATAGCGATGCAGTAATAGTCCTAGATGTCAGACAGATGAATGACCCAGGGACACAGGAAGACTGACACCGCTTGCGCTATCGAAAGAAGAAGGCCAAATGACTACGGACAGCGCAGCTCAGCTCGTCCGTTGCGAGAAACAGGAAGAACCTGCAGATGAAGATGAGCGGGAGGGTACAAGAAACCAGGGAGCCCGTAGGGCATACGGCAGGGAGCACAGCTTCATGAAGGATATAGCCCGTATTTCCCTGCCCGTTATGAATGATACATCGCGCGGCGCGAGATGGACCGCTGAAGGTTGACGTACAGGCCCTAGATGCAGACATGCCGTTATACATACTCAACGAGGCTGTGTCACTGTACGTGTTCGCCGCGATGTTGACAGATTGCAGAAGGGCCGTGAGCGTGAATCACCATGTGCGGTCGAGCGTCGTCCTGGGAGGATAGAACCCTGTTGTAAGTATCAGCAAATTGAAGTCGCCTTGCAGTATCCGTCTTACCACAATACCTAGCCTGTGTGTTTGACTCAACAGTTGCGACTTCAGCTTCATGAGCAAAAGACGTGCTGTCACGCCCATTACACAGTGCCCCGCGACGATTTAGGACGGCCTGAATGCGACAGACGCGCGTGCGTCGGGCGCATCATAGCACCTTAATAGACCTGGACATGTTGACGTCGGACCTCGAACTTTGAGTGAAATGACTCGAAACCATCCTGACAACCTCCTCGACTGGAACAATTGGCGGCGCACACCATGTTGCTAGGCTTCCGGGAAAGTGCGTCGATCTTGGTATTATTGCTCCGATATCGCCGCTGTGTTTACCCCCGTAGTGTCAAGGTAGTATGTTGTTTCAGATGGCCGCAACATCGAGGGCAGGCCAAGTCTGGGGTCTGTGCTGATGTCGACCGGCGGAGTGTGACGATCACCTCGGAAAAGGAGCCCTATGAATTTGGAAACAGCTGAAATCAGCACCGCAGATGGTATGCAACGCACGATGTACCGCAGCTCGCACGCATTGCATTGTACACGACTTGAATTAAGCATTAGGTGAGTAAACAAGCTTGGTGGTCGCACTACAGGTACGCCCTATCATGTGCAAAATTTGAGAGCACGGGCATGGTATGCGCATCATCGGGCTTGGACGTGCTGCTCGGATGTGCTCTCTGACTTTTGCGTGGGAGGAGTTATGTGCCGGGGTCGCGGAATGCGTGCTCGGTTTGTCCTCTATCCGAGTCTGCGGTAGGCGGGGATCTTGCAGGGTGGCTTTCAGTTGCAGGTGGCCTTGAAGTTGCGGCGCCGAACACCCGGACCAGCCGTGAGCAGCGAACGTGATACGGGGTCAGCACTTGTCCCCGGACCCGGAAAGCCAACGTGAAGCCCGTCTCCCGGCTCCGTGGCCGCACACTGGCGGGCATTGCCCCGAAGGTGAGAGGCGGTCGTGGCGACTTCGTGGCGGCGTTGAGAGAGACAAACTTGATGGGCGCTCGCACCGAGTTCTCTGGGCTATTGGTCTAGTCTCGATTTATAAAGTCTGTGGGATGCAAGCAGAGGAAGAGTTTTCTGACCGTTATCCCCAGGCTGTCGGTGGACCTTGGTGGCCGCCACCGACTGTGGCTGACATCCACGGCCTGAGATGCGTTGCTGGTCGTCGCCGGACGTCGGCAGCCGGCGAACTTTTCAGCATATATGCAAGGCATACGAAGGCTTGTACAGATTCTCGGGTTGTATGACCTTCGGGTCAGCACGATATAAGCACGAGGTTCGGCATTGCGGGAACAGCACCGTATTTCTCTCTTCAACAATGTGATATGAAACGTACAAGACATGTACTGTACATATCGGGCAAACAGAAACACATATCAAGGGTAATAACTCACAGCAACATCATCCAGAACGTCGTATCTGACGCATACATCCACGTCTCCAGGCTCCTCCTCGGAGCCTGCCCCCAAGGCTCAGGCTTGGAGGTGCACCGAACTCTTCGCGAGGGCCGGGGCCCCGCCGCCGGAACCATGTAAGAACCATGCGTCAGATGTTGCAATCGATGGCGTTGGTCAGTCAGCGCGTTCACATCGGCTGAATGGGCTAGCAAGGATGCGGAAAGTGGACAGCAAGTCTAGCCGAACGTTGCGGCGCGGGCCAGGAGGGCAGGTTGTTGCCGTCGTCGGGTTGGACAGCGAGGAGGCGATGGTGGACGGTGGCAAGACGCGTCGCGGTGGCTTGGCTGGTGTTCGCAATTCCGGTGGCGGGGGTCACGTGGTGAAGATAACGTCACTGAGTGGGTGTCCTTGATCAGCAGCACGATAAGGCGTCATAAATACCTTCGCTGCAGCCCATTCTCGCTCGCATCCTCGCCCACAACCTCTTCCCCTACCACCACCACCTCCGAACGCACGACTACACCATGTCTGGCCAGCACCAGCTCCCCGATCTCCCGTACGCGTACGACGCGCTCGAGCCCTTCATCTCCCGCCAGATCATGGAGCTTCACCACAAGAAGCACCACCAGACCTACGTGACCGCCCTCAACGCTGCCGAGCAGGCGTACGCGAAGACCTCCTCCCCTAAGGAGCGCATCGCCCTCCAGGCCGCGCTCAAGTTCAACGGTGGTGGTAAGTCGGTTCCCAGCCACTCCCCGAACGCCCGTGTGGCTGAGCGATAACGCGTGCCAGGACACATCAACCACTCCCTCTTCTGGAAGAACCTCGCGCCCTCCGCCTCGGAGGGCAAGGGCAACGGCGGCGTCCTCAAGGACGGCCCCCTCAAGACCGCCATCCTCGAGACCTTTGGCACCTTTGACCAATTCAAGAAGGAGTTCAACACCGTGACCGCTGGCATCCAGGGCTCCGGCTGGGGCTGGCTCGTGAGTGTCCTATCTCTTGATAGTGAGAGCAGTACTCGTGGGCGGCGCGAACGAGGAATGGACGGTGGTCTGGGCGGGCATGACGCGCTGCCTCATGTCTGAGGAAGGCATCGATGTTCGGAACGGTCCAGAACTCTGTTTCCTGGCGGTCACGCCTCCGTTTGATTGTCCAGGGCGCACCTTCTGCTCCAGAAGTTGCGGAGCGTCATAGCTAGGTATTCGTGAAGCAGATTCAATTGCTCCGAATCATGTCCTCCCGGGGCCAGCCTGATTCAATTCGTCTCTGTCGCTCCACCGATACGCTCTCTTCGCTTATTCTCCGTCCTATTCTCTCATACTAACGCACGCTTTCGCAGGGCGTGAACCCCGCCAGCAAGCGCCTCGAGCTCGCCACGACCGCGAACCAGGACCCGCTCCTGTCGCTCGTGCCCGTCATCGGCGTCGACGTCTGGGAGCACGCGTTCTACCTCCAGTACCTTAACGTCAAGGTCGACTACCTCAACGCCATCTGGAACGTCGTCAACTTTGACGAGGCCGAGAAGCGCTACCTCGAGGCGATCGGCGGCTCGAAGCTCTGAGTGCGTCCTGTGCGCGTGTGTTGACGCGAAGAAGAGAGGGAACATGACATGTACGATGAAGCAAAGTGGAAAACAGTGCAGTGTATAGTGTTTGTGCAATGACGTGTTTTTGCCCTTGTTGCCATTTCCGCTGAGCGCGTGAGCAACTACGACCGGCTCGCCCATCCAAGCAGCCTCTTCGCTGGGAAGTCAATTGGTAGCCTCACATTGTGAACAACATACGTGGGCGGCTCGCATCAACGTTGCGCAACATTTTCAGAGGCAGGTTTGTCTGTCAGGGGGGAGTTGCGGTGGCGCCACAACGCGGGCGCTCACAAAACTCGGTGGCGACCACACTGCGTGAAACTTTCGATCCTTCGAACGAAAGATTCACTGCGGACAAAGCGGATTGTGGGAAATTCGAACATCGGCCTAACATAGGCAGAACGAGTATATCATCTCGCGGCTAATTACGGGGACCTAACATAGCGTGACAAATTGATTTGGTATTACTATGTTCGGGACCTGACAATTGAGGCTAACGATGGTATGTTCAGTGGCATAACATAGGTCACGTTTTCGCCGCGATGTTAGGAGCCCGCACAAAGGTGGAGCATGCCGCATGTTAGGCCAATGCTCGTGCGTTGTGAGGAGCCAGCCCATGGGCTCCGCGAATGTCTCAGAACATGGTTAGAACGTGTATACCATTTAGAATCTCGAACATTAAGTATTGACGGTAACCGACCATTGGAAGGCACGGCTCCTGATTGGCTGGCTTACAATGTTCGGGCTCGGACCATACAAAATATTTGGAATTGATAAGATATACACGTTCTCGCTATGTTCGGACCGTGTCAGCACTCCGCACCATGACGCATGGTCGGGTTCCTCACAACGCAGGAGCATTGGCCTAACATGCGGCATGCTCCACCTTTGTGCGGGCTCCTAACATCGCGGCGAAAACGTGACCTATGTTATGCCACTGAACATACCATCGTTAGCCTCAATTGTCAGGTCCCGAACATAGTAATACCAAATCAATTTGTCACGCTATGTTAGGTCCCCGTAATTAGCCGCGAGATGATATACTCGTTCTAACTATGTTAGGCCGATGTTCAAAATTCCCACAATCGGCTTTGTCCGCAGTGATTGAGAAAGAGGTATTAATCTTCCCACGATATTTCGACCAATAAGATTGAGAAATCTGGTTTAAAACAATAACATGAACCTCTGGGAAGTGATTGTTGAGAATGGATACAAGACAGATTGTGGACTCAAATGTCTTCAATCCCTCTATAATAGTCTGTTGCAAGTGATTGAGTTGATGGAATAAGATACTGCCCCAATACAACACATTCCCATTATTCTAGAAGGATAACAGACAAATCTGGATATTGCTGTCTTTGACATTTATGTAACAACTTGCTGTGGATTGTGAACATGAGATTAGAGACAATTCAAGCTGCTGGGTCTTTAAAATTTCTTGGACAAGCCTAGAAGAATTGTGGATGAGCTGTGGCAAAACAACCATGCCAGTGAGAGCAGATACTCATAGGCATAAGTCATGGCCTTTTTATTCCTTTTCTGAAATCTGACTACATGAAGGATTGATAACATGTTTTCTATCACCATTTGTACATATACAGCTGACAAGTAAGAGAGAGATGAGTAACTGATTGTGAGAGATGCTTGCCTCAACACAGTTTCAATACTTTGACAAGTTTTCATCTGCAGCAGGTTTTCAACAATTCATGATTCATAATATCACAAAGAGATCAGAAAGCATTCTTATCAATGTGATCTTCCATCATATGTCTCAGATAGTTGGACAAGGATTGAAGAACAGAACTAGGAGGATTGCAAACAGATTGTCACACTTGGTGTGACAATCCTTTTGCAACAAAGCAGATATGAAAGTATCAGAAACCAATCACAGTCCTGCTTGCACTATGCATATATATGGCTACATAGCTGTACAGACAGCCATGCACAGATGATGAATTCTGAAGGGACTGTGATTGGTTTCTGATACTTTCATATCTGCTTTGTTGCAAAAGGATTGTCACACCAAGTGTGACAATCTGTTTGCAATCCTCCTAGTTCTGTTCTTCAATCCTTGTCCAACTATCTGAGACATATGATGGAAGATCACATTGATAAGAATGCTTTCTGATCTCTTTGTGATATTATGAATCATGAATTGTTGAAAACCTGCTGCAGATGAAAACTTGTCAAAGTATTGAAACTGTGTTGAGGCAAGCATCTCTCACAATCAGTTACTCATCTCTCTCTTACTTGTCAGCTGTATATGTACAAATGGTGATAGAAAACATGTTATCAATCCTTCATGTAGTCAGATTTCAGAAAAGGAATAAAAAGGCCATGACTTATGCCTATGAGTATCTGCTCTCACTGGCATGGTTGTTTTGCCACAGCTCATCCACAATTCTTCTAGGCTTGTCCAAGAAATTTTAAAGACCCAGCAGCTTGAATTGTCTCTAATCTCATGTTCACAATCCACAGCAAGTTGTTACATAAATGTCAAAGACAGCAATATCCAGATTTGTCTGTTATCCTTCTAGAATAATGGGAGTGTGTTGTATTGGGGCAGTATCTTATTCCATCAACTCAATCACTTGCAACAGACTATTATAGAGGGATTGAAGACATTTGAGTCCACAATCTGTCTTGTATCCATTCTCAACAATCACTTCCCAGAGGTTCATGTTATTGTTTTAAACCAGATTTCTCAATCTTATTGGTCGAAATATCGTGGGAAGATTAATACCTCTTTCTCAATCTTTCGTTCGAAGGATCGAAAGTTTCACGCAGTGCCACTTTAGCGACGGCCGCCTTCCTTTCGTACTCATTCATCCCGTGTCCCAAAGTCTAAGAAGCATGACGCAGCCATATACTGCGCTGAGCTGTGATGATACGCACGTCGAATCCGTCGTCGCCCGCAAGTGTACAACCACAACCTGGTCGTCTCGCAGGCGGTGCAAAGTCACGAAGATCCTCGCAAGGACAGAGTTCCGGTACTTACGTTGATGTCTTGTCTCCAATGGGGCGGTGGTATACGAAGATGGTCCCACGGACTGGGAGCAGACCCCATCTCGGTGAGCTTTGCCCGTCGCCATCGTTCGAATTGCTCAGTCATAAAAGGCTTCCGTTGTGACGGTTGTTAGTGCGCAGATATGGCAGCTGCGAGCGGATACTTCAGTGTTCTCCGGTGGCACTTGGTTGCATGCAGATCATGACAATGTAGGACGAGAGCTACGTCTTCAGGTTTTGGCGGAATGCGGGTGAGTTTTGGCTGCGCATCGGAATCTGCTTCAGCCATTTGCTCTCGACATGGCACCAAACACTTCTGAAAGTCCCGTCCAAGGCGGAGCTTCTGTCCTGCAGCTTCTGTGATTGATAGCTGGTTCATCGTTGGAACAGGATGAGATCATCTTGCGAATTTCTAACATGGTAGCTCTGCGCCTGCTTACACTGGAGGAAACAACTCTCGTGACGGCAACCATCTATCAGTCTGGACGTCCAGTTCCTTTGAAGGCACTTCGAGGCTTGATTCGGGTGGGTGCGCGCCATTGCTTGATACGGGTATGCTGATACATAATCCGCCGAACAGTGTGGCGCATGCCCAGTGCCAGTTATGGTTCAGCTGGGCGAAGTTGCGTAGCGTATGTATCCGGCGACGCGGTGCACAAGGACCCCTCACGCCCCCACACCCCTCGTGTGTTCTTTCACCTTCATTCTTCCGCTCGTTCTCTACGTTCGTTGCACGTGCTGTGGGCAGAATGGCTTGCCTGCTACCTATTCGAATGTTCTTGGTATTCATGCGGCGCATTTTGGTGGGGGCGTCGGTCGCGATCATAGTGCTACCCGCCGTCTGTACCCGGGGAACTGCTGTCGTTAGTCCTGCGGAGACGTCGACAGTTGAGGCTTTGGTGCCTACGACGCCAGCCATGGGAGCCTGGAGACCTCACGTCTCTGCTAGATCTCGTACGTGTCCTGGCTCCAGCATGCGAGTTAGTGCCTGACGCGAAGTAGTCACAGATGCATCCACAAGTACAGTGACACTCTGTTCCGGAGACTACAACGACACTTGCACAGTGACTGGGTCGACCGTCCCGGGTGGCAATTGGTGGGGGAACACGGGTGGCAATTGGTGGGGGAACACGGGGAGTACGCTATCGCCCATCGCAACTCTTCCCGTGACGTCGACCACGTCAATGGCATCTGAATATGCTTGGGTTACCTCAACCCACTCCAGCCTTACTCCTACTTCCTCAGCAGCCCTGAATACGATTGCCTCGACCTCACCGTCGTATTCGTTATCGCTTTCCGTCGCGCCTTTCCTGCCGGATCCCCCTGAGAATGGACAGCACACACCACTTCCGACAGTTTCTGGATTCGTACCATTATCTTCCGTTGCTACGCCCACAAGCGCCGATGCGACGTCTGCTACAATCACAGGCTCCCGTCCTACTGAAGTCCTAGCCCCTGCCGCCACAGGTAGTCGCACCCAAGCCTGGTCGATTGTTCTCATCGTTAGCTGCATCGTATTCCTCCTTATCGCACTGGTCGCCATCGGATTGCGTTGGCTGTGGAAGAGACGCGCTAGAAACATGGCAACAGCCTCCCTTACGCCCTTCGGTGAGTCGGTGTTCTCCGTGTACGTTAGTCGAGTATGTTGACACTGTACCGCCCAGATTATGAATGTCACGCAGACGATAAGCCCGTTCGCTTCTGGCGCCAGTTCGCACTGTCCATGTCGAGCCTCGCAAAAGAACCCCCCAGGCCGCAGACGCCTGACATCGTGTGCGCCGGAAACCGCAGGTCCGTCATCGACGCGCTGCCACACGGGACAATGCTTTATGACAGCGGGACCAACGATGCGGCAGGTACTGCGGCGTTGCGTTACTTGGTGCTTTCGAACGGTTCGCGGAGCGTCGATCCTGCCAGTTATACAACCCTCGATCCTCGTGCTTTCGCTCCAGACGCTCACTTGAGCGTCGTTTCCGCGTACGGAGACATGGCTCCTAGAAGAGCTTCAAGGGATGCTTCCGTCCGGCTCTCATTGAAGCATGCCAACTTCGTCGAACCTCATCCTGTTGTCCTCTCGCAGATGGCCCAGCCACCGGGGAACTGGCCCTATATATACCACAACCTTCCCGCACCGCCTCCTCCGCATCACATTCTTTCTCAACAAGGACAACACCCTTCGTTCCCCGCACTATCTCCACAAAGTGTGCAAACGTTCCCTACGCATTCCCCTTCTCATCAGACGCATATGCCTCTTCGACTGCCCTTGATACTCTCCGCACATCAGTACAGCAGCTATCACTCGGGGCTGAGTGCGCAGCAGGGCTCCGTCATTGGGCACCAGAACGGATCAGATCCTAGCGTATCTTCGCGTTGGCCTATCACACAGCAAGAAGCGTTGGTCGCTGCATCCCCGGGTCGACAGCCTCGCCGACGAGCAGAGGATGGTGGAGTCTGCTTGGCGGGCGGGACGCCACCGAGGCGAGATAGAGACACGGGAGTGCGGGGCGAGCATCAAGACGTTGCGGAGTCCTCATATACAGTGTCTGACGGCGGACATAGCGACGAGACCCTCCCGCCGGCATACGGAGCATACTGAGGAAGGCTGTCTCGATGCAGTGGGATCATAGAGGCGATGTCCATGATACCCGGTGACTGCAGTGGGTTAGGTGACTACAGACATACCTCCTAATGGCATCGTATGTAGTCTGCTTCTCGGTCTCCGCCGGATTTGTGGCGATGTGGACGAACCCTCTACAGGTCGTGTATTTGGTTGTAGGCTGTGCCATTCGCAGCTACCTCGTCAAAGGGCTTTCATCTTACTGCTGAGCTCGCTTTGAGAGCCTTCGGCTTCCGGTGGTATCCCCATGGTCATAGGTCAGATTCTGTCAGCGCATTGATGGATGTTGATGTTCTTTCGCAGGGAAATAGCAAGAGGCATCAAGCGAAAGCATCCCGAAGTATCGATGCCTCACTGCTACCCATGTTCGTGGGATGGGTCAGTTCCAGCTAAAGCCCCGTCACGCTCCGGGTGTTGGTGGTACCCTTCCCGCTCCCGAGGAAGCCGTCTGATTCGCTCCTTGTTTCGCGCATTCGTTTGAACTATCGCTTTTTTTGTTGCGTCGCATTCATGGCGCGAGGTATTGCCGCCATTGTGTGGGTCGCCTTGGTCTTTGGCATACAGTCCGTGGTCCGCGGAAACGATGAGGGCGCAGAAGCTACGCAGCCTAGCGCGGCAGCCGCACTGATCACGGCTGCTTCACTGGCGGGTGTCGATGAGCTCAGCGTTCTAGCAAGAGGTACTTGTGTGTTGTTGACCGCTTCCTTCTTGAATACCTGATGACGATGTTTCTGCTAGAGCCCGCGGCCTCAACCTGCATCGACCATATCGACTGGTGGTATTGTCAAATTTTGAACACTGGATCGTCCACAAGTAGCACAATTGAAACGACGACGGCTCCTGCTACAAGTAGTCCGTCACCGACCCCAAATCCTACAACCACGACCCCGCAACCGTCTACAACCCCCGCTACGACGAGCTCATCATCAACCACAAGTCCTGAGCAAACATCTTCGACAGGTCTCTCTTCTACATCCACGTTTTCTGCGACCGCGACTGAGACATCATCGATAGGCAACTTAAACTCGAACACGTCTCAGGCTACATCATCGACGCAATCACTTACTTCTTCGACTGCTGGCGCGCAGTCTAGTTCGGCATCGCAGTCATCGCGCAGCAACAGTGCTTCAATGCCGGCATCGAGTGGATCGCTTTCGGACAAGTCAGCCAGCGCCTCGAAGGGATCCATCACCATACAACCCACGTCGACGAACGCGGGATCCGGAGGCGTTCCATCGCCCTCGACTGTAGCAACGTCGACTGTCACTCGTACGTCGACGAAGAAGTGGATTATCCGAATTATCCTGGCTGTTGTCGTATCTTGCATTCTCCTGCTGATCCTCGCCGCTGTGACGTTGTGGCGTGTGCGGAAGCGCAGGCGTAGGGTCAGCCAGCACGACGGCATGAGTTCTTTCCGTGAGTCTCGTACCGATATAATCTAGCATGACTAAATTGATGCCGTATGTCGCTCAAGATAACGACAATGCTACCGTCTATACCCGGTTCACTCGATCTGATATGCGGGAGAGCTCGTTCACACCGGGCATCCCTCGTTATTCGGCTGGAGGCAGAGGCCCGGGCCATTCCCCTATAGAGTCTCCCGTCGATGCGCAGTCCCACACCGATTCATATGCATCGGACGACACTCTGTCCCCCGGAGGTCTGCATAATGCCACGGCACTCAACAGTCCGTCGCGTCGCATCCTTGGCTTCCTCGGAACGGCGCATCACATCTCCTTCCTTCCACAGCCTGCGCCGACAGATGCTGCGTCTGCGACACTTTCAGCGGGCAGGCCTGCCTTGCTTGCTGCTCGCCCCCTGGACGGAAGCGTCGTAATGACAGGCGACGCTCCCTCTTTGCCTATACAATATCCGGACCTACACACCTTGACCCTTTCCGGGCTCGCCGCTTCGCCTGTGGATATTTCCCCTGCTTGGTCTCCTATGTCACCAGCATCAGGGAATCATGTCTCTGGCGTATGGCACCCAATACCGTTCGCCTCTTCCCCGACCGCATTGGCTACGCAACCCTACCCATCAGAGAAGCAGGACACAGCGGGCGCACAGCCTAGCATCCTAGCTGAGTCGCCCACAGTCCCGCTGCCGTCGGCGACTTTCGAGACGGATACTCCTCGGACGGCTCGGGATTCACGACGGCGTGCGGAGGATGGCGGTATCAGCCTGGCCGGCGGGCCACACCGCCCGCGCAGCGCAGAAGGCCCAGACGCGCAGTCAGTCCTGGATTCCTTCGATGGAGGAAGCTATCAAACGCTTCCTCCTGCGTATGGAGCATATTGATAAAGCATCTATCACTGGGGACCGACGAACGACTCACATCTGGCGCCGTAGTGTCGCAGGCGTGGCGCACCATTGTCGGTTCGTCAAGATGACCATATCGGTATTCTAATCCCCATACGAGTCAAAGCTTTGAAAAGATTTTAGCACACTCGCCTCACAGACTCTGTGCGCCAGATACAATAGGAGATTAACTTGCTGCTGGTTCGGATGTCCGAGAAGTCCCACTTCAAGCTACATTTCTCAATGTGGGTCTCACCGATGGATGTCCTTTGTGCGCTCCCTATGAACATGATTTCGCGCGAAGTACTGACACTGCGGGGCACGGACTTTCCTGTTTCTGGCCTCAGTGCTAGGTATGTAAGCCCCTCTCACCCGGCGCGGTGCATTAATCCTCGCGCTCATCTCTCGCCTCACTCTTCGGCAACAAGAGCCTTCCCAGCCATGGTGACCCGCACAGACCAAGCACGCATCGTCGAGATGTCAGGGCTAGTGTCGAAGTATACATCCGACTTTCCCAAATGCCCAGCGTATTATCGCCAGATACCATCCCGAATCCTGGGATCCATTGTGCTCGTCACAGGTACAACCAGCTCCCTCGGATGTCACCTCCTCGAAACCCTTGCGCACTCGCCTCTGATCGCGCGTGTCTACGCGCTCAACAGACCAGACAGGAAGGGGCGCCCATTGCGGGACAGGCAGGTGGATGCACTTCGAGAGCGCGGCATCCCAGAGGGCGTCGTCGACTTGGAGAAGGTCGTCCTTGTTGAAGGTGAACTGACGACTCCAAAGTGGGGGCTCACCGAGGACCTGTACAACGAGGTACGTGCGCGTGAAGCCGTTCTGGACGTTCGCTGAGCAAGTATAGATCCACAACTCGGTGACACATGTCCTACATAACGGTGAATATGCCCTCTTCCCCCACATATTACGCATTGTCCTGACACAATCATCTTCAGCTTGGCGCGTTGACTTCGTCTCACCGCTCGCCGCCTTCGAGCTCAACATCTCCGGACTGCGCATGCTAATGGACTTCTGCTTGACATTGACTCTCTCTACGACACCGCGACTGGTCTTCACAAGCAGTCTGATAGATGCTTTTAGTGCGTCACGTTGTTCTTTTCCAGAAGCGACATGCTCACACATAATCGTCTCGGACCATAGAGGCTCCGCACGGCCAGCAAATCCTTGAAGACCCTATACCCCCGGCGTGGGCTGTCGGGATGGGCTATTCAGAAGCCAAATGGGTGTGCGAGGAGATCCTGTTCGCTGCGTGTAAAGCCACGCCTCTGGATGGCCTCGTCGTACGCGTCGGTCAGATCACAGGAGGCAAGGGAGGCGCATGGGCGACGACGGACTGGTTCTCATGTATGGTGCAAAGCGCGAGTAAAGACGGCATCGGGTCTTTGCCTGATGACAACAGGGTGAGTCTCGCTGCATGTCGCCCTCGTCGACGAACACAGAGTAAGAGCGCTGACTTCGACTGCGTGTAGCTCATGGACTGGTTCCCATTCGAGCTCGCCTCCTCCGCGCTCCTCGACTTCCTCCACACCCCTCCGGCGTACCTCTCAGAAGTGGCACCCTCGCGCGGCGTCGTTCACCTCGTCCACCCGCGCCCGGTTCCATGGCATGACATCGCCGCGGAGGTCGCGCGTCAGGTCGGCGGACGTCTGGTGCCCTTCCAGGAATGGTTGCACGCGATAGAGGCTGCAGCAGTCCTGGAAAAGTCGCGACCACCGGTCACGAAGGGGGCACCAAGGCCTCGCATGCGCGCGATATCCTTGATCCCGTTCTATAGCGCCCTCAACATGAACATGCGAGACGGGGCTCGCGCGATGGGCTTGCCGGCATGGGACGGCCCACGGGGTGTCGCCGCTTCCCCGACGCTTGCCGATCCAGATATCGCGCAGCTAGGAGCGGACGATGTGGGACGATGGATAGGCTACTGGAGGAGTGTTGGGTTCATCCCGGACGATGTGCGTGAGGGACCGTCACGAGCGCGACTGTGAATCTCAGGAGTTGCCTTGGAAGCTTGAGTTGTCCTGGTACAAATTTCAGAAGGTTGTACGTCTTTGTCAACGGCTAGGATCAGTGTCCTTCATGCTCAAGTGACTTGTGATGTATGACATCACAAACAATGTAGAATACCTACGTCTGTGTAGAATACTATACTGCGAAGGCTGGCCCCCTGGCTGGCGGATTACCCCGCATGCAAGAAACGGATGCCTTCTCTGTGCTCGACTCCACTGTTAATGGGAGGAGCGACGACCGGACGCTCCCTCCTGCCTATGAATCATACTGAAGCACTGCGCTACTTTTGCAGCATCGTTCCACAGCAAGCCCTGGCGAACGATCATGCAAACATCGACAGGCGTCGGACTTGGGAGGAAGTCTACGCCGGTCGGTTCTGATATATTACTGTACGTGGTGTATCATATCGATGTGTCAGACCTTTACGTTCAACGTTCAAACGTTCAACGTTCAAGCTTCAAGTCTCATTGGATTCCTCCTTGCAGGATTGTAATTTCCATGTATGTTGCGTACAGCCACACGGCGTTGGTATCTCGCGGTGGGCGTCTGAACTACCGGTCTGGATAAGGCTTCTGAATCTGCCGCACTCCTACCGCCGCCGTGTCTGGCATACGTTTTGGTTGTGCTCGACCAGGGATGGTTGTAAGCATGGATCAAACTGCGCATGTCATGCCGATCCTTGCGCATACTTAGCTGTCTCTCCAAACGTCGTGCCGTCTGCCAAACTTGAAGGGGCCCTCTGCGTGGCGTGGAATGTGGCCACCTGAGCCCGGGCTTGCTGTTGGCTGAGCGCTGCCAAGGTGAGGGCGCTATGATAGTCTAGTACGGGTGTGTGTGGTCCACTGACATTGTATGTGCATCACCTGGAAGTCTGCCTCGACGGAGGAGCCGTGGCAGCTTCGTGACTGCTATCGATGCGTACGTATACGTCTTTACAATGTCCCGTCCTTCCGCTGGGTGTTTTGAGAAACATTGCTCCAAACAGAATCCCTACGTCTCCTTGGACTCATCATGGTGTAAGTCATGAATGTGCCCGGAATATTTGCTTCGCGGTCAAGATGTGCATTGCATGTCTCATCTAGTTTCGGTGAAGATGTGATGATAGGCAGAACTCATCGGTACGTTTCAATGTGGTCTCAGCCATTCGCTTGGTAACGGCAGCTAGGACAATGACTGTCGTAGGCGGCCGCACGCTGGCTATAATGTTAGCTACCACTCAATAGCGATATGCATAGATAGGGCACACATCCCGGCGAAGCAAGGCACATAACACCGAAGACTCACGGTATTATGTCGCCCTGAATGGAACACGGTCTTCCATTGCGACTTAAGACGTGTACTGTCCGCAAGTGACTGTCCAAGCGCGGCGGTCAATATAATGCTGAACTCCTAGTGACACGGATCTACGTATATCAGCATGTTCCATATGCCGTCCTGATGCTGAGGTTTCATCGATAGACATGCACTCCGAGGTTCTTCGTGCGCTCCTCATGAGCATGATTTCGCGCGAAGTACTGACCCTGCGGGGCACGGGCTTACCTATGTCACGGTCTGGCCTCAGTGCTAGGTATGTAAGCCCCTCTCTCCCGGCACGGTGCAGTAATCCTCGCACTCATTTCTCGCCTCACTCTTCGGCAACAAGAGCCTTGCCAGCCATGGTGGCCCGCACAGACCAAGCACGCATCGTCGAGATGTCAGGGCTAGTGTCGAAGTATACATCCGACTTTGCCAAATGCCCGTCGTACTATCGCCAGATACCATCTCGCATACCGGGGTCCGTTGTGCTCGTCACAGGTACAACCGGCTCCCTCGGATGTCACCTCCTCGAGACCCTTGCGCACTCGCCCTTGATCGCGCGTGTCTATGCGCTCAATAGACCAGACAGAAAGGGGCGCCCATTGCGGGACAGGCAAGTGGATGCGCTTCGAGAGCGCGGCATCCCAGAGAGCGTCGTCAACTTGGAGAAGGTCATCCTTGTGGAAGGTGAACTGACGAGTCCAAATTGGGGACTCACCGAGGACCTGTATAACGAGGTACGTGCGTATGAAGCCATTCTTGACGTTGTCTAAGCCTGAAAGTATAGATCCACAACTCGGTGACACATGTCCTGCATAACGGTGAGTATGACCTCATCCCCCTACGTATCACGCACTGTCCTGACACAATCATCGTCAGCGTGGCGCGTTGACTTCGTCTCGCCGCTCGCCGCCTTCGAGCCCAACATCTCCGGACTGCGCACGCTGATCGACTTCTGCTTGACATCGACTGTCTCTACGACACCGCGACTGGTCTTCACAAGCAGTCTGATAGATGCTCTGAGTACGTCATGGTGTTCTTTTTCAGAAGCGACATACTCAAGCATAGTTGTCTGTGTGTCTAGAAGCCCCGCACCGCCTGCAAATCAGCGAAGATCCAATTCCAGCTGCATGGGCTGTTGGGATGGGTTACTCCGAAGCCAAATGGGTGTGCGAGGAGATCCTGTTCGCTGCTTGTAAAGCCACGCCACTGGATGGCCTCGTCGTGCGCGTCGGTCAGATCACAGGAGGCAAGGGAGGCGCATGGGCGACGACGGAATGGTTCTCGTGTATGGTACAAAGCGCGAGTAGAGACGGCGTCGGGTGCTTCCCTGATGACAATAGGGTGAGTCTCGCTGCATGTCGCCCTCGTCAATGGACACAGAGTAAGAGCAAAGCTAACGTCGCCTGTGTGTAGCTCATGGACTGGTTCCCGTTCGAGCTCGCCTCCTCCGCGCTCCTCGACTTCCTCCACACTCCTCCGGCGTACCTCTCAGAAGTGGCACCCTCGCGCGTCGTTCACCTCGTCCACCCGCGCCCAGTTCCATGGCATGACATCGCCGCGGAGGTCGTGCGTCAGGTCGGCGGACGTCTGGTGCCCTTCCAGGAATGGCTGCACGCAGTAGAGGCTGCAGCAGTCCTGGAAAAGTCGCGACCACCGCCTACGAAAGGGGCACCAAAGCCCCGTCGCATGCGCGCGATATACTTGATCCCGTTCTATCACGCCCTGAACATGAACGTGCGAGACGGGGCTCGCGCGCTGGGCTTGCCAGCATGGGACGGCCCCCGGGGTGTCGCCGCTTCTCCGACGCTTGCCGATCCAGATGTCGCGCAACTTGGAGCGGATGATGTACGACGGTGGGTAGGCTATTGGAGGAGGGTTGGATTCATCCGGGATGATGTGCGTGAGGGACCTGTGCAGACGCGATTGTGAATGCGGGTGTTGCCTTAGAAGCTCGAGCTGCACTAGTTCGGCATGTGTCACGTCTTTGTCAACGGCCAGGATCGGTGCTCTTCACGACTAAGTGACTTGTACTGTTTAGTGGCACAAACAATGTAGATTACCTGAACCTGCGTAAAGTTGGCTACGAGGAGCAAGTAGTCTTGCGAAATCCTTCGCCGGCCTCGAGGGTTGTCTAGCACCGAGGCGAGAGTTATCACACCATTGTTCACCAACACGCCCGTGGGTATTAGACCGAAACCTCAGTCTCTACGGTCACCTCGTCCTGCCCCAGCCCCTGAAACTGCACGACATTTGCCCAAGGCTGAGTCGCATTCGACCGCGCGCGCTGGTACACCAACTTGACGCTCGACCCGCTCGCCGCCCTCGCGACAGTCACCACCGAGCCGTCGACGCTTGCCACGCTCCCATTCGCGACCTCGGCCCAGACGCGATTCTGCGGGCTCGTCAGATCGAACGCGGCCCCGCTTGCTGCAGTCACGCTGACGTTCCAGCTGACCGTCCCGTTGCCCGCGTCGGCGAGGGGCGAGGCGCTGATGGAGAACGGGGCGACGCCGCTCGGCAAACGGAGGTCGCCTTCGTCCGCGCCGAACCCGACGTAGAGCGAGTCAGGATCGACGGAAAACCGAGCGGTGTAGAGGTATCGATCCGCGGAGGGGTCGGGCCGCGCGTGGTGGGGGTAGTAGAGCTCGGCAGGATTGGTGGACGACGCGAGGATAGAACCGTGCCCCGTCGAGTAGACGCCACCTGAGATGGGTCAGAGTCTGGTGAGTCAATGTTTTGGCAGGACATACGAGATGCATCCTGCGAGAGGATGGGATTCGAGCCGCTCTTGTAGTACGGTCCTGCCACGGAGTGCGCGTACGCGTAGCCCACGCCGTAGTCCGGTGATTCGTAGCTAGCCGGGCGATATGAGATGCCGCAGACGCAAGAGTCCGTATTTACTCACTTGTTCGCGCTGTATGTCAAGAAGTAGACTGGCTGACCAAAGCTGTCGTAACGCTTGATGGTCGTAGAGCCTTCAGACCAGCGACGATTCTTGAGTGTACCATTGCTCGCTACGTGGTCGTTGACGTGCGCATTTTCCCAAGCCTGGCGCGAAGCCTCAGGGTCAATTCGTGTGACTCGTCGTATTGAAGTGACTGACCTGCGGTTGCAACTTGTACGAGATGACGGGCACAGAACCATCCTTCCTCGTCGGCCCCGGATAGCTCGAGTTCACGGAGTCCACCCATCCCTCTGGCTGGCCCTTATGCACATCCCTGAAGCTCTCGTGTACCGCGGGCAACGTACGCGCGTGGGGGTCATGCCACCACTTATCATCCAGCCGTACAGCGTAGATGTTGCTCTCTTCGATGTACCTGTCGAACTCGTCACTCCACACCCAATTCCGGTACGCGTTTCGAGAGAAGAAGAGCCAGATCGAGCCGTCGTCGTCCCAGAAGACATTGGGGTCGATCGAGGGGATATAAGTGCCTAGCGGCGCGGTGTCACCGATGTCGAGCGAGGCTGGCGGGACGAGGTACGGGGGAGACATGAGGAGGTTAATGTCATGGTATTCCGGGTCGAATGGGTAGTAATCGATTGGCTTGTCCGCGATTTCGACAAAGGGCCCAGCAGGCGAGCGTGATACGGCTACACCGATTTTGCTAGCCTCCTCGAAGTCTGGGTATCTGTCCAATACTCAGGTGAGAGAAAAAGGGACGACATATTGAACTCACTTGAAGTTTTCAGCCACTAGCTTTGGTTCGGTATATCGACCGGCGTGGAACAGGAAATACCACCCCGTCTTCTCATTGAAGTAGCACTCTGGGGCCCAGAACCAGTCCTGAGCCCATACGTTAGCCGAGTCGTTCTTGATCGCGCCACCGGGGATCTTGCTCCAGGTACTCAAGTCAGGTGAAGTGTAGATGCCGTAGTACCACCCGTCGTCCGCGCCCTCGGTGCTATATGCCCAGTATGCGGCGGTGTTCGCATCCCAACGTACATACGGGTCCGCCGCGACGGAGGAGTTGTCGTTCACGTACGTCGCATTGGTGCGCCACGGCCCGCTTGACCAATGGGCCCAGCTGAACGTCGGCAAGAAGGCGAGTACGAGAAGCGCACCGAGCATTGTCGAGAAATGGGCGAGGTGAGCGACCGCGTCGAAGCTGGCGCAACATAGGCCATGATATACACGGGCTCGTCGACTATGCCCATGCGCCGGTAGCCCATGTGCGAGGGGTCGCGTCGAGCCTCAGGCCTCAATAATCGCGGCCGGCGGGAAAATGATGGTAGCGTCCCTCAAGCATCCCTCGTGATATCACGAATGTGGCACGAGACCATGACGCAATGACCCGTAACTTACTTTGTGACAGCGCCTCCAGGTGGGAAGGACTTGGGAAGGACATAAAGGACAAGCAGTGGCCAAGCATTGGCCGTATGAGCCAGCATAGGGCCAGGAACGTACCAGCCTGTGCAGAAGAGTGGTCACTGAGATATCGCTGCAGTTCAGGAGGCTGAGAGCCTGAGACGACGACTTACCAACTCAGGCAGCACGTCGGTTTCTATGTTAGTGACGCGGCTTGAGAATGCATTGGGGATCAAGAAATGTGTTATGACTGGACAAGGAACTGCTGGAGACTCATCTTACTTCATGGACACCCGCTCCGAACGCTCGAGCTGGCGGAACTTGACAGAAGCTTGAAGCTTGAAGCTTGAAGGCTCTGCTCGCTCTTGGCAGCCGGCCCGCGCGGTGGCTTATCCTTTTGACTGCGTACCTGGAAAGGAGCACTCTTCAGCACTCGGTATTGCCCTCTATACTGTAAAGCTCCGGAGCCCCAGAGCCGATTGAACAACCCGTACAAATGGCTAGATATTTTGTGGACATGAGAGAGAACACAAAGAGAGAAAGGATTCGACGTACCTCTGGGAGTTGTTTGGACATGTTGTGCAAAGGCCTCGTTCCTGACTGTTCCTGAAAGTCGAGACGCGCGTGCGCTATCGGCCGGTAGCTAAATGGACCCCCCTCCTCCTCCTCCTCCACTTCACCAAAATTGACCAAATACGGGCCCGGCGTGAGCGGACGGCATCACGATTGGGCGTCTAATCTCCCCGCCTTCACTCTCGCCAGCGTTGCCCGGATCCCTCCAATTACGGCCCCGAGGAGTACGAGAGGCACGGCGAACACCCGCGCCGGAACTCGTTTACCGTTCGGACTCCCTCACTACGCTCTTCCTCAAGCCCGTCGACCGACACGCCCATATCCCCGCCCAGTCGCTCCGCGTGGTTTTCGACACCCCGCTCAATAGTGTCTGGGACACTGTAGGTCCCCAGATTCGTGACCTGATCAAGGCTCGGAAGATTCGGTCGTCCGTCGACTCTGCCCGCTTCTTCACCCACGGGCCGCCGAGGGAGGAGGCGAAGGGGAGTCTCGGTCCCGTCGTCATTTAGGCTGGTTCTAACTCCTCCGATACCGCCCACGATGTCTCCTGGCATGAGATCCTTGCGCTTTTGCTGAAGAGCGGAGTCAAGGATGCTGCCAGTGTTGTGGAATAGCGCGAAGCGGCCCACGCCGAGTATATGCGTACCGCACTACCGCGAGAGCCTTGAACAATACTGAGGCGAAAAAAGGCCGGCGTCGTACGCGATGGGTCCGAGAGCACAGGTGCGTAAGTATACTTTGATGCACTGTTGTCGCAGACCTGAAGCTTGGAGTTTCCATGAGCTGCAGCGCCTCGGGCATGTACGACTCGCTATATGCGTAGGTATGTCTTTCTGCAAGTCTGCGATCTTGGCTTTGTCGGTCGCTGGGACCAGCACTGACTGGGCGACGGTCTTGATTGCGCTGGCCATGATGGGGTACGAGGGCAAGGAGCGAAACGGATGTCCCGGTGAGGATGCGCCTTTATAAACGTCGGTGAGAGGACGGAGAAGCATTGCAGCATGACAGGAGGCGAGCTTCTGAGTCATATCGAACGCCGACACCTTCCATTTATGTAGGCAGCCTGAGGTGCCCAATGGTTCACCCAGCAGCAGGCCGAACGTTGCTCCACGAGTAATATGGAATGCCATGACATCACAGTGTACCCCCGTGGTGCGTCATCCCAACCCACTGAACGCTCGGAGACGCAACACGCGTGGCTGTTCTTGTACTTCCTTGTAAGCGTTGTGGTCTAGAGCCCGCCAGCAACGTTCAGCATTCGAATAAGTAACACGTAGTTCGCGTCACAGCGGTACAGTATTTACTGTCTTCCATGATTTAAACACGAATATTTCCACGGGTCCGTGCGCTAGAGGCTCGAGTTGGGATGGTCCGGGGGTGCTGCGGCATCGCCTACGTACTCTGATCCAAACTTGAAGCAACTGGACGCTGAAGACGTCAAGTTGTGGCATCAAGCAGTGGGTCAGCTACATATTGGGGGAGGACGAGAGACGAGACAAACTGTGGTTGTAGGCAGGTCGTAAGTAGGTCTGAAATCCGGGAAAGGCTCCCTAAAAATATGACGTATACGTCGCCTTCGGCTATGAATGGCTTCGGGCGGTGACCATCCTAGTCTACGACGCGTCGCAGCAACCTCTTCCTTGCACGTGATCGCGACGCGTTTGTTGGCGCATGTTGTGCAAGAGCTTCGTTCCTGGCGCCTACATTTGGCGCACTCACCTCCGAGTCCCGAACCCAAACCAGTCCGTCGTCTTACCTCTTACCGTCAGAAATGTACTCGTTCACCGATTGTTCACCGACGGTTTCTTGGCTACAACATTGTCGATGTTCTATTACTCGAAATCCTATGGGAAATATTGGTGCTGGCGCGGCGACTACGGACGTGAAGTGCAACCTCACCGGCCGTCGCCGGTAGCGCTACCTTGAGTAAACACGGTTGTGTGTGTTTGATGGCGAGGGTGTAAGTTGGTAGAGATGTAGCTGAAGGGGATGTAGTTGCTATTAGTGGTGAGTGATTCGTACTCAGTCTACTATCCCGCGAGCCTGACGTAGAGATGCTCTGGTGCAGCGCGTAGCCAGGGGAATTCTCGTCCTGCGTGACACCTCGCTTTGTCATGTCCCACGTCCCCTCTGGGAACAGAAAGCGAGCACTGGGATTGGTGGCCACTTAGGAACCACTTTCAACGATGGCCACAGAAGAACAAAGGACGCTTTGACAATGTTCGAGGCCGAGTGGCACACCGAGTGGCATGCCCGATATAAAGGGATCACTATGCTGAATGTATGCCAATATCTCCCTCCTCCGCATCTACTCGCTTTCACAGCAGAGACACTGATACCATGCATCGTGCCCTCTGTATTTCCGAGATCCTCCGCGAGGTCCTCATCTATGCCTCACAGCAGTGCATCCGAGACGCCACTTCCCAACGTGTATGTACATGGCACGCTTGCGGAGACGAGCTGTCCCATTGTTCAACCTCGTGCGCGTACAACACTGAAACGCATACACGACGTCCAACGCCTCGACACATGTTACTGCTTGCAGTCGCGCTAAGCTGCAAGACATTCTCGAGCGTCGCGCTCGATTTGTTGTGGCGTGTCCTTGACTCGCCGGAGCCTCTTCGGCGATTGATGAAGTGCTACAACATCTCAGTACGTGATCTGCCCAGGTGTGCACAATATGACTCTGAATACATCCACAGGACGTGGAAGACGACGCTTTCCAGACATGCACGCGTTATCGAGCTTATGCTAACCGTGTCAAAGGCATACACTCCGGCGGCGATGTGTCTCACTACCGCGATGCTGTCAGGCGAGCAGGGGGTGAGTACCAGCAGGTCATTGTGATGAACGAAGGACCAAGACTGACACGCGCTCAGCACGCACCAAACAGTTTTTCACCCTCCCGAGACTCCGTTCAGTCCGTATTGACGTCACGTCTTCCTCCAAGTACCAACGTCCCTTCGGACTGCTCACAAACGCGCTCACCGACGTATGTCTTTCATTCGTCGGCAACTCGCGACACTGGTGTCGAGCCAGGGCGTCGAGCTACGTCGACAACTACCTCCAGTCGCTAACCAAACAGCCCTTCCTGAATACACTGGAACTCGACTGGATCCCGCTCGTCCCGGACCCTGCGTTGCTTATCGGGCTTCCGATGCTGCGGACGCTGCGGGTTGCGCTGCTAGCGAATGTCGTCGAGGCGATCCCCTTCCTACACGTATTGCACGAGTCCCGCGTCTCCGATGTCCGCGTCTTCATCGAACAGGAGGACTGCGACATCCCTGTCGTGGACTACCGCAGAACGAGTGTCGGGGGCTCCGTGGAACTCTACCTGAGCGGAAACCCCAGTGCGCTCTGCTTGGATCGCCTGATGGGCATCTTCTCGGAGGGCGAGCGCGCGACGGAACTGCACCTCGCCTGCGAGTTCGAGTGCCCCAATAACCGTGCGTTCGCAGAGTCGCCTCTGTCCAGCCCCGCCGTCGACGCTCTCCGCCGTGCGCTGCGCTGCGAGCGGAGTACCGCCGCCGTGGCTCTCCGCGCCCCTCCAGACCTCACTCGGTCGTCGTCCGACGGGTGGTTCACCTTCGCCGCGATACAGCCGCTGCTCCGACTACGATGCATGACGCGATTCGAGGTTAGCGCGAACGTCCGCTTCGAGCTCTCCGACGCGAACATGGACGCCCTCGCGCGCGCGTGGCCCGACCTCGAGGCGCTCGAACTCCGCTTGTACCACGACAGCCTGCAGGGCCGCGGCGTCCTACCGACGACGTGCCCCACCTTCCGCAGCTTGGTCTCGCTCGGTCGACACTGCCGCAGGCTGTGCGAGGTGCACCTACCATTCCGCGCTGACCTGGACGACTTGAGCTGCGAGGAATGGTCTGCACCACATGAGGCGAATCGGTCTGTTCGATGGCTCACGGTTGATGGCGGAGAGGTCTTGTGTGGTGAGGGCAAGGTGGTAGGCATGGCTCTGCAGCGGATCTTCCCGTGTGCGACGCTTGACACGCACAACGTCTTTGACATGGTGACATGGGATGGTATCATACAGGCGAAATTACGGTCGAAATTGAACACAGACATGTACAGACATTCAATCTAATGTAATGTTTTTGTCTGTTTCGTACTTTCTGCTCTCAGTCATCCCACAATTTATAACAGTCTAGCAACATTTTTCGAGGGGAAAGCAGAGCAGTAGCATCTTCATGTACACACAAAACAGGCACCCTCTGACTCCTATCCGTCCTTGGGCAATGCTAATCCCAGCCACTGATCCAGTTCATCCCAAAGCCTCACTTGCTCCTCCTCCCACTGCTCCGTCCTCGCATTCACACAGCCCGCACAAAATCCCAGCTCTGCCCAATCAACCTCATATAGTTCCTCCATGGCTGTGAAGGGATCTAGTAGGCCCTGTTCGAAGAGTGGGGCCTGGATGACTTGCTCCATCCACCAGGTTGCGCTCTTGTTACGGGCAGCACGACAGCCATCCCTTACAGGTTTCTGGGCCTCATCGAGGTTGACCTCCGGGATGGCCTCCAGATGACAAGGCAAGCTTGAGGGGATAGGTGGTTGGGCAGCCTTGACCCATGCATGCTGCAGATGCCCACGGGCACGGATCAGGCGGAGGAGGTCAGTGTAGGACAAGGCCCGCTGTGGATCTTGCGCCCACTCATCATCACCCATCAGATTGGTGTTGTCATCCACTTGCATGAAGCCCGGTGAACGGAGCAGCTCGTAGAACGCGCGTTTCAGGACCGAAGGGATGTTACACCGCCGAGCGAGTTTGATAGTCTCCCTCGCGAAGTTTTGCTGGTCGTCCGTCGGCGAGGGCTCGAGTTTTCTCAAGCCGGCCGGCCAGGCGTCTGTGAACTCACGACTTGCGAACGATAGGACCGCCTCGGAGCCGAGAGTGTGCGCAGCCCTCAGTAAGGACGCGATCGTCAGGAACGGCGGCTTGGAGTGTGCGAGGGCGCTGGAGTGCATTCAGTCGGGCACAACTGCAACGAAGGGTGCCACACTTACATACCCGAATCCCAGGCATTCAGCAGACACTCAAAGTCTTCCGCCGATATGCCTGTCACCCTGTAGACGGGGCAGCTGTCGATGACCTCCCCTTCTAGAAGAGTGCCCGAGCGCGGGTTTGGGACCTCGACGATGTCCGAATCGGTGTCACTTCCTTCGCCCGTATCGCCTTGCCTGTTCGCGCCACCGAATAGGCGGGCGAAGTACGTTGAGTTGACGGTTAGGCGCGAACGATGCAACCTGTAGAGGGTTCTCTCGACGAGCACGACGACAGAGCCATCGAGGTACCAGAACGTCGAGCTGCGACTGGACTTGGCGAGGGCACGGTTGGGCTTCGTTGTCTAGCATACAAATAAGTATATTACCATTGCCTAGACTCCTCCGCATTGTTAAATATAATGCGTACAACTCACCGACAATTGCGTGGATGGTTTTGGAACGTCCGGCCCGGCCAAAGGGATCGGCATCATTGACGGAAGCCGTGCAGGCTGCGAAGCACTGATGGAGTTTTGCTCGGAGGTTGACGAGACAGGTTTCTTGATCTGCAGGTTCATTGGCAATAGTTTGAGAGTGCTGAGAATAATCGTACCTTTGGTTTGGGCTTCGGTGTCAAGGAGACGGTCTCCTGAGTACCGGAGTTTGGGGGTGCTGGTGCTGGACCTCGGTCGGAGGGCGGCGGGGTGGAGGCAGCTCCGTCCGAGCGGCGCGACTTAGACGGCGTCGGGGCCACAGCTTCATCTTGCCCTTGCCGCTTTCGCTTCTTCGTCGTGTGCTTCACTGCTGGGGTGGAACTTTTCTGAGACGATGAACCCGAGACAGGCCCCGTCTTAGCAGACTTCATTTTGGATTTGTAGCGCACAACAGAAGTGGACTTTCGGGGGGACGCCTGTCGTTGTATATCGGTGTTCTCAGGCTCCTGCTGACAGTTCATCTTGGTGTCGACGCCTTCGTCCTCCAACATCTTCTCCAGACCGTCTCCAGCATATGACACCCCATCGGAGCCATTCCCTTCATCCATTTGCTCCGACTTCCGGGTTTCTGCGCCGATAAGTTGCGAAACGTCTGGAAGGTCCACTGAATCCGGAGAGGACGAACGCTCTACGTCCAGTATCCCTGAGGGGTTGGGCATTGAGGAAGAAGTGGCAAATGGGTTTACGACACTAAGCGAAAGCAATGGGAAGCCTTGAGCGACTGATAACTCCTACGGACCCGACCATACCAACTCACCTGGAGCTGTTCTCGGACGTATACACAGTTCTGAGACCAAGCCTGATATGATTTAGAGGTCACAGGCGCGCATATATACACTGAAATAGCGCGACGAGTGGGCTTGAAGCTGCAAGGACCTGCGACGCCCGAGCGTCTCAGTGAGCACGACCGTCATACATACTATCTGCGCATGACTTGTCTGCTTACTGGAGATGCAGAGAAAGCCTTCGCAGGAGATAGAGTAGAAGGTGATGGTGGTGTGCAAGGAGAAGGAACGCTGGGCACAGGCGTCGCCAGTGGCCAGCAGTGGCCACTCGCGCGACTCGCGACGCGAACTCGCGCGCTTCCCACGTGACCGACCATCCCGCCGGGCCGTATGTAATGTCCTGTACTTATGGAGTGTGCTGCAAATATCTTACAGCTATAACTCTAGAGATAATGACATTCTCTCAGGAGGAGTGCTTGATCAAGAGATGAAGACGTTGTGAAGATGTATGGGATCGAACGGTCGGGGGCATCCGTGACACTGCGCTAAACTCGCGCGCGGATGAAAGCCTGATCGAGGCCGTCACGGCCATGGAACCTCCTTCACTCGTTCACTGTTCAGACACAATGTCGCCGTGCAAATCACTAACCAGATCATGGGAGAGCGTTGGTTCCCGGATCCCATTGGTCTCTCGTATGCACGGGGATGTACATCTTTTCGCAGTACTTGGTATCGTTCATTGCTACATTACATTTCGACTACGTTACAACGCAGATCGTTCGTCGTTAAGTGGAGCATGCGACAAGAGTGGGTGATATGGCAGCATGGTATCGTGAGACGCGAGATACACAAACAAAAGCAGTGACCGACGATTCTCATACATTGAACATAACTTCGGGGTTCCTATACTTTCTGGAAAACCTACTCCGCGTGGACTACGCCCGGCTGCGTGCGTGGACAGCGGATGCCGCTTTTCCCTGTGACCTAACTAGCAGGAAAGAGAAGCGCATCTGTAATCAATATTCCAGCCTCCGATTAGCGCAGACAGTACAGACTCCGACAGAGGACTCACCGTCGAGTGATAGCGTTTGCTCAAAGTCGACAGAAGTGAGGTAGTTGTCAACGTATGTGCCGAGGCCAGTCGTGACGTTCTTCACCTGCCGACCCTCGTTGGAGCCAATCACTCTCCACCATGTAATCTTGCCGTGCCATTCGTAGTCGGCGGAGGCCGCGCCTGCCCGGATGCAGACGTACCGCAGGGTGTCGATGCACTGTGCCAACTGCAGTGCAAGTGACTCTACGAGAGGTGAGAAGACGACTCCGCCTTGGAGGTCTGTGATGTCCACGCCGATGCAGACGATGTCGAGATCGCCTAGCGCGGCGGGCACGTACGCCTACCAGGGGTCTGAGTATCATCAGAGCGCGGGAGACATCCGATGCTTACCCTCATTTCGTCAAGCTCTGCCGCATGCTCTCCAGAGTTCGACAATTCAATGCGCAGGTAGCGCAGTCGATGTGACCGCTCGACCAATTGTTTCCAGACCTGGCTGTCGGGCTCGGGAGGCATCGCGACGCAGAGCATGACCGGGTCAAGATCCTTCACGACCGCACCTCCATGTTCATGAAGGATGCCTGGCCGTTCCTCCGTCAACCGGAGGCACTTGACGGGCCCTTTGAAGCCGCCCAGCGACAAGGGCGTGCCCCCCATCCAGTCTAGATGTGGCCATCCGGCGCGGGTCAGAGCGGGTTCTGGTATGTCGGCGTTCGTCTGCACGTCCGTGACGTTGAACTGGAAATGAATGAGGTTCGGGAAGCTGTCGACGATCGCCTGGTGGGGTATCGAATGGGTCGGACAAGCCACCTCGAGCTCGAGCTCGCGGATCGACTTCCAGCGCACTGCCGCCTGGTCGTCGTCTGTGATATGCTCCGAGTGTTTGGGCGGGCACAAGAGCGTCGTGAGGACGACGTGACGGCGGGTGGGCAGCATCCCGGTAAGGCTGAGCTTGCGCAGGTCGCTGCACAGGCGGCGGACCGTGGACACGGCCAGGAGCCCGTACTTGCGCAGATTGAGTTCCTCCAGCGTCGTGAGCATGCGCACGGCCGCCGCGAGGATGCCGGATTCAAGCATGACCTCCGCGTCGTCGAAGGTGAGCGACTTGAGCGAGGGCGCGTGGGCCAGCACGCGCACGAGCCCCGGGATGGCGAGCGAAATGCGCTCCTCGTAGAAGGTGCCGAGGTGGATTTCCAGTCGGCGCAGCCATCGCAAGCGATCGGGGATGTCTGCGAGCATGTACCTGCAGAAAAGCGTCGCCCGCTCCGTCGAGCGTAGCCTGATGTCGGCGAGCGAGCGGCGCTTCGCGATGGAGCGCAGGCCGCGCGCTGTCATTGAGAGACGGAGAGCATCTGGAGATGCTAGGAACGATACGAGCTCCTCGAGGACGTCCTTGTTGAGGGATAATAGCTCGCCGGTGGATCGGGTTGGGGATGTCATTTTGATGTGCAGCACTTTGTGAGCACCGACGTACGTTTCGGTCATTGTGGTCGCGAATGGCTTCAGCACCGGTACACCTTAGATGGGTATGTACATACAACAGCAGGACCAAGGAGCACCAAGAATCACGCCGCGGTTGCACTGACCTGAGAAACGAGTGAATACCTTCGCGATTGGCTCCCAAAGGCGTACTTACCGTCACGGTGGTGGCGTGGCGTTTACCTGTGGGTATTTCCCTCCTGATGTCCGATGTTGATCACTAGGGTTTGCTGTTAGTTCTCGACGGTCATAAGGTTGCAGAGCGCAAGGCCTTGCACTTGCCAGTGGTCGGAGTGCAGAGCAGAGCCAAGTGCGTCCCATGCTCACTTCGGATAGCGTGTGCTCTCCACGTGTCACATATTTTCCTGATTGAGCCGAACCATGCCGAGAAAGTGGGTTGGACAGGACTGGCTGAGAGTGACGGAAGACTGGTATGACATAGATAACAACATGCAGATACCGACAGAGGAACCTCGCAGCAGTCGGTGAGGACGCCAGCGAGAGGCCCCGTCATGGGCCAATATAGGCGCTCGGTCAGACCGCGTCGATGGCGCGTTTTGGCTGTCTGTCGACCTCTCTCCAGTGCACCCGTGCACCCGCCTCGACGCACTCACGCACCGTCCGTCCCGCGTCCTCGCGCGTCGTGTCCGCCGCCCTCGTCCCGCCCTGCCCCTTCCCCGCTGCTCTCCCGCCCTCGCCGCCTCCACCAGCCGACGCGCACACCCGAGACGCGTCGGAAGACACCCCAGAGTCGTGGTTTTGGTGCACGAACGGTCGAGGTATGTGGGTTTTACGTATTCACCGCGTCTTCGCGCGCATTCATCCCGAGAAACACTCCGTCAACGTGTCCGCCCCGATCCACTTCCGCCCCCGGGTGCATCCGTCGCGTCGAGGACCGTTCGAGGAACGACATGGGACGATCCCCAGCACACGCGTGGACATTCTGCAAGTTGTCCGAAGGCATTCCGTGCGCGGGATGCGGCGCGGCGCCGTGTTCTCTGCGCTCCAGCTACAAGCGTCCCCGAGTCACCGCACCCGCTTTGCCGACGTCGCGGAACCTCGCCGTTCCGCACTACGCGTGCACTCAGCCCTCGCGCAAAGCTCTCCCGGGCAGCTCGACACTCTTTCGTGCCCCGGACGTGGTGCGGCGCCGCATTCTGTGCCGACCAGCCAAGTCGCCCGAAGGCAGCCATCTCGCCGACGTCGCGGAACATCGCCGTTCCGCATCACATACGTGCTCAGCACTTGTGCAACGCTGCACCGTCTCGTTGAACACAGATCTGTGCACCGGACACAGCGCAGCGCGGTGTTCTGTGCCGCCCAGCCAAGTCGCCCGAAAGGCAGTCATATCGCGCCCCGCTGACGTCGCCACACACCGCCGTTTGGCACAGAGAAAAGCTATACCATGCCGCCCGAGGTAAGTCTGTGCACCGGACGTGGCGCGACGCGACGCTCTGCACCGTACGTCGTCGCGCGGATCATGGCCGGCTCATTCTTATCGCCAGCTATCGTCGTCCAGCACGCTACACCGCACCCACGCGTCCAGCACTACCGTGTGTGCCCTCGCCCGACACAGCCCTAGAGTACGCAGGAGCCGGGTCGAGCACAGACGATAGTGGAAGGAAACGGGGCGGGAATGCGAGGATGAGGATGGCCAGAGGGAGCGGGAGAACGATGCGGGGAGGGCGAGGGCATCAGCGCGACCTCGGTGGTCGAACACGGTCATGCGATCTCCGCGCCGCCCATCGCTGCGACAACAGACAGCGTCGCTGTGCAGCGCAATTCGACACGCCCGGACAAGCGGACGATACACTACGTACACACTCACTACACTACCTCTGGTCCCCATGCGGCTCGCGCCCTCACGCTCACCGCCAACCAGGCCGCCCTATGTACGACGAGAGCGGCTCGCTCCATCAACGGAACACGCGCCTCGCGAACCACCCTGCAAAGAACTCGTCAGCGGTGTCTCGACGGCACAACGATGCTACGTACCGGCACGACCGCATCGCAGGGTATTGTGCCACGTATGTTCCCGCACACGCCGCCGGACTCTCAGCACGCAGCGCACCAGGTGCGTGCGGCACGTCGCAGTCAGGTGAGTACTCTGTGTTCGCGTTGCGATGACATACTCACGCGTCCGACGACCGCGCCCCAGCGCATTGTGCGAACGCCGCACACCGACCTGAACACCTCAAGAACAAACGTGTTACCAACGCACATCGTACGACGAAGGTGGCTCACACTTACCGTACCTCGCAATGCACAGGACGAGACGAAGACGCAGGACAAGGTGGAACCACCAACGGCCTGCCCTTTTATCCTCGTCCTGCGCCCGGCATCCCACGCAGCCGTTCCATCGACCGCGCATGAGCCGCCGATCGTGACGTGTCGCCGGACACAATGATTCTGTTGGAATCATAGTACCCCGCCCTGGTAATTCTCGCGAGGATCCCTAGCCGACAGGACCCTGCCACGGGCGCGCGTCCGTGTGCGGCGCTCGTTCGTTACCACGCCGCGCGCGACATGACGGCAGCAGCCCGTACAGCCTGCGAGTCGATCGCCCGACACAACGATGCGTCGTGCGTGCTGATCGCAGTCTGTGCGGGCGGCCTGCTCCTGCACGGACCACACGCGCAGGCCAGATGCTCGCACTGGGCCTTGCACGTCGAGATGGGCTCGCAGAGTCGTGTCTCGGCGCGCAGTGTCGGTGCCCTGGCATCCCCTCGTCGTGCGGCTGCACGTTTGCGCTGAGCGACATGGAATTCCGCGTGGTTCGGGAGTCACCAAATTGCGCGTCCGCGTCCACCGTGACGCTCGTCTGCCTCTGATGCGGCGGGTGCAGTCACTTGTGTACATGGACACTCGGCTGTGGGCTGTCACGCAACCGGGACACGTAATTTTCGCACTCAAAGCGCGATGACAAGGGCCGACGGGAACACTCGCGAGTCGTGAATCAACGGCGGCCGGATGCGCGCATTGGGGATGAGGCCGCGCTGCGCGACCAGGTCGTGCAAGTTGCTGCACGCTCCACCGCAGTTGTCGCGACCGAGGCAGCGCGATGGACATCGCGAGACGTGGAATACAACGCAGTGCGAGTACCTACACCTCGTAAGGTGTGCATTGGTGCGTGAAGATCCCCGAACCAGCGGGCGGTGTTCCAGTTCCAGACTGGCGGGATGCCGGTTGATAGACGATCTCGCTGAGCGGCGATACGTATGTTAACAATGGACATCTAGACATCTTGCCCGCGGCTCGGCAGATGATGTGCGGCGGGAGTCGAGCCGTCGCGTGGACCGACCGGGGCGGGAAAGTGGGTGTGTTGGCAAGCGGTGAGAAGGCTACCCGGCGAAGGACGAGAGTCGTCAGTTCGCGAGCAGGTGCCTCACAGTGCGCTCGCGTGTTCCCCAGTGAATAAGCCTGCACCGACGGCTAGGTAGTACCTGTACGGTGACTGCAATATTGAACATTCTACGCACGAGTCGGACGGACAGGCCGAGGGATCAGACAAGTAGACGGATAGGCCAGAGGACGACGGAAGCAGCACTGGGTACGGTTACAGAGATGTGCAGTGAGTACGGGGCAGCTTTCGGGACAGTTCGCCGGGCACAGGTCAACAGCAAGGTATAGTACATTCGCGAAATACTGTATGTTACTGCCCGGGAAGAAATATAGTCACTTTGCTACGGTCAACCAATTTTCGGCGGTGCGAACTATTGACCGGCGCAGCAAAGTCAGTATAGACCGATAGGTCTGTTTGCGAACGAAGACGAGCATGTCTTCCCTACTTAGGCTATGTGAGCGGCGCGATCGTCTCTGTCAACGAACCAAGAGCCATCGTATGCACGCCGGCCCGGGTAGTCCAGCTACAAGTGCGTCTTTCATTTTCGCTCGCCAGTTCCAACCCTTCTGTCCCCATCAACGCTGTCATTATTGCCCATTTAACTTCACTGTTCCGTTGCCGAAGATAGTCAGTATTTGACATACGAGCCAATTTGTGAGTTAAGGTCGGCTATCGCAATGTTCTCTCAGACCGTATTCGCTCGCGCGAAACACTATACCAAGATACAAATATGTGTATGACATACCAGTGAACACTGGCAACGACAATGTTCTCTGCTCATCATTACCTCGGTCATCAAATGAATAAGGGTAATACATCGGCGCCGACGTCATTCTGCACGGTCGAGTCGCCGTCTCGACGTCCTGCGGTGACTACCAAGTACACTATCCGGGAGAAGCAATCAGAACGAGTCAATAGTAGCCCGTTCTCCGACACTGTAACATCATCATTTGTGGGTACCTGGACACCCATTCCGCACGTACAAATGTCTTACAAGTTACTACTGGTCCGCATTCGCGCTCTCAACGCTGTTTCTCGCACAACAGACTCGTGGCACCTGAAGCTCACAGATCGCACTATCGCAGCCGCTACGGATAACAAACAGTCACCGTCATAGGTACATTTCATACCCTCTCGCCGCAGTCGACCTCAAAGCCATCCTGGTCACCGCCTCCCTGCTACAACGACTGCCGAGCCAAGCGGCAGCCCGCACGTTCATGATTGCCGCTGTACAGAATGGGACTAATGCGAAAGGCGGGCAACGACACGTCGCCGAATGTGGGATAATATTGGTAAATATATTATGAGCCACGTACCGATTACATGAGCATGCTAGCTTGGTGGACTTTGAGGGAATCTGGATCGCATTGGGCATCAATTAGTGCATTCAAGATGCGAAGCCGAGAGCTACTACTAACTGAGAGAGGACACAGAGCCTGGCAGGTTATCTCTGTGTGAGTACGGACCGTGTGTACCATTAAGTACCATAATCCTGGGCAGCGGAATTCAGGCTGTACATACCTTGGAGAGCGATTTCTCGAGCCCAACTTTAGCTCGTTTTCCGACACTGTAATATCATCAAGAACCAGTCACTCGTCAGCTACACTACACGCGCACGATGCTGTCCATTGCGCACCGGGAGGACCAACTCCAAATCACCGTGTTGCTCGCCGGCATCACCACACATGTCTTCGGCCGCCGACGTCGAGTGGTGACTTGTCCTCGGAGGTACACTAATTGGAGACTGCCCGGATCTGTCTGCAAATGGTCAGACACGCGATCGCGATTGCTGCTGCGGCCGTACAGGGCGGAACTTGGATGGGCGACGACAGCGCTTGACAGCGTTGCCAGATACGTCCTGAGATCATGATAAGATTGGTAAATACGTTATGAGCCACGTACCGATTACAAGAGTGCACTAAATTGGTGAACTTTGAGAGGCCCATCTGGATCGATTGGGCATCAATTCATGCATGCAAAGCTGAAATCCACTTTACCAAGCAAAGACACAGGCTGCACGGACGCGGCCCTGTATACGGGCTGAGGACATGGCATCCGTTAGGCTATCTCCATGTCTCCTGACAGGTAATACAGGCCTCGCATGCGTACCAGTAAGTTACAATAGTCGTTGACAGCGCCGGCAATATCTGACTTGGGGAACGGTTTCTCGAGCCTCATAGCTCGTTTTCCGACACTGTAATATCATCAACAACCTGTCATTCACGACAATGGACATTCACTGAACAAACTCACCAGTTCTGTTAGCAAGCCCGAGTCCTTACTAGTATTGCCGTGTCGAGACCTGATCTTTCTGATTGACGCAGGTCGGTGATAACCAGACTCTTCCTGCGCGTATCCAGACGCACGGGGCTATCCTCCCGGTCGCGCATGTGTCTGTGGCAGACAACTGAGTACATGTTGTAAAGACCAGTAGATGGAAGGAACGTAACTGGTGGCGCCTGAGCTCAACTTGGCGCTCAGGCGATCGGGCGATCATATCTATTACCATCTACGGCTTACCACCACGACGACGTAGACGGTATATTCTCTCCTCTTGTACATTCTGGGCTGTATGGCTTGCTTGTCTGTGATTGATCCCGGAGCATCAGTTGCATGTGCAAAATATATTTTGTTTCCAGCGTGGTGCGAATCTGGACAGTCTACCAGAGGTGAGTGACTTGACTTGAGACACGAAGACTCGGAGCTTCATAATGGGCACATGAGACCCAGACTGACCGCCGTGCTGGATGGCATTGAGCCGCTCACATCGTGCGACGCGAGGACACGGCATTGACAAATTTGGCCAAATTTGACAATGGCATGTCCTTACTCGGACAAGTGTGAGCGGCAGCGGGTAACTGCAGAGGCTGGATCCCGACATTGCCGGCGGCAGTGATTGAGTGTCCAGTTCCGTGAGCGGAGAATGCCCAGGCACCGGGTAACCTAAGATGGGAGAAGTTACTTGGAAGTTACTAAGGACATAACAACCACAGCTCGGATGACTCTTAATCAGTGTTAGCAACTGATGAACTCCACGGATCAGACATAAGTGTCCAATGACGTACACTGAATGTAGGTCTCGCAACGAGAGTATTCCAGGATCAGTCTGATTTGCCGAGGGAATCACCGAGACACTAAGTTGACATGTTCACATTGCAATTATTACATACACAGACACGGAACAGATACAGTCATACCATCAGTCGCCACAAAATTGTATGGGACATCAGTAAAGAATCACCCTCATATGTACATGTCATCATTGTTCTGTACCGCCAGCCACTCCCCGTCGTGAATCTATGACGACCGACCACCACCATTGGGATCAGGCCTAAGCACGCCCACCACCGTGGACATGTCCTCCCTGGTCTCATAGCAGGTATGTCGTCTCAATTCAGCCGCTCTTTCACAGACGTTGACAAGCCTGGTGTGCCCTTTCAGACTTCCGCACGCCGCCGGTCGCTGAGGACAAGACTCAGTCCGAGTCATCCCCAACCCGCGCGCTGGTCAATGAAGACGACGTGCTGCACCATCCCTGGTTGGAGCTACAGGAGACGGCGCGAACACGGTGATGTGGCCACGAACGATGTAGTGGGCACGGACGGCATCGATCATCCCTCGTCGCGTCGCGACCAGAGCTCAGCGCGAGCGCGCCCTCACGGCTACGGTGTCTCAGCCACACTTGCACGGCCGTGATGATCCTAACACTCGCTGCGAAGGTACCCCTCCGGATTTGATCATGAGGCTTAAGTCTCCCTCCGGCGGCGAAGGCCTGCTTACGCGCGCAGTTCCTCGCCACGCCAACCTCGGCATCTACAGGTGCGAGCAGGGCATGCAGCCTGGATAGCCTGGCCTCTACAAGGTGAGACGTGCGACAACATCTGTACGCAGCCGCACAGAGCTGACGAACCGAAGACAGAGTACCCTACCTTTCACAAGCCAGCCCACGTCTAGTCCGACCTCGTACCGATTGCACGCTACGAAGAGCACGGTCAGTTCTGGAGCACGCACGCGTCAGTCTGGTGCGGCGGTATCCATAACGCAGACGGCGCACTCTTGGGCGCACTCTAGGGCCTTCCGGTCAGCGGGACACACGCTCACGCGAGTGTATGTTCTCGCGAGTCCATGCCTACTGTCTGCCCATGCCTGACAAGCGGCGCCGGCTGGTGCGAACACCGAGATGGGTCTGGTGTTCGACAATGAGGTGAGTTGTACATCAGCAGCAACCGAGACTGACTTACCAATGGAGACCTGACTGGACACGTCGAATGATGGGTTTCGCGAAGCTCGCGGGCCGGTCATCGACTACGCAGAGGGCAGGTGGCGAGGTTGCGGGTTGGTGGTCGCAATGCACTCGCTGAGGCCGCGTTTGGCGACCTCAGTATTCCCGTCACCTCAGCCGCCGTCACCGCAGTCCAGCGGACGGATCGACGGACCGCATCTTGGTCGACCAGGCATGCAGCGCACATTGGCTAGGTGCGTGGGTGGTCGCGAAGGCACGCCGCCTACGGACGCCTGCGCCGGTTCAGCGAGAGCATGCGGGCATGCTGCGGCAGTCCGTAGCTGTCGAGCGTCAGCTGGTGTGGACGCCCTGTTTAGTGCGGGTGGCCCTGCGGTTCGACCTTAAGGTGAGTTGTATATCAGCAGCGCTCGAGATCCACTTACCGAGCAAAACTTGACAGGGTGTCTCGTCCCGGACATCGATGCTGCACACCGCGCAGAGGGCGGGCGGCGAGGGTTGATATGTCGCAATGCGCTCACCGACTCGGCCGCGTTTGGCAGCTTCAATGCTACCGCCGGTAGTCTCATTCCACGTGAGGGAGAGGCGGGGTGTCGGTGTTCGCAGAAGGTTTGCCGGCGCTGCGAGATAGCATTCGCGAGCCTACTTTCGCGAGAGAATCCATGACGGCGCGCTCTCATCCCGGTCAGCCCAATACGTACCTCAGCTGGCCGCATTGATGGGCGTCGAATCGGCCGCCGTGCTGGTGTCCGACGCGGACGCGGGGCTTCGAGTTGCGCAAGCACCGGGAGCGAAGTTGGAGATCGGCGCGTCGGACGAGTGCCCAGCGAGAGTGCGCGAACGGGACGTGTTCGTGTCGAGGACTGCGGGGCGTAGTCCGTGTAGCGTTGTCGTAGTGGTACGCAGCAGACCTGCGCGCCCGGGAGGCGTGCGCGTGAACGTCGGCGCCCTGCGAGACCGAGTGTGACAGGAGAGACCTCCTGTCTCCTCTACATACTACAACACTCCCAGTCTCACGAAATCCGTCCGGTCTTGTTGTCTCGCAGCCGCCGGGATCGACTCATCTTGCCGCCGACCCAGACACCTAACTAGCAGGAAAGAGAAGCGCATCTGATCCAGCCTCCGATTAGCGCAGACAGTACAGACTCCGACAGAGGACTCACCGTCGAGTGATAGTGTTTGCTCAAAGTCGACAGAAGTGAGGTAGTTGTCAACGTATGTGCCGAGGCCAGTCGTGACGTTCTTCACCTGCCGACCCTCGTTGGAGCCAATCACTCTCCACCATGTAATCTTGCCGTGCCATTCGTAGTCGGCGGAGGCCGCGCCTGCCCGGATGCAGACGTACCGCAGGGTGTCGATGCACTGTGCCAACTGCAGTGCAAGTGACTCTACGAGAGGTGAGAAGACGACTCCGCCTTGGAGGTCTGTGATGTCCACGCCGATGCAGACGATGTCGAGATCGCCTAGCGCGGCGGGCACGTACGCCTACCAGGGGTCTGAGTATCATCAGAGCGCGGGAGACATCCGATGCTTACCCTCATTTCGTCAAGCTCTGCCGCATGCTCTCCAGAGTTGGACAATTCAATGCGCAGGTAGCGCAGTCGATGTGACCGCTCGACCAATTGTTTCCAGACCTGGCTGTCGGGCTCGGGAGGCATCGCGACGCAGAGCATGACCGGGTCAAGATCCTTCACGACCGCACCTCCGTGTTCATGAAGGATGCCTGGCCGTTCCTCCGTCAACCGGAGGCACTTGACGGGCCCTTTGAAGCCGCCCAGCGACAAGGGCGTGCCCCCCATCCAGTCTAGATGTGGCCATCCGGCGCGGGTCAGAGCGGGTTCTGGTATGTCGGCGTTCGTCTGCACGTCCGTGACGTTGAACTGGAAATGAATGAGGTTCGGGAAGCTGTCGACGATCGCCTGGTGGGGTATCGAATGGGTCGGACAAGCCACCTCGAGCTCGAGCTCGCGGATCGACTTCCAGCGCACTGCCGCCTGGTCGTCGTCTGTGATATGCTCCGAGTGTTTGGGCGGGCACAAGAGCGTCGTGAGGACGACGTGACGGCGGGTGGGCAGCATCCCGGTAAGGCTGAGCTTGCGCAGGTCGCTGCACAGGCGGCGGACCGTGGACACGGCCAGGAGCCCGTACTTGCGCAGATTGAGTTCCTCCAGCGTCGTGAGCATGCGCACGGCCGCCGCGAGGATGCCGGATTCAAGCATGACCTCCGCGTCGTCGAAGGTGAGCGACTTGAGCGAGGGCGCGTGGGCCAGCACGCGCACGAGCCCCGGGATGGCGAGCGAAATGCGCTCCTCGTAGAAGGTGCCGAGGTGGATTTCCAGTCGGCGCAGCCATCGCAGGCGATCGGGGATGTCTGCGAGCATGTACCTGCAGAAAAGCGTCGCCCGCTCCGTCGAGCGTAGCCTGATGTCGGCGAGCGAGCGGCGCTTCGCGATGGAGCGCAGGCCGCGCGCTGTCATTGAGAGACGGAGAGCATCTGGAGATGCTAGGAACGATACGAGCTCCTCGAGGACGTCCTTGTTGAGGGATAATAGCTCGCCGGTGGATCGGGTTGGGGATGTCATTTTGATGTGCAGCACTTTGTGAGCACCGACGTACGTTTCGGTCATTGTGGTCGCGAATGGCTTCAGCACCGGTTCACCTTAGATGGGTATGTACATACAACAGTAGGACAGGGGAGCACCAAGAATCACGCCGCGGTTGCACTGACCTGAGAAACGAGTGAATACCTTCGCGATTGGCTCAGCCTCCCCAAAGATGTACTTACCGTCACGGTGGTGGCGTGGCGTTTACCTGTGGATATTTCCCTCCTGATGTCCGATGTTGATCACTAGGGTTTCCTGTTAGTTCTCGACAGTCATAAGGTTGCAGAGCGCAAGGCCTTGCACTTGCCAGTGGTCGGAGTGCAGAGCAGAGCCAAGTGCGTCCCATGCTCACTTCGGATAGCGTGTGCTCTCCACGTGTCACATATTTTCCTGATTGAGCCGAACCATGCCGAGAACAGTGAATTGAAAGGCGTGGATTGTCAGACCAATTGACAGGACTGGCTGAGAGCGACGGAACATTAGTATGACATGGATAATGTCACAAGACACTGAAAAGAGGACAGTCGGTGACCTGCGATGTCTCATGAACGGGATCGCAACTGTAACACGATCACGTGATCACATAGTATCCAGCGATTGCGGCATGAGGAGGAGGAGGAGGAGGAGGAGGAGTTCCATTTAGCCACGCAGCATGCGCATAACACGACGCGGTGCGCGACAGCGATCATCGGATACATGTCAGACAATCTGCCCTAGAGGTCCGCATTCCCACCATGTCGATGCAGTACACCAATTCGGTTAGCCGAACTGGCGCCCCAGCGCACAATTATAATACTACGACTCATCAACCAGGCTCCTCCCCATCCGCCAGGGGGGGGGGGGCAAGAGGGAAGCATCGAGAGTGTGGCTGTAATACAATGTTTTGTACCCCGATGCCCCGACCGCCACACCTGAGCCACATCCCACTAAAGGTTTTCATCCTCGCCCGATCCTCACTTGAATCTCCGGATACATACTACACAGGACTTAGAATCGACAAGAATCACAATGGTATTTCGCTCTCGACTGGTCCCTCTATCCCCCCTGCCGGATGGGGAGGAGCCTGACTGTGAGAGCAGAAAGTACGAAACAGACAAAAACATTACATTAGATTGAATGTCTGTACATGTCTGTGTTCAATTTCGACCGTAATTTCGCCTGTATGATACCATCCCATGTCACCATGTCAAAGACGTTGTGCGTGTCAAGCGTCGCACACGGGAAGATCCGCTGCAGAGCCATGCCTACCACCTTGCCCTCACTACACAAGACCTCTCCGCCATCAACCGTGAGCCATCGAACAGACCGATTCGCCTCATGTGGTGCCGACCATTCCTCGCAGCTCAAGTCGTCCAGGTCAGCGCGGAATGGTAGGTGCACCTCGCACAGCCTGCGGCAGTGTCGACCGAGCGAGACCAAGCTGCGGAAGGTGGGGCACGTCGTCGGTAGGACGCCGCGGCCCTGCAGGCTGTCGTGGTACAAGCGGAGTTCGAGCGCCTCGAGGTCGGGCCACGCGCGCGCGAGGGCGTCCATGTTCGCGTCGGAGAGCTCGAAGCGGACGTTCGCGCTGACCTCGAATCGCGTCATGCATCGTAGTCGGAGCAGCGGCTGTATCGCGGCGAAGGTGAACCACCCGTCGGACGACGACCGAGTGAGGTCTGGAGGGGCGCGGAGAGCCACGGCGGCGGTACTCCGCTCGCAGCGCAGCGCACGGCAGAGAGCGTCGACGGCGGGGCTGGACAGAGGCGACTCTGCGAACGCACGGTTATTGGGGCACTCGAACTCGCAGGCGAGGTGCAGTTCCGTCGCGCGCTCGCCCTCCGGGAAGATGCCCATCAGGCGATCCAAGCAGAGCGCACTGGGGTTTCCGCTCAGGTAGAGTTCCACGGAGCCCCCGACACTCGTTCTGTGGTAGTCCACGACAGGGATGTCGCAGTCCTCCTGTTCGATGAAGACGCGGACATCGGAGACGCGGGACTTGTGCAATACGTGTAGGAAGGGGATCGCCTCGACGACATTCGCTAGCAGCGCAACCCGCAGCGTCCGCAGCATCGGAAGCCCGATAAGCAACGCAGGGTCCGGGACGAGCGGGATCCAGTCGAGTTCCAGCGTATTCAGGAAGGGCTGTTTGGTTAACGACTGGAGGTAGTTGTCGACGTAGCTCGACGCCCTGGCTCGACACCAGTGTCGCGAGTTGCCGACGAATGAAAGACATACGTCGGTGAGCGCGTTTGTGAGCAGTCCGAAGGGACGTTGGTACTTGGAGGAAGACGTGACGTCAATACGGACTGAACGGAGTCTCGGGAGGGTGAAAAACTGTTTGGTGCGTGCTGAGCGCGTGTCAGTCTTGATGCTTCGTTCATCACAATGACCTCCCGGTACTCACCCCCTGCTCGCCTGGCAGCATCGCGGTAGTGAGACACATCGCCGCCGGAGTGTATGCCTTTGACACGGTTAGCATAAGCTCGATAACGCGTGCATGTCTGGAAAGCGTCGTCTTCCACGTCCTGTGGATGTATTCAGAGTCATATTGTGCACACCTGGGCAGATCACGTACTGAGATGTTGTAGCACTTCATCAATCGCCGAAGAGGCTCCGGCGAGTCAAGGACACGCCACAACAAATCGAGCGCGACGCTCGAGAATGTCTTGCAGCTTAGCACGACTGCAAGCAGGAACATGTGTCGAGGCGTTGGACGTGTATGCGTTTCAGTGTTGTACGCGCACGAGGTTGAACAATGGGACAGCTCGTCTCCGCAAGCGTGCCATGTACATACACGTTGGGAAGTGGCGTCTCGGATGCACTGCTGTGAGGCGTAGATGAGGACCTCGCGGAGGATCTCGGAGATACAGAGGGCACGATGCATGGTATCAGTGTCTCTGCTGTAAAAGCGAGTAGAAACGGAGGAGGGAGGTATTGGCATACATTCAGCATAGTGATCCCTTTATATCGGGCATGCCACTCGGTGTGCCACTCGGCCTCGAACATTGTCAAAGCGTCCTTTGTCCTTCTGTGGCCATCGTCGAAGTGGTTCCTGAGTGGCCACCAATCCCAGTGCTCGCTTTGTGTTCCCAGAGGGGACTTGGGACATGACAAAGCGAGGTGTCACGCAGGACGAGAATTCCCCAGGCCACGCGCTGCACCAGAGCATCTCTACGTCAGGCTCGCGGGATAGTAGACTGAGTACGAATCACTCACCACTCATAGCAACCCCATTCCCTTCAGCTACATCTCTACCAACTTACACCCTCGCTATCAAACACACACAACCGTGTTTACTCAAGGTCACCGTAGCTCTACCGGCGACAGCCGGTGAGGTTACACTTCACGGCCGTAGTCGCCGCGCTAGCACCAACATTTGCCATAGTATTTCGAGTGATAGGACATCGACAATGTTGTAGGCAAGAAAAAGTCGGTGAACGAGCACATTTCTGACGGGAAGAAGTGACACTGAGTACGGTGCGCCATCAAACGCGTCGCGATCACGTGCAGGGAACAGGTTCATCCTCGCCCGATCCTCACTTGAATATTCTCCGGATACATACTGCACAGGACTTAGAAACGACAAGAAGCACAGCGGTATTTCGCTCTCGAAAGGTCCCTCTATCCCCTGCCGGATGAGGAGGAGCCTGATGTACCGACCCGTTACAGCCGTTCCCAGTCCAGAATTTTGAATGTTCAGATCGATTGGACGCATCCGAGTCATCATAGAAGTTGTATTGTGGTACAGACGTAGACATTGTTTCCTCTGTTACTATTTGATTCATGACCTCAGAAGTAGTTACCGTAGTCGTCACAGTCCTGCTCGAGCGTGTCGCGGCGCTTGTTACGCGGACGCTGCTCTTTGCGCAGGAATCGCCGCAAAGACTGGCTCTCAGGCTTTCGGATTTCGAGTTCGAGCTCGTCGTCATCTGTGAAACGGCCATGCATTGTCAGCCCCGTCGTCGTCCAGGTCACGCAGAGTGTTACGACTGACCTATATCAGCGAACCGACGAGGCCTATGAGCTTCGTCCTCGCGCCTCGACTGAGGGCCTTTGCGGGTCCTTTGACCGACTGCGGGCGTTTCGTGGACGTCGCGTTTGTGTTTGTGTTCTGAATAGTAGTAATCCAGGACAGATCCTTCGTCGTTGTCTCGTCCCTCCTCATAACTATTCACGAACGTGCGCGAGGAGTTGTCGGACGACTCATCGCCGCACGCTTGAACGCGTTCGTACGGCTGATGCGGTGAGATCGCATATTTGCGCCTCCGCACCTCCGCAGCGCGCATGGACTTGATGTCCGGTTCGTGCGAGACGAAACGCCGCGTTCCAGGGGGTGCGATGTCCAGCAGGCCCTTCGACACCCTCTCCCACCGTTCGAGCAGCCACATCATCAGCGTGCGCCCCGCCGCGTAGCTCGTCCCGCCGAGCAGGATGTACCCGAACTTCTCGCCGAGGTATTCCGCATTCATGCCGTTCTCAGGGTGGTCCATCACGCACTTGAAGAAGTCGAAGAGGTACACGAGCAGCGACAGGTGCTCGACCGAGAGGAGCCGCAGCGTGTACCGCGCGATCTCGACGAGCGGCGCGTCGAATTCCTCGCGGACGGCGCGGCGTTCCTCGGGGGTAAGGTTCGGATCCTCGATGATTTTGTGCTCCATCTCCGGAACTTCGCCCCGGATCGTCCGCCGCCGCCGCTTGATGACGGGCGGGAAGCGGATGTCCCATTCGCGCTGGAGCACGGGGTTGACGCACCAGCACCAGAGCCCGTAGTTGATGTCGCGCGGGACAATGGGATCGGGCAAGCGCTCCAAGAAGTGCTCGAGCAGCCCGCAGACGTCCTTGGTGGCATACTTCGCGAGCGGCCCGATACGCACACCTGGCGGCCGCTTGTAGCCGCGGTCAAAGATGCGGCGCATCCTGTCAACGTTGTGCTTGACGGGTGTTTCGAGGAAGAGTTTACGGTGGTAGATGCCTGAGGGGAATGTGAGACTGACGCAGACTGTCAGATACCGCGACGAGCTGACCTGTTCGGTAGAGCTCCTCAACACACTCGTACACAATAGAAGGGAGGTCGTGCTGATAGCCCTTCATGACAATCGTGGTCGCCGATATCTGCATCGCTTCGACCACAAGCCTGTTGGTGATCTCTAAAAAATGAAAGACTGCGGTCAAAATGACAGCTCTAAAATTACATAACGAAAGCTTACTGGGATGCCGTTCACCAGGCTTCGGGTCCTCGGTCACGGCAGGGACGTCCTGGTGCTTCAGATACTGTTCTCGAGCCTCGCGCTCGGATTTCTTCTGATCGTGGAATACATCCAGGTCGACGTAATCCGCCAGGCGTTCACGACGATCATGAAGCAGCTGGGTGAGGTCGGGCAGCACATCCTTCCAGTAGGCAATTTGGAAAGGCAGCCGCGGCACGCTCTGCACACCACCCTTCTTTGCAGGTGCACCACTGAGATTGGACTTCATCGTCGAGGGTCTCTCTGACTGCGACGATAGGGAGGATTTGCGCGTGGAAACGGAGGTAGCGCGCCTGTGCGGGCTGCGAGTGTACTCCCCGTCGGCATCGGAGGGAGGCCGCTGTCGCGGAGTCCCATTGCGATGAGGTGGAGCAGTATCGTGGTGCGTAGTGTCGATAGAAGCAGGGGTGAAAGCGTCGGGGAGCAGTGACGGCTTCTTAAGGATGCCTCGAACCGGCGAGGCAGTCCGGTGTTGAGAGCGCGGTGCAGGGTCTTTGAGGATCCCCCGCAGTGCTGCAACCTGTGCAGCGCCCGCGGGGTCTAGTGAAGAAGAGCGTGGCTTTCCAGAAGCATCTTGCGCCATGCCTGCACGGTCGGTGGAGAGAGATTGCGAGCGAGGTGAAGTACGCATGGTGCAGCTTTGATGTGAGTAGGCGACGTCCTGTATGCGGATGAGCTTGCGAAAACCATGGCCATACCGACCGCTTTATATACACTTTGGACCCTCGGAAACGGGTATGCGGATGCGCGACATCCGCATACCTAAATCCGCGACAGAGCAGCCTGGGCCCGCGCCTCGCCTGTTCAGCCCGATTGGGCGGTCAGGATCAAAACGGTATTGTAAGCGCCCTACATGCTCAGCCTACCACTGGAATCCACAGGGGCCTCCGCGCGGGTTCCAGCTTCCCAATGGCGGGTTCCGCAGAAATTGCACAGCGGCGGGATCCACCAAATTCCGCCTTCGCCGATCCCGCTGTGTGAACAGCATTTCAACTTCCAGAGTTCAGTTCTTACCATTTCGGGCTATTTTGTGGCTTGTGGCGGCATTGGCACGTTCTCGTCTACTGTCGATCAGAAGACATGTAGCGCCTATGTCTCTTTTGCATCTGCTCGTTTCCAACATCGCTCCAAAGATCTAGTTGAAGGTAGTCATGACAATTCAAATGTTCAAGTGGGACGCTCACAAACACGAACACGCTCTTCATAGAGAGACGCTCTACGTTCAAGCACGTCGACAGGCCCTACAATAGTTCGCGGCCGAACGTTGTCTGTCACTGCAATTGTGACACCAAATGCGAGGGCACGCTGTGATGTCATGGCATCCCGTATAGGGCAATGAGTACTCATAAGGCAAGGAACGTTCGTCCTGTTGCAGGCGATCGGTGAGTGCACGTCCGAATGTGGGCACCTGTTTACAAAAAAGGAAGGTGTCGACGTTCAGGATGACTGAGAAGCTCACCTCCTGTCATGCTGCAATGCTTCTCCGTCCTGTGATCACCCTACATAAAGGCACGGCCTCGCCAGGACATCCGTTTCGCTCCTTGCCCTCGTACCCCGTCCATGATGGCCAGCGCAATCAAAACCGCCGCCCAGTCAGTCCTGGCTGCGGCGACCGATAACGCCAAGATCGCAGACTTGCAGAGAGACATACAAGACCCATCGAAGAGGCCGACCAAAAGCCTAACGACAGACCATGGTGTCTTCGTGTCGGACACTGATAACTGGTGAGTGATTATATGCATACAACCCCGGGCAGGACAAAAATGCGTACCCAATATCGCACATCCATTGGCGTACTGTCGCCATGATCTATCTGTGAGAGCATACCAGGCGCGTACCTCACCGCGGGTAACTGTTGCCCGTAGAAATGGCGCATATATGCTACCTCCGGATCCTGGGCGTGTAGAGCCGACACTCACAAATGTCACAGGCTGAAGGCGCAAACCAAGGCCCATGTCGGACCCTCCCTGCTGGAGGATCAGGTACGCTCAATAGTCGCCCCGCAGGCTGCGGCCTTTAATTGACCAATTGCTTGGTAGATCGGTCGCGAGAAGATCCACCGCTTCGACCATGAGCGCATTCCAGAGGTAGACTGTATGCGTCTGAACTTCTTGAAGTCGGCTGACCCACGCATATAGCGAGTCGTTCATGCCCGAGGCGCTGCCGCTCATGGATACTTCAAGGTCTTCGACAACAGTGCATCAAAGTATACCTACGCACCTGTGCTCTCGGACCCATCGCGTACGACGCCGGTCTTCTTGCGCTTTAGTACTGTCCAAGGCTCTCGCGGTAGTGCGGTACGCATATACTCGGCGCGAGGGGTCCCTTGCTGATCGGCGATGAATGTTAGGACACAGTTCGGGACGTCAGAGGGTTCGCTGTCAAGTTCTACACGCAGGAGGGTAACTGGGACATCGTCGGAAACGACATACCCGTGTTCTTTATCCAGGACGCCATCAAGTTCCCGGACTTCGTGCATGCGGTCAAGCCTGAACCCCACAACGAGGTGCCCCAAGGCCAGAGCGCGCACAACAACTTCTGGGATTATGTTGGACTCCAGCCCGAAGGTATGTGTGCATTACACGCTGTGAGCTCGTGAGACTTGTCTGAAATGCTACCAAGCCACGCATATGGTCATGTGGGCTATGTCCGACAGAGGGATTCCGCGCTCTTACCGCATGATACAGGGCTTCGGAGTGAACACGTATACCCTGGTGAACGCGGAAGGCAAGCGACACTTCGTGAAGTTCCATTTCATGCCCGAGCTAGGCGTATGCAGCCTGATGTGGGACGAAGCGCTCAAGCTATGCGGGCAAGACCCTGGTACGCCTCTAGAAGCTTGTCAGAGTCAGACCATTGACTGAGTGGAACGGCGTGTCAGACTTCCATCGCAAGGATCTCAACGAAGCTATCGATACTGGCGCGTACCCGAAGTGGACGTTCGGAATCCAAGTCATCCCCGAGTCCGCAGAGAACGACTTCGACTTCGACATTCTGGACGCCACCAAGATCTGGCCCGAGGAGCTGGTGCCCATGCAGGTCATAGGCGAGCTTGTGCTGAACCGTGTCGTCGACGAGTACTTCACCGAAACGGAGCAGGTCGCTTTCTGCACCTCGCACGTCGTCCCTGGGATCGGCCTCAGCGATGACCCCCTGTTGCAAGGAAGGAACTTCTCGTACTTCGACACGCAGATAACGAGGCTCGGAATCAACTGGCAGGAGCTACCAATCAACCGCCCCGTTTGCCCGGTCTTGAACCACCAGCGCGACGGAGCTTTGCGGCACAGGATCACCAAGGGCAGTATCAACTACTGGCCGAACCGAGCGGCTATTGGAGGGCCCGTGCCAACACAAGAAGGCGGCTACTATGAGTGAGCACATCGAAATGCAGGTACACTGAACCCAAACCGATGTACGTTACAGCTACCCGCAGAAGGTCGAAGGCGTCAAGCAGCGCTACCGCGGCGAGAAATTCAACGAGCACTACAACCAGGCTCAGCTCTTCTATAACTCGCTGACCGAATATGAGAAAGCGCACCTGGTGTCCGCCATTTCCTTCGAGCTCAGTCACTGTGACGATCCCGTCGTGTACGAGACCTACACGAAGGTAATGAACAACGTCGACTTCGAGCTGACGAAGCAAGTCGCGGAGAAGGTCGGAGGAGTCATGCCGAGCGAGCCTGCCCGCCCGAACCACGGGAAGAAGAGCGCTACTCTGTCGCAGCTGTACTACAAGCCAAAGGAGCCCACGATCAAGAGTCGCCGCATCGCGATCCTGCTCGGAGACGGGTACGACCTCGCGGAGGTTGAGGGACTTCGTGCAGCGATCAAGGCTGGCTCAGCGACGAGCTGGGTGATAGGGCCGAGGAGGGGCAGGGTGTATCCGAAGGGCGAGAAGGGGGGCGACGTCGGCGTGTGGGCTGACCATCACTTTGAGGGACAGCGGAGCACGATGTTCGACGCCGTCATCGTGCCCAGCGGAGACCATGCCGCGACGCTGGCAAAGATGGGACGCGCCGTGCACTGGGTCCGGGAGGCATTCGGGCACTGCAAGGCTATCGGCGCGTTGGGCGAAGGTGAGCACAAGCTGACATGCGTTGATTTGCGCTCACCGTCGCTCGTCATCAGGTGTCAAGTTCGTGCACGACGCGCTGCACGTTCCGCACTTGAGGTTCGCCCATGACCTGCATAGCAACGACGTCGTGGTGGCCTACGGTGTCGTCACGGCTGGGAGGTACGACGCGGGGTCCGCCGCCGCTGACGTGCTGAAGATCGAGCAAAACGCGAAGGGCTTCATCTCGAGCTTCGCACTGGAGGTGAGCAAGCATAGGTGCTATGAGCGGGAGCTGGACGGCCTGGTCGAGATGGTTGCGTACTGAGCGATAGCGCGGACTCGCTCCAGTCGCACGCGAGGGGGCAGACCATCAATCTCGTTTTGTTCAGGGATGTGAGCGAGAAGCTGGACGTTGAAAAGGGCCAGGAGGTCGACGTCGAAGTCATGGTCGCCGGTCCAAGCCGTCGTCGGGGAGGAACTGTAAGATGAGTAGCAGAAGATGAGATGATTAAAGCCCAACTGTAGCATCGAGCTCATTTGTATCAATAGCAGAGCAGACGAATGGATATGTTGCAAGAGATGTCATGGGTTTGATTCACTGCAATATTGGACGACAACGAGACTCGCTGCGGCCTGCCAGAAACTGAGAAAGATTCGGAACGAGCGCCGAGTGGGTCGTCAGCGCTTCAGCATGAGTGCCGTACAAGGAAAGTACAGACTTCATAAAGGCGCTCAGGCCAGCGGGGCCTGCAGCATGCATTCAAGTAAGTACTGCACTCTCGGCATCGACTGAAAGGTTAACTCAATGCTACAGTCTACTCAGAGCTGAAACATGTCCAAGGCATATGCTATGCACAACGTTCTGTTCATTCATGCGCATGCGCTTGAACCTCGTGCATCCACATCCTGGACCGGAGTCGATCGCAGGTACGTAGGTACTGATGTATTACCACAGGACTTTGACACGGATTGCAACGGAACAAACATCGGGCACCCGTGTCCAGAACCATAACGCACCTTGAGTCTTGGGTGAGCACTTGACTCTGCGTGACGAGCGCTGAAGATACGACGGAGCAGCAGGTCCATTCGGTTAGGTTTGCCAGAAGTGCCTCAGAAGGTCGAACGCTCCGTAGAGCGGGAGCCCGAGTGATGTAGAGCTTCCATCTTACGTTCGCGCCTTTGGTGCTCGAGATAAGGATGTCGCTTGCAGTACTGGAGAGCGCTGACGCGGCGCAAGTCGTCCTCGATCGCAAGTTAACCCCCAGCTGCGAAGGTCCCCGTCCGAGTCAACGCACAATTCAAGCAACTAGTACTCGTCCAAGATGCATGGTCAGAAGCGGTCAAGTTTAGCCTCAAGCCTTGCTCCGACAAAGGTCGAGAGCGACATTGTGGAGATCCCGGCAGACCGCACGTTGAGCCTGGGCGACGCGGAAGACAAGGCGCTCGGGCCGCCGACTCTCACAGCTGAAGAGGAGAGGATATTGTGGCGGAAAGTCGACCTGCGCATCGTGCCCATTCTGACGGTGATGTACTTGTGTTCATATCTGGACCGAGCGAATATCGGTAAGAATATCCCCTCATCATTTGCATTCCGAGAAGCAAGTACTCAGGCTTGTACCAGGAAACGCGAAGCTTCAAGGGCTGGTCACACAGCTCGGCCTCACAGGGAACAAATACAACATAGCTCTGGTCAGTGAAGTGAAAGATACATCACGGCTTCAGATGCTGATGTGCCTTCGCTGCAAGACAATGTACTATATTGTATGTCCTCGCTTTCCGTCCTTGACAGCTCTTTGTTGACGATCAACGTTTCAAGCCATATTGCCTCCTCGAATGTCCAGCGAAGTAGGCGGTCCCATACTTACTCCGTCGTGTTGCTGACTGTCGGGAAGTCTCGTCCTGAAGAAGTTTAGGCCATCCAGGTAACGGTCATGCTTGACACCATTCTGTCCAAGTTTCCCGGTGCTCACGGACCCATTTCAGATGGCTTCCAGGGATAACTGTGAGAAATGTTCAGAGTAGCGGTGCAGCCCTACTGACCCTTCCTCCAGGTGGTGTGGGGCATCGTGATGTGAGCGAATCCCACTACATGACACGTCCGCTCGGATGTGCTGACTATGTCCCATCCCTGAGGACATTGATGGGTATAGTGAAGACGTGTGTACCCTCAATCTCCGTCCGTCAGCGACGAGATCTGACTGTGCCCCGCGCCTCAGCTACCCGCAGCTTGTCGGCGTTCGGATTTGTCTTGGAATCGCAGAGGCTGGTCTCTTCCCCGGCGTGGTCTACTAGTGCGTTCACACCAAGTGCGGGGATCGGCTGTCCGTCGTTGACTTCGTGTGCTTACAACAGCATGACAATATGGTATCCTCGCCATATGCTTCAGTTTCGCATCGGACTGTTCTATGGAGGAGCATCGGCCGCTGGTGCGTATAGCTCTCTCTGAGCTGCGGAGGAGGATCTGATAACTGCCGCCAACAGGTGCCTTCTCGGGCGTCCTCGCGTATGGTATCTCGTTCATGTCGGGAACTGGGGGTCTGTTAGGATGGTCGTGGATCTTCGTACGTACGACGTCGGTTGATCACGAAGCGCTCATCTAGACCGTACGTTCTTCAGATCATAGAAGGCTTGTTGACTATGGTCGTCTCTATCATCTCGTTCTTTGGTCAGTATAGGGGGATAACATCAATTCGGGACGCAACTGATCCTTCCCTGCCTAGTTATTGTCGATTTCCCGGATACAGCAACGTTCTTGACACAGAAGGAGCGCGCGTATCTCACTTGGAGAAAGAGTGAGTGACAAGTGAGCAGCCGTGGGGCGCGATGCTAATAATTGTCATTTCACAGAGTATGACAATTCTTCTGTCGGAGAGGAGGAGCACTTCGAGATGCGCCACCTGAAGTCCGCGTTGTGTGACTGGCAGGTAACAACGGCCGATTTGTTCCTCGCATATAGTTGATTGACGGGCGGCGTTATAGGTGTGGTTACAGATGCTGATGTTCATGACCATTGTTGCGCCTAGTACGTCGCTCACAGCCTGACAAATTTGCCATCTCTGACGATGGTGCTGAGTAGTGCTCGGAATTTCGCTGTTTCTCCCGTGAGTTTGCAGTTACACGACAGACGCATTCATGCTAACATCCTTGCACCAGCTCGATTATCAATGGGTATGACCCACGCTCCTGAACAGGTCTTCACGTTCAAACAATCCCATGTTACTAGCTTCGGGTACGGCACCGCCATCAGTCAGCTACTGACCGTCCCTGCGTACATTGTCGCGAGTACGTATGCGTCCGGCATCCATCCACGCTTGCCAAACTCATCCTCTCAAAGCAATCGTGCTGATCATCGTGGCGATCTGGTCCGACCATGTCAAACTTCGCTCGCCCTTCATACTTGGCGGACTCCTGATGTGTCTCGTTGGATTCGCGATCAACATCTCCAACGCGAGCATCGGAGCAAGGTACTTTGGGACCTACCTTTGTGCGGCAGGGTCGTACGCCACACTTCCCGGTGTCATCTCATGGTACGTCGTAGCTATGTCCATATTTTTACCATGACGTTCGATCATACGAAACTTCCTCAGGCTGGGGAACAACCTGGCTGGTCAGTACAAGCGTGGTGTCGGCATGGCCGTCCAAATCGGCATAGGCAACCTCGCCAGCTTGATCGTGAGCAACATCTACCTGTCCAAGGACGCGCCGCGGTATATCATGGGCCGTGCGTAACTTCTTCGTCTTTTCGGGCGAGCGTAAATAGCTCATTCCCCTCGCGACGCTCAGATGCACTGGAACTGATGTTCATCGGTATCGGCCTCGTGAACCTCCCGATTCTCGTCGGCTTGTACAGGTGGGAGAACGCAAAGCGAGACGAGATGCAGCGGGCCATGGCGGAGAAGGGTATTGAGTACTCGGACGAAGAACTGCGGAGGTTGGGCGACCGCGCTCCGGACTTCCGCTACACCCTGTAATTGGTGACTGTAAAAATTGCTGCGCGTGTCCGTCGAGTAGTTGATCCTTCGAGAAATCGCTCGCAATGGTCGAGTGCGATCAATGCGTTGCTGAAAACCAATCTCGTTTACTGGCAGGTACGAGAATAGGTACATGAGTGTGAGGATCGGCAACAGCCTCGCAACAATCTTCCGCCAGTGTGTCTTCTGCTACTGTAAAGTAAGGTCTGGCGGCGAAGGTATTCCTACTACGCCTTCGTTCTTGCACTCGGGCTGCAAAGTGTCTATTCTGAGGATGCTGGTAGTAGGACTCGGTGACTTCGACATTTGCAATATTGATGGTGGACGAAGTGGCTCTTGTCAAGATTCGAGGAAAGTGGCTCAGTAGTAGAGTCAGTACGTGGTCGCAGATGGCGGCGTGGCTAGACGACCTTCTTATCGTGAGGTTTAATAAATCCGAAGACGCATCGTTGACATCGAAGAACCACTACAACATAACCTAAATAGCGTTCATGACCCTGTAATAGACATGTGAGCACCCAGGGGGGCTGCAGAGTTTAAAACCTCACCGCCGGCACCAGTAACTTGTACTTACATGAGACCGAGTCCACAACCGCTGAACAGTCAATGTCCTACTTAACACCGGTCTTATCATGCGAACCAAACGGGGCGTGCATCTTGCAACTCGAAGAAGAGCACATCGGCCATCTCTGTTTGCCGAAGACCTCGGATTTTGACCAGAAAACAGGCTAGATGCTTGTTGAGTTCAGCGTGTACAATCATGGGATGTAGTCTGCCGCCTGTTACTCCACACCTACTACTTGATGACAACATCATCTACAATGTGTAGCGGAAATCCGGAGCGCGGTCTCCCATCCTTCGCAGCTCATCAGCACTGTAGATGCCGCCCTTCTCTCCTAACTCTCTTTGCAAGGCGTCTCGTCGTGCGTTGATTCGTCTGTACGCCAGGACAGTAATTGGAAGGGATACCAAGCCGATCCCAATGAACATGAGTTCCAGTGCGTCTGAACCCATCGAATGAGAAAGGAGCACCAAGCAGGTATGGAACGTGTGCTACGTACGGCCCATGATATACCGGGGTGCATCATGTGAGAGGTATATGTTGCTTGCTATCGCACCGGAGAAGTTCCCAATACCGATGTGGAACGCCATGCCTACCCCCCGCTTGTATTGGCCTGCAAGGTTATTACCGAGCCTGATAACACGATAAGCACCGCAGGCTGATTCAGGAGAATTACGAGCAACACTGAGCACATACCAGGTAACAATTCCAGGAAATGCAGCGTACGATCCGGACACGCAGAGAAAGGTTCCGAAGTACTTGGCTCCTATGGGCGCATCGGAAATGTTAATGGAGAAGCCGACAAGACACATCAATAGTCCTGCTAAGATGAAGGGCGAGCGCATTTTCAAGTGGTCGGACCACAAAGCGAATATCATGAGAACGATCGCTTCATATGCGGATTAGCTATGTAAGCGTTGCCTCGTAAGGGACACTAGCTTACTTGCACAGATATAGGGTGGCACAGTCAGAAGTTGACTGATTGCGGTACCATAACCAAATCTATGCGCCCGTTCAAAGATGGCATGAACGGGACATTGGGTGAGTGCGCACCCGTTGATGATAGATCTTATGAAGGCTGACTGTAAGTTACATATACTGAGGTCTAGGAAGGCACTCACGGTAGGAACAGCGAAATTCCGTAGACTTGCATGTAAAAATGTGCATCGGAATGTGCTTCACAATAGATGTGACAACGTACGCGGGGCGACAATCGACATGTAGACGAGGATTTGCATCCATATCTGTCCATTTGTCCGGCTGTGAAATTTGTGCTAATATGCAGACACAGACGTACCTGCCAATCTAAGACAATCGCTGTAAGATGTCTCATTTCGAAGTGTTCTTCTTCCCCGACCGTCGAATTATCATATTCTGGCAGACATGTCAACGTACTCCTCTTCTGCCGCTTAGTCATGTTCACGTACTTTTGCGCCATATCAGGTATGCACGCTCATCCTCATTCAGGAACTCGGCCGTGTCCGGGAAGTCTACTAAGACTGCTTTGGACGTCAGCGGGATAAAGTACGACAATGTGGCTTTACTCACCAAGGAATGCTACACCCCCAACGACGACTGTAGCAATGCCCTCCAGGATCTTTGCATCAACGTACACGTTAGCCCTGACATGCATATCGGTGAATATCGTTACGTACGAAGATCCAGGACCATCCAAGCAGGCCTCGGGTCCCAGACATGAATGAAATTCCATATGCGAGGACGCCGGAGAATGCACCTTCCCGTGAACAGCCAATATCAATCAGACAACTCCGATGGGTCCATGGCAACGAAGCGGACGCAGAGCAGATCATGATGGTGGACGTACCGGCGACAGTCGCGGCACCGTAGAACAACCCCACTCGGAATTGTAGCATATGACGCGGATACCATATTGACATGCTGTGATGCTCCGTTGTCCCATACAGAGCGCAAGAGCAATGATGTGACGCACTACCACACGACACCGGGAAACAGCCCAGCTTCCGCGACTCCCAGGCAAACGCGTGCACCAACGAGTTGGGGATAGCTGAAAGACCGTGATAGAGTCAATACACAGTTAAAGGGCTTTATTTTTTCATGACTCACGTCTTCACGAGTCCCATCAGGGTCCTAATTACAGACGAATGAGTTCGACAACGAACAAGTCAAGAAGGTGAACGGTCACATGATCACACCCCAAACGACCTGCGAACGAGGTACCGTTAAAAACGCGCGAGATCGGTACTCGAGTTAACCCACCGTAATGCCTGGGAGCCATCTAATCATGTATTGTGAGAGATAGGACAAGTCATTCAATGTGCAACGTTTCTACCTGGATGGCCGCAATTTCTTGAGGACCAAACTAGGCGTTCGATGAGCGTAGTGTCACGTTTATACGTTGAATATACGTACTTTGCTGGGCATTCGAACAAACAATATGGCTTATAAGTGCAGCAGAGTCAGTGTGAACGCCAATAATTTTGATCAAACCCATACGCACGATGAAGTACATGGTCTGGAAACATGTTAGTTTGGAATCAGTACTACGTTAGACGACCACGTACCAGGGCAATGTTATATTTATTCCCTGTCAGATCTAGCTGGGTTGTGATTCCCTGCAGTTTTGCATTCCCTTATACGCAGGCAAGGTTAGAAGGATCACCGAAGCGAGCGTCAGTTGTACAGTACCGATGTTTCCTGTCGAGCACGATGTTAGTATATACTACGGAAGCTAGCCACGAGACGACCCACCTCTATCCAGGAAAGAGCAAAGATACATGACGGTAAGAATGGGTAAGATATGCCAGTCAACCTTGCGCCATAGCTTCGCTTCCTGCAGCGGAGTCAGAGATGGATGATACACCGGTTCTGCATCCTTGGGCGTCGGGCCTGGTGAAGAATCGATTATCTGGACATTATCCGCCTTCTCTGCAATGCTCTCAGAGGAACTCGGTGCCCTCGACATGCCTATCAAAAGCGAGGTCACTTCGATGCTGAACTTCAGGAGACTTTGGCAAGACAAGACCGCGGCAGCGGGGCCAGAGATCCAACTCCATCACACATACCTCTAGCTATAACCCGCAACGGAGGCCTCGATTCTGCATCCCGCTAGCGATGTCACGGCTCTTTGCTACGGGATTGCGTGATATGAGGACGTACCACATAAACTTCCAGCAAGTCCACTGGAAGAACGGTAGCCACCTCCATGACCACATGAGCTTCGGAGGAGCCGCAGACGCCGTGTTTGTGATGTCTCACAAGCGCCGGGCGAGCCATGTGGTAGGACGAATTAGAAGGCCAGCGCACGTATTCCGAGGTAAGGATCAAGATGGTATACACCAAGTTTATACAGGCCTCATATTGAGCTCGAAGCCAAGGAATCAGATAGCTTGGACCTGACGGACACGTTAATCGGTACGCCTTGGTTTTTCGAGATCGTCGACCGACCTAGTAGCTTGTACACGCCAATTTCGTGCAGTCATAGCATGTACCTGAACTGCGGAGCGCGGTCTCCCATCCGTCGCAACTGCTCGTCGCTATACGTGACCACGCCCTTCTCCATTTCTGCCAGTGCGTTGTCGTTCTCCCGTTTGTATAGCATGACAATGACAGGCAAAACCACCAGGCCGACACCGATGAACATGATCTCAAGACCATCTGGGGGTCCATCAGGGACGGTCAGACGAAAGACGGAGACAGGAGAACGAATGACGAGCCGACGTACGTCCCATGATGTACCGTGGTGCTTCCTGGGAGTGGTACACGTTGCTGGCAATAGCGCCGTTGAAGTTTCCGATACCGATTTGAAGAGCCATTCCGATTGCACGTTTGTACTGACCAGCGAGGTTGTTGCCAAGCCTGATCATCGCATGGTATGAATCGCAGTGTGGCACGCCGTACGGGATGATGAGACGTACCATGCAACAACTCCAGGAAAAGCTGCGTATGAACCAGACACGCAGAAGAATGTCCCGAAGTATTTGACACCAGTGGGTGCGTCAGAGATATTGATCACAAATCCAACGAGACTGATCAGTAGACCAGCTAAAAGGAAGGGTGAACGTAGCCTGATGTGATCGGACCAGATCGCGAATACAACTAGTACAATCGCTGTAATCATTCTTTCAGGAAGACGTAGTTCCCAGCTGCTTGCTGCTTACTGGCGCAGGTATATGGCGGAACAGTGAGTAGCTGGCTCACCGCCGTACCATAGCCAAACCTAATGATCGGTAGTACAGTTCATGGCTCAGTAGGCTCTGACGTGTTGAAAGTGGAAGACGGGAATCATACCCATCAATGATAGACCTTGAATACGCTTGTTCAGCGAAACTTGGTTTGTATGCACACTGATACTCACGGTAGGAAAAGTGCCATCCCGTTTACTTTATCAATTCTCCTCTCAGTGCGATTGTCCTTTAGTCAACGCAAAGCCTTACGTGGCACGCAGATGCACCAGTACAGAATAATTTGCAGCCAGATCTACGGAGAAGCCTGAGCGACTACTTCAATGATCGAGAGCAAACTTAACTTACCTGCCAGTCCAGCAAAGCATCAGTCACATGGCGCATTTCGAAATGTTCTTCCTCTCCGATAGCGTAGTTGTCAACATCTAAAGTACTCATTGAGACACACGCATGCCGTGGATTCAAAACGCACGTACTCTTCGTCCAAGCAATAAAAGCACGTTCTTCATCGGTGAGAAACGCAGCCGTCTCTGGGAAGTCTACCAATACTGAAGATGCATGGGGTTTGTGAGATTCGGAAACACGTTACAGTCTGTATGTATCCACCCACCGAATAACGCGACAGTTCCCACAACAATCGTCGCTATTCCTTCAATGATCTGAGCGAAAGACACTGCGTCAGTGACATCGGTACGAGCGGGATCATGAACATTGCATACGAAGAGCCAAGACCAGCCAAGCAACCCGGCAGTACCTGACATGAACGAAATGCCGTAGGCGAGGATCCCGGAAAATGCGCCTTCAAGTAGAGCTAACGGTAAGGCGAGATACGAGCGAGACGTAACACATTGCGAAGCGTACCAGAGAGTGTAGTGCCACCACAGAACAGAGCGAGGCGAGTCTGGACCATATGACGAGGATACCAGAGCGTCAAACTGTTCAGTAAACGGATTAGTGACAGGATAGTGCCAACTCATTCTCGGCGACATACTAGTATGCCACACCGGGGAATATCCCTGCTTCAGCAAAGCCGAGGCAAAGACGCGCTCCTACTAGCTGGGGGTAGCTGATGTACGAGGTAGTGGTGAGCTTAAGGATCGCCTCGTATATCATTCGACGGACCTCTTCACGAGTCCCATGAGTGTCCTGAAAACGCATGAGACGAAGAGTACTGATCGGGTTTTCGCTCAACCTACAGAACTAGCCCCCATGCAAGCTACTCCAAGTCAACCAAGAACCATCGTAGCATCCACTCGAAGCACTCACAGTGATGCCCGGAAGCCATCTTTGCGATGTATCAGCGTGATGCCGTGAGGCATGAAGTCAGAACGTTGTACCTCGATGGCCGAAACTTCTTGAGTACCAAGCTTCGTTCAGAGACAGTATCAGTTCGGTACTTCGACACATGCATCGCAATACGCACTTCGCTGGCGGCTCGAATAGACAATACGGCTGGCGAACATGAGGGACGAGCCGAGATACCATGGAGCCAGCTCACAATATAGAACATTGTCTGCCGCTTATCAGTGCCGACCGTCATGTCAGGCACAGAATCGACGCACCAAAGCGATGTTATATCTGTTTCCCGTCAGGTCCAGCTGAGTTGTAAGACCTTGAAGCCTCGCGTTGCCTTTCCCATGATGTTAACCCCTGCACAGATGAAGGGACGCAATAACGCACCGATGTTTCCTGTCGCGTCGCTATATCATCGGGGCATACGACATGAGACATTTATGGAGCCTACCTCTATCTAGGTAACAGCATAGATACATAACCGAGAGTATTGGAACGATCCGTATGTCGACCTTGCGCCAGAGCTTCTTCTGCTCTGCAGGCGAAAGCGTAGGTGCAGACAGTAAGTCGTCTTCCGCGTCTTTGCCATAGCCTGACAGTACGCCTGCTGTACGGACGGTGTCGAGCTCTATCTTGGCGACGTCGACGCTGTCGATGGTGCTGTGTCGTTCGGACATCTTGTAGTATCCCATGCACTAGGAAGAGTACAGTACATATACGCCAGGATACTTAAACTCCATCTTAAATATCTCTGCCAGGGTGAACGAACAGGAAGATTTGAGAGCACTTGGCAGAGAAGTCATGACTTCGTGAACCTACCCCGCTATCTGCTCTTGCGCTACCTCCGGTCGGACAAGGAAGCAAGCCGTAGAATACGCCCGAAAGCAAGATGTTGAGTTGTAGAATGGAAGACAGCCTTGGTGGAATGCCAGCAGTCTCTCCGACGGGATGCCATGGAGGCCTTCCGCCGTCCTTACGGCGTAAACTCACCAGCTTCTTCCAGAGCTAGATAGAACACAATCGGGACATTATGATGGTCAATGGAGATGGAGATGGAGGTCGGCTGAATGCCAATGGAAGTCACCCATGACCGGGTGATTAAATGAGCTGGATCGCTGTCCACCAGTGTTAGACTACGCACATGAAGGTATACACGAAAGCAACAGTCGTGAGCGCGAGTCCATCTGGGGATGACAACCTGAACCCAGCAATATTGTCTCGTTTGGATCACATCTTGACAGGGAAGAGATCGACGCACGCGACTTCAATAGCCATGGGTCGGGCTTGCGATAAACTTGTGCCTGTAACACTGTCGCCTATCCGAAGACCCTCAAATCACGTTGTTCCTCTGGAAGCCGTTGAGAGCATGCGTGAGATGAAGACCTGATAGTCCTGAGCGATTCTGAATCCTGTCAGGACATTCCGTGGACTTGACCTAGGCCCATGGAGCTTTCAGCATACCCAGCGAAGCCTGGACGAGACGCGAGTCACTCAAACATTTGGGTGAGATGTTCCAGTACACCGCGCGCATACGGTAAAGAGATATTAAGCCATGAAATTAGGCGAGCATGTATCATACAACCTAAACCAGGATCAGCGGTGACGAGGCACTCGAGTCCGAGCAGTACACACCTTAGGAGCCAAACTAATGACTTTCGCCCACCCCTTCATCCTCAGGTCCGCACTAACGATGCCACCGATACGCGTCCCCAGGAGCTCGCGCTTGTTATTGAGAAGGACCGCGGCATTGTCGTCAAACCTGATGAACCGCCCGTCTGGTCTCCGTACGGCCTTTTTCGTGCGAACGATGACCGCACGTCGGACGTCTCCTCTTCGCACCTTGATGCCGTTTGGAAGCCCCTCGGGCATTGGTCGCGCGTTCTTGACCACACACACAATCTCGTCACCGACACTGCCCCAGCCATTGTTGACCTTTTGCTTCAGGACGTTGACACACTCGATGAGGAGGGCCCCTGAGTTGTCAATGACCTGTGGAACCCTTCATCATTCTAGCTGAAGAGTTGAAAGAGAAGGTGACGAACGTTGAGCGTGCTCTTGAGACCAATCATCCTCGAGATGGTTTGAGGAGAACGTCCGTGTCGCTGGGATACACATTATGAAGCCTTCGTTGACGAGGCTTTCGGAGTTTGAAATGACACTACGGCGCTGGGGTAAGTTATAACCGGGGCTTTATGAAACTCGAGATCGATTATTAGTCGGTCCCGATTTGGGACGTCATTGGACTCGTCCCCGCACTGCTGAGGTCGCCCTTCTTCTTGTTCTCCTCCTCCATCGTCTACTATGCCTCCCTCACGTCGTGGAAGCGGCACTGTCGCCCTGCCCACTGGGCAGACCCTCGCGTTCCACACCAGGACCAGCGAGGCCGAGGATCTCCCCCATGCGACCAAGAAGTACGTCGTCAGTCCGTGTGCACGTCCGCGACGCTGAGCGAGTGCATTCGAGCTCAGGACGATGGCGGATCACCTCCGCAAATACGAGAGCCTGTAAGCAAGCTCTGCGAGACACGACCTGTTCCAGGACGGCTGAAGCACACGCAGGTTCACGCTAACCCCGCAGCGCATGCGTATCATCGTCGAGGCTTTCAAGGAGACACTCGAGATTGGGCTCGCGAAACACAACCAGATAGTGGTGCGTATTCTTTGTTCTTGCGTTTGCGTCGTGCGGACATGCGCGCCTCTAGCCGTGCGCACAGCGCGCTCTGCGATCTCGGGGAAATCCACCAGTGTTCTATTCCGAGTATCTCGGGATGATGGGCCTGCCGCCGGTAGACAGGCGACCAGGAGGCCTATTCCAGCAAACCCATATTGCTGAACTCCCGCTTGGGACCTGTGCACGGGCGTAAAATGTCTGCCGGTCTCTCTTGTGCTCTTACCCAGATTCTACCACAACGGTAGCATCGACAGGGAGCGAGTCTGAGAAGACGACCGGCAGCGCATCTTACAACAGGACCAACAAAGGCTCAACGGTTCTCCGTATGTGCATACTCCGAGCTGGGCGCTAGCAGTATGAACTTGGAGTACGAAAAGTGGCCCCCATACGCTATTTTATGACTGCCGGACTGTCGAACTTGCAGCCGGGGCTAGTCAGCGAGCAGTCGTCATCGTCCTCAATTCCACACACACTTGTACATTCGTAGCTCGGGCTGGTGCATGACAGGCACTCTTCCGCGGTGCCAGTGCGGTGCCCAATTAGTGACTCTTCATTCTTGGATGGAGCACTGGCCAGGAGCTCGGGCATGTAGAGTATCGCGAGACCGCCTAATATTGCTCTGTCTAAGCCTGTCCCTCGGCAGGCTTGTTTGGTTGCACGAGGAGCCCAACGAAGTCGACCAGTCCGATGCACTGCTTCCATGTTGACGACTATAGCTTGCTGTAGTCACCATGCTCATCGTCATTTGATTCATCTAGCCCATGATACCCACTTATGTCTTCGGCTGGCCAACGGGACAGGAACGAGGAAATTACCTCGCCCTAGATCTCGGTCAGTGAGCAGAGATCACGACAGGTTCACGTTTTCACCGTCATTGTTCTTCCAGGCGGCACCAACCTCCGCGTGTGTCTCGTCACCCTCGAAGGCGAGGGCAAGTTCGAGATCACACAATCAAAGTACCGTCTGTCCGAGGAGCAGAAACAGGACGACGGCCAGAAACTCTTTGACTTCTGCGCGGAGTGCATGAAGTCGTTCATCGACTCCAACATCAGTGGAGGGATCATCGAGAAGGACAGCATCTTGCCGCTTGGTTTCACGGTGCGTCCTCAGTGTCCTCGTGACGATCCGGTCTGATTGGGCGGCGGTAGTTCTCGTATCCTTGCTCGTAAGTAGGGTATCTGTGCCTGCCGTCACCTCACTAACCCATGAGCAGACAAGATCGGATTGACCACGGCGAGCTCATCCGGTGGACAAAGGGCTTCGGCGCACCCAACACGGAAGGCCATGACGTCGTCGCCATGTTCCGCAAGTCGCTTGAGAAATACGTGCGTTGGTACTGTTTCCCGCTCGAGCATGACTGACTCCGGGGGGGGGGGGGGCCATATAGCAAGTGCCGGCAGAGATTGTCGCGCTCACATGCGATACAACGGGCACGCTGATCGCGTCGCACTACGTGAACCCGAAGACGCGTATTGCGTGCATCTTCGGTACGGGCTGCAACGCTGCGTACATGGAGCGCGTTGGCGACATCCCCAAGATCGCTGGCCTCGGGATTGACCCGGATGCAGAGATGGCCATCAACTGCGAGTGGGTAGGTCGACGTTGCGGCGCATAGGTCAGTCGCTCTGGAATTCACCAGTCGACGTAGGGAGCGTTTGATTCGTTCGAGCACGAAAATTTGCCGAGGACGAAGTACGACCAGACCATTGACGAGCAGTCGAACAAGCCCGGCGAGCAGGCTTTCGAGGTGCATTCTCTCATACCCCATTTTTATGGCAGATAACATAACATCACATGCAGAAACTAATCTCAGGCCGATACCTTGGCGAGATCTTGCGCCTCATCATTTGTGAGCTGATCGACGAGGGTGTGCTCTTCTTGGGACAGAACACGTACAAGCTCGAGATCCCATACTCGTTCGATACTGCCTTCCTGTCGCTCATGGAAAGGTGCGTCCCCTTTCCTGCTGCCAACACCACTGCCATAAAACTTACTGACTCGGATCTGCGTAGTGACCCGACGGACGAGCTGCTCATGATCATCGGCATCTTCACGCACTTCTTCGCCGTAGAGACGACACTCGCGGAGCGCCAATTCTTCCGCGCCCTCGCGAAGCTCGTCGGCCGTCGCGCAGCGCGGCTGAGCGCATGCGGCATTGCTGCGATTGTCAGCAAGATGGGCTACCTCGAGGAGGGATGTGCGGTCGGTGCGGACGGGTCACTATACAAGGTGAGCTCAAGAGTTCGGTTTTGCGAAGCACAGGGACTGAAGCTGTGCCTTGGGCAGAAATACCCCGGGTTCGCAGATAGGGTCCATGAAGGTTTGCAGGATATCTTCGGCGAGAAGGGCAAGTGAGTAGCAGGTTTCCACGACGCTACTGTCCAGTTACGATGCTAAGCACGAATACAGGAACATCGTGACATGCCACGCTGAGGATGGCAGTGGTATCGGCGCTGCGATCATCGCGGGTACGTCTGGCTCCTGGACCGAAAGCATGGCATTACCCTTACCACTACCTCACCAGCGATGACGAAGGAGCGGAAGCTCGCCAACTTGTACCCTAACGTCTGAGGCCCTGACCACTGCAATCCATGTCGTCGCAAGGAGGGAATGGGTGGCTCACAGGGGCTATCCTAGAGCAGCGCAGTGCGGAGCGATAGATGCAAACCCCGAAGAGTGTAATTATGTACGGTACCGGTGTTGTCGTCCCCTGTATGTGTACACTTGACTGGTATCTTCCGTTTTCCCGAATGAACGATGCATCGTCTCGATGTGCACGCCGCTGCTTTCACGGCGCCTTGCTAGCCATCATCCGCGCCCAATGCGCCAGCGCCCGCTCGCTGATTTGCATCCACCCTGCGCAGCTCTCAAACTCACCTATCGCCGTCCTGGCCGCCAACGCGACCACAGCCGCACTCAGCCGCTTCTCGCACGCGCGCATCGTCACGCCCTTCCCGCGGTTCTCCGCCTTGTACCGGTGGATGACGGTCGCGAGGTCCTTGTCGAAGCGGGCCATGATCGTTTTCATGTCGGCCGCGGCGTCGAGCACGCGGCTATCGTCCGCGGGTGTCTTGGGCTTTGTGATGTTCTTCGGAGCACTGTCGGTGGATGAGGACGAGGATGGGAGAAGCTGCCAGGTCACGTCGAAGATGCCGCCGTCCTTCTGCAGATGGAACAGCGCGGATGCGAACGCAAACGCGATCCTAGCCATCCCCTTTGCTAATGAGGAGTTGGGCCACAGCACACTCTGTACGTCGCTTGATATCAGCGATCACAGTCAAGTGGCCTGCGAGCACGTACGGTCATGAGGCTCACTAGATCGAGGCAATCCGTGAACCACCTGAGGAAGAGCTCGGCCTCCAAGAGCTCGACGCCCTCCGCCTGTATGCGTCGCACGAACTCCGAGTGGCGACTGGCGACCATCTGCTTGGTGAGCGCATACACCCGCGCCGCGCCCGCTTCGCCCTTCGCGATCTCCTTGAGTTTCGTCACGGCCTCCTCAGCCTCTCCAAGGTCGGTTGACGAACAGCTTCGCAGAAGTGCGCCGAACGCGGTGTGTTCCATCTCTGGGACCTTCTTCGCGACTTTCGGGGGCTTGACAAGCCGTGCGACGGCTGGGTGTGGCACGACGGCGTCATCCACCTTGGCTGTTGATCCCTGTGTGACCTGCGATTCTGGTTCGGCGGCGCCGTGAGTGGCATAGCCCTGAACGGCGGATGCAGTGGCAGAGCGAGCCATGGTGGCAAGCGCTTCTGTTGGTATGTTGGACAAGCCTTGGGCCTGAGGCGATGTATTGGTGGCAGATCGCTGGAGGGCTTGACTGGCCCCGATCTGCGTAGTTGCGCCTTGTGCAGATGTGGTCGCCTGCATTGTGTGTACATTGTTCTTACTGACACTGATCTGAGATTCGGCAGTACGCGGTGTGCCAAATTGATAGGAAGAGGATCCGTGTGATTCGCCCGTATCGGTGGAAGGCGCGTTCGTGGAAGCATGCCCTGAGGCCACTACAGAACTGTCAACAGTGTTTGGCGTCATGTTCATCGGCCGCGCAAGGTTTGTCCCAGTCTGTCCGCAGAACTCTGGCAATGCTCTCGCTCAACGGGGTACTCTTCGATAGAATATGAAGATACCCACCCTGGGGCGTGACAGCGGTGCCGGTATGACATGCCCCGTCATGACTGACTGTATGCTGCTGCGACTGGCTATCCGCGGCCGCCTGAGACACAGGAACATGCGGTGTGTCGGATGGGCGAGAAGAGCCCAGTGGTTCCCCCGTACGAGACGAAGACGCATTGGCGGCGATGCTTGTTGCGACATTTGGATCTCCTTGGGAAGTCACATGGCGATGTGCGTTGCCCGGGTCAGAAGCCTGCTCGCCCGCAGGTGCCGGACGCGCTGGCTGCGGCTGTGCGCGTCCTGTCGAGGCGGCCGAGGGATTGACCAAAGGCTGCGGTGGCCTCTTCATCTTCCACGCAAGCTTCCTCGTGGTCAGGATGAAGAAGTCTGGGAAGGTTCCCGCTCAGCGGAGTGTCTCCCGACCGATGAATGCAGGACTCACCCTGCGGAGAGAGAGGGATCGCCGTATCCTCCGACCATAGACTGTCGTATTCAGGACGCTGCTGCGATTTGGAACCCGCGGCCGCGTTGTTGGAGTTCTGCGATGGCCCCGTAGCAGGGAGAGGTGCATTTAGAAAGTTCTTTAAACTGGAATGTCCTCGGAAATCGATCCCGCGCGCCGCACGCTCTCCCCTCCAAGGCGCAGGTACAGGCTGCAGCAGCTCCCTAGGAGCATCACGTCCAATGCTACTCGGGCAGCTATCATCGACTGGACTCGCGGCAGACCCGTTGCGTCCGTTAGAGCCGACTAGTGGGAGATTGGAGGTGGGTGGCCTCGCAACAGCGTCATCCATATCAATATCCTCAGCATATACATCATGTATGCGCCGTTTGCGCGACGAGGCAGAGGACATGGTGGTCAGAGATAAAGAGGAATACGCGTTCGACTCGCGCCACCGACGCGTCGGTCACATGCTATGTACGCCCCTCATTCGCTGGCCGCTGCTGACGCAACAAGGCTACACACCCTGCAGTACTTATGTGAGTAGATGCCCAGCTGCATCTCTAGGCTCTAGCCATTCCTGTATTCAATTTCATGCTTGTAGCGGCGCCTGCTCCTCGCACATAGACGATACAAATTCACCTTGTTGAAGGCAGCGCAGGTAACCAATACAGAGGGGAACATAGGACCGAGATATCCAACAATCAGAGCTTTCCTTTCTCCAGCTTCTTGATGTACGCAACCCCAGCACCGAGGCAGACCTAGCAAGCACGTAAGTACCACCATCGTCCACCTATCCCGCGAAAAGGGACAACAGCACTCACCTTCCCGGTGGTCACGTTCTTCGTCACGAACGTCACTTCCGTCGTACCGTCAGGGCCGGGGCCGACCTCCCACACCGAGGTCTCGAGGGCGTCTCCCGGCTTGACGGGCGCGGTGAAGCGCACCGCGTAGAAGCGCAGCGACCGCGGGTCGTTCCCGCCGATGGCGGACACGAGCGCGCGCGCGGCGAAGCCGTATGTCGCCAGGCCGTGCAGGATCACCCCGCCGAAGCCGGACGCCTGGCCGATACTCGGGTCTAAGGGAAGGGTCAGCAAGGGCGCGAAGCAGGGGGAGGCGGGGAGGCGCACCGATGTGCAACATGTTGTAGTCGCCACTGAGCCGGTAGAGGACGGCTTGCTCGGGGGTGGTTTGATCCCGGATGACCCAGTCGGGCTTCCTGTCTTTCGGGACGGGCTTCGCTTGCGGCGGACCGGCGATGCGTTTGGAGAAGTTGGTGCCCGTGGGTCGCGCGCCGAGGTTGAATGCCGCAGACTGCGCAAGATCAGCATCGGGTCGAGTGAGTAGCAGACAGATGCGCACGTAGAGCTTTGCGTAGGGTGTCCCCTGTGGGTCAACCAGGATAGTCTCTTCCTCGACAAGCAGACCAGTCTCTGTAACGCAGTCAGCATTGGTCCGTGGACGAGAGAGGACCCCTATCAATTGGGGGAGAGGCCTGATCCCAATCCGGACAAAATCCGTCCATTTGAGGGAGTATGACTGACAAAATCGACGTTCATGAGGGCGGAGGCCTGTGTCAGTATCCGGACATGGTTCCTCTAGCCCTGCGGGGCCTGATCCGGGCCGGACACGTCAACCCTCCGTGTAACGTCGCAACACAGCCTGAAGCTGGCCTACACGTCCGCTGCATACACAAGGTCGGCGTCATGACTTCCCTGGCCGAGCAGTCATAGCACGCTGTGCGCGACGAGGACGACTGCTGGAATGATCATTCTGATTAGAGCCGCAACAAGACTCACTGTTCTCTGTCACGCCGGTGTTGCGTTTCTTCAGCTTCCATCCAGGTCCGCTCACCGCCGGAAGTGGCTTGAGGATCTCGATGCTCTGCGAGGCATGTACCTAGACATACTTGAGTATGGCAGCCATCACGTTCGCGCGCAATTGAGACTTACGACGCGGTCCGGGTTCAGCTTGGGCAGGCCGGGAGTCAGCTTGCCACCTGCCATGAGCTGCCGGAAGTCGACCACATCCTGGGTCGTGCCTTTGAAGCCAAGGACGACGGGGTACGTCGGGAACGGTGCCCATGCCTTGTCTTGGATAGTTCCAGCGTCAGTACCCCTGACCACGGAGGGTCGCGGGCTTCATACCAAGTTCTGCAATGTCCCGTCAGTTGTACACGGCTGAGTGTTCCCGACGCAGTGCTCACCGTTCACCAGCGAAAAGTCATCCTTCTTCGCGCCAATGCCCACCGCGTAGACTAGGAGGTCTCTTTGATTCCAAGCCACCTGTGTACACGAGTTAGACTGGTCGATCGCACTCGTCGGATTCATACGTACTGGCTTGTCTTCCTGCTGGTACCCGACAGCTTTGGCAAGGTCAACGCCCGACATTGTAGGGGTAGAGATGTGCAGAGATGGCAGTTGTTCACGCGTTTATATCAGCGGGGAGAAGGCGTGGCATTTCCGGGGAGAGGAGGTGCGAAACGATCCCGACAATGCGTAGGCATCCACATGTCAGTGGCACATGATTGATCGCACCGCGGCGCGTGACGCCAGGCGCGTGACCGCGACGCGATCGGCGTGACAAAACGCTTTTGACTTTCTCCTCCTCCAGGCTCCTCCTCATCCTCCTCCTCATCCTCCTCCTCATCCTCCTCCTCATCCTCCTCCTCATCCTCCTCCTCCTCATTGTCCAATTGACAAGTCTACTGCTTCCTCGTTAACAGATTAGACTTCCGCCGACTTCCACTGGCAATATGGCTTCGACCTCTGCGGAGACCTCCCACCCTGTGGTCTTCACCACTCAGACAGCGTACCCCTTACCGTCACAAAAGTTTATGATTCCAACATCATGGAAGCGTTACCAACTGTCGCAGCTTGTAAACAAAGCTTTGTCTCTGCCAAAACCTCTTCCGTTCGACTTCCTAGTGCGGGGAGAGATCCTCCGAGGCACCTTGGCGGAATGGTGCGCGGAGAAGGGTATCGGGGAGGTGCGTCGTACGAAAAACGTGATTGATATTTCCGGATATTAACCGAGAGTATGCTATAGGAAGAGACATTGGAGATTGAATACTTTGAGTCGGTGATGCCGCCGCAAAAGATGTCAACATTACCGCATGAAGACTGGGTTTCGTCTGTTTCATGTCAATTACCTGGGTATGTCAATGGAAACTGTTATCGCAGTGGGCATACGAGCGTTTTGGAACTTCGAAGACCCTACAAAGATTGGAGTCCCCCTGGGAACCTTTTCTGAGGGTGTCTGGGCTCCGAACATCTTCAGAACATGGTGTGTTGCAGCCAACTCAGCATGTTTGGGGCATGTTCGACCAAAACACGCGTTTTCGGAGCGTTTTTGGGTCCGTCAAATCTCAGAAAAGGTTCCCATGAGGGACAGATGTTCGTAGCATTTTCGGAGTCCAAACAACCTGGTTTACCCGCGGTGTGTAAGACACTCAATGTGACGATACCCTGCCAGAGCCTGCGTGAGGGCCGCTGCACGATCGCCCGAACAATGAGCGCTGACTAGTGCGCAGGTACCTCTTCACGGCGTCCTACGACGGAACCATCCGCACGTTCGACTACTCCCAAAAGCTCCTGCACAGCGCTGCCATTCACACAGCACCAACGACGTCCATCTGCCTCGTCCCCTTGTCCTCCTCTTCAAAACACTTCATCGCCAGCGCGTCGCACGACCTCACCGCACGCCTGACCACCCTCTCGCTCCCGTCCGATTCTTCCAAGCCCGTCGAGTCGCAGACCGTCACATCCCTACACCTGCACACCGCCCCGCTCGCGTCAATATCTGCCAACGCATCCGGCTCGCACCTCCTCACCGCCTCCTGGGACGGGCTCATCGGCGTCTGGGACACATCCATCCCCGCGTCAGACGAAGTACCCGCTGACGAGCCGGCCGAGAGGAAGAAGCGGCGGCGCGTGGAGGACGACGCCTCGCGCCCCAAACGTAAGGCGCCGCTATCCGTGCTGAAGAGCCACACCGCGCGCGTGTCGAAGGCGGTCTTCGGCCGGGGCGAGGGCGCCGCCCAGGAGGCGTACAGCTGCGGGTTCGACTCGACCATCCGGGTGTGGGACGTCGAGAACGGCGTGTGCACACAGACGATCGTAAGCCTCCTCCCTCGCATGCTCGCAGCCCCGCCGCGATACTGACGACGGATCCGTCAGGCCGCGTCCTCGAAGCCGTTCCTCGACCTCGCGCTCACGCCCGCCGGCACGTCCGCGCTCGCATGCGCGACCGACCGCACCGTGTCTCAGTACGACTTCCGCACCGCGGCGACGAACATCTCCGCCTCGGCCGCATCGCTCCTCCACCCCGCGACGCCCTCGTGCGTCGCTGTGCCGCCGCCGTCCGGTGCGGAGCACCAGCTGCTGACGGGCGCGTACGACGGCATCGTCCGCCTGTGGGACCTGCGCAGCACGAAGAGCGCGGTGACGAGCTTTAGGGTGTGGGAGGGCTCGGAGAAGAAGGGGAAGAAAGTGTTGAGCGTCGACTGGGCGCGGGGCGTCGTTGGCGTTGGGGGTGAGGGCGGCGTGGAGATCTGGCGTGTCGGCGAAGGCGGCCGCATGTTCCTCGGCAACTAGAGGGGTTAGTGAGAATGTTGCTTGCACGCGGATAGTGCTCTGTGTGGTGCTGAGGTGACAAGTCGACGGCGTAGACCAAGGCAGCAGTCATGCACAGTGGAAAATACTATCATTGTTTCTGCTTCACCAGATAATAGGGCGGGTGCCTCGAGATCGTGACATGCATTACAGTGTGCCTCGTATAGCCCCGGGTACCTACAGGGTATATCTGAAATCGGGGGCGCGGTCTCCCATTCTTCGCAGCTCTTCGACAGTGTACTTCACACCTCGCTCGTCCAATCGGCGCTGCTCGAGGTCTCTCCGCTTGTTGATCGACCTGTACGCCAGAACGGTCAAGGGCAAGAATACGAGACCTATGCCAATGAACATCAGCTCGAGAGCATCTACGGAGCAGGTCAGTGCGGTCATGCAATTGTAGCCCAGCCGGAAGGATACTTACGTCCCAGTATGTATCTCGGCGCATCCTGCGAGAGGTATATGTTACTGGCTATCGCCCCCGCGAAGTTGCCTATGCCGATCTGGATCCCCATACCTGCCGCTCGTTTATACTGCCCTGCGAGGTTGTTGCCGAGCCTAGCGTACACATCACTGTCAGACGCGGTAACAGCGCGAGGTATAGCAAGGTCGTTACCACGCGACGACACCCGGGAGCGCTGCATACGCTCCAGAGACACAGAAGAACGTCCCGAAGTACTTGACACCGACCGCGGCGTCGGATATGTTGATCGCGAAACCGATCAGACACATCAGCAGTCCGGCGAGGATGAACGGCGAGCGCATCTTGAGCATGTCGGACAATACGGCGAAGACGATGAGTGTGATGACTATGCTGGGTGTCAATGGCGCTATGGAGGAGGCGGGCGTAAGGCTTACCTCCACAGACGTAAGGCGGGACGGTAAGCAGCTCGCTGATAGCAATGTTGTATCCGAAGCTGGCACAGAGGAGCGAGACTCGTCGACTGGACACTCTACCTGCTCAGCGGGGTACGCACCTGTTGATGATGGATCTAAACGAGACTTAAGCCTGGTAAATGGGCGTAGCGACAGATCAGCGACTCACGGAAGGAAGAGGGATATGCCATACACTCAAACGAGCGCAAGTGTCAGAGCCTGTCTGAGGGTGACATCTCAGGAATACCTACGAGGAACAACGATGCCAAAGTAAACCATGATTTGCATCCAGATCTATGGCGCGGATTGTCAGTAAGCTTGCACATGCCATCCATGAATGCGCACCTGCCAGTCAAGTACTGCCGCTTTCAGATGTTGTAGCTCAAACCGCTCTTCCTCTCCGACGGACGAGTTGTCATACTCTGCTTACATATTCAGCAGATACGCTGTGTCGGTTTATTGGCCGAAAACTCACTCTTCTTGAATATGAGAAACGCTCGCTCCTCTTCAGTGAGGAACTTCGCGGTATCGGGGAAATCGACGAGGACTGAGCTCGGTATTAACTCCAAGATCGGTGCACATCTCTCGGGAGACAGGCTCACTGAAGCAAGCTGCGACGCCGACGATAGCAGTCAAGATTCCCTCTAGAATCTATACAGTATGATCAGACAGGAGCTTCGACAAGGCGACGTGACTTACGAAGATCCAGGACCACCCGAGCAAGCCTGCAGTGCCGGACATGAACGAGATACCATAGGCAAATAGCCCCGAGAACGCTCCTGAACACATGTGTTATTCTCCTCGCAGCTCGAGTCAGGTTATGCATGTCTACCTGCCAGGGTAGCACCGCCTTCGAACATAGCTATCCGGTATTGGAGCATGTATCGCGGGTACCACAGCGTCATACTGGACGGTGCGGGACAAGCAACGTGTTGTTAGTGCTTTGGGGCGACGATGCGCGGGACGGACAAGACCCACTAGTACATTACCCCAGGGAATAGTCCTGCCTCGGAGATGCCGAGAAGAATTCGTACGCCTATTAATTGAGGGTATCTGGCTGGAAGTTCGACTTATTTCGAGATAGGCTTGACGAGATTACGCACGACTTCACTATCCCCATGAGTGTCCTGTAGAGAGATGGTCAGTTGGAGTTCCTGACTACGCATGCCAATGGAGAAGCACCTACATGATGATACCCCAGACGATCTACGGAACAGCAGAGAGCATGAATGAACAGAGCCTTCCCCACGGCAAGAGATCACTTACTGTTATGCCAGGAAGCCATCTAAATGAACGTGAATGGGTCGTCAGAGGGAGCGCTGGTCAGCATCGATCATAAGACCTACCGCGAAGGGCGGAACTTCTTCAAAACGAGGCTGCAAATGGATCAGGATGCTATGAAATTGCATTCGGTGCGACGCTCACTTTGCTGGGACGCCAAAAATACAGTATGGCTGATGAAAAATGCGTGTTGAGTGCGAATCCTCAACAGTAGCGAATACCGACTGTGGGAGCTCACTATGAAATACATCGTCTAGCGGGTCTTATTATCAACGGTTAATTATACTCGATCAAAGAAGCTCACCAGCGCGATGTTGTATTTGTGCCCGGTGAGATTTAGCTGCGTCGTTAGGCCTTGTAGCTTCGCATTACCTGAGCGAGATATGAATGTGTATCGCCGTCAGCGACACTCGCTTGAATGGCGTACCAATATTTCCTGTCAATGCCTGATGAATAGACTTCCTACTGAACTGGTTCGACTTACCTCTATCCATGAACGAGCACAAGTACATGATTGTCAGGATTGGAAGGATTCGCAAGTCGACTTTGCGCCATAGCTTCCTCTCCTGCTCGGGCGTAAGAATGGGTGGTCCTGCATTTCCCGTGTTCTCCTTTCCTCCTGGAGATGCAATATGCTCCACCGCGTTGACATCTTCCTTCTCTCCTTCGTCACTCCCAGTCGAGTTGGCTCGGGTCGGCATGTTCGTCGTACGAAGCAGAGACGACACCTGAGAGTCTCACTGTGAGAGGACTTCAAGTTCATGACCGAAGGGCTAGCAGGTATATATCGTACCATACCATGTCATCAATCCCATATTCACACCGACCCAGCTGACCGTTGCTCCATACAACGCGTTGGTTCTGTGCCATCGCATCCTCGGGAGAGCAATCAGGAGTGCAGTTAGAGCGCTAGGCGCGTCGCGTGATGCCCAATCATCGCAAAGGACCCGGCGTACATAGCCTACCGACTCTACCGAGATGACCCTATGGAACTGTTCAAAGCCACATGTAGTCTTCAGTAGTTCACTAAGTGTGAAAATGAAACGACATTACGAGGATACGGTTCAGCACGCCTTCAATGAACTGCAAATTGTCGGGAACAGACGACGTAAACGCTTACATATGATACTACCACTTTGACTTTGTGTGCTTGGCATTGCATTGAGATACGAGACACGGTGTCATGATCATGCTGTAGCATGAAGGTACATTAGACAAAGCAAGTGTGGTTGTTGAAGTCACAGTGACAATATTGATCATGGGGAACGAGCACTCGGAGCGCTGGGAAACACGGTCACGTGCTTTGCCTCACTCTATTTTTCGCGCCTCGTTTACGCGTTTCTATTCACTCTCATTGCAGTATTACGCACGATGAGACGAAGACTTGACAGCAAAAGAAGAAGGAGACCCCCACACCAGAAGTTTTTTTTTCACAAAAGTAGCAGGGCTGACGATGGTTAGGTTCGAAACCAGTAGGTACTATTCATTCACTGAGAGTTGGTGAACTGACACGCATATACTCGCTCGAACGTCTCTATGTACTAGGTTCTGGGATGCAAGAGGTATGTTTCACCGCGAAATGCCCCCAATACAACATAACAGAGTTTCCAGAGTGATCACGGTGGGTTACTACATAGATGTTTTAACAGGCACTACGTACGGGTTCCGACCATGAGGAGCACGGTGACTGATTTCCAGTGAGTTCATGTTATCTATGATCAGCAAAGAGATCTCTGATCAATGGATGCCTTGCCGTTTTTCAGCTTGTTCTACCCTAAATTCGTGCCGCAAATCTCTACGACACGCCGGCTGATTTCGGTTGCTGCCCTTTCGACCGTCGACCTCGTCAAAACCCTCGTTTGGAGGGGGGATCTGAACCCCTCCTAGGCTAGATTGAACGGCATACACGGACCGTGGGGGTCAGAATCCTCGCCCCCTCGTTGGCCCACACGTACATACGTCCGTTCCCACCATTGCGGCTTCATCCGACTGCGAATATGGCCATGTCATCACATCTTGCATCGTGAAGCTATGGTTTAGCATCCTAGGTTGACGCGCGACGTTCACCTTCCGCTCTAGCATTTACAGCGGCCTCATATACTACGGGAATGCATCCACTAACGGACAGTTCTTTGGAGGAGCATTGCCGCTTGCGCAAGCACGCTGGCTCTTCTGGCAGCCGAAAAAATCGTCTCCAGGTAAGTAACCGAACAGGGCCTAACCCTCTTGCTGTTCGAGGAGTCATGCCAATATTCGCCACTGAGCAAAAGTTATGCACGGTGTGTGGAACTCAGCACTATCCGATCCCTGTCCGACCCCATCAGTCTGCGCACCATCAACTCAAACCATCTCCGGTGCGCCTTCCCCCTTTGCAGTGACTTATCGATACCCCTCACTGACGAACATTGCTGGTAGTTCATCGACTGTAGTGTGAGTCTGCAGTGAGCGCTTGAGCATCAATCCATGGGGTTGAGTCACATGATGCTCGACTCACAGGCCGTTCTCGACGCGGAGTGGCGCAGGCCCGACACGCGGAACCGGGAAACGAAACGAGTGTGCAACGCGTTGCTTTGATCCACCACCATCGCCAGTGGCGAAGCTCCTAGGTCACCTCAATATACCCTGCTTTGCAAATCAACCTCACTCTGTGCCACGAGGACGTCCTGACGAAACGAACCCTGGCAGCAATCGTAGTGCAAAGTCTGAGACCGGAACTACGACTCGTTGGTGAGTATCGCAAATGGAGTGGTCCAATGGTCGCACCGTATCGCAGATACCGTGTTACAACGTGTTGGGCGCATGCAAAGAACCTTCGAACGCATCCATCCGATCTCGTCACTGCTGCATTGGCTGTGTGGCACCGCGCTCTTTCATATTACTCCTTCTGGTTTGCATGCCCTGACGTTCGAGCGCTCGCTTTCTTCTCACCTCCTCCCTCGACGCTTCACTCTGACTCCGAACAGCGCACCCGCTCACAAACAATCGGAAGGAACCGACAGCCTTATTGTCTCTTCGTGTGGCGCTTTGACACTAACAGGGGCCAGCATCGCCAATCGTATCTGTCGGTACTGTCCAACGGTGCCGCTCATATTCGGAGCCACATATATAAGACGCAGCTCCGCAGACAAACCCCAAGCCCTCATCTCCTGCTCCAATTGATATGGACGCTCAGTTGCAGGGTCTTCGTAATCGGATGAAGGCGCGTGCAGTCCTCAGTAACAGCATGCAAACCGGTAGCCTCTTTGTTTGTGAGTATCCCGCCTTGCCTTTCAATGCACTTTGTTGACCACTCTCGCAGCGCACACTGACATGGGTGTCGCGAACTATCCACCCATCGCGGTGCCGACATCGCAGGGTGAGACAGTGGAATTCGATCCTGCGGCGCCGACGCCACAGGCGGTCGAGGACCCCATCCCGGATGCGCCTACCGGGACAGTCCTCGAGATCAAGCACCTGCACGAAGTGTTCGACCAGATGAAGCATGAGTACATCGTGAAGCCGGCCCCAGCAGAGTCGGCGAACGAGAGCAAGCGCGATGGGTCGAAGTACGCGGCGTATGCGTTCACTGTGATCCGACGGTTCATTCCCACGGGCCAGCTCGGGGCCAAAACTTATAACGTCACTACGTTCCTCGAGATACACAGCGCGCACCTGGTCGAGATCGGGAAGGAGATTGTTGGTCAGACCCAAGGCATCTCGTGGACAGCGAAGCCGCTACGCGTATGTTCCCTTTGTTATCGGCGAACTTACATGTAGATGAATTGACGCTCTCGCGCGACAGGTCAACCCTCAGATCCTCCTGGCATGGCTCCCGGAGCTCAAGGCGCACCTCGAAGCATTGACAGCGAGCGTGCAAAACGAATCGGAAGACTCGCCCATGCGTCTCAAGCATGCACATCTGGTCCACCTCATCGACTACCTCACCACGACGCACGCGTCCAAGCTTAGCTCGCTCGCGTCTCTGCTCGCACACGACGAGATCACCTTCGACATGCTCTGGGCGCTCTACGTCCCGCGCAAGACGATTCTCTACACGCACTGTCCCGTCACGGACGAGCCACGCGCGGTGCGCCTCACGCACGCGGAGCTCTGCCAGAAGATGGACCCGCAGGGCGCGGTGCCCGCTGCACACGACCCTACGGGGCTCATCGTCGGCCGGCAGGACAGCACCCAGAACATGCAGTACATCTGGCGGCTCGTCGTGGACTACGTCGAAGCGGACATCGCCGACGCAAGCGATGTGCACAGGCGGGACGCGCCGCCCGAGTTTGGGTACGCTGGCCTGGGGGTCGTGTTGGACATCCCGACGTTCACGGGCGCGAAGAAGATTTCGGAGCTGCCTGTCTTTCCGATCCAGTACTATGCTGGCCCCGGGGGCGTCGAGGGCTTGAAGGCGCGGTTGATCGACCGCGGCAAGAAGTGGGCGGGTATTGCCGGAGGGGTGCATCACCTGTCCTATCAGGGCATTGCCTCTCGCTGGCATACCAAGTCGTATGTCAAGCACAGCGTGAGTGCTTCTTTGGTGCAGTAGATCTTCTCGTCTTAAGCGATATTTCTTTCTAGGTCAAGTCTCGAATCATGATCGATCGAAGTGCGTCATGCGAACCCAGCTATGCGGAGATTTGCCGTTCTGACCATGCGGATATGTGCTATAGAGACCTTCGCGGATACGGCGCCGAACTACCCAAGATTCCCATACGTGACCAAGACGCTGGATGGGAAGGAGATCGACAAGCACGCGCGGCGTGCTGGCGTCTCTGCGGATGGCCAGACAGGTTCCGAGGTCCGCGAGCTGACTGACGACGAGCTCCTGCTCACGACGCCTATCGTGTACGGGTTCAGTCTCACAGACAAACAATGGAGTGGGTGGTACTCTTCCTGATCTCCCACAATCCGTTCTGATCTATGTGTCTGACTGACAGTGGAGTTCGCCGTAGAGCAAGTCACGGAGTTCCAATGGAACGACGAAGCGTTTGAACAGCTGGTAATTCCTGCACAACACAAGATGGTACTCAAGACGCTAGTGGACACGTACAATACTGGCGCGACGACGAAGTTCGATGACTTCATCTCCGGGAAAGGCCTGGGCCTCGTGATCAACCTCTTCGGCAACCCTGGTACTGGTAAGTATTGATTATTGGGCTAGCTTTGTGCGTGCCTGAGGCCAGTTACTTCATTCAGGCAAGAGTCTTACTGCGGAGGCCATGAGCGAACGTAAGTATCTGTTTTTGAACATGGTGACTTGTACCTCCTGACGTATTTACGCCTTCTCAGACGTTCGCAGTAAGTTATCATCTACAGCATGGTATTGCATATGTTGATCATTCCTGTGTGTAGAACCTCTGTATGTCGTCGGAGCAGCAGATCTGGGAACGAATGCGGAATCCGTGGACACCAACCTGACCACCGTCTTCAAAATATCCGCTGCATGGGGCGCTGTAGTCCTCATCGATGAAGCTGACGTGTTCCTTGAGGAGCGCTCTCTACAATTCCTCGAGCGTAATGCAATGGTCGCGGTCTTCCTCAGACAGCTAGAGTGAGCGTTGGACCTTCAAGGCCGTTGCCGCACCACTCACCTACCTTATCAGGTACTTCCGCGGGATCCTCTTCTTGACGACGAATCGTGTACGCGTGTTCGATGAGGCATTCCAGTCTCGTATCCACGTGTCCCTCCGCTACCAGGACCTCACGCCGTCCGCCCGTCGCCAGATATGGGTCGCCTTCATGGCCAAGATCAACGGAAAGCTGCCCAATGGGGGCCTCTCCTCGGAGGAGCTGCGCGAGCTCGCCGAGAAGAAGATCAACGGGCGCCAGATTAAGAACGTCGTGAAGACTGCCGGCGCGCTCGCCGTGGGTCGACAGGAGAAGTTTGGATACGCCCACTTGCGGCAGGTTCTCGATCTCATGGAGCAATTTGATACCAGGTGAGTATTGCGCCTCCTGTCCGATACGACTGTTAGTCTGACACAGTCTTTGGCAGCCATGCGATGTATCAATAGAACGGAAGGATTGTACTCATAGACGCCCGTATAATTGTATCGCCATTTTCATCCTTGCCCATGTCCAGAGGACCCCGTGGACGTGTGCAGTACGTATGCTTACTGATGTTCATTACATGTGCTCTTGCCGTTCCCAAGCCGTAAGGCGGGCAGACGGTGAGGTCTCATCTACAGCTCGCCGAGGAATCGAAGCCACTCATCTTAGCGTTTAGGCTGCGTGCTCACGCCGGTGCCGGCCAAGAATACGCCCGATAGTAGGTACATCGATTGAGAACCCGAGACGTAATTAATCATTGTACCCGAAGGTTGTTTCCCAGGTATAGTGAAATGGGCCTCACCCCAAATGTTGAATAACTCCTCTCGTCTCCCTCAGCCGGAAGATCATTGCAATGCACAAACATAGCAATATATTCAATCAGTGCGCTGTACTTTCGCCTCAACGCACCGCGTAGTTACTGATCGCGCCCGAGGGACGTAGCAATGCCCATCATCCATCTTCCCACGCGTAGCTACTTCGCTTCGATTTCCAGTCTTTCCGCCTGAGAGAGGTCAACATATGGGTCGATCAGACAGTCGAGCCCTAGTCATGAGTTCGCCGTCCATGCGATCCGTAGGACCGTTGGAAGCCTGTCGAGTTGTCTCCGAGGCCGCAATGCGGCCGGCGGTGGGCACATGAGCTCGCGCGCAGGGTCAAAAGCCGTGCCCCAGCCCGTCCGAGTGCGGCTCCTCGAGGACCCGTCCCATCGTCGCACTGTGAACCTCGCACACCATGCGTACCTGGATGGCCTCACGCCCCTGGGCCACTTTCGTGGTCTTGTCTGCACTTTGTACTCATGGTTCTCTTGCCCAGATTGAGGACCCTGCCAGTCTGGTCAACATGTTCATCGGCACCACGAACGGCGGGCATGTCTTCCCTGGTGATACTGCTCAGCTTGCATTGATTGCTACTGCAAACTTATTAACGCGTCATGCATGCTCACAGGCGCGACGCTTCCGCACGGTATGGTGAAAGTTGGCATGGACACCGACTCTCCGGGCAACGCAAGTACAGCACAACTTCCTGTTGTGATTTGCTCACCGCATGTTCATTACAGCAAGCTGGATACGACGCGGACCCAACTTACAACGCTTGGGGTTTCTCGCAACTGCACGACCAAGGGACTGGAGGAGTGAGTATGCCGTGCCACAGGCGCGTCACGCACGCTTGGCGTGATCGCGCTCATCACCTGCATGCTACCATCAGGGCGTCTCCTTGTCCAACTTCAAAATTTGGCCTTATGCGTCCTGCCCCAACGGCGACTCCTTTGCAGCATGCCCTACGGCGGAGGAAAATCGGAAAGTATTGAGGGCCACGCTCCCCGATGGTAAGTATGGATATGACATGGCCTTTGATATCAGGGCGTTGCTGAGCATCGGTGATACATTCTCAAGGCTCTCCGGACGACGTGGCCTCACCCGGATACTTCGCATCTAACCTGGTAGGCATGTCTCAGTCGAACCTCGAGTCTTGTTAATTGTCCCCCAGTCGACAGGGATTCGTGTGGAGCTTACGGCGACGCGTCGCGCAGCCCTACACCGGTACGAAGCTCCCTCAGGCTGTGAATGTTGCGATCTAGCTTGATCATGATCACTTTGCTCCTCATCGTATGTAGGTACACATTCCCAGAAGGAACCGTCAATCCCCGCATCTTGGTAGACATCACGAACGATGGCCAGCAAAGCAACACGAACCCCATCATGACGCTCAACTCGACGACTGCACGTGTTGTTGGTGAGTACTAGACGACGTAGCTACGTGAATATGTAGTGCTGACCTTGCCGTTACCGTTCTAGGCGGTGCTGACTTCCAGGCCTCATTTGGACCCCAGCGATACAGAGTATACACGTGTGTTGACTTCAAAGGCGATGGGTATGACTTGGTACGTGCGTCGCATTTGACGGCGTTCCGGTTCATTAATTGTTGGTCTTCAGAGCGAGCCAAGAGAATATGGGGCATGGATCAACAATAATGCGGTGAATCAGAGCGTCGACATTGAGCAGATGTATTTCGGTCGGTCAACTCGTGTAACACCGGTCTTCACACCCATTTCGGTGGCTGATTACCCAGCTTCAAGGGTTTCGAAACGAACTGGGTGCCCTCTTAACATTCAACCCGAACCCAAATGGTACGTCACGATCCATACCCTGTCAGTGATGTTGACTCAGTGGTTCCGAAAGGCACAACGACCATTCTTGTTCGAGCGGGTGTTTCCTTTGTATCCGTCGACCAAGCCTGTGCCAATGCAGAAGAGGAGATTCGCACATATGACTTTGACGTCATTCAGGCAGCCGCACGGGCCGAGTGGAACGAACTGCTAGGTCGCATCCAAGTGGACCCGACGGGCGTCGACAACGACACCGTTTCATTGTTCTATAGCTCGCTCTATAGGATCCATGTCGTCCCGGCAGATTGTGCGTCCATGTCTCTTTGAGGGAGATGCCCTTTCTGATGATAACGTTCCTGAGAAGACACGGGCGAGAACCCCCTCTGGAACTCTACCGAGCCGTACTATGATTCGTTCTATTGCAACGTGAGTACCGCTCAGGGTCCTATATCCCCTGTAGGAACTCAAGATCCCTGCATAGTGGGACACCTTCCGTGCGCTATACTCTTTACTTTCGTTGCACGATCCCCTCAACTTCGCTCGGATCGTGAGAGGTATGATAAATATACAGCAGCATGAAGGTAGTTGTCACGTTCGAGGCGGGCGCCGCCGTATTTATTGGAGGGCTGACCATTTGCGTTAGGGTGGCTTCCCGAGTGTCGCGGCTCCCTCACTCAGTTGTACGTCCAGGGTGGTAGCAGTATGTCATCAGAAAGCATCTGTTCCATTCCTCGACTGATCATGTCCAGATGGAGACCCTATCCTTGGAGAGTTCATGGTCAAGTATGTCCATCCATCGGCATCTGGAACGTTTGATACAGTACTCATTTGTTTATCAGGTATTACGAGCAGGCAACCGAGCTCAACGTCTCGTCCACGGATCTGTATTCAGCTCTGCTGGCAGATGCAGAGGTCCAGCCACCCAACTGGAACTTGGTCGGGCGCCAGGTGAACATTTGGAAGTCCCTAGGTGAGCTACTTTCTGATGCAGGCCACCGGGCTATCCGAGTGTAGTGCTCACACGTGTCACTTAGGCTATATTCCCTCAGACGTGTGGGAGCCATCGGGGACTAACACCAAGCAGGTATCGCGAACAATCGAGGTAAGCAATATCCGCGCCGACGCACTTCTTCAATGTTTTAAGCTCACGACTATTCAAGTACGCCTTCAATGACTTCGCGATCTCGCAAGTGGCGAGAATCATAGGCAACACCGCGGACGCCTCGAAGGTGCGATGGCTTTGTCACTCGCGTGCAAGCCCGAATTAGACTGACTGATATGTCACGTTTGACACGGCATCATGCAGTACGCTCAGCGCGCAGGCAACTTCGTCAACGTCTGGAACCCGAACGTCACCGTTCCTGGGCGCGATGACATCGTCGGCATGATGCAGGTGCGTGTCTGAGCTGCCTGCTTCGGTTCTGCGACACTAATGAAGTGAATGGATGCCTCTCGCTTGGCTGCGCCTCGTGTGGTCCGCGCGCAAATTCAACTCCGTGCGTGCTGGGCGTGACATCAGCCACGGTTCTTGAATGGGACGTGGAACTACACGGACCCGCGGCACTGCAGCCCCAACGATCCGACGCAGTCGACGTGCTACCTCACGCCGACCAATGTGGATGGGTTCTACGAGAGTTCGCCACTCGTGGTACGTCCAATACCCTCTTCAAGTTCTCAGTTTGCTAGTGAGTGACTGATGTGTTTTCTGCAGTATTCGCAGGTATAGTGGTGCTGCTGCGTCGTGGTCCTCGCAGTGCGGTCTGATGTGTCCTCCAGTATGTACCGCAGGATGGCGCCAAGTTAGTCGAACTCCAGGGCGGCGTGGACGCCTTTATCTCAAGGCTGAACTTCCTCATCGATGACGTACGTGCGGATATGGGCTGCATGGGATCGTTGGATTGGGCTCACAGTGAATGCGCAGAACTACTTCGACGCTACAGATGAGCCGTCCATGCAGATTCCCTTCATGTATAACTATGCGAACGCACCCGGGATGACAACGGTTCGGGCGAGGGAAGTCATAACCGATCACTTCAACCTGTCGGTGAGCGGTATACCTGGGAATGATGGTACGTGGTTGAAGTCCTCTTGCGTGCAGTGCTGACTGCTATGATACAGACTCTGGTGCGCATGAGGTGATATGACTACCCATACGTTGAATCAAACAGTGTGATAGGCGCTATGGGTACGTGGGCAAGCTTTCTCCTGCTCGGCCTGTATCCCGTCCCCGCCACGCGCCAGTACCTCTTGTCCTCCCCATGGTTCCCAAAAGTCTCTTTCTACAACCCTGTCTTCAACTCGACGACCACCATTATCGCGAACGGGTTCGAGGGGAACCCGACAAATGGCACGGGGCAGATCTTTGTTCAGGTGGGCCATCTATGCCGCTAACGTATCGCCATTCTTCACGGGACCATCTAATGCCACAATCTCCAGAACGTCACCATCAACGGGGAGATATGGAACTCGACTTGCTACCTCGACTGGAGCGCCTTTGAGGCGGGCGCGACAATCGAGCTGCAGCTTACCGACGACGCAAATGTCACCTGCGGCGATGGCCCGCAGGCGCTGCCGCCGTCGCTCTCAACAGGTGGCTTTGACTAACTCTAGCAGATGGAGACGCAGGTGTCCCTCTAGCGTTCAGTTGGTGTCCAAATGATCAGTACTCAAGGACGTAGGTTCGATGTGGGCCCGCGTGTCTAGCGCACTGTCACCGGGCACCCCGAGACACGATTTGTGTGCGTGTATACGGACTGTATGTATCGGATGGCGGACGCATTGGCGGTCGGACCAGGAGACTGGAATGGTTGTACTAGCCTCATCTTGACGCGCGCTGATACGACTCCGCGAAGCATTGCAGGAAGTCGCACTACAAGGTTGGGACGCACAGCGTCAGGCACCTGGCTGCTGAGTGCTCGTCGAGGCAAGACCAACTGCCAGTGTGTGTGTGCAGAGTACAGCATCCGTTGAGAGCGTCAGAGTGACGTGCTCGCTGTTCCAGTCAGCGCGAAGCTGGCCGCCGCGGAAAGACCCAGCGCAGACGGCTAGCTGGATGTTCGCCGGGTGGATGAGACAAGACACTTATTCACGTCGGTGAGTGCTGCGCCCGCCTGTGTTCGAGTGGTCTCTGCCTTACGGGACATCCTCCAGTGCTGTGAGATCCTCGCACGCAATGCGAATAGCTGCGATCGCCAGGGCATCCACCCGCTGTATTCGGCTTCCCGCTTGCCTTGCGAGGTAGTTTCGGAATCGCGAACACCAGAAGCGTCAAGAATCGGGAAGGCATCGCGCTGCTCGAGCATAAACGTAGAGCCATGCCGTACGTGCGGGCGTCAAGGCTGCTTGCGAGCCCCTGCTACTGCCTCCTACTAGTACTGTGCGTTGAGTGATTGAGTTCAATTGAGTTGCACCAGGGCTATCAATAACTCGCTACGATTATCAGATTCTCGTAACGCCCTCAAGTAGTGCTAGCGGCCCACGCCCACCATTGCGATGTCACGGCTGTTGGTTTGCCTCGCAGCCGTGACGTATTCGAGCGCGAGGGGGCAGATCATATGGGCTTCGAGCGTACGTCGTACGTGCGCGTGCGCTGTCCTCGGCGGGCTGCCCCGCCAAAGGTCCGGTTTTCACGGGGTCGGGTAGGAGCGTCTCCCAGAGCGAGACGAGTGATCTCGGGTTTTGGTAAGGCGCGCCCTTGGAGGAGGTTCGCGCGTCCTGAGTGGTGTAGGTAGGTGATATTCCAAATAGACTCATCAGTACTGTTTTGCTGAGTGATGTCGCCTTACGGATCCCTCCCCAGGTCAGCTTCAATCAGCGCGAGCTCCTATCCGAGACCGCACTGCGCCCTGGGCCGGCGCAGAGCATATCGCAATGGCACTAGCGTCGTCACCCTCGAATCCGCGCACTGTCGGAGCCAGGAGCCTCGCAGCGCCGCTCTGTTCGTGCGACGCGATCTCCGCCGCAGCTGCTAAGGTAGTGCGACGGAGGTTGGGCCGCGCCGGGGCGAGCTGGAGAATGGCGAGAGCTGGGCTGACGTGCCAAGGACCGCCCTTGTGCGATACGACTGCAGACGTTTACGTCGGCTTCCATTGCTCGCATGCACAGCTGTGGCCTGAGGGTGTACCGTGACCATTCGGCAGCGAATGACTCGCGGCCGTCGCATCGGTTTTGTGTGCCAGAAGCTCGTCAACGCGGAGCCAAGCCCGGTTTGAATTGCGCACTGAATGCTATAGCTGATCACCGGGAACGCACTGGGGCGAAGCGGGTGATCCCGTGCGCTGGAAGATCACAAGCGGTCTCGTAGCAAGCGGGTGGTCCAGGAGACCCTTTGCGTTCTTCAGCATGCGCAATTGTGCGACACAGCGCCCGAGAAACTCTAGCAGACATCGATATGTTCCAAGGCGCGAACATAAAAGTATCCATGTTCGGAGAGGGATCCGCGCTCGCGCTCCATACACTACGGAATAGATCCGACAGTAGAGATTGACTGTCCTGCGTAACCGGTGACAGGAGGAGGGCGAAATGCACGTTCACGACTCACAGGTGGGAGGGTCGGCTCGATGGTCGAGCGCCTGGGGATGCCGCGCTATGTGCCGGCGAGTTCTTTTCATTTAGTGCGCTTCGTACGATGGCCTGCTGGTAGGCTAACCTTTCCTGGTAGGCAGATGCGTCAGGTCGATGGCGTCGCCCGGCTATCCGCTGTCTATAGTAGCCTAAGGGTCCATGAGGCATGCAGGCGAGTTCGTGGACAGGATGTGCCACACGTTCATGAGACTGAGAGAGGATAGAGGACTCAAGCTCGACCTCGACCGCCTAGATCACAGAGTAGAACTGGGACCGCGGCCTGGGCGGAGCTAAGTCCGTTGTGATTTTCCCGCAGGATACTCGAGCGGTGGGAAAGAGTGACACGGGAGGCAATTGTCAGCACCAGGCGAGCGCGTACCGCAGGCTCGGACGCCCGGGCGATGTGTGTGATACCACTGATAGCCAGTGATACGCTTACGTGCAGGGAATAAATGCTACATCTCTCGAGGATCTGAGCAGTCGTCCTGGGCGCGTACGCCAGGGTCTGCCGATTGTCGGGTCTGCCCAGCGGTGCGGTAAGTGCGCGTGCAATCCGCCCGAATTCGCCTCAAAGCCTGCCGCAAACATACACCCTTTCCTGATTCCACCGCCCACCCGCTATTTGATCTGCCCCGCTGCCCGCTCGCGAGAGTGCGAGCTCGTCGCTGCTGGAGTTGCTTCCGCGCGCGCACATTTGATCCCACCCATCAGCAACCATGTACGCCGCCCGCCCAACTCCGACTCCGACTATGTACCACGCCCCGCACACCGTCCCCGTCGCTGGTAGCACAAGTCTCGCGTACGCCCTGCAAGCACAAGGACCTGCACAGCGCACAGCGAGCGATCGTCGACCAGGAAATACAAATGGCACGTACCCTGCCACCCACGCAGGGCTGGACGCTCGGTCTTGGCCTCACATCCAGAATCCCGATTACGGTATTTCGTATGCGTCCCACGGTAGCGGCGTGGATGGAATCCAACGGTGCGTCGCGAAGCGTTCTGGCTGCGTTGTGGGGCAGTCGTCGTAAATGTGAGATCGCTCACCCGCCTGATACGGCATCTAGCTCGCCCTTCGCGAGCGGCGAAGCGGGCCATGGGCCAGTGCCTGTGACGAGCTACCCAGCACCACACGTAAGTGATATCTCCCGTCCTATAGACTCGGGCACGTCTAATGAATGCAATGCGTTGTGAATATGGACTTCTCAGGGAGTGTATCATCATGGCACCCAGCACGAGCACCCAGCCATGGCGCCGGGCGGGCAGGTGCACTCGGCGGCTTCCCATGCTTACGCCACGCCGCATGGCGATCATCCTCGGTCAGTACCTACCAACGTCAAGCAGGAGATCAAAGAGGAAGACATGGACTGGCTGAGCTCGACCAGTGAGCGGCCCGTCTTTCGTGCGCCACTGACTCCGGAGTACAACGAAGACAACGGCCACCCGTTGAGTACATACGGGCCGTGTGGCCAGGAGGCGGATGCCGTACCGTTTGTCAAGACCGAGCCTGCATACGACTCCTATTCCTCTTATCAGGGCGCCGGCGCGTCCGGTGGTTGTGACTACACTGACGATAACCTCGGGCTTAACGAGGATGAGTACGAGTATGTTCCCAGTGACACGGCTATCGGCTTTGCAGTGAGGTCTCTTCGGTTTCTACAGCTACTCACTCAGCTGATGTTCTGATAGCCTACTCCGTACATGGCTGAGGACGGATCGCATGTACGTACGCAGCCGTATGCGTACTACGCTTCGCCCCCGCAGTCGCCCGACGAGGACCCGTACGAGCAAGACTACTACGTAGCCACGCCGCCCAGGCCGATCCACAACACTCGCTCCTACACACTCGAGAACGCCATGATACCGGTTACTCCCGTCAAGAAGTCCCCTGAGCCACCCACGCCGACGGTCCCCTCGCATCGAGGCCGCCCCATCATGGACCACCTCCCCTTCCCGGGAGACGTTACGGCGAACGCAACTCAGACTCCTGCCAGTCAGACTGTTCAAGCTGTGACTGCACCATCGAACGTGCAGCCTGCTAGCCCCATGTCGCAGAAAGCCAGTGGTGCTCAGAAAGCATCGAGCTCGCACGGACAGCCGATCCGACGCGGGCGCGGCCGACCCAAGAAGCCTCCTCTGCCCAGTCGTTCCTCCCCGCCTCTGCCAGTCAACTACCCTTACCCATCGTTTGACGCGCCCGTGCAGCCCCCGCCCGCCCCCGGGTACGACGTTCGACCGCAGCGGCGCTGGATGGACTCGCTGACGCCACCTGAATCTTCGGACGCGCCCGCCGACGCACATCTGCAGCCGCAGGTGTCGCTCGACGAGATCCCGTTCCCAGAAGGCGCGGAGCACCCGGGCCAGCAGATGTTCAAACTCACATCCCCCGGCGCCGCGAAGGATCCCGTCAAGAAGAAGCCTATCATGGCCTGCCTGTTCTGCCGCGAACGCAAGATCGCGTGCGGGCCCCCTGTCGCGGGCGCTGCGGAGCAGCGATGCAAGTGAGTCTCGATTCACGGTCTTTGTCTGCTAGCTCTAGTGTGACTGTCGATACGCGATGCTGATGCTGGGCTTGTCTTTTCGCAGCCAATGCGCACGTCGCGACCTCGTGTGCGAGTATCCGAAGGAGTCGCGTCGAGGCATGCACAAGCGCTTTCCGCGCGCCAACAAGGCGAAGGAGCAAACCGAGGGCGCGGAAGGAGACGCAGCGAGCTCGGAGTCTGGCATGGACGCAGACGTCCAGATGGGCGAGGTGGATGCACCTCTCCTGCCGTCGCCACCTGCGAGACTACCCACTGCCGACGTGCGCCGACGCTCTGGGAAGGACCGCCAGCGCTCGAACACTGTGGGTGTGGCCAGGGACCAGAGGAAGGCGGCGCAGCGCAAGGCGGGTACTTCCTTGATGGAGGCGTCGGCCGCCGGCACTAGTCTGTGACTGATCGCGGCGGTCCTCGGGCTCTCTCGTACCTTGACGGCCATGTCCAGGGGTACATGTAACATCCGTACGCGCGCGAGATACTTCCTGTCATCTGGTGCTTCGGTGGCTTACTTCTTGTCTTCGTTTCTCGTACATACATGAATACGGTCCGTCTGTCCTATCTCGTCGCTTTCATTGCTATTCCGCTGTCGTCGCTTTCACGCTTTGTTAGGTTTGCTGTGATCATTGTTACGATACCCATCTGTGTACATATGTATAGGTTTGGTGATGCCCAGAAATGCAATGTCAACGCCCACGTCTACAAGTCATCGAGCCCGTGGACCGACTGTTGCCAAGTGCGGACAGCCGCCCGTGAGAGCAGGGTCTGGTATGCCTTCTGTTCTGTCGTTGTATGCCTAGATGACGCACCACTGCGACTCAGTCAGCGTGCTAATAATCCCAGAACATTCTACTGGGCATTCTACTCACCTGGGCATACTTTGCACCCTGTCATATCCAATGGCTCTCCATTTCGACTTCGACTCAGGTATATTGGCAATATACTCTCTGATTCTGCTCAGAGCCGCATCAACGAAGCTCTGAGGCATCCACTTCGTCTTCTCCCTGATCGTTTCCCCACGACAGGAGGCGATGTCGAGCAGCTGATTGATATCGAACACGTCGCTCCACTGCTTCGGGTGCATGAAGTCCTTCGGCGAGTCGCGATGGTCTGTCCGCGCCTGCAGCTTCATGAACAGCAGCAGCATGAGCGGCATCGCGGGCAGGCCGCCGATTGTCTCGATGTACCTCTTGGGCACGTCAGGTATGTTCATGATACCCGGCGCGAGCAGGTCCACCTTGCACCGCCGCGCGAAGCCCGAGTATATGGTTCCGAACCGGTACCAAAGGACTTTGTAGGTCGCGTAGGGGTCCTTCGATGAGACCAAGTAGAACTGCGGGTCGGCCTTCACGAGCATGCGCTTCAGCTCCTCCTGCTGGTACGTCGTCGTGAGGACGACCAGATCTACATCCTACAGAAACCCTGGAAGCGTCAGTATCCGCGGGTCAGAACAATAGTGCGGGTTGACCGACGCACGTTGGGAAGACGTGTCGTGCCGTACAGCTGGCAAGCTACACCGCCCGTGAGGCAGCATGGGAGGCCGTATCGCGCGAAGATGCGCTCTGCCTTCTTCGCGATGTCGTGCAGTTCTGAGGTTGTCAACATGCTGAATGTAGCAAGGGAGCGCGAGCACAAGCACAAGGTGCTGAACGAGCTTCGCTGGGAGGATGAAGGTCTATGAGAACAAGTAACATCTCTTTACTACAAAACCGTCCTTATGCTTTATCTCCCGCAATCCCACAGAGCAGCGAGGCGTTGAGAAGAACGCAACGTGTAGCCAAACTTTGTTGTTAGTCGCCTCCGCGAAGGCAAAAACTGCATTCATGAAGTCCTCGTGGCGAGGAACATGCTTTTCTTGGATGATCATGAGCATGATCGCGTCAAACGCTACGGACTTCGCGCCCAGGTGCACGTCAGACGTGCTGGATGAACGGGGCTCAAGGCTTCCCAGACGTCATATACGCTACTAGCCTTGGGCGTCGAGACCGACTCCTGTTGATCAGCGCAAGTCAATCCGCGGTGCTGCCATTCGTCATACAGACACAAACAAGGTGAACAGCGCCAGTCCTTCTTACTCTACCACAGCTCTTCACGATCCGATCCCAAAAATGCCGATGCCCGTCATCAATGGCAATAAAGAGAACCTCCACGGCGTGAAGTCTTCAGCGCAGAGCAACCAGCGTGAGCACTGCGCAATGTTGTAGATCAGATGTCGACATCTTAGTGCTTTGAGTTCCTAGTGAGCCCCTACCTGAGGTTTAGAGATCGACTACTCAGGTTTCTGTCCTAGTATGCTTCAAAACCGAGAGTCTGCCATTGCAGGGCTGACTGCGGGAACTCCTCCACGTATTCGCGGATACGATCCTGACCGTCTTGCACAAATTCACCAGGGAGCCAGCTGAGGCTGTTGCTGCTGATGCGCGTGCGCGTACTGCAGGTGATCGACAAGAGTTCGTCGATGTCCTCTACGTCAACGTGCTGCTTCTCCTGGAAATCCTCCCGGTTCGAATCGCGGTGATCCGTCCAGCCCTGAAGCTTCATGAGCAACAGGGGCAGCAACGGCATGACAGGCAGGTAATTCTTGCGCTTGATCTGCTCGCTGGGAATGTCCGGGATGTTCAGATTGCCCGGGATGAGGATGTCGACCTTGCATCCGCGCTGCGTGCCACGCCGGGTGGATGGTAAGCTGTACCATAGCACTTCGTAGGTTGCACGGCGGCTCCTGGAGGGTACCAGATAGAACTGATCATCCTCGTCCACCAGCAGCTGTTTCAGGTATTCATTGTTCGCATGCGGTGCGAGCACAATCAAGTCCACATCCTAAAACTGACATCGGACGGAGTCATGGTGTAGGCACCCAAGTAGTACGCACATTGGGGCATCTCGTCCCTCCGTATAGAGCACAGGCTGTGCTTCCAAACAGGCAGCAGTCGTATCCGTTCTCATTGAATATGGAGACGGCCCTATCGGCGATGTAGCGGATCTCTTCGTAAGTGGGAGGTAGGGCCATCGTACCGACTGGTAGTGCAAAGACTTCGATGTTGAAGGAGCAAGGTCGAAGGACGGTATGGGACTACAAAGGAGGGCGCAGCTCGGATTATCGTGCCATTGCTCAGCGCTCATCAAGGCTTCGAAGCACACTCCTTGGCAGGACATTTAGATAAAGCCTCGTGCCACACCTACTAACCAGGGTGAGAATGAACTTTGTCTGCAATGTTCTGGCTTACCCGGTTCCGTCCGATACGCAGAGTCCGTATTCTTGATATACACTTTAGATACAAAAGGGGCACACGTGCGCAGCAGCTATTCGTTCCGACTCGTTAGACATGTCCGACAGATCCAACTATCGGAAGCGAGGAACAACCACCAGGTATTTAGGTGGTGAAGACCTCCTCTATTGCCGTTTCCGACGCTTTCTCGGACACGGGCTCTTTGTTGTCTCCCTCGTCCGAAGGGCCTTCGATAGCCTGGGCCACTTCCTTGGCCAGGTCTTTGTGGTCGAACAAGGCCGCGGTTTCTTCCAGGGTGCGGTTCTTCGTCTCCACGAGCATGAAGTAGAGGAACACGAACTCGAAGGCGATCCAACAGCAGTAGAAGATCTGCAGCAAGTCACGATTGAGCCCGCGCGAGGCCTGTGTACTTAACGAGAGACGCACGTAGTATTTCCAGGCCAGCCTTTGGAGGGCAACCGGGTTGACATACTGGTTGAAGATCAGGGCGAGCGAAACACCGACGCTGTATACAGTAAGTCCCTTCGCTCGGAGCGAGTTCGGCATAATCTCGACAGTATAGGTTACTATTAGAGGCGTGTAAGCAAGGCTGTCCGTGAGAGCACATGTCAGTCGCTGCACAGTTCTTGTCTGTGAAAGGCACTCACTCGTAGAACAGGTAGTATAGGAATATAAACGCGATGACGGCGTGCGCGGCAGCCGGCTGCTCGTGGACCGCGTACTGCGCTGAGCAGATAGTTTGCAGGATGAAGAAGACCAAGCTTCCTCCTGTTGCCCACAGGAAGAGGGGTCGGCGTCCAGCTCTGTCGCACAGAAACGAGGCGCCGATTGAGATGACCAAGTTCCAGATAGCGAGGATGCTGTTCGTAGATCAGTAACGCCTTCGACTGAGATCCGTTCTGTGACTTACCCAGTGATGAGCAGCTGCGTGGTCGTGCTGGTAATCCCGATGGTGTCGAAAACCTTGTTCAGATAGTACGACACGAGGCCGTTACCAGACCATTGCGAGAACCAGCCAATTGCAACAGCGATGATGATCCGCCGCCTGTTTCCGGGGGTCTTGAAGAGCGTCAGCCAACCGACATCCTTGTTCACTAGATCATTTTATAAGGTGCGTCCTAACGAGGAAAACACGGCCCACAAACTTTCGCGATCAATTGCAATGGCGGCCCTGATTTCCTCGAATTCGAATTGTACAAGTGGATCTTGCTCATCGCCGTCAGCGTGGTAGTAGGCAAGAATCCTCAGGCCTTCTGCCTCCCTTCCCTTGGTTATGAGCCACCTAGGACTCTCTGGAGCCAAGAAGATCAAGAAGAACTGGATGATCGACGGTATACCCTGAATGATCGACGGGATACGCCACGACCACTGATTGGGTATGTACGCCGTGCCGTATGTTGTCCAAGATGCGCTATGGTACAGTGCCATTAGCCAGGTCGAACTTTATGGGGCTAATGAATGCTACGTACATCACGTTCCCCGAGTACCAAAGAGAGTTGTACACGGACGTCAGAGGCGCACGGTAGGTCGGATATGAGATTTCGGTGACGAGCATTGGTGCGGCATTGGCTAAGCGCGAATCGTATGAGTAAGAGCTCTGAACGATGACGACGTCTACCGTACTGGCGAAGCAGACACCAAAACCGATGAGAAACCTGAGCGCTTTGTCAGCGATATCAATTCCACGGAAACCACAGCAACGTGCCTTCCTCCGATGAACATGCCGATATTGTAGGCAGCAGACTGGATGGCGACTCCGATGAGAGTGAAGATAGCGCCAACGAAGATAGTTGCACGCCTCCCAATTCCGTCAGAGAGGTATGGTGCGAACGGATACGCCGCAAGCGACCCTATATTCTGATTCGTCCTTCAACGGTCAGTTTGTCGATCCGTAAAAGCTATGACTAACCTGCATAGCACTGAGAGCGCCCAATAGAGATCCAGATGGGTGGTTAAAGTAGTCCTCCCATTGATACAACGATTGGAAGTTGTTCATCAGACTCCCGTCAAACCCGTTCGCAGACGATATGATGATGCTGTGAACAGCTACTGCATAAGCGCGAAGGGGATCGTCTGTCAAAGTTTGGCTCACAAGAGGACGATCCATGCATGTAGAGTAATGAGTCTGCGATAAGTCGGTGAGTATCGGCGGCAGAAGGGAAGGCCGAAATGAAAAGCACACGCACCGCCGGTTGTTGTACCACTTTCTGTTTGGGTTGAGAAGGTGCGCTATGCTGCTGCTCGCCCCCGTCGCTACCGTCGTGCCGACTGCCATGTTGCCCGCGCGTGCGTCGTGAACAGGCGTAGGAAAGAAGCTTCGTAGGAAGAACGTAAACTCTCGTACCTGCCCAAACGCAAAGAGTGGATTTATATGGACGCCATGTCCTCAGAATAACGACGGTGCTGGTCAGGATCGGAGGACAGGTGATGTTCGGTGGCCCAATGTTCAGAGCACGAACGCCGCATGATCACCCCACATTTCCCCGGATTGACATTGCCACGAGAAGCACCTCTTGCCTCGATCTCGTGGGCGAGGCACAATCCCTTGCTTGCAACTTCGCACCGGGTGAGACGAGTACGGCGGTGATAGCATAACGCATAGTACTCACACTACGACCTATCTTATGTTGCTACATGTTGTTGCGACTCGGCACAGACGATGTGCGATGACCTATGCCTTGCATGCATGTCAGGTCAAGCGAACAGATAACATCCGTACACGGCGTTCAGAGAGAACAACAGGGTCTACCGAGAGCAAGTGACCTCCTGCAACACAGTTGCACGGAGCACCGCCGGCGTAGTAAGCCGCAGTCCAAACGCAGTCTGTCAAAGCACTCACAGGTGCGGGCTTAGACACAGCCCTCGGACCAGCGGCCAGACACTTGCCGTTGTATACGGTGGCAGCGAGAGACGCATACGCTCGCAGGAAGGACTCCCACAGAAAGAGCGAATGGGTCACCCCCACAGATGGCGGGAATTGAGAGCCGCTGCTTACTGCGCCCGCGCTTGCCTGAATGAGTTGTCTGACGGAAACGACAACGTCAGCGAGGCAATTGGATGTGCAAACGCCAACGTGACCTGATAGCCGCCACCTTGCATCCTCCGAAGCCGAACGATCATGTTTGCTCTCTTTGGAAGGTCATATCTATGCACCATTGGTTAGTTGGCAAGATCGCAGTTAGGCCGTCGACCTTCGTAGGCATGAAAGAGACTGACCAAGGGCCGCATTGCCATACCTACGGGTAATGAGTGAAAAGTTCACAAATGATCACCGCTCGAAGACGGAGCAGTCGCATCCGGCAAAAAGTCGGCCATACAGCACAACGCGTGTACAGCTGGAGCGGGACTCGAGCAGTATTAATGGCACAAGCGACTCTGCAGAGAGAACGGACCCTTTCCTTGCCAGCTTGAAGTTGGCCAAATAATGGAGTACGTGTACTCAAACGCGCTGGAAAACCAAGAAATTGGGCACTCCCAAGCCTGGTAACATCATCGTTCAGAATCAAGAACAGGAGACAGAAAGCAACGAGAAGACCCTCAGTATACAAGATGCGGCGACAAGCCACGCAAACATCTGAAAGCGTGTAAAATAGATGCCGATTGGATAAACCGTCCGGCAATCTGGGAATGTGCTTTAAGGTTCCATGGTCGTAGAATGAGAGGATTTAGGCTCGGGAGCAGATGGAGTAGGCCCAAAAGCGAGGATCCGCGCCTGTGAAGGCGAAGACGAGGTTCCCGCAAAGCGGTAGCTTGGGCGGCCAATGGCTTCCACTCCGTCGGTGATATTGAAGCTGGGATCAAGCGGCGCACGAATATGAAGCACACTCTTGAGATGTAGCTCGCCGACGACCGCCTCAGTTCCGCCGTAGTCTTCTGGGCTCCAGGAAGCGCGGCGCGAGGTATGACGGCTTGAAGGCAGCGCTTCCAGTATTTGAAATCTCGTATATATCGGCGTCCGAAGAGACGCTGCGACGGTAGGTGGTTACTGCAGAACATCTGTGCACGACCAGCTCGTGAACAAAAACTCGTCACTGTACCTGTAACGCTGGTCATGATGGTTGGGTCGAACCAACAGATGCTTGACTCACCTGTACAGTCCGACGCCGCTTGAGTCAAGGGTGACCGACATTATCCGGGGCGAATGAGGCCGACACAGCACTATCTGGTCGCTGTCGTCATGGATGTGTAGATTCGAAAAGCTCCACCATCCATCCGGAGATGAAGCCTGAAGACCGACGACAGGCACAAATATGGAAGTCGATGCGATTGCCATACTGTGCGCGACACTAGAACCGTACTAGAAACGTGGGGCCTCAGCTATCGAGAGGACATGTCATAAGATGAGTCGCCCCGGACTAATGCAATCACTTACGGTCGAAAAATGGCTCGATGCCAATAGGTGCACCTAGCGCAGACGGATTCGGGCGAACAGAGGATGAAATACACCGTGACCACGTTGGCCGCATCGGGCGCAGTCGCGTTGCCTTCATTTGCGGCTCAAGCTTCAGCTTGTTCGCCTGCGGTAGACTGCGGAGACTTGCGGTCTGCAAGGATTAGTCTGATATCAACCGCACAAAGCAGTTTTGATTGTCTCTCGTATCGCGAAGAGACCAGATGCTAGACACCGACTTCAGGCGTGTCCACATGCAGGGCGTTGGCGGAGCGAAGCTCAGGTGAAGCTGGAATGCAAGATCTGAGCTCTGAATGTCCTCAAGCAGCGTCGACCTCCTAAAGAAAATACTGGCCACGGGCTCGCCGACGATGAGGAGATGGTGAACGCAGAGGACAAGTCGAACTGCTCCAGCCTCCAGCACTGATCCAATCAAACTCCGCGGCGAGCGGACCGATGCGACGCTGTGGCGAGGTGTGGCTGGCCGAGCACCCGAGACCCACACTGCCAACATCATGGAGGCCGGGAGCAGCTCATCACCTCTACCCGCACCTCCAACTCGCTGGCGAGTCCTTCAGATATGTCCGACAAAGCGGACAAGGTCGCCCGCCCAGTCTCCTTCGACGAACTCTGCAATATCGCAAAGAAGGTCGTCGACATCTTCGCACAGCATGACCTCTTGTGCTGTCTCACGGGCGACCTGGCATGTGCCCTCCAGGGTGTACCGAGACGCCCCTATGTGCGCTCAATTCACCTCCGTATATCAGGAACCGTCATGCTGATCGACCCGGCCGGGTGCTGCAGGACCTCGTGGTGGTCGTGGCGTCCGAAGAGCACAAGCAGGAGCAGCTGAAGGAGATCGTCACGGAGAGCGACCCCGAGTTCTACCTCATCGCGCGGAAGGATCCTCGCGCCGGGCACAAGGCCCTCTGTTACAAGCTCCCGCACCGCTCCGGGGAACGCAAGCGCGGCTGCGAGATCCACGTCCTCGCTACCGGCATGCTCAACATCCCCGAGGTGCCCAAGGACCGCGTCGAGACCCTCCGCGGCATGCCTGTGATGCCCCTCCCCATCCTCATGTTCATGAAGCTGCAGACATGGTCTGACCGCCGCGTCTCTGTCCAATCATACATGAAGTCGAGGCAGCACGACGAAGACGTCAAGGACATCCGCGAACTGTTGGCTATCATACGCGGACGCGGCGGGGATCTGAGCACGAAGGGGCTGCTGGAGTGGCTGCCTTTGACTGCTGTCTACGCGGCGCTGGGCAGGATGACCGAGTTCGCCCATAATTTCCCTGACACGGAGACAAACTGGAGGGTTGTTGGGGCTATGAAGTGAGGTGCAATCGGTGTCCTGCGCTGCCTCTTGGATCTTGCCGCATGCCGTTCTGTCTGGTTCGTGGCCCTGACATTTGACCGTGCTCTGTGTTGACCTACGTTGCAGATGTCATCGCTATCCCGAGCTTCCGAAGATACCGGACAATAGACTTATACCCTCGTTTGCGCTTTCGATGCATGCCTATTATCTTACATCCATCTAATAGTCGACATTCCCGGGTCTGTGGCCATACTATATATGAACAGGGTCATTTTGTGTCTCTACTGACCGTTGGGTTGATGTTTGTGGCGCCATCGTGACGATCGACCAAGGAGGTAGACTGCCATTTGCCAGGGTTGGTGTTTCGATGATCTCACTTCTCGCGCCTCACTTATCGGAAGCCTGTGTGTACATACCACGACTTGACTTTGTACGCGCTCATTCCAACCAACAGTGCAACTCTGGTCGCTGAAGGCAACCTACGATGTTCGAATTTTGGCCGACTGGTTTGTGCCGATACATAAGCCAGCATAAAAGATTTGTGTCTGGTGCGGAACGAGGTGAGCTACGTCACAATCTAGGCAAGGTTCCTTCTCACCGTCAGCCTGATTGGCAGGTACACGGGACTTCATGTCATTCTTCTGGACGCGTGTTTCGAAGCGAGTAGCGAGCGCTGAAGCACAGCGATGCGTGGTGGTTGGCCCGGATGCAACCGCCCACCTTTCCCTCGTACTCTACCTCTCGAAGGCTGCAGTCGTACCACCGGCTGTAATGCGCTCACCACCCACCTATGGAGAGATCTGTGACATCGCCAACAGAGCCGTCACGATATTCACCGAGTGCGGGTATCAGTGCTGCCTCTTCGGTAGCACAGCCTGCGCGTTGTACGGAGTGACGAGATGCCCAAATGTACGCTGAATCTCCTGGCTGTTCTCGCCTCCATCTGACCTCGGCGCCAGGACGTGGACCTAGTCGTGCTCGCCACGCCGAACACCAGCACGGAGTACCTGAAGCAGCTCCTGGTGAACGAGCCCAACGACTTCTACCTCGTGCCCTCGAAGAAGCGCGACGCGAATTACAAGGTGCTCTGGTACAGGCTGCCACCCGGCGCGCGTGGCAAGAAGCGCAAATGCAAGGTCGACGTCCTCGTCCCCGGGATGCTCAACATCCCCGCCGTCCCCAGCGCGCAGGTCGCGTACGCACGCCACCTGCCCGTCATGCCGCTGCTCCCGCTGCTCCTGCTGAAGCTCCAGGGATGGACGGACCACCGCGACTCGGACCGGCGGGACTTCCGGCGGAAACAGCATGTCGACGTGGAGGACGTCAAGGAGCTGCTGTCGTTCGCCTGCGATCTGCGCGTGCGTATCGGCAGTCGTGAGCTCGGGTGGTTGCCTGCGGACTTCGTGGAGGCCGCTCAGAACCGGATCCATGAGTTTGTGGGGGAGTTCCCAGAGTCGGTTTTGCGATGGAGGTCTCTTGGCTTCGAGGCCTTCTGAGAATGGCTCCGCGATAGAATGCAGATACGTGTGTAGCTGAATTGACCACTTCGTGACATCGCCATTGTTTATTTTATGCAACAGACGGTACAGTCATATCGCAACGTGTTTCCGCTCAAAAGCACCTTGAGAGTCTGTCGATGAAGTGGCACCGTATACATCCATACGTCAGTGGGCAGGGTCTTGCACGTCGTAATCACTCTTCCAACCGAAGCTCACTGTCACTGGCGGCGCAGATCCTGCATCAGGTTGGCACTATGAACCAAGCCAGGCTACACGATCGCCACGGTTTCCGAATTCAACTCGCTCAGTAAGAGATATCATGTAGGTGACGTGATGCCGGGGTAAAGAGACCAGAGAACGCGTAGACCGAGGCTCTGAAATGTATGCAATTCACTTAATAATGATCCAGGACTGAACCGTTTCTGAACCGCTTGGACTCTGTTTGAACGACATGGCATTGACAGCGATCGCGGGCATCACAATTGGTGGCCGTTTGTGCGTTGAGCTTCAAATTGCATCGCGTGCCACTCAGGACATGGTCATCATACAGTCGATACGCGCCCCATCCACAACCATGCCAACTTTCGTAATGAATCCTGAAACGACATCCTAGCAGCGACCATACCATTCGACCAGAAGTATTTACATCAAACTGCGTACGGCGGTCAGAACGTCAAGACACACACGGCGGATTCTTCACTGGAGGCGACACCAAAAAGCGACCTATAGTCAACGCCCAATAGACAGCCCCTATGAATCTCTCCTGCGTATAGTACCATCCTGCGACCAGCCGTCTCGTCCACGTCCAGCTACGCGGTTCATTGTCCATTTGCATGCCGACGTACTCGAACCACTGAGGATACACACCAGAACATCCCCAATCAATCAACCACAGCCTCCCGTCGGTACCAACAATGACATTGCGCATGGCAAGATCACCATGTGTCATGACAAGTGGTGCTTTGTCGTCGAATCCATAACCGAGTTTGAAGTGATAGAAGTCCTCCGACGTCCGAAGTCGGCCGTTGAACCAGTCCGCCATCTCACCCTTCGAGCTGAACGGCCCGATGTGGTATTCACCCATCACCGGGCCATAGCATAGCTCAGGACTTGCAAGATCATCGATGAGAGGACCGGGGATCTCGGACGATTGCTGCTCCGTACGAATCCGACGCAACTGTTGGACGTATCCCCGAAGTGTCCACGTAACCCAGGCTTTTTGCCAGAACCACATCTGGCTCCAGCATGTTTCCAGAGTCCGCCCTTCAATGAAATCCATGAGCAGATAAGCTCTGCTGTCCTCGATGAAGTAGCGGTGCGGCTTGGGGACGGGAATTCGTGTCTGCGACCGGACGAGCTCCATCGTGCGGAATTCCCACTCAGGCAAGTAAGTATAAAGTTGAATCTTGATCAGCCGTGTCGGACTCAGTTGAGCAACTGGAGCAGGCATGCCCTCGAGAGGCGAAGGGATGCTGAGCCGTGGCGCATAGTCACATATGGCGACGATCTCTTCGTTCGTCATCCGATCAATGTCAGCATCATCATGTAGCGCGTGCTGCTACACGAACATGAAGGTTTAGCGTCGTACTAACACATGACAAGGGGTTGCAACATACCATTGGAGCACTGCGTCACTGAGTGCGCTGAGCTAGAGATGGTATTCCTAGACGAATTGTTGATTGAAATTCTAGATGAACATCAATAGGACTCTCAATAAGCAGCGATGCCAATCCTCACGACTCGCTACCCTCTTAACCGAGAGTTCGCTAGATTCTTCCCGTCAAATCAGCGTCAATATACCTCGACGAGCCGTATAGACTCACTTTCAAATAGCACACACGCACAGCGACGGGAGTGAGACGTCCAGTGCCTTCGGTCTGTTGGTACCCCTGAGTGTGCTGGCGTTCAGAAAGAGAACGGGACTCTGAAGTAAGATGGCGGTGTCTTCAACCAGCTCACGGCCACTGTGTCTCAGACGCCCGAGCATGAACCTCCGCAAGACGGAATTCCCGAATCTATCTTCAATGATACTGGCGTCCAGCCAGTTGACAGGTCATCGATTCATCCCCAATACACACCCTCTACTTCGTCTGTAGCAGAGGCAGTCCACAGACCCCTACAGGTAGTACGGACCCCGCGTTCGCATACCACTGGCGCCTCTTCTTCGCACACGAACGCGGAACGTCTGTCGAGTTGCAGACGGCCCTGATGAGCGTCCAGTACAGGTCGGCGATCACTCTAGCGCTGAGCAGGCCATACCTCGTAACGAATCGAGGTGTCCAGACGGCCCTGCAGCTGCGCTGCGCCAGGAAATGGACCGTACAGCAACTCATTGATTACGTGGTGGGAGGGAAGCAGAGACACAAGTTTCGTTTTGACATCGCAAACGGGAGCGGGTGTGCTTTCTGGTGCTTGACCGTGATATGGGACTTAGAGGAGACGGGGATGTTTGAGAGAGGGACGACGGCAGCGGCGCAGAAACATCGAGACGATTTGCGCATCAACGATCCTCGTAGCTTGCCCGTGCAAATGCCTCGCGGATTCTTCTATGCACGAACTCGTAAAGAGGCTCACGTCCGTCCTCCTCCGCCCGCAGGCAAGTGTTTGACCAAACTCGTTGCAGCAATTTGAGCCTCATCATGCTTACAGCTTGAAGCTTGACCCTCCAACTTGAAGCCTTCAAGCACCAGTAGGGAACCTAGTCTTGTGGAGTTATTGCATGGATGGCCCATGCACGTCATAGTACTCGCACCAATCCATTATCGACGACCAAGCGCAGCCCCACAGAACCCACGCAAATGGGTTTTCGCACAATTGTCTACCAAACCTTGGTCAGCGTACGATTCAATACTGATCAACGTGTTATGCGCTTACCTTCGTCGACGCCTACTGGCACGAAAAATAAGCGTTTCATAGCCGCCAAATGTGCCTACTTCTAAACACCCAGGCAACGACGCAGATGGCGAGCGCATACCCGGAAAGCACTATCATGGCTACCGCGTCCGACGCGTACATCGTCTTCATGGACAAGTTCACCACGCCTGTGGCGAGATTAGCCTTTGTGCCACGCACACATCAGAATGCATCACGTCAGAGCACCGGCTGAGACACGCACCAGGAGGAACATTGACAACCCGTTCCTATTGATCGCCTCAAGCAGCGCCGGCGCGCTGCCCTCTGCCGCCATCCCATGCCTTTCGTCCTTCTTGAGCATCGCCGGGTCCGGCTGCACCTTGAGCTTCGAGTATGGCGAGTAGGTCGACCTCGAGAACGGCGATGCGAAGAAGGCGAGGTCGAGGCACATGTAGCCAAGAAGGAAGGTGACATTGTACGCAGCGATCCAGAGGATGTATTGAAGGTTGACCTGCGGGGTACGCTGAATAAGACGTCTCGCCGTGCAATAGCAGAAGTGCACTTACCAATCTCCTAGAGACATCACCGCCTATACCGAACAGCTTGCTCGCGCCTAGGAGGACCCACCACAGGACGGCGTAGGAACACAGTTCGATCGCTGTCTTATCGTTCTCGCGCCGCTCAGCGACCGTCGACGCAGGCGTCGGGCGTGTTCTCTGTGGGCCCGTGCTATCATCGCTCTCCGAATCGCTGTCGTGCGCGCGTGGGCGACGCCGAGGAGAGCGTTCACTGGCGATTTCGCGCTGGCGCTTGCGGAAGTATGAAGGCGTCGGCGGAAGGACCAGCGTTCCCGTTGAGAGTCCAAGCAGGTGGACGGCAAGATAGCCTGTCTAAGTGTTAGCGCGGCGCAGGAAGTCTAACAGTTATACGCACCGAGCAACGAAACGATTCCCTCCTTGTTATGACTGATTAGGCCAGTACGGGGCGCATGAAAGACATAATCCATCAGGCTGTAGCTCAACAAGGATTGTTGCACTAGAAAACGGTCAGTAGGATACACATAGCTAGTCTGTGCACGTACGGAGAGCCACCGAGACACCTAACAGCGATATTGGGAGGCTGACCATGAGCGGGTGCAGGACGACCTCAAGGATGGGGATGCAGCCGAGCGTAATGAAGAAATTCCAGTGAGTTCCGTACTCTGTCTGGTGTTCCTACAGCGAACCGTCATGGCCGCGCTACATTGTCGACTACGGATATGTCCACGTACTGGATACTCTACACCCTTCACAGACAATGTCCGTATGATTCCGAGTAAGAAGATGGGAGCACATTTGCGGGCTGTCGATAGCATCTTCGGGAGGAGCGGTTGGGTGAGATAGGCGGGGCTTTTGATTAGAGGTATAGCGGATACGACGCCCTGCGAGAATATGAACGACCCTACGCCGATATCCATCTGTACTATGTCAGTGTGTCAATGTGATACCCGAGAAATAGTCACTCACCAGCGAAACGCCATACGATTCGCACTTGGCCAGCATCCTCGGAAATACGGGAAAGTCGACGGCAAGGATCGCTAGAAACGTGAGGAGCAGCATGTGCGCCCGATAGGTCGTTAGAGCGGGAAGCCGTGGTACGAGAACACTGGTGGGAGAATCACTGAGATCCTCTGCAGTGCGCACCCTGCCTCGGTAGGGCGACGTCGATGGGCTAGAGCGTAGAGTGGACGGTAGCGGAATGCCTGTCTCGCGTCGTGGGACAAGTAGGAGCAAGCCCGTCGGCAGGAGCAGCATGATATTCAACATTCCTGGGGCTTCCGCGTAGAGAGTAATCGAGAGTAAGAGTGGAAGTACAAGGGTGAGCATCTCCAACGCCAGATGTTCGGTCCTGTTGGGAGGGAGACGCGTCCGTAATGCATAGTTCAAGGAAATAGATGACTTGAGTCTCGGTAAATTTATGGTCACGGCTGAGGAACATGCCAGGACTCACGAGTGCAGCAAACGAAACCATGTTGATGTGTCCGATAGTGGACCCTGTCATGCCAGAAACGAAGGCCTCTTTCGAGGTCTTGTAGTCGTCCATCCTAAAGAGATCTGGCTCTGCCCCGCAATCCCAGCTCTTGTATGGACTCTGCCCAGGATGGTTTGGCGGTCGTCACAGTACTTGCTATACGATGCCTCGGCGAGAGGGCTCTGCGAACGTGGTCCTAGACGACACAAGTTGTTCCCGGAGAGCTAAGCAGCCATGTATACCGCAAGAGTTGTCGACGGCCGAATAACAGAGCAGTGATAGTCAAAGAGTTGTAGTCAAAGCGTATGTGCAGCGCCAAAAACGCGACGCGACGCGTTCAGCGTCAGATTTACCACCGCGGGCAAACCAGGTTTTTCGGGCTCCGAAAATGCTAATAACATCGGTCCTCCATGGGAACCTTTTCGGAGAGCTTGACTGACTCCGAAAATGCTCCTACATTTCTCATGTTCGTAGCATGTTCGCCGAAAACACGCATGTTCGGCCTCCGAACATGCTGAAATCGGCTGAAACGCATCATGTTCGCAGCATGTTCTGACAATATTCGGAGTCCGTAAAGGTTCCCAGGCGGGACCGATGTTCGTAGGGGTTTTCGGAGTTCGAACAAACTGGTTTGCCCGCGGTGTACGTAGCGTTACCACCGGTCACGTGAAGAATCCTACCTGGTGCAGTCCTGCAGGCGCCAGCCACCTGTCCACTACACTGTAGACGTCCTAGCAGAAATATTGTAGGTACGAAGTACGACATTCAGTTTCTGGAACTGTATATTCACTGTCATTCTCGCCTTTGCACTTCAAGGGATGAAGTCTCGTCCACCAACCTATGAAGAAATCTGCAACGTTTCTCGTGAGGCAGTGTCAATATATACGGACCGTGGATATTCATGCTGCCTCTTCGGAAGCACCGCATGCGCATTGTATGGCACCACAAGACGACCTAACGTGAGTTCACCACAAAATTCTGGCGTATGACTGAAGCGAACGTCGCAGGACGTGGACCTCATCGTCTTCTCAGACGAACCGAATACAGAACGTCTGAAGACCGTGTTGTCCGAGGCGAACCCATCGTTCTACCTCATCGACTCCAAGGATCCCACAGCGACGTACAAAGTTCTCTGGTGCAAACTTGCGCGCATAACGGGCGAAGCTGAGCGCCGCTGCAAGGTCGACATCCTCATCCCGGGCGTGGTCACTACCTTGAACATTCCGCCTGTCCCTCCAGAGCACATCCAGACACGCGACGGGATCCCGGTCCTCCCTATAATCTCGCTACTTCTCCTGAAGCTACAGGGCTGGGATGACCATCGTAACTCTCCTGAAGGACGCATGCGCGCGAAACAAGGATTGGACGTCAGGGACGTCCGAGAGCTCTTGACTATCGCTCGCAGGACGCGCGCGCACCTCAGAAGCGACAACATGATGTGGTTGCCTTACGAGCATATACGGAAGGCACAGGATCGTGTCTTCCAGTTTACCATGCACTTCCCGAAGACGGAGCAATTATGGGAGCATGTGGGGTTCGCGTGCTATTCCGCTCTACGGAGTTCATGACAAGGTGGGGACTGCCTATTGATGCTATGCCTACATACGAAGCTTATGCCGATTCTTAAGGAGGATCAGAATGAACGACACTAGTACTCTTTACACAGACACGACGGACAGGATCTGTGCTGTGTACTAGTCATGACTACCCCTGTGCTGTTGTACAGCTGTCTCGGGCTCGCTCCCTGATGTTAAGACGGGGGGAAAGGAATTGTAGATGCCGGTATTGTAATGCTCTCCACATCGGCGTGTGCGATGCGTCATGTATGTAGCTTGGGTTGATACTCTGCAGTAGCTCCCGAGGGCCTCGGATGCAATCACACTCCATAGTACACATACATCACATAGCTTCCTTATACTCCTCGTAGCGTGCCACTAGAGACCACTGCCTACACTTGCCTTCTGAATCAGCTTGCAGACTCCGCGCGCGAACAAAGAAGTGCATAGACAGGGACGAGAACGACTCCAGTATTTAAAGCACGTGATCGCGACGCGTGTCGCGTTCACGGTGACGCCCGCTCGGGGGCCGGGTCGGGGCCTCAGGCATCCTTCCTTTGATTACATAAGCTTCTCGTGAACATGTACCGTAGTATTGCGATGACCGGCACTTTCTTGCGCAAATATCCACAGTGGTCTCCGCTGATGCTTACTGCAGGTTAACACCATACAGTATCCACCTTCTCTAGCAATAGCGACTCACTTCCACTTCTGGTGAGTACTGACTCGAAACGACGCTCAGATGGTTGAAAGAGTAGGCTCATCGCAATACTGTAGGGTCTCATACATCTTCAACGGCCAGACTTTATTGTCGCGTGGCACTGTTATTCTCAGCGTGCGCTGGTGATGTTCGAGCCAACTTATCTGGCTTCAGGCTTGTTGAGCCAATGGATATCGCTACCGTCACGGGATCGCGCGTGAGCTGTGCTCATCTAACCCACGGATGGCGTTTGCTTTGGAATACTGGTAGGTGCGTCATTGAATCATAATGTAGCTACAGGCAACTACGCCGGGCTTGTTGTGCGGCCACCGGAGCGGTGTGAACACGGACGCGGAAGCACGACAGTCTCATGTGCTCTGTCACAGAACCAGAGCTCGGAAGTGTCGGGGCACCACCACTATCTCAACGGAGTATATAATGCCATATGAGGCGGTTCGGGTTCCAAAGACTTTCCTTTGAACCTCGATCACGATGCCTGGAACTGTCCTTCCGTCTATACCTCATTATGTGCCCGCCCCGCAGACGAATGAACCCTGTGAGTCGTCTTACAATTCTATTGGAGCATGCGATTCAGCCACGACTCACTGCGACTCTCACGTCATTGCAGTGGAATACGCAAATCTGACTGTCATAGATTTATCGAAGGCAGATACGTACGAAGGGCGCGTGAAGTTGGCAGTCCAGCTCCGGGATGCGATGCTAGCGCATGGCTTCTTCTACGTGATCAATCACGGACTGACTCAAGCTCAGGTACGTACCGGGGACGCGTAGTGAGTACGTTGGACAATAGTCTGACTTCTGTAACGCTACAGAATGAGCGCATCTTCGACATCGCTGACGTACCGTTCTCTGCTGTGACGGATGAGGAGAAGAAGACCTATGCCGCCAATATCAAGGCCACGGGATCGTATCAAGGATATAAACTTAGACAATACTGGGTATTTTGCGGCCTTCTGCGACAGACAGCGTGCTGACTGCCGTCGTAGCACATTGATGCTGGTGTACGCGACCAGGTAGAACATTACAACAGTAGGCTTATTCCACCTTCGTCCTCAGTATGGCTTCGACTCCGTACGCAGTCAATCGCGATGTCACGAAGAAGCTGCATCCTCAAGCACTGCGACCTCTTATCCCCGAGATAGAGGCGTTCGCGAAGTTCAACCACTTACAAGTCTTACACCCTCTCCTCCGGTATGACTATGTTGCGCCTGGCCGCGATAACTGTGTTACTGATCCACGTTCACGCAGCTTGTTCGCACTCGGTATGGAACTGCCAGAGGACACATTCGTCAACATCCATGGATACGATGCAGCCGGCGAATCATACGGTGAGCAGCACGTTTCTGTTGCAATGAGTGCCGCTGAGCGCGCGGACAGTTCGTTTCATGAAGTAGTAAGTTATGATATTTGTGTATGATTTTCAGAGTTGCCGATTGAATGCATCAGCTATCCAAGGTCCGAGGATGAAGAGACGAAGACAAAGAATGTGTGGCTGAAGGGACACACAGGTGAACTCTACTGCTACGCATGGATCTTCGTCTGGCCTTACGTGGTCGTCTCAGACTTCGGGAGTGTCACCATTTTGTGGAGCCAGCCTGTTGCTTCCCTGCAGATTCTCTCTCCAGACGGCAAATGGCGGTACATCAGACACATAGACAACGCTCTGGTGAGACCGAAATCCTACTCGTCCTGGATGTACTCACGCTTGTCTCGTGTTAGGTGGTCAACGCGGGCGATGCCATGGATTTTCTGTCCGGGGGTTTCTACAAGGGTACGATCCACCGCGTCATCCAGCCTCCTCCTGACCAGCAAGGCTACACTCGTCTGGGCGCCTTCTACTTCGTCATGCCGAATGACGACACTAAACTGATCCCGTTCGCTGAGAGCCCGGTCTTGCAGAGGGTCGGCATACAGCGGCGCTGCGAGGACGCTGATGCACCTACCATGGAGGCCTGGCGGAGAGGCCGAACGAGTGCGTACGGGCAAACGGATCTACAGAAGAAGGAGAAGGGCGTCGAGGAAGAGATCATCAATGGGGTTGTGGTGAAGCACTGGAACTAACTCAGGACGTACACATGAAATCGCTCATTGTGTTCACTCGAGCAGTATCTGTGGATGATAAGTGTGTTTATTCACCCTCCGTATATGATGCGCACTCACATTGGCGCACCCTGTATTGTAGAGGTGTTGGCACACGCAAATCGGCTCGTGGTCTACGAATAGCATCCGCACGCCCGATTATGTCGGAGACTGTTCTATGCGCTACACATGAGAATCCGTCGTTCGCGGTAATTGATTTGCTTCGTCTTACGAATGAACAGGTGCCCCCATGGGTGAAGAGAACCAATGCGAAGCTGAGCTGAGTTTGCGCCTCACGCGCAACTGACATGCATCGATAGGGTCGTACGGTGCGAAGTAACAGTCAACGGACACTTCCAGAGGGCCTCGAGCGAACCTGACTGCGCATCTTTTAGCAGTATGCATCAGGCGAGCTTCATTCGAGGAGTCATTATTGCTTCCATCAGCCCTATCAAGTATCCGCATCCACACGCGAGGGATCGTCCTGTATCGATAGGCACTACGCCGTAAGTCCTCTTTCTAGGTTCACTTCTCGGAATCGAAGATGACAGATGAGGATTCTCCATTTTCCCATACGCCATACCTGGTGACCACTTCTGTATGGGTTCTCCATCAAGCACTGCGGCTCCGTAAGGGTGGCCGTACCTGTCTGGCGGCGCAGAGGTAGGCAGTTTGCTACAATTGACCAATGGACTTGGCGCAATGTTGACTTGCTCCATAGTGTCCGAATGCATAGGAGACATCAGACGTTGTTTTCCAGTTCTTGCGGGTTCTGTCTTCGTACGAATAGGCAAAACTGATAGCTCCCTACGTGTCATTGGTCGAACCTTCACGCGGCCCGTCACTTCGACACCTCGACGGCCCTCCTGCAGAGGCCATGATAGCTACGCAGTGATAAGGTCAACACCATATGGCGCTTCTCGCTCAGCAATGCTACGCCAGCAGAACGGTGGCTTTCAACCCAAGTACGCATCATGCGGGCCTATCTGGCTATCATAGCCTCATGCAAGTAAGCGGTCAATCTCGCCTAGGGGTATCTCCACACATTCTTTGACGATTTTCAAAGGCGCGGAACCGGAACACTGCGATCGTTGTGGCCAGCGATGGCCAAGTACTGTTGTCTGGCCCTGTTCGGAATGCTCCTTAGCTCGCATATGCGTCATTTTGGTCCCTGCGCCGGAGACTGGACCAGGACGGACCGGAGAACCCCTGTCTAGTGGTTTACGTGTACAGTTCACCCCGTCTTCTCTACTGAGTTGTTGTTCCATACAGATGCGTTCTCCACGATGGAACAATCCTTTGGTCGCAGACCTTCTTCATCTCGTTTGGTCTTCGTGGCGGCGGACCGTGCGATAGATACTTCTGGCCCTTCGAAGCGTTGAGTAGGGCGTTTGCGATATGCACCACCAGGGGAGCAGACAATAGCAAGTGCGCACCTCGCCAGCATAAATAAGGGGAAAGCAGGCCTACAGGCCTATCCACCCCCATCCACCCCTCGGGATACGTTCGACTGAAGAGAACACCCGATATGCCAGTCCCCGTCGCCGTAGCTGCTTCGATCCCCCAGTACCCCAGGGTCCCTGTCACGAGGGAAGACTGTGAGTATTGTTCATTACAGTCACTTCGACGCATATTGACTGCCGTGGTCAACAGTGGAATATGCTGGTCTACCGATCATTGACCTTTCGATGGCCGATACCTACGAGGGCCGCGTGGAACTTGCGAAAGACGTCACCAAGGCTATGACCACGATCGGCTTCTTCTATATCATCAACCATGGGCTGACGCAGGCACAGGTAGGCCATCATCTCATCCCTCATTCGCACCTCTCTGACGGCACACTCTTACAGAACGACCGCATGTTTGACATCGCCAACGTCGCGTTCGACCACGTCTCGGAAGAGGAGAAGCAGATCTACACGACATCGTTTGAGAAGACTGGACAGTACATTGGTTACAAGCCCCGTCAGCAATGGGTAATGTTGGCTCGTATCGCCACTGACGATGATACTTATCTCTACCGCTAGCACATCAAAGGCGGAGTTAGCGACCAGATCGAGCAATATAACAGTACGTCCGCCTTGCGCTGATGTACAAGCAGTCCCTGAAGACCTGACCCTCGGACCACAGTGGATCACGACATCATGAAGGACGAACACCCCAAACCACTACGGCCCTTCCTGTCTGAGATGGACGCTTTCTCCCGTCACTGTCATTTTCACGTCGTTCACAGCATCCTGAGGTGATGACCGCTTCGAACGTAACTCAGCGGGATGCTCACATAAAGCTGTTCGTGTACATAGATTGTTGGCGATTGGATTGGAGCTTCCTGACGAAGAAGCTCTAGTCAACGTCCACCAATTCAGCGAGGACAACGAATCGGCAGGTAAGCCTGCGACAACCCCTACGAACTACTACTAACCTCCACGGCACAGCGCGCTTCATGAAATAGTGAGGACATTTACCTTGGAGGGTTCATTCCAGTGACCATTGTCACAGCTACCCTCGTACGGACGACGAGGAGTTCAAGACCGACGGAGTCTGGCTGAAAGGTCACACAGGTGGGTTCATTGTTCTTTTGGTGTAAACTGTTGAATGTGAGGAGTGTGGACTGACAATGGTGATCGTCTGGCAGACATCGGCAGCATCTCTGTCCTCTGGAGTCAGCCTATCTCGGCGCTGCAGATTCTGGGTCAAGACGGTAAGTGGCGCTGGATCCGTCACATCGACAACGCTCTTGTATGTACCGCACTCTTACTACAGCATGCGCTACTCTGACGTTTATGATAGGTGATCAATGCCGGCGACGTGATGGAGTTCCTCTCCGGCGGATACTACAAGGCGACTATCCACCGCGTCGTCCAGCCACCCGCTGACCAGCGCGGCTACGAACGCCTCGGCGTGTTCTACTTCTGCAAGGCGGACGACAACATCAAGCTTGTGCCCTTCGCGGAAAGCCCCGTCCTCCAGCGGGTGGGCATCAAGCGGCTCTGCGACGACGAGGTCGCGCCGACGATGTTGGAGTGGCGCAAGAGCCGAACCGCGGGGTACGGTGTGACGGATCTGAAGCTCAACGCGAAGACCGGGCACGAGGAGGAGACCGTTGAGGGCGTCCTTGTTACGCACTACAACTAGAGCACTCGTGGCGAGAGACGTGGTCCGTGGCCGCAGTGGCCGTCACAAGAAAGATGAATACGCAGTGACTGTACATCTATAAACTACAAGAGATCTGTACAAATAGCAGACTATACACTCGTGTTCCGTAAGCAGACTTTAGTCCATGAGAGAGCCGTCGAGCATGCTCCGCTTGCCGATCCGCACATTGCCCTTGAAGGGCAGCCCCGTCAGCTGCATTTCGCCGTCGCGCCCGTTCTCAAACGGCAGACCGTCTACGTGGACAGCAACAGCAGCCTCGCCCTGCAAGCCAGCCAACGCGCCCTGCGTCCCGAACACAACCTGCGCGCCCCACTGAGTCAAATGATAAGCATGGCGAGAAGTGCGGCATACCTTCGACACAAAGTTGCTGAACTCGCGCTCCCGTCCCGGCAGCACCTCCAGTGGCACCTCCACAATGCTCGCAGTTACGTTCACGACCGTACCTTCACCCGGCCCTTGCTCGCCTTGCACGCTCAGCGCAGGCAGCCAGTCGTCCGGCCGGATATGGGCGAATGCGCGCTCGGGCAGCGGGTCAGGGAGCGGCGGTTGCGGCGGAACGTCTCGGTCGCTGTCGTCAAGCGGGAAGTTGAACACCTTGAACTCTGGTTCAAGTCGCTCGTGCGCTGTGCTCTCAGGCACCTCGCCGTCGTACACAAGCAAATCTGGGAACACCCTCACGACGTCAACGCCGACTTCGATGCCGGGCGGGAGCACGACGCGGGCGTGGACGATCCCGCTGGCGACCATGCCTTGGCCGACGGGCTTGACCTTCATGTCCTTGATCTTGACGTCACGCAGGATCTGCGGTGGCGGGTGTGGTGCGGGGAACTTGGTGGCGACGCGCACGTCGGGTAGCAGCGTTGTCTCGAGCAGGATGTCCGCGTCGTGTGCGGAGACATACGCGCCCAGGAATTCGGATAGCAAACCCGACGCGTTACGGGGCAGAGGAAGGACTACTCCTGCGAGGGCTAGGCTGATGTTTCCGTAAGAGAAGGCGAAGGGCGGAGACTGCACATGGGCCAGAGGTACGGGCGGCGAAGTGCCGTTGGGAGGGAGATAGACAATGAAGGGGAGAGAGGGCACGGTTGCGTTGATAAAGGATTCAAGGGGGTTCATGAGTGTTGCATTGGCAGAGATCGTAAGCGTGTCGTTGGAGGACTTGATGAGGAACGAATCTAGTTTGACGAACTGGGAGGCTTCCGGTAAATCGTCTCCTGGGTGAGGCAAGCCTGGCAACCGAGGGACTGCGAGCGTTACTCTCAGAAGAAGAGTGACCAGAGGAGAGAGGACACACTGGATATGTGCACTGCCGTCTGTATGTCGTGGTGGGAGACCCGTATGCGCCGTCGCCAGCTGCCAGCGTCGGTCAAGCCACCGCCGGTGACTATTGCTTGGTCAACGGATGCCTGCACCCGTATGGTCCCGTCCTTCCAGCTCTGGTGCACGAATCGCATGAGTGTCTTCGCATCCTTCGTGGGGCGGATGAGGACCGGTATCGCGACCGGCGTCAGCCAACTACTGTCTGACGGTGGGTTCGCGGTGAGAGACAACTCTAGCTGTGGCAGGGATATGGTCGTGAGGGCATGGCCAGAGTCACCTTCCGGTACGACTGTAATGGTAGACAAGTTGACGGAGACCTTGTCCAGCCGCCGGATCCCCCAGCGGCCAATGGCTTTCCACGCGTCCTCGATAAAGCCATCTTCCTCCGCCGTATTTACCCCCGCAACATGCCCAGCATCAAATCCTACCCTCCCGTGGATCATCATCCATATTCCCCCGTCTCCGGTCGTGTTCAAGACGTCTACGCGGTCCGGCCCACGCACAACAAGCGCATGTTGTAGAATCTCGTCTGGCGAGGCACTCACCGCGCGTGCCCGATACGAGAATATTATGACTATCAGAAGCAGCAACGCGAGAACACATAGCGAGAGCGAAGCAAGGAAAACAGTGAGTAGTCTCGAGTAAAGGCGGCGAGTGAGCGGCGGCCTGCCGGGATCGACGCTGGATGTATATGACCCGCTTGTGGACCCAAGAAGCGGCGTGCGTTCTGTGGGGTCCGGAGAACGTGCTCGCCCTTTGCCTTTGTCGATGAGGCGTCCAGCGGCTTCAGAGTCTGAGCTCATCGTCGAAGACGATGGCGAGGAAGTATGTGGCCGTAGAGAAACAGAATGGAAACTCTATACTATGATGTAGAGCCACAAACGCGCGATAGTAAATAACGGTGCATACCGATATGTTTAGAATAATATTCAATACGTTATATGAGCGCCTGTAAGTACAGTATGCCGGAGTTGTTTATTTAAGCCTGTTTATGATAATGACTTCGGGTTATCTTTCCACCGGATGAAACTTTCGATCCTTCAAGTGAAAGATCGATAAAATTGACAAAATCTTTTTCACGATATTTCGTATGAAAGATTGTCAATAAAAGTCAGAAACAATCAATTAATCATTCAGACTCGAAGTATCAGGAACAGATCACAGAAGGATTCATTGACAAGTGTCTTTGATCTGTTTGTGATCCTCTAGGCAAATGATTGAGAACATGATATTCAAAAATTCTTGAACACTATGTGGCTCAATTGTTCTGAAAGGATTGAAAACAGATTGTCACATGGGGTGTTACAATCTTTTCTCAATCTTTCAGGCTGTCACAATCTGTTTCAAATCCTTCCAGCTGTTGATATCTTGGTGAGATTGGAAACAATTTGTATCCCAGGGGTTCAAAACAATTTGCCCAAAAGGATTGACAAGAGATTGTGACACTAGCTGTGACACTGTGCCACTTCCCTATGACAGAGCAGTGAAGGCAATTATGCCAAACCTATGATAAGCTGCCTTCTGCTGGTATGCTCAGTCAATTTTGGTCCCTCTTTCATTGCATCTGGACATGCACAGGTCTGGGACATGTTCATTAGTCATACAATGAGATGCACATCTCTAGGAATGTACAATCACAAGTACAACCCTGTACACTGAGTGCATCTAATGAGACTCATGTGATGGCAGGCAATGAATGAGGGACCAAAAATGACTGAGCATACCAGCAGAAGGCAGCTTATCATAGGTTTGGCATAATTGCCTTCACTGCTCTGTCATAGGGAAGTGGCACAGTGTCACAGCTAGTGTCACAATCTCTTGTCAATCCTTTTGGGCAAATTGTTTTGAACCCCTGGGATACAAATTGTTTCCAATCTCACCAAGATATCAACAGCTGGAAGGATTTGAAACAGATTGTGACAGCCTGAAAGATTGAGAAAAGATTGTAACACCCCATGTGACAATCTGTTTTCAATCCTTTCAGAACAATTGAGCCACATAGTGTTCAAGAATTTTTGAATATCATGTTCTCAATCATTTGCCTAGAGGATCACAAACAGATCAAAGACACTTGTCAATGAATCCTTCTGTGATCTGTTCCTGATACTTCGAGTCTGAATGATTAATTGATTGTTTCTGACTTTTATTGACAATCTTTCATACGAAATATCGTGAAAAAGATTTTGTCAATTTTATCGATCTTTCACTTGAAGGATCGAAAGTTTCATCCGGTGTTCAACGCCCAGGATCCTTCAATCTGTTGAGACCACACTCTGACGATCCGCTCACACAATCCACATCTTAAGCATACTGAAGCTCTGAAACAAGAGCAAGTCCTCCTCGTCACAAAATGAATGTCATATTTGACGTTGATTTGATGTCGTGAATCCGATTTCAGCGAGGGATACAACCGGACAACGATGCGACTCATGCGAGCAATGCTTCACGCGATCAGCATCCTAGGATTGTATTCATACCATCTGCATGATACTGGTAAGCATCCACAGTATGGAGGGGATGCCGCAATACAGCTTTACTTACCGACGCTATTGACTCAACCTCTACAGTTATGCCTCTAGATCTCATGCTCATCTCTCTTTGCAAACTTGCTCTCGCACACGGATCCTCGGTCTTCATGCACAAATGTCTGGACATACGTTTCCCCGCATATCCTCTCAGCGACCGCATGTGTGCCGTCTAGCCTTATCGCACTAGTACCTAACGTCAGGCCGCGAGTCAGGCTGATTGATGCCCACAAATAGCGGTCATCTGAGCTGCTCCGGGTCAGCGCTCCTTTGAAATCATTCCTCAGGCTTGTCGTCGTCCTACTCCAGATCATGAACTTGAAGGGCTCAGCGGACGCCTCAGTCGACGTTGAGAGCATCCGAAAGCATGTTTTGTCTCCCTCGGTGCAGGCTGCGGACGCGCCGGTCGATGCCTCCGACAAGCGGCTGCATGAACTCGGCTACAAGAGCGAGTTCAGGAGGGACATGTCCCTCTTCGGCGTGCTCGGTATATCCTTCTGTGCCATTGGCATCCTGACGGGCATGAGCAGCGCGTTTCAGACGGGATTGTTCTCGGGCGGACCTCTTGGATTGTTCTGGGGATGGAATGTGCGGACGTCTATGTTCTTGTTCTCTTGGTCGCGTTGAACGAGCCTGTGACAGATTTGCAGCCTATTCATGTTTCTCATAGCCCTGTCGCTCGCGGAGATCTGCAGTGCATAGTGAGCTCGATGCTGTTTCTCGTATTACCAGTGCTGAAGGGACACTCGCGTCAGTCCGACCATGGGAGGCTTGTACTTCTGGGTATGCAAGATGAAACCAGATCTTCCTGTCTTGGGCTGTGAGTGCACTCGCTCGACGTGTCGTTCTGGGTACACGACCTGACATCGTCTCTCAGTCTGCGTCAGTGACACGCGCCTGGGCACGTTCGGCGATCGCTGACTGTGCTAATAGACAGGATGGATCTACAGTATTGCGATGGTCTTCACAGGCACCTCGGGGAACCTCAGTGTCGCACTCTACCTCGCGTGCATGGCGGAGGTGGGGCAGGGACGTACGCTCACGCGAGTCGAGATCGCCGCGATTGCATGGGGCGTGAACATCGCGTCTGGAATCATCAATACCATCGGCACGCGTGCGATTGGCGGAATGAGTACGTTCAATCTGTGGTGGACCTTGGGTGGGACGTTTGTGCTCGTGATCACGCTGTTGGTCAAGGCGCCGGTGAAGGTACGCCGAGCACCCATCTCCCTTTTGTGCTGCTGAGCTGATGTACTCGCAGAACTCCGCGGACTTCGTCTTCACTGACTACCAGAAGTACGTGTCTCTGTTCGTACACAAGTATTGTTACACTAACACCACGTAGTTTCACCGGCTGGAGCAACAAAGGTTTCGTTGTGCTCCTCGGGTTCCTGCAAGCTGTGTACACCCTCGAAGGCTGCGAGACCGCCGCGCAAGTGGCCGAAGAGGCACAGAACGCGTCGTTGCTCGCGCCGCTCGGGGTCGTCTTCTCCATCGTCGGTTCCTGGCTCATCGGGCTCGCCTACATGCTTGCGCTCCTCTTCGGAGTGCAGTCGATCGCGTCCGTGCAGGCCACGTCGTTCGCGCTGCCGATTGCGCAGCTCTACTACGATGCTGTCGGCCAGCGACTCACGCTCATGTGCTTGTTCGTCGTCGCGCTAGCGCAGTTTATGGCTGCTGTGACTGCGTTCACGGCGAGTTCGCGATTGATGTACGCGCTAGCGCGAGATCGTGCGATGCCTGCGCGGTCGAGGTTCATGAGCCTGAACCGGTGGCAGAGTCCGTACTGGGGCGTGTGGATATCGGTACTCATCGGATGCATCATCTCGTGCGCGTACATTGGCTCAACGATCGCGGTGCGTATGTTCGCCGATGATAATCAGTCAACGGATATTCATGCTTGGTACAGTTCAACGCTATCCTGTCTTCGGCGGCAATCGCGGTTATGCTCTCCTACTTGCAGCCTATCCTGATCCGCCTTTGCTGGCCATCTACGTTCGGCTCGTGAATACCTCTCTTCTGAGACAATTCCTCACTGTTGTCTAGAACCCTACCTGAACCTGGTCCTTTCCATCTCGGACACTACTCATGGTACATCAATCTCGCAAGCGCACTGGTGCGTATTCAGCGCTAAACACTGTGCCTGCCCTGACTTGTGCCCCATATGTTTAGTTCACAATGTTCATTTGCGTACTGTTCGTGCTGCCGACAGCATATCCCGTGGATGCACTCAACATGAACTATGCCGTTGTGGCGATTGGTGGGGTAATACTCATAGTATCGCTGTGTTGGGTCCTCTGGGGATACAGGCACTTCAAGGGGCCTGTGAGTACACGTTCCGAAGAGCTTGAGGAGGAAGATAGAAAAATCGAATGAGATTACGGGGAATTAAGTGGATGCCAGGTGTGATTGTTTCGTCCTAGCACTTGTCGGCATGGAACAAATCTAGGAGTCCGTTGTATGGAAAAGCGGTGATTGTATCTTTCCACGTTTCTACATGGTGGTTGGCGCACACTACTGGTGAGTGGGTGCATCTCTCCGATTGATGCTCGGATCATTACCAGCGACTAACATAGACATTGGAACAGACACCGTGGAGAGTTCTGTTTCGCACTACGGAAATTGCACTCAGCTATCTCAGTGCTACACCGTTCAATAGAGCTTACACAACGACCATCGACCATCAAATGACTGCGCGAGAGGCCCGCGAAGACTGTGTACAAGCCGAAAGTACCGGTGCTTTGACTCCGAGTTCGGCAATGGAAGGTGCGAAGTCGAACCTACGCACTCGACCATCAAACGGCTGCACGAGCGGTCCGCAAAGACTGTGTGTATATGCCGAAAGTACCGGTGCTTTGACTCCGAGTCCGGCAATGGACGAAGTCGAACCTACGCATTACATTGGCAGAACGCAAGCATCTCGGATGCGTTGGAAGTACGCAACCACATAAGTCATGTATTGTCAGCGTATTACAAAATAGCTCAGTCGGCAGGCTGACACCCTAGCGTCTCAGGCTGAAGTTTCCGAGGAGTCACCACACTACCCAGAGTTGCGCATGCTGAAGTATCTTGAGCGTCGTTTTGCTGTAAGCTTCATCGACATGCATAGGGCTCGTTGACATAATCCAGCTCGTGTTCCGGGACAGAGAGGGTGCTCGAGGATGCGCAATACTAGCACCAGCGCCGTCAATCTATAGAGTCGGGCACCTCATTCCCAGGCGAAGCAACAAGGTAATGCACCACGGGAGGCTGTGGCGCCAGAGATAGCGGAGAGGCTTCACTCGATGTTGGTGCATACGTCGTGAGCATTCTCATATGACCATGACACCCACTCGCTCAGGCTGATGCTAGAGAGAGCTTCCATTTCACGCAGGGAGTTCAAACTTCGTTGGCTTATCTTGCGATAAGTAGCGAAGGTTACGGGCTCCCGCTGTTGCTGCGCAGGGCGTATAAAATACATTCGATCCACCAGTTAGTGCAAGTCGTCGTCACTGAGCCCGTCTACAAGTGAAGATGCCTAGTGTCATACGCCCCGCTATTCCCCACTACGTCGCACCCCCTCCAACTCAAGAGAATTGTGAGTCTTTCTTTGGAACCTCTGATGAACCGCGCTAATAGACGTGCTGTACAGTGGAATATGCCGACCTCGCGATCCTCGACTTCTCCAAAATAGGGACCCCAGAGGGCCGCGCTGAGCTCTCCATTCAGCTGCGCGATGCCATGACAGCCCATGGCTTCTTCTACATCGTGAACCACGGCCTTACGCAGGCCGAGGTAAGGTGCTATACAATCTCAATGCGATTTCGCTCAACAAGTCGTAGAACGATCGCATATTTGACATTGCTGATGTGGCGTTCTCTGGCGTTCCCGAGGAGGAGAAACGCAACTACCTGGCGAACATCAAGAGTGGTGGGTCATACCAAGGCTACAAACTCAGGGAATATTGGGCAGGTGTCGCAACGCACCTTGACAGTCATTGACGCTGACGCGACACCACTCGCACAGCACATTGATGGCGGTGTCCGTGACCAGATCGAACACTACAACAGTTCGTCATACCGTCGCTGACATACATGCACTGAACTGATTACGGGCTTTCAAGTCAACAAGGATGTCAATCGGAGGCAGCACCCGCAAGCGATGTCCCCTCTGCTCCCGGAGGTGGAAGAGTTCGCAAAGTTTAACTATTGTCAAGTCTTGCAGCCTCTCTTGCGGTATGTTGCACTGTTAACACTAGGAAGCGCTCGCCTGATAATGATTCGTCGCAAGCCTCTTTGCCCTCGGTCTGGAACTTCCGGAAGATACATTCATCAACATGCACAACTTTACTTCACCGGGAGAGTCGTATGGTGCGTGTGTATAATTGCTCGAAGCTCCTTGCGTTCTAACAATTTGTTACGATACCATACATAGTTCGCTTGATGAAGTAGTGGGTAATTTGCATCCAGCGTACCGGGCGATCGTTCATTTTCGCGGCTTGCACAGTTACGAGAGGCCTTCCGACGACGAAATCAAGGCAAAACAAGTGTGGTTCAAGGGACACACTGACATTGGTAGCATCACTCTCCTATGGAGCCAGCCAGTCACGGCCTTGCAGATGCTTATGCCTGACGGCCAATGGCGTTACGTCAGACACATTGACAATGCACTCGTGAGGGCTTGGTCACCGTATCTGTTGGACTTGCGATTAATGTCATGTCTCTGCAGACCGTCAACTCCGGCGATGCCATGGAATTCCTCTCAGGTGGCTTCTACAAGCCTACCATCCACCGCGTCGTTCAGCCTCCTCAGGACCAGCGGGGCTACAACCGCCTTAGCGTCATATTCTTCGCCATGACCGACGATGATGTGAAGCTAGTCCCCCGCGTCGAGAGCCCTGTGCTCCAGAAGCACGGCATTCAACGGCGCTGGGCAGACGACGCCGACGCGCCCACGATGGATGCATGGCGGAAGGGCAGGACGAGGGCGTACGGTCTTGTCGAGACCAAGATGAAAGAGAACGGTACAGAGGAGAACATCGTGGATGGCATCGCAGTCAAGCATTACAACTGAACTTGTGTTCACGTTTCTCGAAACACGAGTCACTCCAAATTATGCCAGAATACAAAGTCGTGGATTGGCGTGTAAAGTGTTACGTGGCATGGTCAATCAATGTGTAAACGTTGTGTGCGGGCTCCTAGAGGATGCCGTCACGCTGGACCGTCGTACCCATCTACACTGATTACCTTTTTTGGAAGTGCTACCAACCGCCGCTGCGGCGCTGTGGCTGCTCAAGCACCGACGTCGTCGGTCCGAGCTTTCACGCTTCAACCTACATGCATTCTCGGACGAACTCTGAGGCATCTTTCATCTTGGTTGGCTCCGAATCTGGACGTGACGCAGACAGACGCGGCAGCAAAGACAGCACCGATGCTGAGACTGGACAGGCCGACGTGAAGAGTAAACCTCTCAAGCTACAAGATACGAACCAACCCTCACAATCCTTCGCACACGACTGGTCTACTGTTGGGACAGGTGGAAAGCTGTACGTCCACGGCCGGCACTTTGTTGACGCGCACGGACGCGTGTGTAACCTCCGGGGAGTGAACTTGTCGGGGAACTGCAAAACGTATGTGCAGTATACGTCGTACTGAACTGCTAAACGGGCACCAAGCATGAACTCTGACTTGACTCTGATTCCCAAGGCCCACGAATCATGATCACGACGACTTCCCTGCCAACCACGCAGACGTGACGTTTGTCGGACGACCGTTTCCTCTCGAAGAGGCTCCAGACCACTTTGCTAGGCTGCGTAGATGGGGCTTGACTTTCAGTGCGTGGAATACGCACGGCACGTACTCTGATAGTCTTACACGACTCCAGTCAGGTTCCTCGTGACTTGGGAGGCGGTCGAACATGCGGGACCGTGAGTACCTCTATCCAGTCTAAGGCGCAGAGTGCGTATTGTTGAAGCTTCCGTCCACGCCAGTGGTATCTACGATACCGACTACTTGTCCTACATCCGTAATCTGCTCTCCCTTCTTCCGCAGTACGGTTTGACGGCCTTCGTCGTTCTACACCAAGACGTATGGTCGCGCTACTCCGGCGGGTCCGGGGCACCAGCGTGGACGTTGGAAGCGGTGGGATTCGACCTTCACGGACTGGAGGAGCCAGGCGCTGCGTGGTTGAGGGGTATCAAGGGTGGAGGTCATATAGAGGACGAGCGAGGGCTCTGGCCATGTGGGTACCAGAAGCTGGCTGCTGCGACCATGGCGTGAGTCACATCTCTTGGATTTGGGGAGAACTATGCTCAATTTGGAGTCGGCGGCCCGCAGGACGTGTTTCTGGGCGGGTGACATGTTCGCGCCGAAGTTGAAGGTCAAGAACACGGACGGAGAGGAAGTGTCGATACAAACGTTCCTTCAAACAGCGTTCCTCAATATGTGGCAAGTCGTCGCCAACACCGTCGGTGACTTGGAAGGCATTCTGGGCTTCGAGGTCAGTACTGATCTCTGCAGATGCGGTCACACCTGGCTGAGGTATCCCTATCTAGATCATGAACGAGCCGCACCGGGGCTATGTCGAGCTGTGCTCTATGCACGCATTTGACTACAACACGGATCTCCATCTTGGGCACGTCCGTAAGTTCTGTTATGTCGCTAGTCGATCCAGCTAGGGATTGATTCACGACCCCAGCCACTGCATTCCAATCTTTCATGCTCGGAGCCGGCCACCCAACCGCCGTTGGCTTCTGGACGCGTTCCTTTCCCATGCCCACCCGGCGCACTTCCACCAAGGTTCTTAACACCGCGCGCCAGAATGCGTGGCGCGACGACGGTCCGACGAAGGGCATATGTCTCTGGGAGATGCACGGCGTGTGGGGCTGGGACAGCCGGAAGGATGAGGGCGTCGTGCTGAGGGAGAGTTACTTCACAAAGGACCCGATGACTGGACGGAAGGTTGACTGGTATGAAGACTTCTTCTACCCTTTCGTCAACAGGTGGGCGGAGGTGGTGAGAGGTGCAACGAGCCCTGACAAGCTCGTGCTGGCGGAACCTATACCCAATGAGGTATGCCGAACCAAGGTTTTTGTGCTTGTCATTGCTGCTTGACGATGGTTTGCCTAATAGTTCTGTCCGGCGTCTTGGACGGCCGACCGACGTCCTCCGAATATGGTCTATGCACCACACTGGTAGGTGTCTCGGACTCTTTAACCCATCGCTGTTGACGAATACTCACTCAGGTATGACCTGAACGCGTTGTTCACAAAAGCCTTCGGCGATTTCACCGTCAACGTTCAAGGCTTGTCTAGGGTATGCCTAACACAGAGGTGATGAAGGCTGAACAGAAAGCTAATATGTGCTTCGTAGGGCATGTTCCCCTTGAAAGCCTTTTACTGGGGTCACCAAGGCGCCAGGGACAACTTCGCTCTGCAGATCCGAAACATCGTTGAGGCAGGCTACCGTTCCCTGGGCGAGAAGCCAGTTATCATCGGCGAGTGCGGCATTCCGATGGACTTGAAGTGAGTCTACGTTTCCAGCGCGAACGGCGCCGACTGACGTTCCACCAGCAAGGGCGAAGCTTTCAAGACAGATAGATGGCACTGGCAGACACGCATGATGGACGCAATGCTCACTGCGCTCGACCGCAGTCTTGTTGGCTTCACGTACGTCGCTCTTCTTCAGCCCTGATCACCCGCAATTCATATCTGCCATCACCAGGCTGTGGAACTACAACCCCGACAACGATGATCACACCGGCGACGACTGGAACGGCGAAAACTTCTCGTGGTTCAGCCGCCGCCGTGCCCTGTCCGGCGTCTGGCTCGACCACGCACAGACCTCGCCCACGCTGGACAACGGCGCACGCATCCTCCGCGCGTTCGTGCGGCCGTACGCGGCGAAGACCGCCGGCATCCCGAGACACTTCTCGTACGAGATGAACACCGGAGCGTTCGAGTACGAGTGGGTCGTCCCCGGGCCGTCCGCCGATGCGGGTGCGCAGTCCCCGAGCGTAGATCGGCCGCCCGTGACGGCGGACGCGCACCCGGCGCTGAAGAGCAAGGTGACGGAGATATACGTGCCGTCGATGATCGCGCATGACAGGAAGGTCGTCGTGGAGGGCCTCGCGTCCGGCGATCACTACGAGTACGACGAGAGCCGGCAGACACTGAGCATCGAGCCTGCCGCGCTCACTCCGGGGCACGTCCACCGGGTGTCAGTCAGAGTGGTGCCGCCGCTCAAGCCGGAGTTTTTCGTGAACAACTTCTGGGACGACTTCAGCGGCCATGCCGTTGCGGTTATCGTGCTCGTGCTTTCGTTCTTGGTTGCGCTTCTTTGGGTTAGAATGTCTGAGATGCCTTGAGACATTGGCTAATGACTTGTCGGATTTATGTCTAGTGCTACAGCTGCGTACAATGGATGATTCTGTGCATACCCGTACTGTCAGTGTGCCTGCAGGCGCGCCCGCAACACCCTGCCTCTGTCCAAGACAGCGTCCGCCTCCAGATAACAGCCCTTCAGCCAGCGATTCGGTGCGTCGCCGGAGTCTTCTTCACGGTCCTTGAATGCCGTGCGTGCGTGCAGCACTCGGCGATTGTCGAACACGACCGCATCGCCCTCGCGCAGAAGATGCTCATAGCGCAAGGCGGGGTCCTCTAGGAGGTTGGCGAAGCGCTCGAGCGCAGAATAGAATGCGAGCGGGGTAGAGACCGGGAGCGGTGCTTGGAACGGTGGCGAGTAGTTGATGTGCGCAGTCGGGCGCGGGGAGCCGGGAGCAGAGTCTGCCGTTGCTGCGAGCTCGATAGTCGGGTGGGAGTAGTGCAGGTGGTGCCCGTCGTTGATGTAGTGGAACGCGACGGGGGTGTCCGCGAGGACGCTGAAGTCCTCTGGATGCGTCTCGCGCAGCGTCTCGGCCGCATGGAGGGCGTCGACGAAGTAGGACGCCCCGCCCTCGACACGGTTGCGGAGGCAGTGGAGGATCTGGAAGCGCGGCGGGTGCTGGAAGTAGAGCAGGTCCATGTGCAGGCCGAGGTCGACGTTCGTGTACGCGATGTTCTTGCTGTTCCGCATGTTCTTCACGTCCCACGTCTGCCCGTAGAACGTCTCGCGGATCTCGCCAAAGCGCTCCGCGAGCCGGCGCAGCTCGCAGGCCTCATTGGCGGTGCGCTCGGTGGGGACGTTGGTGACGAAGAGGATGCCGAATTGCGTGAGCTGCGTTATGGCGGCGAGCAGCCCCGCGGGGGCCTGCAGACTGGCGTACGGCAAGAACAGGTTGCTCACTGATCGCAATGCGTCCCTGTCCCATCGCTTGGCGGCGACCTCCTGGTGAAATGCTCGCAACCTCTTGGGCGAAGAATAGAGCTCGAGGAAGCTCTTGGGATAGTGCGAGACGTGCCCGGACGCCCAGGTTATCTCGACGCCGCTGTTAGCGACACGGACCCCGTCGCTGGCCAGGAGCGAGTCTGCCGGTATGTCCGACGTCTTGTGCAGCTTCTGGCGTGTTGACGGGTGGATGCAGCTCGGACATTGGCATGAATCGCGAAGCCAGCGGTAAGGAAGGGGAGTACCGTTGTAGGACAGACTCGCCGGCTGGTCACTGGAGGTCGGAGCAAAGTGCGAGATGGTGGTCGAGTAATGGCGATGCTGGCACCGCCAGACCCGGAGGCCTTTGAGAGCACCGACCCGTGTAGTGTTGGTGTTCATCATCTTGCCCAGGCTCTTGCTCGTCGTTGTAATCGACATTCAGTCCATCGATTCCCGGACGGCCACTCGCCGTCGATCCTGTGACCTCGGTACTTGCGCTCATGATTCTCTTCGCCCCCACCAGGTCCACGAGAGAAGTTCAAGACGTACATCTTGAGCTAAAGAGCGTGGATCGGTATGGCAGTAGGAGCTTGGTGGAACAAACAGGCTATGAGACTAAGTTAGTCCAAGTCTAGTCGCATCTCGGTCGCATCTTTGTCCGGTTGTACTTATCCCTCGCTGAAATCAATTCACGACATCAAATCAACGTCAAATATGACATTCAATACTGTGCGAGGTGCTGTACTTGCTGTTGCTTCAGAGCTTCAGCATGCTTGAGATCAACTTGAGATGTGGATTGTGTGAGTGTGGTCGCAACAGATTGTATACCGTCATGATACTTACTGGTAAGTTAAGCATCCACAGTATGGAGAGGACGCCCGCAGTAATACAGCTTTACTTATGTAAGTACCGACGCTATAGCATTAACATAGGCGCCCATAGCACCGCTGTCAGCGCTTCAGCGCTTCAGCAGCGACATAGCGGAAACCGTCATCTGGTGCAACTACTTATGTCTAGCCACTCACAAACATCTACTTCACCTCGTCCAGGCGACGACCCGCGGGACACATCTGCTGAGGTCGCCCTGACGTTCCCGGAGTCGTGGCAGACAGATTCTGTTGGTGAGTGCCGTGTGCTCCTATGTTCGCACTAGCCTCTCTCTTATAGTCGAGACAGATGGATTCAGTGCTACAAGTGAGTCTGGAATCACAAGCGGGAAGGAAATCTGAGGACGCTGAGCTCGCAATGAACGTATGCAGCGTTGTTCACGACTGGTCTAATTATGGTCACTCGTAACCGGTGCGCTTCCAATGTCCTTCATGAATCTCCCAGTGTGCAGCTGAACACTTCCATGCCGGACCGTCAGGTACCTAGCATGGCCCGCTCTGGTGGTATCCTTCAACAGCATGATCAATCAGCACCCGCTGCGCACCAAGGACGGTGGCACAAGCCCAATCACTTCTGTGCTGTGCGTCGCGGCTCTTCTAGACCTCTCGAGCTCGAGCTCACAATCTGTCATCTACTCTTCAGTGTTGCTGTCTCTGCGTTGATCACGGCTTACCTTCCCCTCGTCACTCTTGGTCCTCAGAGGGTGACGGGTCAAGTGCCCCTGCCTGTCCAGACACCATGAACCATGTATACCTGTGTATGTACTCTTTGTTCGTTTTAGGACAGGTTTTTCAATGCGCGCGATGCTACGCAATCGCCATGCAACGCACTTGGTGCGGCACTCGAGGTGTGAAATTGGCAGGCTCAATTACAGTGGTGAACGCATACCGGTGAGTACCTGCTCCATTCGGCTTGCAATACCGATGGCCATCATGGCGAATACGAGAGTGCACTACATGGCGGTCAGTGTTATATATTGGGGAGTACACTCAGCAGCGAGAGTGCTATGCCTGATCATTGCAGATTATGCAGCGACCAAAGATTTCGGTCCGGCGGCTGGCATGCGGGTAGGCTGCCGCGACGCATCTGCGTGATGTTTTGACTTCAGAGTACTCTACATGCCGCTATCATGCCGCCCCGCAAGAGCCAGAATTCCGGCACCCTTGGTTTGACAATGGAAGCCACGAAGCCGAGCTTACGCACAGTAGAACATAAGCGTCTCCGATGCTTTAGGGGCTGAGCGACAACGTATGTATTGTCAGCATTCTGCAAGATAGCTCGTTCGACAGGCTGAAATTCCCGAATGCATCCAGATCCGTCTTCGCTCCCAGAGTTGCGAATGCTGAAGCTGAAGCGTCTTGGGCTCCATCGTGCTTCTCACTAGGAGATAAATCGACATGCCTGGGGCTCATGACCTCATACCGCGTGTCTTGAGACAGTGGCATTGCTTGAGGACGTGTAGCTCTAGCACCAGTGCCGTCAGTCTGCAGACGTCTCGGGCACCTCATTCCCAAGCGAAGCAACGAGGTACTGCACCACCGGGGGTCTGTGGCGCTAGAAGTCGTGGAGAGGCTCGACTGGATGTGGGTGCATACATCGTGAGCACCCTCATATGACCATGACACCTCCTTGCGAAGGCTGATGCTAGGCACGGCTCCCGTATCGCGTAGGGATTCTACGAGGAGATCACACTTCGTTGCCTTATCTTGCAATAAGTGGCGGAGGGAAACGGGCTCTCGCTATCGCAGTATAAAGACAGATGTCATGAATGTCAACTTGTCACCGACGTCGTCTGCCAGTCACGATGCCTAGTGTCGCACTCCCCGTTATCCGTCACTACATTGCGGCTCCTCCGACTCGGGAGAAACGTGAGATTTACGATGGCACCTTCACAACGAATGCTCACTCATAGATGCCGTCAGTGGACTATGCGGACCTTGCGATCCTCGACTTCTCCAAAATAGGCACTCCAGAGGGCCATGCTGAGCTGTCCGTCCAGCTGCGCGATGCGATGACCACCAATGGTTTTTTCTACATTGTGAATCACGGCCTCACGCAAGCCGAGGTACGGTGCCATGCCTGCTTATTTCGCTTTCGCTGAACGATAGAGATATCCAGAACGATCGCATGTTTGACATTACTGACGTGGCGCTGTGTGGTGTTCCCGAGGAAGAGAAACGCAACTACTTGGCGAACATTAGTGACGGGTCGAACGAAGGCTACAAGCTCAGGGCGTATCTGGTGTGACGTCACACCGTGCCGTGACCATCACTGGGGCCTAATGATTATCATAGCATATCGACGGCGGAGTCCGTGATCAGTTTGAATACTACAACAGTGCGTTCAAAAATCACTGACACAAATCTACACCATTGATTCGCGTACCAAGTAAACGAAGATATAAGTTGCAAGCAGCACCCCAAGGCGGTACGGCCTCTGCTCCCAGAGGTGGCAGAGTTCGCGAAGTTCAACCATTACCGAATTCTGCACCCTCTCATGCGGTTTGTGACTTTGCGCCTTTGTGATCCGCTTTCTGACAGTAATATAATGTAAGACTATTTGCCCTGGGCTTAGAGCTCCCGGAGGATACGTTTGTGAACATGCACAACTTCGAAGCCGTTGGAGAGTCATATGGTAAATATACATCATTCGATGCCGTTTGCAATCGATGACTGCTTACAATGCTACGAATAGTTCGCATGATGAAATAGTGAGCAGGGTCTCATGCTCGAATACGAACCTCCACATATTTGTTACTCGCTATCACAGCTATCCGAGGTCTGCCGACGACGAAGTCAACGCGAAGCAAGTGTGGCTCAAGGGTCACACCGACATCGGCACCGTTACTATTCTTTGGAGCCAACCAGTCACGTCCTTACAGGTTCTCATGCCGGATGGCCAATGGCGCTACGTGAGACACATTGATAACGCACTTGTAAGGCATCTTTACTATCATTCTACGTGAGCTTAAAGCTCACGTCCTTATAGGTCGTTAACTCCGGTGATGCTATGGAATTTCTATCGGGCGGCTTCTACAAACCGACCGTCCACCGCGTCGTCCAGCCTCCCCAGGACCAGCGGGGCTACAATCGCCTTAGCGTCATATTCTTCGCCATGACCGATGACAACGTGAAGCTAGTCCCACGCGCCGAGAGCCCAGTGCTCCAGAACTTGAAGCATGGTGTTCAACGGCGCTGGGCCGACGATGCCGACGCCCCCACTATGGAGGCCTGGCGGAAGGGCGTCACCAGTACTTATGGCTTGGTCGAGCTCAAGAAGAAGGAAGACGGCACAGAGGAGAACATTGTGAATGGAATCGCGGTGAAGTATTACAGCTGATCTCGTGGTTCATCTTGATGGACAATCGCTCTAGATGGTGTATGTGGACGGTGAATTGAAGTGCCAGATACAACATGCCCGGGCCGTCGAGTCACGACATTGTCGGCTGTCCTAGCTTCGATCATGGAAGGTACTTATGTTTGTCTGAACCTACGAACGACCGAACGCAAATAACACAAATGGTCTGGAAGCCGTGCAACCATGTAAGTGTCACCAACGCTTCGCACGACAGCTCAGTCGGAAGGTTGACATGTATATACAGGCAATCGGCGTCTCGGGCTGAAGTTTCCAAAGATTCTCAGCAACGGTATTTCAGTCAGGCTTCTGCTTGCTTTCGGACTTCCAAGTTCTGCAGCATTCCCAACGTTGTTATGCTTCCTTCTAGAATGTATGTCGGACTGTTCGATGCATTGACCTCAAATAGTGCCGATCTCGATGGCCCTGCACAAGTAGCTCATGAGGGCGTACACACCTTAGCAGACATGCCGTCGGTCTGCAGACTCGATTAGCCAGTTCATTGCCAAGGAGAACCAGTTGGTATTGTGTCACCGGGTCGACGCGGCGCTAGAAGCCAGGAAGAGGCTCAACTATGTCGGTGCTTCAATCGTGAGCATTCTCATATGACCAACACCTACTCGCGAACACTAATACTAGGAACGCCTTCCATCTTGCGCCAGGGTTCTACGCTTCAATGTTGTCTTATCTGCGGCAAGTGGCGAAGGTTACGGGCTCCCGCTGTCATGACACAGTGCTTGATATACGCTGGGCCTATGGGCAAGCCAAAGCGTGGTCACGAACTGCGCCTGTTAGTCAAAGATGCCTAGCGTTGTACGCCCCGAAATTCCTCGCTACATTGCAGCTCCCGAGACTCAAGAGAAACGTGAGTCTTTTGACAACCTTCCTGCGATGCACACGGACTACTAGGCATGTCGTAAAGTGGACTACGCCGACCTCGCAATCCTTGACTTCTCCAAAGTGGGCACCCCAGAGGGGCAGGCTGAGCTGACCGCTCAGCTACGCGATGCGATGACGACCCATGGTTTCTTCTACATCGTGAACCACGGCCTTACGCAAGCCGAGGTAAGACGAACATTGCGCTCAGTATGATTGGTCTAAATAGAGTGTCACAGAATCATCGCATGCTTGATATCGCCGATGTAGCAATCTCTGGCATCCCCGACGAAGAGAAACGGAACTACATGGCGAAAATCAAAAGCGACGGGACGTACCAAGGATACAAATTGAGGGGATGGTGGGTAGGTGTCCCGACACATTGTTATAGCCTCTTAAGCTCAACAGATGCTACTCTCCCAGCATATCGACGGTGGTGTTCGTGACCAAATCGAACACTACAACAGTATGTCGTACCGTCGCTGACACGGATGCTGTCGATCTCACATTTCTTGACGAGTCAACCGCGATGTTGATCGCATGCAGCATCCACAGGCGGTGCGCCCTCTGCTTCCGGAGGTGAAGGAATTCACCAGGTTCAATCATTGTAACGTCTTACATCCTCTCTTACGGTGCGTCGCATTGGTTACACTTGTCAACCGCTCATCTGATAGTGATCCGCTCTTTCGGAAGCCTGTTCGCCCTCGGCTTGGAGCTTCCAGAGGATACATTTGTGAACTTGCACAAGTATGATGCCTTGGGAGAGTCGTATGGTGAGCATGTTTTGGGCGACTCTCTTTCGTGCAATGTACCTGAGACGTTCCAATGAGTTCGCTTCATGAAATAGTGAGCCGTGTCTTATGGGTGAATACAGCATTTAATTCATGCCCCCCGCTCTTACAGCTTTCCGCGATCTGCGGACGACGAAGTCAAGGCAAAGCAAGTGTGGCTGAAAGGCCACACTGACATCGGCACCATCACGATTCTGTGGAGCCAGCCAGTCATGGCGTTGCAGGTACTCATGCCTGACGGTCAATGGCGCTACGTGAGACACATTGATAATGCTCTTGTGAGTCGTTGAAGTGTCACAAGTCTGGCTGAACGCCATTGACGTGCTCGTAGATCGTCAACTCGGGCGATGCCATGGAGTTCCTCTCAGGTGGCTTCTACAAGCCTACCATCCACCGCGTCGTCCAGCCTCCTCAGGACCAGCGGGCCTACAACCGCCTCAGCATTCTATACTTTGCCATGACCGATGACGACGTGAAGCTTGTCCCCCGCGTCGAGAGCCCTGTGCTCCAGAAGTATGGCGTTCAACGGCGCTGGGCCAACGACGCCGACGCGCCCACGATGGAGGCCTGGCGCAAGGGCAGAACTAGTGCCGTTGGTCGGGTTGTACTCAAGAAGAAGGAGGATGGTTCAGAGGAGAACATCGTGAATGGGATCGTGGTGAGGCACTACAACTGATGTCGACTCCTACTCCAAAATATGTATACTAGTGTCAGGTTGAATGTTCGACGTATCCTCGTATCATAGTGCGAATCATGCATACATTGACGAGAATAATTTACTCTGCACCAGGATACACTCGTCGTCTGCAGCTGGATAGTATACATGTCCTCCTGATTTACACAGCTTGTCCAGTCACGCACTGTTCGGCCGCTAGCACTACGCACACGCAGACCCTGCCCTCGACGATCAGGATGTCACTTCTGTACTGATGCACCTCGAAGACTAGTTTTCTCGCGAGTCCTGTGGTCTGCAACGCTTGCGTCCTAACCCTCTCCCGTAGTTATCCTGTAGTTGAGCCTACGCTTTGCGCGTCATCACGGTCTGCAACGGAATCTCGCAGTACGCTGGGGACCGCTGCCAGTCACCGGCATCTTCGAGTCGCTCTACGAGGAAGGGGGGGCGAACGGATCCTCCAAGTTGCTATCCATGAGCGAGCCCGCACCCAACAACGCATCATCTGACTGGAGCTGGCTGAGGCTCGCGCCCTCGAATGGCTCCCCGTCTGGGCCGACGCCCGTCATGTCCAGCGTGATGCCACCCATGTCGCCCATCCCGTCCGCGCCCACCGCCGCGTCGAGCTCGCCCTCTCGTGGCTTGAGCGACTCATCGAGCGCGTCATCGGTGTCGAGCCCTGGCGTGAAGGACATGGAGAGCGGGTGCGGCTTGGGTGTGCCCGGCTTCGAGGGCGAGTCGTCTTTCAGCCCCATGGGCATCTCGGAGACGTCACGCGAGGCGGCCGCGGTCTCGGGCGCGACTGACGTGTTGACCTCGTCTTGATCTATGTCTTCGTCGCCATCCACTACTTCGACTTCGTCGGGCTCGGGGAGGGGCGCGAGCGGTTGGTCGGTTTCATTCTCGTCATCGCTGAATTGCTGCAAGGGCGTTGGAAGGAGCAAGGAAGACAGAGACAGACGGTCGCACCTGCTTCCTGTCGGACTTAATCCATTTGTATACCTTCAGAGTTGAGCCCGGCGCCGCGTTCTCCGGGAGCACCCACACTTTCTCCCAACACGGCACCGGCTGCATGAGCTGCCGCCGCGACGCCTCCGAGGTTGTGTTGCTGAAACCGACTCTTCTCCTAGTAGACATGGTACTGGCGTTGATAGAAGTTCGGTGGCAAGTATCAGGTCAATTGCACGCGTACTAGAGCAACTATGAGCAGGCTGTCGGAGACCGTCAACGGCAAGTAGCGCTTGGGCGTCTGTTTCCCCTACGGAAACTTATGGGCGTCTATGCGCTGTTCTCGAGTCCGGGCGCTCAATTGTTGGACTTCAACTGTCTTCAGCCTCGTCAAGTTCGTGTGCCCACAAGGCGACGCCGCTTACTTCAGACAACCACTGGACAGTCGGATACAATGGAGGGCGAAGAGGAAACGGAGCTTAGGAATCCCTTTCCCTCGCCGCCGTCGCACTACACCAAGTACACTACGCACAACCTCAATCTCCTCGAGCTCCTCCGCGAGCGCGTCGGGGATGCAGATCTCTCGACCGTCAATCAGTATGAAGTGCTGATGGACCATACGGACGTCCCAGAATGGTCGCTTGTGCAACTGGAGAAGCCGAGGGTAGATTGGATTCTGGAGGAGGGACACTACACGGTCTTTGGAGATACCTGGTTTGTACGTACGTGCTACATCTCGGTTCGACGCATATATTCACTTCGTCATGTGCTGCTCAGGTCAAGGAAACGATCCCTTCACTCGCTGAGCTTGGCGGCCACCAATTGTACCCAGCCGACCCCAGCGTCGGTGCGTCTCATGAATGACTGGTTTATCTGTACGATGTGCTGACGGCCACACAGACCGCCGACTCGCACTGAGCAACATATTACGCTCCATGCTCGTAAGCTACTCACAGCTGCTTGATACACTCCTGGCACCGCCACCCACTGCCTCCGCCGCTGCACCTCCAGAGTGGCAGAGCAAAGTGGAGTGGATTACCGTCCTTGCCCAGAACATCATGGCCGCGGCCAACGACCTGCGGCCCGTGCAAGCCAGAGGGAACCTGGAGCTTATGATGAGGAGACAACTCGAGCTACGCAGGGAGGAGACGAAGGCAATCCACGAGTACGTATTGCCTTGGACATATTCACGCCGTTCGGTGTCGCTGACTAGCAACGTTACGTAGCAAGTGCGATGAGCTCGAGGCAAAGCTGAGTGCTATGCGTGGAACGGTACAGAAAGTGTCGAAGGCAAACACCTCAACGCGCGAAGACAAAAGACCCGAGAGCTCTAAGGTGAGCTTACATCGATATCTGGCAATCATCGCTCTTGTCAATGTTTTTCGGCGCGTCAGGCTGCCCTGTCGACCGAGGACGTTCTGTGTTGGGCAGAGGAAATCGCCTAGGGACTATCGAACGCTGGGCTTCAATGACGCTCGCACAACGTTCCGGCTGCAAGCACCCTTGCGAAGACAACGAGGACCTTCCAGGAGTCCCATGGACTGGTCTGGCAAGATGGTTTCTTCGTCGCGTCCTGACCAAAGCTGTGGCCTCTAGGGTCATACAGCACAGCGCTGCGAAAGCCAGGTCCTTGGTTCCTGGATGCGGCACGGGCAGCGACTGCTGGCATGGCCTTGTCGCGTCCTACAGCAAACCCCGTACACTGTTCATTTGTGTTTGAGGGCCGAACGCTCACAATCACCCCAAGACGCCAAGATTCGCTGTTGTGCTGATCTCATACTATCGAATGTATGCGCCCATTTCACTAGCAATTGCAGTATTTTCTCTGGATGTGTATCTGAAGGGACCGAGGTGAGCACTGTCCTCTTCGAACGATGGGGCACCCCTCTCGCTCCCTCAAGGTTGTCGACACAGCCGTGTGCTCACGTCAAATGCAAAGTATGCATTCCATTTTCCGGTCAGAGTATCGTCTCATGCATGTCCGGTTCATAGACGTTCTCCCAAGCCCTCTCTGGCCTTCTTGGAATCGTGGTGGACTATGAAGATTCAGTTGGGCCTCAAACAGAGTCGGGACAGTATGGCCTTGGTCCCTAAGCCTGCCGGCTTACCCGCTGCCGCAGTGGGCGTGTGCACGAACTTTGCCTCGTGCCTCTGCTTTGTCTCACTCAGCATTTTCTGGGAAACTACAGAAGAATGAAAGTACACCCCCTGTAGAGTCAGCATTGGCTTGTCCGCAGCTCGGACGAAGTATGTGTTGGAAGCAATACAATCCACCGCAGTCTGGCTTCGCTCCCCGAGCTCGGCCCCCGCACAATTTGCTATCGCTTGCACCGGCGCACGGAGGCCTCACCCACAGGCGGTATGTGTGAAGGAGAGCTAGTTATTTGTCTTGACCATACGCAGTTGCTCGAACGTCCTCGCAACCGAAGGAAAGCCGAAAGGATCATCCCCGTCGACTGCCCTCCCCAGGCACATTCGGTATCGTCGCACGTTCCTCCGCGTCCACCATGCGTGTGGGTTCCAGGATTCCACGCGGACTGTACGGTGGATCCTCGAGACTGTCGTTTCATGATGCTCATGTGACCATCGTACAGCGTGTAGAGATGCTCTTCGAGCCAAACACACAATTAGGTAGTCTATTCCGAGGTGACAGCTCCATGTTGACGATCCGCTTATCATTCACTTGACAGTTGTTTGTATGGCAAATATCGGCGTCTTCTGCACATGCACGATGTTGCGGAGTCGGCGAAGTGCAATCATCTCAACTGGCATGCAGGGCCGTTTTCTCGATTCATTGAAGACCATTACAACCTGCAGATGCAGACGACCCGTGACTTTACAGAGGGAACTCCCGCTCATCCGTCTCGGAAGACTGCCTTTCTCCCAAACCTGGGCAATTGAACTCTGATGGTTGGGCAGCCGGCAGCCGGGCCTCGTCGAGTCTCGCCAAGATTATTGCATGAGAATGCTGGGACCTCTCGATCTGTGACGGAAGCAATCCGCAAATTGTGCGCAGTGCGGTCGGATTCTGCCGAGGATAATTTAGTATGTGTTCCTGGAAAGAGCTCCTGTGTGGTAGGCGACCTGACTGGTGCGTTGCGTCGTGCAAGATATCTCGATCGCACCCTTGCACAACAACGAATGTTCTCGATACAACCAGTATGGAACGCCTCTTCCCCCAGCCTTGATCACCCTGCAACTTCTCAACTCAAACCCAATACACCGCAGAGTAGCTGTACGACGCCTTATCGCAGTGCCTATAAACAACTCAACAATCTCCGCCCATACGTACGTGTGGCACACGCACTACCTGTCTAATACCGCCGGACTGTATTCCGGCTGGTCCTGACTTTCACAACACTGCACGGGTGTTTCTCAGCTTCACACTACACATGCATACCTCGCATATTCCCACCGAGTGCTATCCTAGGGGCGAACCCATGGCTGAGATGAAGCCTTCGCCCGAGTATAAAGCAGCCATGCTCGCCATGCAAGTTCCTTGACCGAGTGTACTGCCGGTTTTCTCGCATCATGCTGTCTCGCCTCTCCGGCTACCTGCTTCTCGGCGCACTGGCCGCGACGGCGACCCCTCTCGTGCGGGACAAGTCCCTCGTGACGGTCCCGTTCACGCGCAAGTTCAACTTCACGAGCGGGTCGAAGCTCGTGGACATGGACCGCGTGCGGATCACCAACCTCATGTGTGGCTGCAACAACCGGTGCAGCAGCAACGAGAAATCACTGGTAGCCGAAAAGCTCAGCGCAGCCGCCACTGTGTTTAACACTGACGCGACGAATGGCGCCGTGGAGTACACTATGACTGTAGGTATCTATGGTTGTATCCTCTGACAACGTCTGACCCTGTTGAAGGTTGGAGTCGGTTCCCCTGCCACTGATTGTAGGAACCGCGTTATATACGGCTCCCGTTCTCATACGAACGACTGACGGTTGCAGACACGCTCATCGTCGACACCGGAAGTTCCAACACCTGGGTTGGTGCTAACCAGGCATACGTCCAGACCACTTCTTCCACCAGTACTGGCCAGACAGTTGTGCGTACAAATCATCCGGAGTTTAACGAAGTCTGATTCATGTCATATGACAGGAAGTCACCTACGGTTCGGGTGAATTCCAAGGTACTGAGTACACAGACACAGTCACGATCGGGAATGGCCTCGCAATCACCAGCCAGTCCATCGGCGTTGCCTCATCCTCCACGGGCTTCGATGGCGTCGACGGTATCCTCGGGTATGCGTATCTCAACGTCTGTCTATCCTGACTACTGACAGACTTCATCGTGCTCATAGTCTTGGGCCCGAAGACCTCACCTGCGGCACGCTGACGACGGACGAGAACGCATGCATCCCCACCGTCGTCCAAAACGCGTACTCGCAGGGCCTCATCTCCGCGGAGGAGATCGGCATTTCGTTCGCGCCCATCACGGGCAGCTCTGGCTCGGACACGAACGGCGTAATTACCTTCGGCGGCGCCGACTCGAGCTACTACACCGGCACGCTCACCTACACGTCAGTGCAACTCGAACATCGCAGACATTCAAACGGTACTGACGCCATGGATCTTCGTGCAGGGACATCACGTCGACAGAGCCGGCTGACTACTACGTCGGGATCACCCAGACCGTCTCGTACGGCGGTACGACGCTCTTCTCCAACGAGGCCGGTATCGTCGACACGGGCACCACTCTCATCTACATCCCGACCAGTCAGTATCGGCACAACTTCTGTCACTTGTGCCCCGCTGACATGACTTCGCGATAAAGTCGCATATGATCTATACGTCCTCGCGACCGGCGCGACGCTCGACGAGAACACAGGTCTGCTGCGCCTGACCACCTCGCAATACGACAGCCTGCAGGACATGACGTTCACCATCGGCGGAGTGGACTACACCTTCACCGCGAACGCCCAGATCTGGCCGCGCTCCGTGAGTCAACCACCTCGCGCCTCCCATCGACAGCATCATATTCACACACAGCCCGCACTCACAGCTGAACACCGCGATCGGCGGGACCGCCGACTACATATACCTCGTCGTGAGCGACATGGGCTCGAGCGGTGAGACCGGGCTCGAGTTCATCAACGGCATGACCTGGCTCGAGCGCTACTACTTCGTGTATGACACCGCCGCGAGCCAGGTCGGCTTTGCGACGACGGAGTACACGGACGCGACGACCAACTAGACGGCCGCCGTTTCGAGCGGCGGGGTGGGAGCTGGGGAGGTAATATGGGCTCGCTGTGGGAGAGACGTGTCATAGCTCTCAGGATGATAGGCACGTGAAGAACGACATCAATACAAGATGCTCATGATGTTAGAGCCTGACGGGATCCAAGATGCTTCGTATCACCCAAGGGTCGACGCTTGCCGGCTATTATGGTATGCAACGGAGACTACCAAGGGTCGGCATCTCACGACAATGTCGGTGGAATCCCAGGTAGGCTGCCAACTAAAGGGTATTGGCCGCTCTACAATGCGAGGTCATTACATTGTCCGGGAATATGTACTGTTTTCCTGGATTATCAGTCGTGGCCGACGCATGCAAGATTCGTGACGCACCTCTATGGGAGACAGCGGCGAGTTGTTCGACGCTTCCCTATTACTAATCCTTTGCCTCTGTCTTGGTATTCCTTTGACCATCTTCGTCTTCATTTCTGTGCCTCTCTTGCGGGTCCGTTAACGGCTCCTCAACTCGCGCTGCAGCAGTGTCCGTCCTCTCCTTCTCCTCAGAGTCCGGCACCGGCGCAAGGTCGCCTGTTTTCTCCCCCTCCTCGCTTCCGTCGCCACTCGCGCTACTTATGTCCCTCTGCCGCTCATCGCGCTCCTCCTGCCTCGCCTTCCACACGCGCTCATCATAGTCCTCAGCAATCTTCCCGATCTCCTTGTGAAGCGCCCGCCGTTCACCGACGAGGTCCAGCCACCGCTCAACGTCGAGGCCACGCGACTTGTAGAGTGCATCGCGCCGCGCAGATACGGAGTGCTGCAGCACGGAGGAGTAGGATACCTCCCGGCCCCGGTAGAGGAACCACAGATAGCTGATGATGACCATCGTCAGGCCAGAAAGGTACGTTACGGGCTCCATGACGTCCCTACAGAAAGGATTCTGCGTTAGACGCGCGTTACACTTGTACGGCGGGGCGGAGTGCTTACCATCCGAGGTCCCAGAACGTCAGCCGTGCGACCGTGGCCCAGTACACGACGAGCATCCCCAGCCCGCCGACGGCCATCCTGTGCGCGCCCCGGTGCGCCTGGTGATCGCAGTCCCGCTTCAGCTCATCCATCTCGCGCAGCTCCTCGTCGACGACCGCAAGTCTCCGGCGGAGGAAGCGCGTGCGGTCTGCGAAGCTCGGCACCTCGATGTGGATCGTCGCGCCTGGGCGCGTGGCCTCCGCCTCCGCGCCGTCCTCGCCGATGCACACCACGAACTCGGTTGCGCGAGCGGCGTCGCGGATGAAGTCACCGACGTCGGTGCTCTCTGCCCACTGAAGCGTGCGCCCGCTCGGCATCGTGATCCGGAAGGAGATGGAAGGTGTCGCGGGGGCGAGCTGGGCGAGAATGAGACGGGCGACATGCGAGAGCGGTTGGGATGGGTGTAAGAGGAATACAGTGGGTGGGGGTGTCTTGATATTGGTGTGAGGGGCATCCTGTGAGCGGAGATGGCCCAGGGGAAGGATGAGTTTGAAGAGGTGGGAGGACGTAGGCGATAGCTTCCCTGCACATAGTAATGTCAATGAAGTTTCTTGTGGCTCATGGAACACCGGGGGCAAACGACTTCGATTGGACTCCCAGCATGCTATGGGCGGTGAGCGCCGCGGAGAACATGTTCACAAACTTCGCAGACTCATAACCTCCTACATATTTGTAGTCTTTAAATCCAGGCGGGATAGCGGTAATGATACCACGCTGTGAAGCGGGCAATAGAGAACTTTGATTTGCCCGCGGTGGAAGGCGTGTACGCACCTTTGCCCTCTGTAATGGACTCAAAGTCCTCGCCTGTCGCCTCCATCCCGCTCACGCCGTCCCCTGTCTCCTTCCATCGTGCCTTGGGCGAAGCCTCTGCTACAAAGCGGGAATGTTCGACGTTGGTGTTTTCGACTTCCTGAGCGGTCGTCTGCTGCCAGCGTCTCTGAACAGCGAAGCCCGCCGACCCTTGGCGAATGCCGGCATCTATAAGTCGTTTGTGTGTAAGTGCGACATGCACAGAGTATGCTCGCCGAACGATAAGTGAAGTGGCCAGAGGGAGCCTCTGTAGATGAACAGTACGCGCGATTGCCGATGTGCTGAGACACATTGACCTGAGCTCGCCCAAAGCTCGCCTCTTGGTATGCTATATTCCAAAGTTCACAAGCAGGTCCGTAGACTCTAGAGGAAACAACGACGGGAGGTGTAGAAGAGAGCGCATGGCCGTGCCTTCCGAATCCTTCAGCACGCTACAGCACGCTGCGGTGGCTGTAACCAAAAGGCAGTGAGAAGACGTCACTCAGGCCTATGGAGCCGCGGAAGTGTATCGCTCAAAAAGGCAAGTCGATCTACGTCGACTGGTTGAACGTCCTGCAGTGCCAGGCTCTAGCGGTGGCTGGGTTCTTAAATTAGTACGGTGTCATCGTAGCGATTATGCCCAACTGTGTATATGAGCAACATTGCAAGTCTAGCCATCATGCCACGTCCATAAATTTACTTCAAAATGCTGCCGCAGGTTTCTTACAAGCCCCTGGCGCGCAGGATGTATGTATGATACACTACAGAGTTCCCGCCAACCCAGCCTCACCGATCTCGGAACTGCATTAGACTGGGAAGAAAAAGGTTTCAAGCTACGCCATTCCCTCAACCTCGAACCCAGGTCATTGTAGCCGTCAGTACCACCGGGCCAACCTCTTATTATAAAGGTAGGTCGGAAAGCGAAGTGGAAGCGGCACTCACAGCGCGGGGCCAGGTGAAAACGCTGCTCGTGAAGGCATAATCAGTTAGTATGATAGCAAGAGGTGAGACTGGAGCAGCAGGGAAATCACACTCACAGTAGGCAATATTTAACGTACGCCGCCGATAGCAAGTGTCATGCTCTGCAAATCCGCGTGCGCCGGAGTAGTGATCTTCAGTAACCTGCAATCGGGGCCGCCGCGGCTTGTCACAGCCGTATGAAGAGACCATACCATGAAAGAGACGGTCAGTTTTCCTCGGCCTTCCGTGGTTGCTGTACGCTGCGTCCCTCTTTACGTGCCATCGACTCGGATCTATGGGGATGTAAAGCAGCGCAACGCCAGTATCCGAGTCGATAGCTCTGGGGCGTCAATAAATTTGAGGAGCGTGGTCGCCTTACATGAGACAACTTGAATCTGAGTGGTGCTGATTCAATGGAATCAGAATATCAGCAGTGACGGTCGATCTAATAGGCCAGAAGACAGGCTAATCACCAAGCCTGTTGTCTTGCGTTGGGTTCTTCGGTGCGAAGAGTACGCCTATATTTCCCTGGTGGACGAGAATTTACGCGTAGGAACACCTTGAGTTCTCATTGCCAAACGTACAATTGCCAAAGTCCGCGCTTCTGCGAGCTTGCGATCATCCCGGCTGGCACGAGCAACGCCTGACGCATACCAGCGGTGCAAGTCGACATGCTGCGTGCTGCTTCAATGACTGTCAATATGTACCTCCACCGTCGGCCTGACTGCTCTGATTGATTTACCGTCCGCAGGGAGCGACATCGCCACGCCTATTCCACCCACTGGCAGCTCCCGGGGCGGCCATGCCTTCTTCAGCCCGCCCGCCGGCGATCGTCGCTCACGATAGTCGTCAGATACGAACTGAGAGGAATATCAAACGCTTACCGGAGATCGACGCGAACTAGCGGGTGCTTGGTACCGGCGGTGCGATGAGGATGCGACGACGGGCTATCTGCTTGACGACGACGACGACCGGGCGGATCATGCGGCGACGGCTGTATAGCAGTGTATGGGGATTGTCTTGGGATTGTCCCAAGTAGCCTGGAAGAAGGATCCTCAGCCTGACCTTAGTCGTGAGTGACCAATGAGTGACAGATCATGCATGCGAGGCGGCGACGACTTCGACTACCACACCCATTGGATCTGCGTTCTTGGCGAATAAAGTACTGCTGACGAGCCACCAGTATCGCTAGTATGCAAGACGACCGCTTGCTGAGTGGGCTACCCGTGCGTTACGTAAATAAGGTGGGGAACACAATGGCAAAGCTCACCACGGTGACTTGACGGTGATGCATAGAGGGGAGCCGCGGGCAGCATACGCGTAAATTATCCAGCCCCTCCCTTCAGCGCGCGGATCACAGAGCTCTGTTAAACTCAAGGTTTATCAAGGACACCCCAGGCAAGCGGAATGATCACGACACACCGATAATGCCACCGTTACGTATACAAAGCACCATCCGTGCGATTGGAACAAAGTTCTATACATCATGGAACACGACGTGGGAGGTCAGGTTCTGTTCACATAGCAGCGCCGTGGAGAAAGAACCAGATATATGACGTCTCCACTGTCCGAGAAGCGTCTGGCAAGCCTTCGGGCACCGCGGGCAAACCAGGTTGTTCGAACTCCGAAAACGCTACGAACATTGGTCCCTCATGGAACCTTTTCTGGGGGCATTTGGGCCCCAAACATCCTCCGAACATGATGTATTGAAGCCAGATTTCAGCATGTTCGGAGCATTTACGGAGCATGTTCTGGGTCCATCAAAACTCGCAAAAGGTACCCACGAGGGACCAATGTTCGTAGCGTTTTCGGAGTTCGAACAACCTGGTTTGCCCGCGGTGGGGGAGAGAGAGAGAGAAGTTCTTTGTATTTATACTGCGCGACAGGCGAACATAGCGCGCCAAAGCACAGTGTAACTATCTACAGTAAGTAAATAGAAGATCTGTGGTGTGTATCGTATTGGAGGTGTCCGTTTCGGTCCGTATCTCTAGGAGACTGTGTGAGTAGAGTATTGTCGCGGTCGTGGGGTGTCGACATCTATCCCGCGGTGGGGGAGGGTGGGGGCCCACGAGCGAGGGAGAAGTTGCGATGCGGTTGGGAACGCCACAACAGTCGTACCGTAAACACGAGGCGCTGTTGCATCGTGGCTTGCGCGATCGTGAACGCGAGTGATCGCGCTAACGGACCGTCTCCATGCAGACGAGGCGTTTGGGCTCGCGGCATGTGCGTGCAGGCAACGCCGAACGGAGGTCGTGGGGCGCGCACCGCCCAGGGCCCTCGCCTATCCGCGAACTGTCGTGCGTGTGGAGGGGCGCCATCTGTCTGCATCATCGAGTCCAATGAGTTGCGACCCGGCCGTCCTGTGAGCATGCGCAATGCGGGGATGCATATGTGCGTTGGGAAGCGTGAGGAGGGGAGGGAAGTCTTCGGTACTTGAGCTTGGGTACCTTACATGATTGGTCGATCGTGTTTTATAATTGGGGTGAATTTAATATCCGGCGCTCCTGCTGCTCTTCCAATGAACCCGAGCGCGCGGGACGCAATGTTTTCGCCGAAAACATATTGTTGAACATGCTCGTAGAAGAGGCCGACCTACATCCTGAGGATTCCATAAGTATATCATGTCTTCCCAGATTTTGAGGAATTGAACAGATGGTGTGAACATCGCTCGAGACCCCCATTTGATGGGCGATATGATGGCTATGGTGGCTGCAACTGGCCTAATGCGGCCAAGCGCAGTGGCTGCCCGATGCGGAAGTTTGGTTTTCGACAGCAACATCCCGAGTCCCGGCGGAACGGCGAGCGAGCGAACCAAGAGCGAACGGTCTTCTGCTCTCCCCCATCTTCATACCCTGCACACTACGTCCCCCTTCTAATTCTCCCTCCCGTCCGTCCTTTGCGTGCCGTGTACAAACTCCAGACAGCCTAATCTCAGCACGCGATACGCCTCAAGCGCTCTCACGACAATTGTACTGCCAGTTTGGGCACCGTAGCGCGACGCCACCATCCGTGTTGGCACATGTACGTCTTCATTTCCTGGCCTCGAGATACGCTGCCAGGGCGCGCCTAGGACGGATTCTCGTAATGCTCACGCGCGGTCTTTTCCCCAGCAAACTGCCATCGCGCGCTCGTCTCCCTCTCTCCCGCTTGCCGTCACCTTCTGGAGGTCGCACATCTGGGTGGTTGGGATTGTCCGGTGCCAGGTGAGTTGCTTTCGCGTTCGTATTCGGTCCAAGAGCGGAGCTATCGGCTCCGTGATTTCCCTTCCCTGCCCATCACTCTTCCAGCCGCCGTGCTTCCTACGCAAGGACTCTTCATGCCCCATCCGGCCGCTGCGCCACCTGCGCAGAGCAGATGCCGTTGTACTGGCCAGCACTGTCAACGGCGATCAAGCACGAGCCCGCACCCTGAGGTCGCGATTCCTTCAGTGCGTCAGGACCTGCGGCGACAGTCTGCTAGGGTACAATCGCAGACGCGGGAGCAAACCTCATCAGAATGGGCCCAGTGTCAATATGGGTTCCTGGCAAGGATGCTGCGCGCTCACCTTGCAGAGTACAACGCGCGACGTGCGATCTGGCACACTGCCTTGGCAGCCGCAAGCATGCCAGAGGCTGGCTACCATACCTGCCCCGCGAATATCGCGTCCAAGTGGCCGTCCCTCCGGACAAGTAGGGACTTCCAACTGTTGCCAAATGTTCTCTGCAGGGATCCGCGCAGGGATCCCTGCATGCCTTTCCGAGTCGGCTTGGGCTTGTTGCCTTTATCTAGGCACAGCATTGGAAGCTAGCTACGCTTCCTGTCGCGCCGCCGCGCGTTCCATCGCTCGGCCAACATCCATGACGTTGGAAAGCGGACAGGACCCATCGCCGCCACGACGGTGATGGTGTTGTCAACGGACACCCTGACATTCATTGCACATCTCCGTTGCGTCTGTTTCAAATTCGTTGTCCCGACGAGCTCGGAACGCACGGTGGCGTAGCACCAGGAGCCTCTGCACTGACTTGTGTGCTTCACTGCGGCGATCGTCGAACAGTCAGTGCTCTCGGCGTATCGCAGGGAAGGGCTCGTCGTGTACGGCCACCGCGTATCTCCGTCGCCACCGCGTCGCTGGGGTGGATTGTCGATTGTGACTTCACTGCCTCGCGAGGTCGTCGCATCAGTGTCTACTAGCGCCAGTGTGGAGGTGACGGTGGGAACGCCGGAATGTGCCCCTCGAAAAAATGAACTTATTTTCGCGAATGGGCCTGACGTGTCCTAGCGCTGTGCTGGATACGTCTGCTTGTCTTCTACGCTTGCGTCGCTTCCAACAGTTGGATCGTGTGCTGACCACCTTCTCGTCCAGACCTCGGCACCACACTCACTGTCTCCGAGGCGCTCGCGAGCAATTGGGTGGCCGCGTATTGACAGGGCGCACTGGGCTGCGCGCATATCTAGCCCGTCGCTTCCTCCTACCGCCCCCTCCGTTCATTGTCACTGCCGACGAAGAGGCTTCGCCAAGCCGATCGCGAACTGAAGCAGTTCGATCTTGCTTGACGTGAGTGCGCACTTTTCCGCCCACTCGTGGTCTAGGACTCCTTCACGGAGCGAGGCGTCGTGCAATACCGCGAAACAGTCCAGGGGCTGTACGGCGACGCGAGTTAGCTGCCGTGCGTGCCTTAGCGCTGGCGGACGGCTACTGATGGCGGGCGCGGCCCAGAAGGGGAAGGTGTTCCACGATCGTCTTTGGGTTCATAGGGCGCAAAGACCCAGTCTCGCGATGCCTGTGCCATATCTTCTCTGCGTGCACCTTTGATTCCCGGCTCTTTCGCTGTTGCTTACCACATGTTGATGCTTGACAGATTATTGCAGCGATCCTGCTACCTGGACGACTCGCAGCGCCACATTTCGCTGCCAGGAACCAAAGTGAGTGCACACGTCTACTGGAACCCGACGTGTAGGTCCGCCTGTCGGCGGACCGGTCGTCGCATGTACCTCGGTCCCGCTGACGCTGATAATTTTCGTAGGCGGGGTTCTCTCGCTCGCAGCTGCTTTCCCTCTCGCTGCCTCTACGCGGCACGGCGGCCTCGCTTAGACTGGACCGGGAATTTCTCCGTTCATACTTCTTGGGTTTCTTTGTCAATTGTGTTACATAGCTGGTAAGTGCTCGGTGATGGGGGGACGCCAAGAAGTCGAGAAGCTGACATGTTGACTTTCGTTGGTGCAGCGCGCTCCCGCCTCACATACACAATGGCCTCAACACTTACTACGGAGTCTCGCTCTAGCCTGCGCCAACGTCGCCCCGCCGTGCCCCTTCTACTATCCTCCTTCCCTCTTCCGCCCTCCCACATTCCCTCCACCTCGTCCCTCGCGCCGTCCCCTTCTCCCCCCGTTAACCTCTCTGCCTCGCCGATCGCTACGCACGTCAATCCGCCACCCTCGCGTCCTCCTTCCACTCCACTCCCTCCTGTTCCCGGCCCCTCTCCCGTCTCCAAGGATGAGACCCACATATTCATTACCGCTGCGCGGTCCAGGCGTACGTCGAAGATGTCTCTGAACTCAATGTCCAGCTACTCGCGCCGTAGCTCGACCGCGAGCAGCGCGAGCGTGGGGAACAGCCTCCCGTCGCTCTCACCCTCAGTGAGCATAACACCGGGTGGGGAGTCTACGCGATCTCTCCGGTCGTACCCTTCCAATGGTTCCCTCGCCGCACCCACCTCATGGCGCGGCACCATGACGGGTGTGGACAAGTCACCCGTTCTCGACTCGAAAATCTGCGAGGAAGACCCCGCTGACCTGACACGGATGTCACTCGACGAGATTCATGCCGCCGAACTCAGTGACGACGAGAAGGGTCTCGAACGCATAGGCGAGTCTGTGCTCAAGGAGCATTCACATCGCAAACGCGGGCACCGTGCGAACGACTCCATCTCGTCCATCGACATGCGCGACCTTCCCCCGCTGAACGAGAGGGAGGACGAGATCGCGATCTCCGTGCCCAAGATCATCCCCAGTCCGAAGAAGAAGCTCCTGGACAAGAATCTCCCGCCACTGCCGACGGAGGAGCCGCGGCGCGCGGGCGCGGAGAGCCCCGACATCCTGCAGATCCTCGCAACGACGCCCCGCCCGAGACGGAAGTCGTCCGGTTGTCCCTCCCGCTCCGCCTCGCGCACGCGTGTGCGGTCGCTCCGGCGGCATGTGAGCGACGGGACAGCGCTGACGAGCAGTAGGTCTCGCAAGACGAGTGAAGGTATGCGAGGACGGCCGAGCCTGCCTATGAGATTGGGCGCTGAGGAACCTGCGGAAGACTCCTTTGTCGCAGACTACGGTTCTCCGCTGGATGCAACTGGGACACCCATTGATGTCGTGGATGTGGAGGAGGAGGAGAGGTTGGACAGAGCGTTGGATGGAGAAGGGAGTGATACAGACTCGGAAATTGACATTCATACCCCATTACCGTGCGTGATACTTCTCTCGTGTGTCGGGGGTTGTGCTGACCTTTTTACCGTCGCACAGCAATTTGATGTTGAGAGATGGCTTGCTGTCGCCTAACTCGAAGCTTCTGCCGCAGGCTCAGCCGATCGACGATCGCCCCAGTAGCCACATGAGTATCGTCTCAAATGGTGCGTTTCAAACTTGTTGCTCAGACCGAGTATGTCTCACGCGGAATTTCAGCGGGCTCTGTCATGACCAAGTCTGGCTTGTTCAAGGATGAGCGGGATACTGTTCACAGACGAGTCCGACATCGCGACGGCAAACTGCTCCGGGGCGGTATCGGCCTTACAACCGGCCTGGGTTGGAGTGATAGCGAAGATGAAGGCGCTCCGTCCCCACTCACTCGGCAGCTATCCAGCAACACCTTGGGTCGCAAGTCTCTCCCCGCCACTCTTCGCTCCTCGACTTCGACTTCCTCTTCCCTCTCCCGACATTACACCGAAATGGAAGAACGCCGTCCTCGCGCATCCCTCCCCTCTGACCTTTCTCGGAAACCCAGCATGTCTTCCATATCCGTGCCTCGTTCATCACTGTCGTCCATGCGGTCCATGCCGTCTTCCAGCAGGCTGTCAGCTCGTGGATCACATTACGACGAGATGCCCAGGGCCAAAACGCCTCTATCGGCACCACCAGGTTCGCGCGTTAGCGGCCTTCCCGCCGTGCGGAGGCTCGAGCGGTCGTCATCAGATATGGACGCTGTATACAAATCCGATCCTGCTCCCCGTGCCATGCAGAGGGCATCATCATCATCCTCCCGTACGGCTTCCATGAGAAGCACGCTCTCTCAATCAACAAGCAGTACTAGCGCCGGACAGACTGCAGCGTCGCGTTTAATTGCGCCACCGACGGCCTGGGCAGGAGGACGGCCAATAGAGGTTCCTCGACCGCTGAAGCTGCCGCAAGGGCACTCCTCCGCTGGTATCGACGACTCACGACGACGATCTGACGGAACAGACAAGTCGAGACTGTCGGCGGGTAGCAACGTCAGCGCTAGCACCAGCAGTTCCCGAAGTAGAGAGCCGACTCAAGTGCCGCCGTCTCCTGCCCTGCGAGGAGCGACAATGGCGAGGGCACCATCCGCTGGACCTGACGGGAAGGCGAAGCCGCGTACAGGCACTGGCATGGTGTACAGATCCGCGCCACACGGGACCGCGTCGCGGCCGACCATGATGCGCACCCCGAGTTCAACAAAGCTGAGGGCGGCCTACCAGACGGAGGTGGGCATCGCGACGTGATACTGCATTGGCATAGAAGATTAGAGCTCCCCTGTGTTCGATCGGCTACCTACCTACCACCATGGCGCACATGTTACCACCTACTACCCGCCATTTTACCTCCGCCCACTCTCACTCCTTGTGTCACCTACATGTAATTCGTGTATATTATTGAGCCACGCCTTCACGGATACACCTCCATTCATTGTTCAGGCTACGTTGCATTCACGATGGGTCGGAACGCTTGCATTCTTCAAGTTACGCCACGGGTTTATCTTATGTTATGATGATTGGATGGATTGGAGGCATTGGAAGTGGAATTCGACCACCCATTACGTGTTACCATACTGTATACCCTCCCATACCAGGCTGTTCAATGGTATACCAACATCCTTGGCGAGCTTGAGCGCCGTGTCGTAAGAGATCCCGCATTTGAAAGTAGGCACGCTGTCGATCTTCTCCGGCGGAGAGGTTCGCATCAACAGGCGCATCGAAGATAATTCCATCACCTATGGGCGAGTGCAAACTGAATTGAGCAACTGTTTGCGGCCGGGGACAATGTGATCAGGCTCACTTGTGCGAAGATCGCCACACGGGAGATCTCAACGTCGGTATACTCCCCAGGCACAGAGTACTGCGGCGCCGACGGCCGCGTCTCTGCGTCGTTCTCCTCGAGCAGCACCCCTAGGATGGCCAGTAGCCGGTCGAGTCCAAAGGATATGGGGCCAAGCAGCCGCTGAGGAATCTGACAGGAGAAATGGTCACCCGGCAATCGTCCGGAGGTTAAAGAGATGACTGACCTTCGTGGCAGTTCCCGCTCGACCCTTGCGCGGGCCTCCTCCCTTTCTGCGCCGTCGCTTGCGGTCTTCCGGACCTCGCCCGAACATTCGCACATCGCTCTTCGGCGGATTCGTGCTCGCCAGGAACGCCGCGACGAGGACGAACCTCGCCATCCGCGGCAGGCCATCGACGCCCCTGACGTCTGTGCCATCTGCGTGACCGGCGGCGGCCGCGCGGAAAGCGACGGGGACCTGGGAGGGGTGGATGGTGAGCAGGTTCGGGGGCGGTGTGTGGGTGCGGGCCCAGTCTGCGGCGTTGGTGAGCCGCGGGTAGAGCGCCTCGAGGGCGGCGGTCAGAGAGGGCGTGAAGAGGCGGATGAGGCGGAGGCGAGCGTCTTCTGTCGGCGCGACGAGTTCAGGGGGACCCATGTCTTCCGCGTCGGCATCGCCATCTTCGTTTCGGCTCGCGAGGTACTCCTCGTACTCGCGTAAGCGTTGCCTGTGTTCGTCTAGTATTGGCTGGATGAACCCTGGCCAGCGCGCCGCAGCGATGTAGGCGAGCTCGTGCGGGTCGTGCGTGAATGGCCCGCAGATACTGTAGACTGTTGCTACGAAGTGGACGTAGAGCGGCCGGAAGACGGGATTGTAGGTGTCGGGATCGATGTTTGAGTTGACAAGGCTCGACTCGTCCGGTGGAAAGTAGGACGCTAGCGTGTCCAGAACATCTGGCACGAGGAGTTAGAGGAGGAGGTTTAGGAATAGATGGATGACGCACCTTGCTTGGAAAGAACGGGCACGTCTATGTAGAGAGGTTCAGGCGACGCTCCCGATGGTGGACGGATGTCCTCCCAGCGAACGTCAGACACGAAAACAGTAACGATGTCAACTTGAGACTGTTGTTCAATCCGTCGACAGGAGTGCAATTATACGAGGACAAGACTCACTAGTTCAGCGAGACGCGTGAGGGGCACTATGAGCTCGGACATGTTCTCCTTGAGTCGCTCCGGACGCTCTACCGCAAGAACAAATTTACATCTCGCCCCGACTCCAGCACCATTCACGCTCGCACGGGCCTTTCCCTTGCCGTTCGACTCGCCCACCTGCGCTTCGGCGGCGATGGCTCTTAAGCCGTGTAAGAATGTATCAATACTCTCGTTCCACCTTTGCCCCTCCACGCTTGTCCCGGCCCAGTTTTCGCAGCCATCTTCCCAGTCTGGCGTGTGGTGAGAGAGAGCGTTGAGGACTGTGTCGTAGAACAGGCGCGGCGTGAAGCAGGCCACAGCGTTGGCAAACGCGTACCTGAAGCGCGTAGACTCCCCGGCAAGCTCTTCACACACCCCGCGCAAGATTCCGGATGCAATTCGAGCACAGTCTGAGTCGTATATGTATAGAAAAGATAGAGGACACGCGGTGAGTAGAGCAGTGAGCTGAGTAGCAACTCTGTCGGAGCCAGGGTGCAAAGTCTTCCTCAAGCGATTGTAGTCTTTCATCAAGAATGATGCAAGTGTTAGATGCAAGTGCAGAGTGTTTGGATAAAGAGGAGACCAAGAAGGCCCTCAGAACTTCAAGTCTGAAGGAATGCGACGACGACGACGACGACGAGGAGAGGGAGGAGGAAAGGCGAACTTGAGACAAGTTACCGGCACGTGACCGTGACTGGCCGCCACGTCCGATCTACGCGACGTGGTTGAACTTGCTATAAGTACTCATGATCACTGCTAGAATGAGCCCCACTATCTCATAAACTACATTCTCGGACATCATCACTAGTATGGATCAGGCCATTCCCTCCCGGATGCTGCAGCTGAGCTCGATTGACCTCCCGGGCACCAGTCGCCTCGCTTTCCCGTACGCGTTCAGCAAGCACTGCCAAGCAGAAGCCAGATAAGCAGAAGGTACGCGTTACGACGCTACACATTGTACTCGTAGGTTGATCTTGTTGCTCGTCCTCAGATAGTGCAAAAGTCCCCAAACTTGAAACCGCTCGACTCGCTTCCCCGTGTTCTCGTACCGAGCGGTCGGAAAGCGTGGTGGCCGCCTCGCATGCACTACGGCTAGATTGCGCCACAAGAACTCCTGCTGGATTATGCCAAGGAGCACAAGCTCCTTTTCCGTAGCCGAAGCACGCAGTTTTTACCCAGGACGTTGTCGAAAGCGCTTCATGGGATGATACGGCTCGACGGAGTGGCAGAAATCGGGATCGACTTCCTCAATATCAAAGGATCGCTCGTCCAAATGAAGGACGGCTCACTCACACTGGTCGTGTCCCTCTACACGAACTACAATCTCAAACGGGTGGACCTGCCCTCCGATGAGACGATTGAGAAGATTCGGCGACGTCTAGGCATGGAGGGGCCGCCGAAGTGGTACTTGGATTTCGAGCGGTGGTTTTGGGAGGAACGGTGAAGCGATTAGGACGGTGACGGAACATTCGGTTCATGCCTCTGTCAGTACCCGATTCCATAACTCCGTCACCTCTCGCTGATCGATGCTGCCATACAGCACGACACCACGATTAAGGATTATATACGGCTTCTATCGGACTTTGCCTCGCTCTCGTTGGACGGTGTCGCGTAGCTCTGCAACGGTGTATTATGCGTTGTATCATTACCTCATTGCCTCATTGCGATACCCTCTGTCCGTCTGTTCGAGGAGGACCCGCGGCCGTTTCATGAGTCGATGAGCAGGGTGAGCTTGAAATGTCAGCTTGGTGCATAGATTAATTAACGAGAGTCGTTCCACAGTAGCCAGGGTGAGATAGATTCGAGTACGGGTACATACGGGCTCGTACGGGTGACGAAGGAATGACCAGGAGCGCCCGTCGCCATAGTGCAGGTCGCCGCAGTGATTTCCTACCCGTGAGTCGCAGAAAAGGTGCTATTGTCTGGGTCTAAAGCTCAGTAGACTATATCACTCGCGGCCGTTCGCTGCATGTGTTCGCTCGTTGAGCTAGATGCCCATAGTTTACCAGTATGTATCTCTGCTCTTGAGACATGAGCCCTATCAGCTAATATCTTGCGTATCGTCGGGTTTGATCTACATGACACTCTACCCGGTCATCCCTCCCTGCTTAAAGGTATCCTCGTCTAGGAAGCCCCGGTCACACTCCTATCGATGATACACGCCCGGTCCAACACTGCCTAGGATGCAGGCGCCATCGCGGCCTCCCATGTTCCAAGGACGCATATACAGAGCGCATCCACACATCCGCACTTCCGAGCGACGCCGTTAGACATACGGCACAACCACTACAGCGTTCTGGCCATGGACCGCATGCTCCCCGGGCCCTAGTTATCGCCGGGCGCATGTCTGAGTCCATCGCGGGACGCCGGGCCAGCGTCGGGCTTTACGGTCTATACCCGTGGTTTCCGACATCTCCTGGAAGGTATGCCCGCGGACGGCATGGATTAACTATTGATGAGTGTGCTTCTTGCGTGTATCCACGGTCGCGCGTACCACATCTGAGCTGGTGAGTGAAGGGAATGTCAGTGGCTTCCTGTCAGGATTCTGTGGTGATTTACTTATTGGACCTCAGAGCCTGCCTCTCAGGATCAATGCGCTCGGTCACCAACCGGATACTGCATACTATCTGCGTCTCATACACATCCCGATGACTATGCGGACCTACGACGGCTTCAGACGGATCTTTCGAAGGCTGTGAGTCTGAGATTTGAACGCGCTGGACCCTTGAAACGACGTCGACTAGGTCTAATCCGTGAGCGCACACACTTCGTATAAGTAGTATCGTCATCAGTGGTCGGCAGTGACACAGGAACTGTATCATCAAGGTCCTCATCACCATGGGCGCAGCTTCAGAGTTCGCGGTGACTTACACTGCAGAAGTCTCGGGGCCGAGGTACACATCCGTGGATGACTTGCGACTCGAGGAACGAGGAATCAAGTACGTGCGCGTCCAGTATGTCGACTATGGAAACACGGTCCGTTTCCGGGTCCTCCCCGTCTCGTACTTCAAGCGCGTCTGCAAGGTCGCGCGCCCGAGCCTCATCATATCGCCGTTCGCCCTCGCATTCGTCGGTATCAGGTTCGCTGGTGGCTTTCGCCGCACCGACGACTGCCTCCATGTGATAGACCTCAACAGCTTCCGCGTATGCACGTACGCACCCGGGCATGCCGTCGTCATGACGTGGTTCCAGGAGAAGGTACCGTTACCGACCGCTGGGCTAGCGATGTCGATCTGTCCGAGGACGATGCTGCAGAAGGTCGTTGACGAAGCGCGGGCGAAGGCTGGGTTGACGTTCCTGGTCGGCTTCGAGTCCGAGTTTCTCTTGTTGAGAAAGGCATCGTCGCCGCCGGAGTTGGTGAACGACGCGGGGTGGGGGTGCTCCTTGGGATATCGCACCGGTGCCGTCGAGAGCGCCGTCCTCGATGAGATCGTCGATTGCATCGAGGGGGCCGGCGTAGAGGCGCATTACATCCATGGGGAGGCCGCGCCCGCGCAGGTATGGAGTCTCCGCTGCATACCGTGATAGATGTGATCAACTCACGAACCACTCACAGTACGAACTAGTGACGGGGCCAATGTCCCCGCTTGAGGCTGCCGACGCCTTGGTGTTCACACGTGAGACCATCTACAACATCGCGCACAAGCACGGACTTCGCGCGACGTTCGCTCCACGACTGTTGTCTGAGAGCAGTGAGTGTAGTCAACCCCTTTGCGGTGCTCTCGCCTTCGGTGCTCTTCGCCCTCTCCGTAGTCGGAGCGGCGCACATATGCATCTCTCTCTGCACTCCAGCGCACCAGTTGCGAAGCCCGACACCCGGCTAGACGCCGCATTGGCACCCGAGCTCACGCCCACCGAACGCTCGTTCCTACAAACGCTAGTGGAGCACATCGCCTCCCTCAGCGCGATCACTCTACCCACCAACGCCTCCTACGGGCGCGTCGAAGACGGCATTTTCTGGGCGGGACGTACGCGTGCTGGGGGTGGTACAACAAGGACGCCCCCGTGAGGGTGTGCGGGGATGAGGGGGCGTACCGCTTCGAGGTGAAGACGATAGATGGCACGTCGAACCCGTACATCGTGTCTGCAGGTATCTTGGCAGCTGGGTTGAAAGGCGTGCTCAGCGGGGCGGAGCTCAAGACCGGCAACTGCGCCAAGCCAGCGGCTCAGATGAGCGAGGAGGAGAGGAGGGCGGTGGGGCTGGAGAACCCCCGTCGGTTCCCGCGCATAGTTGGCGACGCGAGACAGATGCTGGACAAGGATACATACTTGAAGGAGACCCTGGGTGACGAATTCGTGGGCGTTTACCTTGGAGTAAGCAAAGCAAGTCATGTTTCTGGAAACGACAAGCTCTTCGTACTCACATCCTCTGCTATAGTTGTTAGAGGAACATATGACGCTTCCTACGGAGGAGGCGACCATTACACGCCTTATTGAGACTTTCTAGTTGGCGCTGCATGCGTCCAATGTCGATCATAAAGCTTGATGACCTGCTGGATAGTCCAGTGCCTTCGCACACTGCATGCGCATGCCAGTGGGGCGATTCGAGGCAGCGTGGCGGCACCAGTGCGCACTGCGCACGGCCACATTTGGCCAGAATTTCAGTCACACCGCGGGCAGACCAGGTTGTTCAGACTCCAAAAACGCTACGAACATCGGTCCCTCATGGGAAGCCTTTCTGAGATTTGACGGACCCAGAAAATGCTTGGAAAATGCGTGTTTTCGTCAAACATGCTGAAATTTGGCTAAAATACCTCATGTTCTGAGGATGTTCGGAGCCCAAACACCCTCAGAAAAGGTTCCCAGGGAAGACCAATCTTCGTAGGCTTTTCGGAGTTCCAAAACGCTGGTGTGGTTCCCTCGCATGCCTGCGGCACGAAGGTGCTCTAGCAGCGTGTAGCCTCTGGGCGCACAGTGATATGGGACCGCGCTGCAGATGGATATCGCGATCATTTAACATCTACAAATCAGCTGCCGGAAAGCAAGCTATCGTCTTGCGGGGGTCAAAGGATGGCTTCCGATTTCGGTAAGCCACCTTCCTCTTTCGTTTGACATCCGTTTCTCTATCTTCGCCTTCACTCTCCTCCTGCCTCGGCCGGGCACGTCAGTCAACTCTAGAAACACGCATGTCACACTGACTTCATCGGCTCGACGGTTGGCCTCACTCCTCGCATATATAAGGCGGGCCTACGTCTCCTTCCCATCCAACCCCCGTCCTTTCTCCCCATCATCACCAGACGCTGTAGATCTCTCGCGCAGATCCGCGATGTCACCACCGGAAGCTCCTGTCGGACACGGAGGAACTTTCCTCCACGCTCAGGGTGTCATGCTTACGACAGAATGCAGGTATTATCTCCTCTGTGATTACCGGCACAGTCGCACTGCGCTCATCCCGACTCCCCTACTGCCAGACAGGCGCGCGTCCTGCCAAGGTTTAGCTGCGAACGGATGAACTGTGCAGCACCTTGGCCCCAACTTGGCCGCAACGCATGTCTGGGGCATAGATCGGGTCCCTTTCACGTGCCCCGGGGTAGCGCGGGGAAAGTCGATTGGATGCGCATTAGACGTTCTCGTGTCAGGTCCTCGCGGGCGTGTGATCCCTGTGAGCAGGACGCCTGCTATTTAACCGCCTATGTCCGCCTTCGTGCCGTCCGTCGCTCGGGAAGACCCCCCTACGACGTCCTGCTCTCTCGACAACGGAATCACCCTCTCTGCCTCCATGGCCACCACTGAGTTCCACGGACCCAGCGGGCCTCTTCCTCACGTTCCCGATGATGTCACACTCGTTCAGTTCATGCTCGATTCTGATCACCCATCAAGACCGGTCAAGAGAATCCTCCAAGGGAACCCCTGGATGATCGAGGACGCGACGGGCAGGCAGATCGGCTACGGCGAGGTGCGTACTGCTGTGCAAAGCCCAGTGCTTCGGAAAGGCTCATCAGGTTCGAAGGTGCGAATGCGCACACATGGCTTGGCAAACGCGATAAGTTCGCGCTGGCGCATTGGTACGTGGGTCTTCGAACCATTGAAATCGCATCTAATTATATTGGCAGCCGAAGACGACGTAGGTACGCGTCTTGCTCTTTACAGCTAATGAAATCTCGATAGACTGGTTCTCGCGGCGCGCACACAGTAGTCTGCCAGGAGAAGCAGACCCCACTCCACAAGCCACATTCACTATGGGAAGTCGGCTACGTTGTGGAGTTGACGTGTCACCAAGCGCCATATGGCACCTGTGCGCGCACCGTCGAGGGCGGTCTATCGATATTTTACAGCATTAAGTAGCTGTAAGCCCATATGTGTACCATCCCACTGACACTCTGCAGTTTGCATATTCGGACCCAATCACGTCGGTATGTACTGGTTTGTATCTACTCCGTCTTCAGTGTGTCTGATTCTCTATCCGCAAGACTATCCGATAGCTGTCTGGTGAGTCCCATTGTACGTTTCGTGGTTCTGGCATTGGGTTACCTTTCTACACAGGGCTGTACACCGGCTCGGCGCTACCGTGACGTACGTCGATGATAATCCCGTACGAAGGGAGCTTACAACTGACTTTATCATTAGTTGCGCGAATCCGGCGTATACCGCCGGAGAATTGCAATACCAGCTGGAGACCACGAAAGCGAAAGTGCTCATTGTCCACGGTCAGAGCTATTCGGTTGCAATCGCCGCTGCGAAGGCTATAGGCTTGTCGCTCGATCGCATCGTCCTGTTCGATCCGCTGGAGAACTCGGCGTCGTCCTCGTATAAGCACTTAACCGTACACGAGCTCATCAAAGAGGGCTTGGAAAGGCCACAGAGCTATGTCGAGCGCAAGCTGAAGCGGGGAGAAGGCAGGACGAAACTTGCGTTCCTCAGTTTCTCCAGTGGAACAACGGGCAAGCCGAAGGTACATTGAGTTCATCTGAATCAGCAGTGAATTTTTGATAATCGAGTTTTGTAGGCCGTGTGCATCTCGCACTACGCACCCATTGCTAATGTCCTTCAGATGGCGCACCTCGCCAACCAACAACCGGGGCCCTGGGAGATTGTGAAGTACAGAACGGGCGGTGTTGCCATGGGAGGTATGCCTTGAGAATCACCATGTCAATTCTTCTTAGCTGATCAACCTGGATGCAGTGCTTCCGTTCTACCGTGAGTCGAACAAAACAACACACGACGTCTGAACTCACAGTGGTGTCCCAACCAGACATCTATGGGCTCGTCGTGATCATGCACTTCATGATGTTCTATGGGGTGCGTTATGTGAGTCCTTGACGCGGTATGCGGAGTACTGAGCTGCACCCGCACGTTATCAGGCCAGCCTTGTTGTTGTTCCCAGATTCAATCTACTCGATTTCTTGGGCAGCATACAGCGGCATAAGATTGGCCTCCTTCCGTAGGTTTTCTCGTCCGCGTATCGTCGGTCTTGCTTACATGAGAGCGGGTAGGGTCGTTCCGCCAATGATCGTTCTCTTGTGCAAAGTGGGTAATAATGCAACGGCGTACAGTAATGTGACTGATGAGTTCAACAATGAGCAGCATCCGGCCGTCAAGAACTACGACCTCAGCTCAGTTCATGCGATCATGAGTGGTGCTGCGCCGTTATCGCCCGAGCTCACGAACCAGCTTGCCAAGGTCCTCCCACAAGCATGCGTAGGGCAGGGATACGGTGCGCACCCCCAATTATGTGCAACACCAGCACGCTCGTGCTAACATGCGAGGCCCGGAAGGCATGACGGAGACGTGTACGACGATATCCTTCCCGCAGATCGAGCAGAAGATCTGCACGCCGGGTTCGGCAGGGAGACTCGTTCCTGGGGTCGTCGCGCGCGTTGTGAAGCCAGACGGCTCGCTCGCGGGTTTCAACGAGCCGGGCCACCTGATTGTGAAGGGCCCAGCTAATGCCCTGCGTTATCTGAACAACGAAGAAGCGTGAGTTGCGGTCACCTTGCACGCTAGTCATATTGGACTCACCTGTGGACCGGACGTAGAACGAAGGAAACGTTCGTGGACGGATGGGTACATACTGGCGACGAGGTCACCATTAATGAGACGATGGAGGTGTTCGTCGTTGATCGGATCAAGGTATGTGCATCTACGAAGACCCCCACGGATCTGCGTTGCTGAGATCTGCATGAACCGTCGTTGATGCTTGCCTCCTATAGGAACTCATCAAAGTTAAGGGCTTCCAGGGTCAGTGTGCTTATATCATAGCATTGTGAGACATAAGCATTGATGTCCGAGCAGTGGCGCCCGCCGAGCTTGAGGGCCATGTCCTGGATCATCCAGACGTATCTGACGTCTGTGTGGTCGGCCTGCCGGATGACTACAGCGGAGAGCTTCCCCTCGCTTTCGTGACACCCAGCGTCGCGGCCGCGGAACGAATGAAGAAAGATCCCGCTGAGGCGGCCAAGATTCGGACATCGATCACGAAGGTCAGTTACACCCATCTGTTCCACGATCTGAACGCTGACTTGTGGGTTGGCTTCGCAGCATGTCGCGGACGCGAAGGTGAATTACAAGCACCTGGAGGGCGGAGTGGAGTTCGTCGAGGCGATACCTAAGAACCCGAGTGGGAAGCTGCTGAGGCGGGTGTTGCGGGATCGGGCGGCCGAGTTGAGGAAGCAGGGGAAGTTGTCGAAACCGCCCAGGTCGAGGATGTAACCACCTCAAATTGATGGGGGTAGGTAGATGAAGATATTGTATTTTTTCTTTCGTGTCCGACACTGTCACGCACATTGTTGGTTGCTATCCTAAGACGAACTCTTGGGTTCGCATACATTGGCTGCCAACTTGCTCAGCTCCAATCCTACCTGTACGTCGCCTAGTCATCGTGTGTGTGACGTGACAGTACACGCGGTAGATATGCAGGTGTAGATGGCCCATGGCTAAGTATAGGGCGGAGGCGGGTGCCGTTGACTCAGTAGACTCAGCCCTAGAATGCCGCACGTACACATGGGCCGCCGGACGAAGCCGGGCGAACGGTCAATCAACGTCGACATTCGAGCGGTCTACCATACGGTACTTTCCTCCTACGGTGTCATTCGTTCAAGTTCACGACATGTCAAACATGGCTCGCTCTCCGCCGATCCGTCTTCGAATCGAGTGTCCATGTCTTCTTCATCCCTGTGCTGTCATTCTTAGTTTGTGATCATTCTAGTTCTGCCTGTACTAATAGAGAGAGCCCCTGGTCGCGCTTCCAACCTCCCCCCGTTGCCTTCTGTCTCTCGCTCACTGTTCGCTGGCATTGGATCCCCATGCTGCAGCACCTCAAATTGAGCGGTGATTCCAGACCAGTCGAGTGAGCTTGCGCAAAGAGTATCGGTTGAGTCGGCCTAAGTACTAGTACTCTGCCTACAACTTAAGGCCGCCGCCGACATCCACTGTGCCGCACTGGGACTCTTCAAACGCTAGGTCCGACGCCCGAGGTCCTACCTAAGAGTACTTGCCTTCAACACGCTCGAACTGCCTGGGCCAGGAGTTCCGGTTGGGGTTCATCAATGTATTCGCCAAGGGGCGCGTTTTCCCTCCGACAGTCGTGAAACGGGCTCAGGGGCCAACTTCCGGATTCAGTGCCAACCATACAAATTCATTTTACTTCCACAGTCAATACTCATTCAAGATCAGTCAAACCACCCTGCACTGCTTCGCAGGACGCCGAACTGAAACCTGGCGGCGGCTAAGGGGATGCGGGGAAACGCCCCGGTCATATAAATGGTGACAGCGCGTTATCGCCCACCCCAGGGATCTATCTCTTACCATGTCTCAAATCGGTATTCTCTACAAGCCTGAACAGGCTTCCAAGCCAAAATACGCGTCCGTGCATGATCTGCAGCTGGAAGAGCGAGGCATCCGCTACGTGCGTGTGCAATGGGTCGACCTGGTCAACACCGTGCGCTTCCGTATCCTCCCCGCCTCGTACTTCACCAGACTCTTCGAAACCGCGAGACCCGGAGTCTGTCTGTCGAAGGTCACGCTCGGATTGGTGGGGGTCAACATGGCGGAGGGGTTCAGCGGGACAGGCGAACACCTGTACGTGGTCGACCTCAACAGTTTCCGCCTGAGCCCCTACGCGCCCGGGCATGCGGTCCTGATGGGCTGGTTCCAGGAGAAGACGCCGCTCCCGAATGGCAGCTTGGCCACTCCACTGTGCCCGCGGACGCTGCTGAAGAACATTGTGAACGAGGCGCAGACCAATGCCGGGCTCTCCTTCCTTGCTGGGTTCGAGTCCGAGTTCATCCTTCTGAGCGCGACATCGCCGAAGCCTGTGACGCTTAATAACGCCGGCTGGTCGTGTGCAGCCAAGTTCCGCACGGGCACTGTAGAGAACACCGTGCTGCAGGAGATAGCAGACAATCTGCAGGATGCAGGACTCGAGCTGCAGATGATACACGCGGAGTCGGCTCCTGGACAGGTATTGCCTTACGATCAACTTGTCCTGGCAGCGTGCTGATAGCGATCGATAGTTCGAAGTTGTGACTGGTCCGTTGTCTCCGCTCGAGGCGGCCGATGCGGTGGTGCACACCCGGGAAACCATATACAACGTTGCTAGCAAGTACGGTCTCCGCGCGACATTCGCTCCGCGACTGCACGCTGATAATTGCGAGTCCCCGTCTAAGACACATGTTGACGAGTACTCTGACCGATGCTTTCCACAGGTGGAAACGGCGCGCATGTGCACTTCTCCGTCCACTCAAGCAGGCCTCCGACGTCCGGCACACGACGCGACGCGGCTCTCGCGCCGACACTCACCGCTACTGAGCGTTCGTTCCTCCAAGGCATCCTCGAGCACCTACCCGCACTCTGCGCGCTGACGCTCCCCACCTCGGCGTCCTACGCTCGCATGGCTGACGGGATTTGGTCCGGCGGGACTTACTCCTCGTGGGGTCTGGACAATAAAGACACGCCGATCCGGCTGTGTGGCTCGCAGGGTGCACATCATTTCGAGATGAAGACGGCTGACGGCACGTCGAACCCGTATCTCGTCCTCGCGGGAACGCTGGCCGCGGGCCTGCGCGGCGTGCTGACGGGGGCCGAGCTCAAGTCGGGTGATTGCGCGAAGCCAGTCGCGTTCATGAGCGAGGATGAGAGGAAGGCAGTCGGCTTGGAGAACCCCCTGCGGCTGCCGCGGACCGTGGGCGACGCGAGAGAGAGGTTGCAGGAAGACGAGCAACTGAGGGAGATGCTGGGCGACGAGTTCGTGACGAAGTATGTAGCTGTGAACAAGGCGCGTTGTGTCTCGTTTGTCTGGCGGGCGCTGTACTCACCCTTCTCCAGGTGTTGGAGAAGTTCTTGAAACTGCCCAGCGAAGAAGAGACGATCACGCATCTGGTGGAGTACTATTAGGAGTTCCATCCAGTGAGGTAGCCCTTCACACGTTACACTGCTAAACAACATCTGTCTTCACCAAACGGCTGTCGAAATTGGCACGAGTTAGTCGTCGCACACACTAATAGCGCTCGAACATATGCGCGAAGTTGTCGCCCTCCGTAGACTGCGTCATGACCCGCTCAAGCGACTCCAGCCAAGCTCTATGTCAACAACTGCTCATCTACGAAGAGTAAGGTCAACTCACCTCATTCGCTGACAGAAACCGAGAAACGAATTCCTCGCCCAACTTCTCCCTCAGAGCACCGTCTTCCTGTAACAACCTCCTCGCATCGCATAACGTGCGTGGCAACTGCGGATACAAGTCCAGTCCTGCCGTCCTCCTCTCTTCTGCCGTCATGGTTGCGACTGGACGTACGCAGTCCCCAAAGGTCAGTTTTGCACCGCTGAAAACACCTAGTAACCCTGCCGCCAGAACGCCAGCCAAGACCAAGTAGGGATTCGACGTCCCGTCGATAGTCCGCACTTCGATGTGATGCGCGCCTCGGTCCCCGCATAACCGCACGGGGACGTCTTTACGGCTGCTGCTCCAGCTCGCATACGCGTTGGCCGGTGGTTCGCCGTCCCGGGCGCGTTCGTACGAGGCGGCGATGGGCAGGTTGATTGCACTCAGGGCGGGGATGTGCTCGACGAGCGTTTGGAGGAAGGAGCGTCCGTGGGCGTGAGCGTAGGTGCGATTGCGGCGGCACGTTCTTGGCTCGAGGTTGCCTCGGCCTTGTTGGTATGCAGGGATATGTGCAGATGAGTGCCGACGCTGCCTGCGAAGGAGGTGAGTGACGTGGTCGATGGTGAGCAGAATGTCTGGAGACTGACGGGAATTGGTGTGCAACTTAGCTGCAAACGTCGCACGGAGCCCATGTTTGCTCGCGACGTTGTAGAACGTCTCACGCGTATGCACAAGCGTATCTGCGGCTTCCAAGGGCGTCGACGGCCCCATCACAAGCTCGTACTAGCAATCTCGGTCAGTGGTCGTGAATGGTGAAAGCCAACAATCGTGTGCAATACCTGACCCGGAGCTGCGCCCCCGTGCAGTGCTTGAACCTCGACGCCGACATCCAGCAGGTTCTCAACGATCTCCTCGAGCCCCGTCTTCTCCACAGTGCCCGACCGATGGCCCGATGAAGCTCCCCATCCCGCTCGATTTACAGGGGCGGATTGTGTTGACGCGTCTTGTAACCTGAGGAGGGTGAACTCGGTTTCGAAGCCTGCCAGGAAGGTTAGGCCTGCTTTCAACTTGGCCTCGGTTACGATGCTTTCCAGGAGCGTCCTTGGACAGAATGGGATCGTTAAGCTGCCCGTGGGTGATGCCGTTTTCATTTGGAACCAGCCCATGATTGTAGCATGTCCCGGGGCGTACGGACATGCACGGAAACTACTGAAGTCGATTGCGTACAGGCTTGCGGCCTCCGTGCTGAATGACTCCGCGATGTCGCCCTCTACTGTGCCGAGTAGAGAGAGGTCAAAGAGAACGCCTGGCCGCAACGTCTCGCATACTCGCTTGAAGTATGTGATGGGTAAAATGCGAAAGCGTACAGTGTTCGTGTAGTCAACGAATTGGACCCGGACGAACTTGATCCCGCGAGACTCGAGTCGAAGGCCGCGGACGGAGTCCTGCTTAGATGAAGGTATGCTGTCAGGCTTGTAGACAACTGCATATTCCGAGGTGATGCCCATGATGTCCAGGTGGCCCAGTTGCCTTGGATGGCTCGAATGTCTGAGAGAGCGGCACGATACTCTGATACTACCCTATGGGAGCGTCATTTGTAGGTGCAGGCAGCTGTCGCCCTCTGATGGTGTCCGATCGTTTCAGCCGTATGCTACATTGCCCGACATCGGTGCGGTGCGAAAAACACCAGCGTGCGGCACGATGGTGATGTAGTTCCGAGCTGAAACAAGAGAAACTGCACTGTATGCGCGCTCAGAGAGGGCCCTGGACAGTCCAAGTCTCGAGACGCCCGACCGGGCGGTATGTTACTCTGCGAACTGATCTATGCTTGAGTCTCAGGTAAGTACCGCCACGGTCTAGCGTGATTGCTCTGTACAAACAACAGGCCTGTAGCCCGCGTTCCAGGAGCGCATGTACGTTGCGACGACTCTGGAGAGGGATGGGGTGAAACTTCCCAACCTAGATTACTAGGGACCTATGCCAGTGGGATGGGTTAGTCGGGCGTCTTGGGGCTCCGTGCTGCCAGGGTTGCCGTCAGAGCCAGCATATGCGGCTATACTTACAATGTTGTAGCCTGTCAGATGGTGGCACAGTCTAGAGAGTCTGATGCCCATACACAGACTCCCAGTCAGACAGCTAGGTACCGGAGGATTACCTACTCAAGATTACCGCGCGAGCATCGACTGTGATTCCTTCGGTGATCGGCCATACGTATACGGTCTACGTACAACTACTAAGCTTAACAATATGAGTAAGTACTCCCATAGTAGTGGCCGGCACCCTACGCCGACTCCAAATCGCCACTGTACTGCGGAGCACACCGGTCAGTCAAGGTGACCCGGCGTTTGGCAGAAACTTAAGGGAAGCGACCTGATGTCGTCATCGTACATACGATACCTTCCCAATGAAGCAAGCTACTTTCCTCATCCGGTTGACATTCGTTTCTCTAGCTCTTTTTCACTTCCCCTCTCCCTCGGGCACTTCGGGAATTTCTAAAAATACGGAAATGTATACGGAGCAGCTCCACTATTGACCGCACTGTCCTTGTTTATAAGACGGGCGTGCGCTGCCACCGTCGCCCATATCGAAGAATCGAAAGTCCCCCGTCTTCCGAGATGCTCTGTCTACAGCTAACTTATTGGCGCCTTTTGCGAAACTCATGGATAAATTCCTTTGTATCGCATACCCACTCGAGACTATCAGTGGTTTCTGGTAAGTGGCTACTCAAGTTCTAACTTAGTGTTACTTATTGGCAGTGACCAGTGGGCTTAGCGGGTTGGCACGTGAGACGCGTCATACCTTCGTGCGCGTACAACGCGCCTCCGAGTACAGTAGCTGTGGGCCTGTGGCTGCGGGCGCTGTGCCTGTCCCACCCACTGCAACCCACCTCGGAGACAAGCTTTGTTTCGCGTGTTTCTGACTCCTCGGGTTGTTCAATACACCTAGAATGAGCAAACTGGTCCACAGGATCCAAGACAAGCTCAGAAGACCACCCGCACCGTGTATGTCCGAGTCCGCCTAGAGTCTACAATGCCTCCAGCGTGCAAGAGCTCCTCTTTCATCTTCTGGCTCGTGGTACATGTCATTGTCACTCTTTGCCTCGTCATCTACTGGTTCCCGCGAGCCAGACTCGTTGCATCCTCTTCTCATCCATTCCCCACCGCCCGATTCGGGGGCGTCGCAACATTGGCATTGACTGAGGATCCGTTCGCAGTGCCCACGCCGTCGCCCAACATGTCCCGGCCCACACACGACTCGCCAGTTGGTCCAGGTACCGCGGCTCCTGGCGAGCCATACTGGATGGAGGGGATCAAGCACCAGGGGATGGCCGCCTTCAACCCGAAGCCAGAGGCGTACCAGGTCTTCAGGAATGTGAAGGACTTTGGAGCAGTGGGCGACGGAAAGGCGGATGATACTGAGGCAATCAAGTGAGCTCGGAAACCCGCTGTCATGTATCGCTGATAGGAACTGGTGCTGGGTGCAGTGCGGCGATGTCGTACGGAGGACGGTGTGGTGGAGGGAACTGCGAGTCTTCAACTGTCACACCAGCGGTCGTGTACTTCCCGCAGGGGTGAGCCGAAGCCTTTGACAACCGGCGTCCTAACTTATGCTGTTGACCTCTAGCATATACAAGGTGTCGTCGCCGATCATGTAGGCCGCACGTCCTACCCGCATGGATTCCTACTCATATATCCACACTCGTAGTGCATACTACTACAGCCAGATCATCGGTGATGCGAGAGCACCGCCTACACTTCTCGCAGCCTCGAACTTCAGTGGGATGGCCGTCATTGATGCGGACCCGTACATCCCGGGTGGCGGGGGTGCGCAATGGTACATCAATCAGAACAACTTCTTCCGGAGTGTACGCAACTTCGTCATCGACACTCGTCGCGTGCCCGACCACGTCTCTGCTACCGGAATCCATTGGCAAGTCTCACAGGCCACTAGCCTGATGAACATTCGTTTCGTGATGAGCGACCGCAAGGGCAATGCTCATCAAGGTCTTTTACATTACTGTAATACACCTGTGGGTTGAAGATCTGACATGAGCTGTGTAGGGATCTGGATGGAGAACGGGAGCGGCGGCTTCATGGGAGGTGAGCTCATGACTTGAACTTGCGTTCTACCTATTGAGATTGACGATACGTATAGATATGGAGTTTTATGGGGGTCAGTGCCCTATGTCACAACGCCGTACATCAGTCTTATGTCTGGGGCAGGTAAATTTGGGATTTGGGTCGGCAACCAGCAGTAAGCACAATTCCAATGGTTGCGATACTGAGGCCACTATTGACCGCCTCCAGGTTCACAGTTCGAAACGTCACTATGACGAATTGCGAGACCGGTGAGGAATTTGGGTTGATGGATGCGTGCCTCTTTCATGTTGACTTGGGCTATAGCGGTCTATGGGATGTGGAATTGGGGTCAGTGAACAGTCATGGGCGTCTGTCCCGGCCGCTGATGGTACGCTCTCAGGTTGGACGTTCCAGGGCATCACAAGTACGTGGATTTGTCAAGTTCTAACGATCGCGCTACAATAACAGGATACAGTCAACAACTGCCAAGTAGGCTTCGACCTGAAAACAGGTGGAACGACGTCAGATACGCAGGTATGAAACAGCGCTCGCCATTTTCCTTCACCTCTTCATTGCCGATGCTTCATAGACAGTCGGCGGCGAAGCAATTATCGACGCCGTAGTGTCCAACACGCCCGTGTTCGTACGCTCGTCTGTGCACACCACTTCCCTAGCGGGTTCACTCGTGCTCAACAATGTCCAACTCACCAACGTGCCTATTGCCGTTGGAGTCCTCAATGGGCCCACGATTCTTCCTGGAGGAACGACGACCATCGAGAGCTGGGTACAGGGCAACGTGTACCAGGGTGCAAATGGCGCGAGACGGTTCATGCAGGGCCGTCACGAGGTGCCAACCAAAGCAAGGAGTCTGCTCAATTCAGAGGGAAAGGTTTTTGGGCGCATGCATCCGCAGTATGAAGATTATGCGCTGGACCAGTTCGTCAGCGCCAAGAACCTGGGAGCGAAGGGCGATGGACTGACAGACGACACGGAGGCGCTGCAGCGCATCTTCGGTGAGGTACGCCGCTCCCACTCAACTCATCTAGTCGTAGCGTCTGAGGATCCTGGTAGCACGCAGGAAAGAAGATCATATTCCTCGACCACGGCACGTATTATATTACCGACACTCTCCTCATTCCTGCGGGAACACATCTCGTCGGGGAGGCGTGGAGCGTCATCATGGGTGGCGGGCCCGCCTTTGCGGACGTCCGTAGTCCGCGCGTCATGGTGCGTGCGGGCGAACCAGGCTCTCAGGGCGTCTTGGAGATCTCGGACGTGGTTTTTGCCACAAGGGGTCCAGCAGCCGGCGCTATCGTGATTGAGTGGAACGTGCACTCGGACGTGCAGGGCGGGGCGGGCATGTGGGACACTCATATTCGGTGGGTTGGGTGAACCGATCCTGAGAGCTGTGCTGACCAGTCGTTCTCATGCAAATCAGGTTAGCTGGAGGTAGGTGAACCAATGTTTCCGCGAGTGCGCTGACCATATGGACGATCGAGCAGCTGCCGGAACGAGCCTTGAACGCGCACAGTGTCCTCTGCAGCCGAAGTCTGACCAGTGCTATGCAGCGTTTTTGGCGATGCACCTCACCCCACAGTCGAATGCGTACTTAGAGGCAAACACTTATACACCAGAAAACATGTTCTGTGGCTGAAGATGCTTCGCAGGGCACATGGATCTGGCTTGCGGACCACGACCTGGATGGTGACGGAAAATCTCAGATCACGGTGTACAGCGGGCGGGGTGTCTTGTCAGAGTCGCAGGGGCCTGTGTGGATGATCGGGACTGGTGAGTAGTCTGTTGGGAATTGTGTCCTGTTGTCAGCTTATCCAGATCATCACTTCATAGCTTGTAGGTCAAGCCCTTTACAGACACAGCGAGCGATGGGCTGACAACTACCTAGCTGAGCACCACACGTTGTATCAATACAGCTTCGTGGATGCGCGAGATCACTATCTTGGGCTATTGCAGACAGAATCTGTCAGTTAACCTGTCATGGTCATGTATCGCGGAAATTACTGATTGCACCTAACGACGGTGCGTTTGCATTACAGCCGTACTACCAACCGTCGCCACCGCCTCCTGCGCCATTCGTTATCGAAAGCCGCTACAAAGATCCGAGCTTCCCTCCAGGCCAATCATCAGCCTGGGCAGCCAACATACAGAACTCACACGGCATGCTGATCTTCGGTAACTAGCTCTTCACATGCCTGACTACATACACTGGTTAACAAACAGGCTAGGTGCGGGCTTGTACAGCTTCTTCAGTAGCTATGGCCAGGCCTGCCTCAAAGACTCGTCGTGCCAGAGCCAAATCCTCAACATTGACGCACAGTCGTCAGTAGATGTGTACAGCCTGTCGACAGTGGGAGTGACACACCAGTTGAGTGTGGAGGGTCGTGGGATCGTTCCTGCGTATGCGAACCAGAACGGCTTCCAGTCTACAATGACTGCTTGGACGAGGTGATATATTGGTGGTAAAAGGACTGTCTATTTGGCAATGGACTGAAGACATGTAGTTGTACTTGTAGCATTTCAGGGCATGGCTGTACACTATACTAGATTGTTGTTTGCCAGGCCCGGAGACCGGGAGAACGCGCCTGGGATGTCCCACGTGAGCGTGTCATCCCGCACTATTCAGTTCAGGTCACACCTGCTTGCAGTAGTCACTAGAGTGTAGGCTAATGTAGGCCGAGTATCATGTATGATCTGTTCTCCCGTACGTATTGATCGTCCAAGGATGTTCCCATACATGCGTAACCATAAGTGGCGGACAAACACGACGATCGACGCTTGTCTTCAACAGCCATGTCCGACATACACGCCCCCGGCGGGCCCATACCCGAGGTCCCCTACGACCTCACCGTTCCCCAATTCTTGCTCGACATAGACTGGCATCCCGCCAGGCCAGCGCTACTGTCACGCGCCCCGTGTATGATAGAGGATGCGACTGGTCGTGCGATCTCTTTTGACGAGGTGAGCAGTTACCGGAACGAGATGCTGGTGTCAACGGTTCAATTTGATTGACGATTGTATTAGGTTCGGGCACGTACGATCGCGCTCGCAAATGTATTGCATTCCCGTTTCCAAATCAGTACGTGGTTCCTTGCGTTCTGACCATGAGCCTGGTTAAGTTGCCGTAAATAGGGGACAATGACGTTGGTACGGCACTCCCTTCCAGCTAACTTCATACCATTGGGCCCCGCGCCTTCGAAATGCACGTAGGCCCAACGACATGGACTTGACTGTCAACGTGTGTCACCGAACCTTGTTCTCATATCCTTACGTAGTCTGCATCTGCACCCCGAACCACGTAGGTAAGTTGCATAACGCTTGGCATATCGAGTTGTATTTGAATCTCCGTAGACTTTCCTGTTGTCGCGCTGTACGTAATTCTCATCGCCGACTCCAACATGTGTAGCTGACCAGCGAACATGTGTAGAGCTGCACAGAAGCTTGGAGCTGTGGTCACGTATGCCGCAGCCATCTCATTGTCAGTGGCAATAACTGAATGCTCTGTTTAGGGCCTCGAACCCCGCATATACGGCCAGCGATCTCGAGTACCAGCTTAGGATCACAAATGCCAAGATCCTCATCTTACATCCCTGGAACCTGGCAGTCGGACACGCTGCGGCGAAGGCCGTAGGACTTCCCTTAGAACGGACCATATTGTTCGACGTGGCGGAGAGCAGTGAGCCATCGCAGGCATACCCTACTGTCTCCGAGCTCGTCAAGGAAGGGTCCGCGAAGCCGCAGAGCTTCACGGAACGCCGATTGGGGCCGAATGAGGGAAAGACAAAACTGGCCTATATCAACCTATCAAGTGGGACGACAGGGAAGCCTAAGGTAAGTCCGAGGCGTGTGGTAGGTGCAAGCGAAATGAACTTCGTTGTTAGGCGGTCTGCATTCCCCATAGTGCAGTGATTGCGGGCATGATCCAACAGGGTCATATGTTAGAACAAGATACCACTCCCTGGGACGACCGGAAGTACCGTCCTGGAGACCGGTGGTATGCCGGTGAGTACACCAGTTGCTAGAGAAACCCGCATTATCTGTGACCAGGCCTCTAATTCTGGGCAGCCCTGCCTTTCTTCCGTAAGTACCATGATATGTCAACGTATACGTTCGAGTGTCACATTCACGTTGTCTAGACATATACGGCCTCGTCGGCATCATGCATTTTGCACTGTTCTACGGAGTAAGGTGAAAACTCGGTTTGCATTTGAAGCATATTACTCACGTGCGCTTGGTCTTGGAATAGACGACGCTCGTGGTAGTCCCAAAGTTCAGCTTCGAGGGCATGTTGAAAAGCATACAACGCCACAAGATCAGGATGCTCCCGTGCGTGTTGTCTCTGTACCCACCAGATAATCCGCTGATAGACCGTAGAGCCGTGCCTCCGATAGTCGTCCTGCTGTGTAAGGTAAGCCCCGAGCGGTTGTTCTTTTGCGAGCTTGAATAACATACAACACCGCGTGTAGAATCCCGAAGTGAATCGGTACGACCTGTCCTCCCTGCGCCTCGTAATGTGCGGCGCCGCACCGCTCTCGGCCGAGCTCATCAACCAGCTGTCCGCCCGGCTGCCCTGGATTAGCATCGGGCAAGGATACGGTGCGGAGCTCCTCGTATATCCGTGGAACTTGTCATGCTGACTAGTTCAGGTATGACGGAGGCCGTGGGCTCGGTCTGCTTCCCGCAGCTAGAGCAGAAGATCTGTTCGCCTGGTAGCGCAGGGCGGCTCGTCCCCGGGCTCACTGCGCGCGTCGTAAGGTCGGACGGATCGCTCGCGGGATTGGGGGAGCTGGGCCAGTTGGTGATCAAGAGCGATGCGATCGCCCTGGGCTACCTGAACAACGAGGAGGCGTTAGTTCCTACAACAGTGGAAACCGCCTCGTGACGACTGACTCTTGACTGCAGCTCGAAAGAAACATTCGTTGACGGGTGCGAGATCTGTACTGCGAGGCACGCTGCGTGATCTGATAATCTCTGACATTGAAGCTGGCTCTACACCGGGGATGAAGTCTATATCAATGACAAATACGAGGTCTTCATTACTGACCGTATCAAGGTGAGCTTCTACAACATGTCAGAGACGGCATATCTCAGTCGCCCTCTCATGTCTGCAGGAGATCCTGAAAGTCAAGGGGTTCCAAGGTGAGCCGCAGGCAAACACGATCGAGCGAGCTAACATGGATTTGCTTTGGCGTGCAGTGGCACCCTCTGAGCTCGAAGGGCATCTCCTTGATCACCCTGACGTCTCCGACGTCTGTGTGGTCGGCATACCCGACGAGTACAACGGCGAGCTGCCCTTCGCGTTCGTCGTCCTCAGCGCGGAAGCGATCCAGCGCATCAAGGAGTTTCCAGCAGAGGCCGAGAGTATTAGAGCAGCGGTCATGAAGGTGCGTTCCTTCCACCCCAGTCGTGTCGCGACGTGTGCGTTGACGTTCGTTCAGCACGTCTCGGACAACAAGGTGCAGTACAAGTGGCTCGCCGGCGTCGAGTTTGTCGAGAGCGTACCGAAGAACCCTAGCGGGAAGCTGCTCCGTCGGGAGCTGCGCGACCGCGCGAAGGACATGCTGGCGAAGGGGAAGTTGCTGCTTGTGAGCACAAAGGGGAGAGTGAGACCGAAGCTATGAGACCGTGCTGTCGGACGTATGGGTTGGATGTCGATGTGATGACGCGACGGACATCCTAACGCAGCCGAGGGACACATTTAGCCTTTCAACAATGGCTGGACCTAGTAATTAAGTGGTACTCAATACAGGCGTACTCGATAACAACAGCACGGAAAGTCGGCAAGTGATGGGGACGCCAAGATACTACAAGTCAGCAAAGAAAGACGGCTCAGCGACTACCGTGTTCCGGCCTTTAGACCGCTTTTCGGCCTTCAAGGGATCATTCTCCTTTTTGCGTTTGCGTTTTTTCTCTACGATACCTTCGTCGTCGCTCGAGTCGGCACCCGCTGCGAGGGCATCAGCAGCCGGCTCGGCCTCCGCTTCTGGTGCAGGCTCCTTCCTCGGAGAAGCCGGCGGCAGTCCTGGTACAATCTCCTCTTCGCTGCTTTCCACCTCAGCGTCGCTGTCGCCTTCCTCGCTGTCCTTCTGGCTAACCTTCTCCTTCTCTTCACCCTCGCTCACGTCTTCCTCTTCATCATCCGCGAAGACCTCCTGCAAGTCTGTGAGTTTCAGCACCTCTTCATGCCCCGCACTCCCGACCCAACGTCCTTCGCCACCTCGATCCACAGCAATACGCTCGATGGGGAACTCGCCGTGGTCGGCGACGACGCCGAGGAGCTTCGTAGGGAAGAGCTGCACCGCGCGGAGGAGCCCGTCGGAGGAGCCCGTGAGGAAGGTCGTCTGCGACGGGGCGTAGGCGGCGGGGAGGGGCGCGAGTGTGTCGATGGAGTGAGGATGCCCTGGGATGCGGTCGACGCAGTCGCCCCAACCGCTGCGGCGGTTGAAGATGGAGAGTATGCCGAGTTGGGTGCCAACGGCAAACTTCTGGCCGCTGCGTGAGGGTGAGAGGGTGCATGGGAGGTAAAGGATGGACGGCGTACCCTTTTATGGGCACGATCGAAAGCAATTCGTCCTCCTGGTCCTCTGACTGCGCGATGGGTTCAGTTTTCTTTGAGCGCACGTCTATGACGGACAGCGTCCCGTCACCACTAGACATGATCAGCATTCGGATTGAAGTCGTGACCGGGGGGAGTCTACCTGGTGGAGACGAGCTGCTTGCTGTCTTCTAGCCATAGAAAATCTGAGATGAAGTCGAAGTGATGTGTGTATGTTCGTATGGAGTCTGACTTTCGTAGATCCCAGAGCTAGAACGATGTGTATTGGACGTTAGTTGGAAAACCAACGTCCAGTCCGTTGCGAACATGCCTTAATGACTCCGTCATCATCTCCAGAAGCAAGTAGATTCGGCGTGAGGCTCTTCACCCGATTGATGGCTGTGCTTGCAAATGTTCTTTGTTAGGAAACGTACGCGCGTGTATGTCTGTCACGGCTCACTCGTGAGCGTTGGACCAAGTGTCAACTATCTGGCCTGTGCCCGTATCAATTGAGCTAGACTGCAATGAGGACGCCTAATAAGTCTTGGACAATTGACGTTAGACTCACAACACCGCCTTTGCCTTTCCGGCCGCCCACAGCCTGCCACCATCTGCGGCAATTGCTAACGCCCGGCAGGACCGCTTGGATGGTCGGACAGAGAATTTTCTGTCGTGCTCGCCTTCGTCGTCGTAGCCGAAGGCCTTGATGTGGCCGGTGAGTAGGCCTAGATACACGACCGAGCTCGAGGGATGGAATATGAGGTCGAATATTTGTGTGCCAACATGGATGTCGGGCATCGCGTTAGGGGGGATGAGAGTCTTGAAGAGGCTGGGCGCTCCGCAAACCGTCACTGTACTTGGGCGCTCCGTGAGAAGCGGGTACTGAATTGCAGAGTCACGCGTCACATCTCCTGCACTGGTGTCACGCAGTTACATGTCACACCTGCGGGCTCAGCGCTCAGCGATGTCTCAACCAAGTCTCAAGCATCTTGCGTCTTGCTCTTATCCCCCATCTTTCGCCTCCATCTCTTCCACCTCGTCTTCCTGGCTATGAGGATATGAAGAATGACCATTCAAGGTCTCCTTGTTGCTTTGCTTGCTGCCGGGATATGCCTCGGAGAGCCCGTCGTCTCACCATGGACCGCCAACCGCGACCTGTCTACGGATGTCCAACTGCGCCGTGATTCCTATCGACTAGCACAAGGGTCAGCTGCGACGAACGGTTTGGACCTCTTGGAAATTGTGTTGGTAGCTTCTGTGGACGGGAGGCTGCATGCGCTCAACAGGACGTCGGGAGACTTCATCTGGTCAATGAAGACGGCTTCGGGCACGGAGCCAGCAACCCTCGGCCCTCTCGTGCGCACGAAGCACCCGGAAATAGACCCGGACCTCACAGACGACGACTCTGTGCACAGAGAAGTCTACCTCGTTGAACCGCAGTCTGGCGACATCTACATCATGTCTACCCCGGATGGCCCCCTGCAGCGACTTCCGTTCTCTATGCCTCAGCTCGTCGACATGTCACCCTTCAGCTTTCCTTCGGATGACGACCGGAGGATGTTCATAGGCCGTAAGGAGACGTCATTACTATTGGTAGAGCTGGAGACGGGGAGGGTAAGGACGATGAACCATGAGTGCCCTTGGGATCCGTTCCAGGACCTGGCTGAGCCTGCAGAGTTCGGCCTCGACCTCGACGACCTTGAGGGCGCAGAACCGCCCAAGCGGGCTTCCAGGCCGACCGAAGTGTTCATTGGGCGTACCGGTGAGTTGCATCCCCCGCTTACGGCGCAGCACCACTCACGCAGCGCAGACTACCATATCTCGATACACACTCGCCCTTCGCGGTCCTCAGCTATCAGACCGCCAGTACAGAATCTGTCCTTCTCCGTATACGGACCCAACAACCAGGATCTCGGGATCCAGTCCGTGTACCGCCGCACCGCTGACAACGCGTACATTCAACCCCTGCCAAATGGCGAGATCGTCTCCTTCACGTCCGACGTTGTACAAGGTGCCGACTCTGATGTGGCACGGAATACCCATTTCGAATGGGGTCGGGCATTCTCCACACCTGTGTACGTGCTTCTGTCTCTGCAGTCGGTGTCTCCGACTCACCGGCCCATAGTGTCGCTGTCTTCGACATCCTACGTTCGCCCCAGCGTTCGCAGCCTTTCGTGCTTCTACAGCCCCGTCTGCATCTGGAGGACATCCTCCCCTCCGCCGAGCTCCGCAAAGCAGCCGCACGTCAGAGTATGCCATTCGATGCGGCCTTCGTAGGCATCGTGGAGGAGACGGGCTCGCTCTACGCTATGGGCCCAGACACATTCCCCCTCGTCATCTTCGGCGATGCAGGCGTCGGGCGCTTCCTCGATGCTGCGCCGCGGGACACTCATTTCGACGACGAATTCGGGCGCGACGGGGATCTGCCGGGGGATCTCGACTCCGTCACGCGTCGGGCGAAGGAGCGACGAATGCAAAAGATGTGCAGGGAGGGCAGCAACGACCTTCGGTGCCTCACGGGTGTGCGTCGACTAGAGGCAGGGACACAGTCGAGGTTCAGTAGACTGCTGGACGCTGCGCCGGTGGTGCCATCCCCGCTGCCCGAGCGCAACATCAGTGTCCACGCAGCAACAAGTCAGGAGAACTCCACGATGTCAGCCCAGATCATCTTGGACTCGGAGCGTGTCTCATCTCTGAGCGCGTCCACGTCCGCTCTATCGGCCTTCGCTGTGTGTGCGTTGGCGCTGCTCATCGCTTTCGTATGGATGGGCTTGAAGCGCAAGTCGGGCAAGCCGTCGAACCCCATATCCACTACCGCCGTCGAACCTGAGACGAAGGTGGGACCCGTTGAGAAGGACGCTCCTGTCTCGCCTACGCCGGCGAATGGTGATGCGATGCTCAGCGGTTCCGCAACGGACGGCTCCCCGGCTCGAAAGCGTACCGTCTCAACAGCCTCTCGACCCAGTACGCCTCGCCCGGGTACACCTATGAAGCGGCCGTCCACCATTGCCATCTCCGAGCTGGCAGCAGACCCGGACGGGGACGCTGTCGAAGGCGACGACAGTGATAAGGATGGCGATGGGGAACAGCCGGCGAGGCGTAAGGGCGTACGTCGAAAGCGAGGGAGGAAGAAACGTGGCGGAGCTGGTGGTGTGGAAGACGACAAAGACAATGGCGATGAGGCGGCCAATGGTGATTCTCCCAACGGAAATGCTAAGGACGATGCTGGTAAGGACGATGCGCATGTGGTGGACCAGTCTGCCATCGCCGCTCCTCCGCCAGCTGCGACATCGGTCGAGCCGTCGCTTATCGTGTCGGACACTGTGCTGGGTGAGTCGTCAGAATTGACATAAGTCGTCGGCATGAACTTATCACATTGGTACAGGCTTTGGATCGCATGGGACAGTCGTCTACAAGGGCTCTCTACAAGGACGTGCAGTTGCCGTCAAGCGTCTTTTGCAAGACTTCGTCACCCTAGCGTCCCGGGAAGTGACCGTCCTTCAGGAGTCTGACGACCACCCGAACGTCATTCGGTATTACTACCAGGAATCTCGAAGCAACTTCTTGTACATCGCACTCGAGCTCTGCCCAGCCTCCCTTGCGGATATCATCGAACGCCCCGACGGGTACCACGAGATCGTCGGCGCGTTTGATCCCAAGCGCGCTCTCCGCCAGGTCACTGCCGGTTTGAGGCACTTGCACGCTCTCAAGATTGTCCACCGAGACATCAAGCCCCAGAATATCCTTATTTCTCATGCAAAGCGTGGCGCAGGCCACAGGATGCTCATTTCGGACTTTGGGCTATGCAAAAAGCTCGACATTGACCAGACGAGTTTCCTGCCTACCGCCCACGGTGCGTTTGGCGCCGGCACTGTCGGGTGGCGAGCGCCGGAGATCCTGCGCGGCGAGGTGAAGCTCGATGAAACCACCGGGGATGACTCGCAATCGGGCTCCTCACGAGGGTCCGTGGGCACACCGCGGACAGGCACACCGACGGGCAAGCCAGCACGCTTGACCAAGTCGGTCGACATCTTTGCGCTGGGTTGTCTGTACTATTATGTACTCACGAACGGCGGGCACCCGTTCGGCGACAGGTTCGAGCGGGAGGCGAACATCATGAAGAATGCGAAGTCGCTGGAAGGCTTGCAGTGCTTTGGGGAAGAGGGCTCAGAAGGCGCTGACCTGATCAACCGTATGTTGAGTCCAGAAGCATATGACCGGTACGCCAGTATTCCTCGCTTCGTTGCTTACGGCCCACTGACTACGCTGCGCCAGGCCGGATACCACTTCGTGCTTACTACACCCGTATTTCTGGGATCCGGGAAGGCGATTAACCTTCCTCCAAGACGCCTCCGATCGGTTTGAGATCATGTGCCGTGACCCGCGAGACTTCAACTTGATCCTACTCGAAACGGGTGCTGCTCAAGTCGTGGGCACCGACTGGCACTCTAAGCTTGACAAGCTGTTCATCGAGAACCTGGGCAAATTTAGGAAGTATGACGGCAAGGCCGTGCAGGATTTACTACGCGCATTGCGGAACAAAGTACGTCGTCCAGATGTCTAGGATGACTTTGATGTTGACGTCTTTGTCAGAAACACCATTATCAAGACCTCCCCGACAACGTCAAGCGCCTTCTCGGTTCTATGCCAGAAGGCTTCCTTGCCTACTTCACCCGGCGCTTCCCCCTTCTCTTCATACATGTCCATACTGTCGTCGCCAACTCCACTCTCCGCAATGAGTCCATGTTCCGCACGTATTTTGAGCTATCTGACTGATCGCATGCATCATCCTCTGGAACTCCTCATCTCCGCTCGTCACTGATTTATTTGTCATGCTGTATTTCTATGGATATCGCAATGCTGTCTGTGCTAGTATACATTAGAATGGACCTATTGGATCATACATATTCTTGTGTGCGTGGTCATTGGTTGTGGGATATCATCAATATCAGGTGCAGGGTCCGTTGTAAAGTTCGTATCTCCGGGCCCAGTGTCCGAATGCCCGAGATTTATAGGTACAGTAGCGTGAGGAATCGTCCCAAGACAATCGACAGTGTCCTACACTCATCTCCTACACCCATCAATAACGAGAAGCAGCGACAATGAGCGCGACAATGACAGCAGCCAAAATCAGTACCCCACTCATAATGGCGGCGATACGACACCGGATAACCCAAACATCCACTCCTAGGAGTGCTCCCCTCCTGAGCCTCCGCGCAGAAGCTACCGAGTTCTGGCTGCGCGCAGATGGCGTGAGGCTCTCTACCGACGGCGCCACAAGCGGAAACAGCTTGGACGCGAGGAGATTCCGCGCCTTGTCCTTTTCCGCCGTGGCATCGGGCTTCTTGCCATGCCTGAACCACTGGGGTAGGATCGCGTCCGCACCGTGCTTGATGTCCATCTCACGCTTGAACTCGGGCTCGAGTTCGCCTTCCGTGGTGAGCATCCACCCGCCGATGAGCCAACACCACGGTCCGATGAAGCCCAGCCAGAAAAGGATGCTTGCGCTCGTTATCCCCGACCGCCCTGCGAGGTACGATCGGCTCTGGCTGCGCGAGAACGCACGGGGGGTGTGGAACTCGTAGTTGCCACTCCCGAAGGAGACGCCCCTGAGCCAGCGGTTGTAGATGTAGCTCTCAGAGCGAGAGCCACCCGAGGAGATGGAGCGCGGGCGGCGCGGAATGGCGCTGGGAGGTGCGGGCAGGAGAGGCTGTGTGAGCCGCGGACTCGTGCTGGTGCTCCCGGCGTGTGTACTGGTTCCGGCGTGCGAGGGCTCGCCCAGGTCAATGTCGTACAGCCCCTCTGGGAGGCCGCTCGTCCGCACTGCAGGCGTGACGTCGACGCTCGACGTGGTGGAAATAGCATAATCCCGTGCGTGCACTGGGCGTTCCTCTGCATGCTGTGCGTCGCCACCAGGCTCGGGCGTGGACACGTCGCGAACAGAATGCACGGAGAGTGCGGTGACGAAGCTTCGCGAGGTTCGCGCAGAGGAGCCGTCCTCGTATATGACGGAGTACTTTCCCGGATGAGGACTGCCTACGACGGTGGGCAGCGTCGGCGGCGGGAGACGCGACTTGCGAATGGGCGGACCGATGGTCTTTTGGAAGTCGGGCCGGAGGTCCAGAGGCGGGATAGCGGGCACAGAGGCGGTCGTGCTTGTCGACGTTTGGCTGGTAGTACGATTGAGGGGCCGATTGATGAACGCTCCTGGATATGCAGCGAGGTCTGTAGCGCATCGTCAACGAGAGATGTGTGGAAGGGGTGTCCTATCGACTCACGTCCGTCATGCACCCTGGTGGATTCCGGCGTAGGGGGCACTGAGTCCGTCGACGGCCTCCTTCCGCTGGGGAACCGCACACGTGGATCAATCACTGGGAGATGCCTCGGAGGATAGAGTTCGACGTTCTCCCTCTTTTCCGGGCTGTTCCGCCTCGACAAGTCTTCTGAGGCTGTGATGGACGGGGTGCGCAAGGACTGCGAACTGTGTCGATGAATCGACGCTGCCTTTGTCGCTGACCCGGGATTCAGCAGCAGTAATGATGGTGCCGACGCAGAATGACTTTCATACTGCGAACTCCATACGGAGTCAGAGATGGGACTGGGACTCGGATTCACGTTGGGTGTCTTCCACGAAACATGGGAAGGGGCGCGTCGCCTAGCGTCCATCACTGCGCTAGCATCGACGGACGGTCTTCGCTCTAGACGCATCGTCTCCAGCCCGAGACCAGAATCATCTGCACTGGTCGCCGCACGCGCCTCGCCATTCGTGTCTTCTCTGGCACTGTCCGCCGACGCGCGGTCTTGTCCGGGATCGGGAGCAGGGCTGGCCTGCAGCATGCGGTAAAGCGCGCTGAGCATCTCGCTCGACGTCGAGAGCCGTCCTGCGGGCGCCCTGAGATAGCAAAGAGAAGAGAGTTTCAAGGAAGAGAGTTCCAGATGCCTCGAACCTTGCCAGGGCTCGGGAGGAGGCTTAAGTACCGAGCCGCGCCACGATGCTCGGTGGAAAAGGGAGGGTGAGGCAAGCTGAACTCGTGTATCTGGCTAGCGTGACGCCATGCTCAATTACGATGCTGGCGCGAAGACGTGCGCCGCAGTCCCAACGAGACGGTCAGCCTTGAAATCGGACATGTCCTGGATGACACAGCAATCACCATGCTGGATTCCCTGGATGAGGAGGCAATGCCAGGCCACATAACGTCGAAGGACCTGCATAAGAGCACATGTATGAGCAGATAGTGACGGAGGTGAAGGATAGTGGTCGAGGCAGTGAACTTGAAGCAGAACAACACGCACATTTCATGCACACCCCGGGCCTGGCCAAGCACGTGTGGTGCTCAAACAGCCTAGTGCATAACTGCCATTCAAGAATCGTGAGTCGAAACATAAGAAGGTCATATCCCTACGAGCAGGATGTCATGATCCCTACGAGCAGGATATCGCACGAAGTCGCTGATTGTCACACTAATTCCGAACGATTACTGGTTAGACGCTCGAGTACATATCCAAAAGAGGCAACGCTGTCACCGTCTAGACGCCCAATGCCAGGGCCGCCCATGATCGCGCGTGCGACTGCAGCGGCCGGTGGCTACATACCTCCTCCTTCTGAAGGCCTGATCTGGCTACTTACCTGTTCTCGCCCCGCGTCGTCAACGCCCTCGGGCTGGGACGCGACGCGTGGCCAGGCTGCGGCGTCATGGGCCGCCGGAGGCGCTCGCTCAGACCGCTCATTGGCTGCAGCCGCCGCGTCGACGCTGCGTCGATCGCGCCTTTTGCCCGTCGTCGCCTCCAGTCGACCTCTTCCAGTGCACCCATGCTCCGCCCTCGACGCACGCATCCACTGCCCGTTCCGCGGTCTCGTCTCTGCTCTGTTCCCCGCTCTCGCCGCCGTTCTTCCCTCCCCGCTGCTCGCCCGCCCCCGCCGCCGGTACCAGTCGACGCCCGCGCCCGAGACGAGTCCGCCGACACCCATGAGCCGTGCGTTTGGTGCATAATCGGTCCACGTATGTCGCATTTACGTTTTCAGCACCTCTTCGCGCGCATTCATCGACACAAACACGCTGTCACAGTCTCCGCCCCGACCCACTTCCGCCCTCGGGTCCATCCGTCGCGTATCGGAGCGTCCTAGCAACGACATGGGACGGTCCACAGGACATGCGTGGACGTTCTGCAAGTTGTCCGAAGGCATTCCGTGCACGGGACGCCGCGCGGCGCCGCGTTCTCTGGGGCCCAGCCAAGTCGCCCGAAGCCAGCCATATCCCGCCTCGCAGATGTCGCGGACCATCGCCGTTTGGCACTGCGCGGGTACTCAACACTCTCACAATGCTATACCAGCCCGCCCGGCGTCGTTTCGTGCACCGGACACGGCGCGGCGAGGTTTTCTGTGCCACCCAGCCAAGTCGCCCGAAGCCAGCCATATCCCGCCTCGCCGACGTCGCGACATACCGCCGTTCTGCACGGTGTGCGTACTCAACTCTTGCGCAAAGCTATACAAGGCAGCCCGAGACCAATTCGCGCACCGGACATGGCGCAGCGCGGCATTCTGTACCGCCCAGCCAAGTCGCCCGAAGCCAGCCATATCCCCCCTCGCCGACGTCGCGGACCATCGCCGTTTGGCACTGCGCGGGTACTCAACACTCTCACAATGCTATACCAGCCCGCCCGGCGTCATTTCGTGCACCAGACATGGCGCGGCGAGGTGTTCTGTGCCACCCAGTCAAGTCACCTGAAGGCAGCCATGTCCCGCCTCGGCGACGTCACACAACATCCCCGTTCTGTGCCACACCGGTACTCAAGTCTCGTACCATCATCTACCAGCCCGTTCGACACGATTTTGTGCACCGGACGTGGCGCGGCACGACGCTTTGCACGGTACGTTGTCACGCACATCATGACCGCTTCATTCTGATCACCAGCTACGGTCGCCTAGCACCTCTCGTCAGTAACAGAACACCGTGCAGACACCGGTTCGCACGCTCTTCGCGCGGCGGATGCCCATCTCAGGGCCGGGATACGGCCAACTCTCGCGTCCGGTGTCCGTCGTCCCCCCGCAACGCACGCCATACCGCACCCACACGTCCATCACTACCCTGCGTGCGCTCTCCAGACGCACCCCAGGAGTACGCAGGAGCCGGGACGAACCGAGGACGGTCGGTGAGCGAACCGGCGCGGAGTACAAGCGATGGTTGAAGGAGAGGAATGCAAGGATGAGGAGGCGACGAGACAACGATGCGGGAATGTAGCCCGAAATCGGAGCGCGGGCGAAGGCATCAGCGCGCCCTCGGTGACCATATGATCTCCGTGCCGCCCCTCGATCTCCACCACTGCGACAACTGACGGCCACGCCGCGCAATTCGACACGCCTGAACACAACATGTACGTCAAACGGGCGGTACGCTACGTACGTACTTACTACACTAACCGTGGTTCCTGTACGATGAGCGCGGCTTGCTCTAACAACAGAACACGCGCCCCCGCGAACCCCTCTGCGAAGACCTCGTCAGCGGTGTTTCGAGGGCACGACGATGCTACGTACCGGCAGGACCGTATCGCAGCATTCTGCGCTACGTCTGGTCCCGGGGGTGCCCCTGGACAGCGCGCAGCGCGCCAAGCGCGTACGGCACGTCGGGGAGCCAACCGGTACGTATTCTGCATTCGCGTCGCGACGACACTTACGCTGACGAGCGACACGTCGCGTCTCCCCACGCATTGTGCACGCGCCCTTCGGCGACTTCAACATTTCGAGAGCGAACGTGTCAGCAATACACGTCGTGCGACGAAGCGGGCTCCCACTTACCGTCGTAGGGCGGATTCACGATGCACAAGACGGGACGAAGACGCAGGTCGAGCTGCAGTTGCCCATCCACGGCCTCCCCTTTTATCCTCGTCCTTCGCCCGGGATCCCACGAAACCGTTCCATCGACCGCGCACGAGCCGCGTCGTGACGTGTCGACGGATACAACATGACTGTTGCAACCCATACCCGCCCTGGCAACCCTCGCATAGCGCGGGGATCGCTAACCGACAGGACGTCCGTGCGCGGCGCTCGTCGAAGTTGCCACGCCGCGCGACATGACGGCAGCCCGCACAGCTTGCGATTCGATCACCCGACACAGCGGTGCGTCGTGCGTGTTAATCGCGATCTGTGCGGGCGGCCTGCGTGACATTCAATCGGCCCTCGCCATTCTGCACGGACCGCGCGCACAGGCCAGATGAGTTGGACTGGGCCTTGCACGTCGAGATGGGGCTCGCAGAGCTGTCTCTCGGCGTGCAGTGTCGAGCCTGTAGCGTCTGCATTCGGCGGGATGTTCCGCGCGGTTTGGGGGACGCCAAATTGCGCGTCCACGTATAGGCTCATCTACGTCTGATGGGCGGGTAGAGCTACTTGCGTACATGGAGACTCACGATCGGCTGCGAATTGGCACGCAACCGGAAGCCGTAATTTTCACACTCAAAGCGCGATGACAAGGTCCGACCGTGGAGATGACTCGTGAAACAACGGCGGCGGCACGCCCCGATGTGCAGACGGTGATGCGCACATTCAGGACGAGGCCGCAATGCGCGACCAGGTTGTGCAAGTCGCTGCCTACGTTGCCGCAGTTGTCGCGGCCGAGGCAGAGTGAGGTCGTCGCGAGCCGCTGGCGGAGCCCAATGCACTGCGAGTACCTCGCACAACACGCCGAATGCGCATTGGTGCGTGAAGACTTTCGAACCATGTCGCGTTAGCGGGCGGGGGTCCAGTACCGGGCAGGCGAGGTGCCGTTTGATTGACAGACGATCTCGCTACGTCAAGCCCGAAAATTTAGCAGCGGTCAAGCTCGCTTCCGGAGAACTCATCGTCGGCGACCTGGTTGTCGCTGCAGACGGCAGGGATGTATGTGCATGAGAGCGGCGCAACCTACGGCAACAACGAGCATCGCGACATCTTGCCTGCGGTGAGAGTCGCGTCGTGTCCCGTCGTGCGGGCGTCGTGGATCGACCAGGGGCCCGAGGATTGGTAGAGCAGGCTATCCGGCGAAGGATGAGACTGACTCATCGGTGCGCGAGCAGGTACATCACAGTGTGCTCGCGTGTTTCCCAGTGAAGAATGCGGCGCGCACCGTCGACCAGGTAGTACCTGGACGTCGTGCGTTCTGAACGGACGGACAGGCCGAGGGATCAGACAAGCAGACAAACAGGCCAGGAGACGACGGAAGCAACACCGGGTACGGTTGCAGTGCGCGCCGTCCCTCGACGTGCAGCGAGGTCGCCAGCCGCATCTTACGTCTGACGTCTTTCAGCTTCGCGTCTGTTGAACCTGTCTGTTCAAGCCGGTTCGCTGGGCAAGGTATGGTATGTTCCCGAACAAATGTACATTACTGCCGGGGACGAAATATATTCACTTTGCTACCGTCGTAAGCCAATGCCGAGCGGTGCGAACTACTAGTCACCGTCGCAGCGAAGTCAGTCTGGACTGGTAGGTCTGTCTGCGAACGAAGACGAGCATGTCTTCCACTGGCATGCTTATGCTATGTGAATGAGGCAGCACGGCGTGGTAGTGTTTAGGAGCTGCTGTACGCACACCGGTAGTCCAGCTACAAGTACTGGCAGTGTCATTATAGACCGGCTTAGATTCGGGGTTGAACCAACATTACGCCGTTGTACGACATCCCAAACAAGCCCGTTTGTTACCAGTCTCGCTCATTCAGGCTACGCGGAGACTACAGTGCCGCTCACGCTCGCCCCACTGCCATTACCCGATGGGCAGCGTTCTCGACATCGCTCTTGAGCTCAGGCAGCTCGCTCGCCAGTTCCAACCCTTCTGTCCCCATTAACTCTATCATTATTACAGTACTTGGTCTTAGTTGTGTTGCCGAAGATAGTCACTACAGTATCTGACATACAAACCGGTTATAGTTTGAAGTTCGCTGATTCGGATCGCGTCGTGATCTTTATTGGAACCGTTCTGCCTCGCGAAATACCAAGGCACTAGTATTGAACATACCATTGTAATTCGACAATTGCAACTTATTCTCTGCTCGTACCTCGGCCATTCTGGAGTGGACAATCGTGATTGATAGTACATCTCCGACATCATTTGGATTGTCTCAATGTCCTGCGGTGATGACCAAGTACACTCTCCGAGAGAAGCAGCCAGCGACCTCGATAGCCCGTTCTCCGACACTGTAATATCATCTGTGAGTACCCGAACGCGTTCTCCGCACATTCCCAATGTCGCATATTCAATTCGCAGTTACTACTGGTCCGCATTTGCGCTCATGCTCAGGCTGACTACAGTATCATTTCCCGTACAACAGGCATTCTGACCGAATTGCATTCGCGACACCGCAGCCGGTGTCTTGGGCCACTTGCCGGTAACCGGTCAGACGCTTAACGCTGTGGGCGTAGTGTACAGTGTGACACGCCGCTCTCGCTGCTGTCGACCTCGAAGTACAACGGCCACCCAGTGACGGGTACGTCGAATCCGCGCCGCTGAGCTTTCCGAGGCCCTACCGACATGCAAGCATCACGGTGGAGTTTGAGAGCACGGATCATGGCCGCCCGCGCCCCTTGCAACGCACATGACATGGAGTGCCTAGTGTCTCCGTGGTCACTATCAGCAACCCGCAGCCCGTTGCACGTCACCGCGGCCTCGTACATACCAGACACACATTGAACAGACAGACGCGACTCTTCAAGTTCGCTGACATCCCAAGACGACTGCCGAGCCAAGCGGCGGGCTATGCGTTCTTGATTGTTGCTGTACCGGACGTGACTGATGCGTCCCGGAGACGGGCGATGACAAGCCGCTCAATACATCCTGAGATCGTGAGATATGACCGGTGAATATGTTAGGAGCCACATACCAATCACACGAGCGGACTAGCTTGGTGGACTTTGAGGTCGCCTGGATCGCATTGGGCATCAATTTGTGCATTATTCATGATGCCTCTATCTTACTGAGCGAAGATACAATGCCAGTGGCCGCGTTAATGGCGTGTAACGTACCCATAGAGCCGAGGATGTCACTGCACGTTGTGTTGAACGACGATCCCATCCTATGTGGCTCTTACTATGACATGACTGCACCACACGTTCCGGGCTCGCGATGATGAGCACACTCCCCACTTGTGATTGTAAGCAGACGATAACATTGCCTGTAATGCGTCTGTACTGGATAGAATCGCGACGACGCTACTTCTCGTGCCGCCCCGCAATGACACTCCAAGTCGACCATGCGTCGGCAGATCTAAGGACCCCGAGAAGTGAAGCGACGTACCCTATAATTATTGCTGCTGCCTGGGATTTTACTTATTAGAACTCTTGAGGACCTAGGAAGCTTGGAACTTGTATCTGCTCGGGCGAGCAGATGTCATGGGGCACCTAAACCGTCGCTATTTGGTCGCATGTCAGCATCCGTCAGCACGCAGACGACTCGGGAGAGCGGCAGGGAGATGGCTTGCCGCATTGGTGTCTTCTGGCGGCAGACCCGCCTAATTTGCTTCGCGCAGGTACAGCGCGGTTTTGTCGGACGGTAGTGATGTGCCACCGTAGCCGCTACGCGTGCCGTAAGTGCGATTCCAGGACGTTACTGACAGCGGGCACACCTATTGAGTGATACGCACACACCGGTGAGAGCGTCGCATAATCTGCAGGGTTGTTGAGCCGAGGACCAAGCCGCGATGGGCCTACGGAGCTGCGCTAGGCTTAGTTGAGCATCTGCCGTCTGCTGCGAAGTCAAGGGCCACTCATTTGATGTTGAAAATAGCAAAACGCCGTGCAGGTACGCTGCATCCAGCGCCCCGGACCGTCGCGTCGATGTTACGTAGTAGCGGCGAACTGCTCTGAAACGAGCAGCACAGACCGTCGGCATGGTATTGGTCTGCTGACTGGTTCAGCTCTCGAAGCCGTTCAATCTCGGGCATTGAGCATTCACAGGATACATATAGATGTATACCTTATTCTGCTCGCCAATCCTGCATCCGCCGTCGCAGCAGACCTCCCCTACAGCCGCCACAAACACCCTCGGGCCTCATGTTCACGCACAAAGTACTCACCCAGTCACCCCGTCGGCGGCGACCTCTCCGGCCCATTCTCGTGATCAAACACAAGCCCTTCGCGAGCCCCAAGGCGACCTACAGCTCACGCCTCGCGAAGGAGAGAGGGGAAGTACGCCGACTGTTGACAGAGAGACTGCGTATGTACCAGACTCACATACTCGATCATGAGATAGTCTGACTGACGCACCAATCCAGGGACTTTTACCGGCGACTCAACCGCCCGGATGCGCTGGAACGCAGAGGATTTTTTCACCTTCATCGCCGCCAAGTATGGTGTCTGCCTTGAAGGTTGGCCACAGCACCTTACGTTCGCCAATCTCAGTCGCGTCCCGGGCGGGATTCGCACCATGCGACAGCTGTGCGGTCGCATTCAGTGTGGTTTTATGCACTTTGATAGACTCTCGCGTGAAGAATGCGACGTGCTTACCGTCGAGAAAGCTGCTCCCGGGTGGTATGTTCCGCGCCCGCGCCGTGCTACGAGGAGCGACTACGGCAAGCAGCGCGTGCTTCCCTGGCTTCGGCTCTCCAGGCCGCCAAGACAGATCCGCATGGGTCCTAAAAGCAAGCCATATGTCGACGACTCTGATGCGTACGAGACGGAGGTCGAGGACATTGAGGACGGTGAAGCGGAGGTTGACGGCGGTGGCGGCGGCGTGTCGGACATCGAGAGCGCGTCCGGATTTGACAACTAGTAGTTTTCTTATGTCTTCGTGTTTTCTGAATGTCATATTGTGTCGCGACGCGTCGAGGCAGCGGGGATTGGCAGCGGAGGATGGATGTTCGGGGCAACGCGCGAACGCGGTCACTCGCCACTGC